AGCTTGGAGAGGAGCACCACCTGCTGCCCGAGCTGGAAAGCTTCAAGGGCTGCATGCACACCCGCCTCCCCCAGCTCCGCCGCATGGGGAACTTGTCGGGCGCTGGGCAGGCGGCGCTCTCCCCTCCCAGCGGCTTGCTGCACTTGCTGGGCGTAGTGCTCATAAAACACTACCATATCCCTGGCCTCACGCCGCACGATGGTCATCTCTTCGGAGCACCGCTTCAAGCGCTCCTGCTGCTCCGCCAGCGCGGCCAGTTTCCTAGCCAGCAACCCTGCCTGAGCAGATTGTCGCTGCCACGGCAATGTGTCTGCCGCGAGCAAGCCAGGGGCGGTCAAGCGCTGGCAGTCATACTGCGCTCCCTGATAGTCCCCAGGGGCGGCATGCCAGCGCCGCAGCTGAAGGATGTCATCGCTGACTTTGGACACGATGGCTTCCATCTGGCGCCGCAACCGCTTCAGGCTAGTGCGCTCACGATATGCCGCTGTCTCCAGCTGTCTCTGTAGGGCGTAGTAATCCACGAACCTGGCTGCAATGGAAGCATGTAGCTGCTGAATCATGAACCTCTTCCGCTGACCCCCTATCTCCTGGTACAACCGGTCTGCCTCCACCCACCGCAGCTGTACCCGGTGCCTGCGCTCCCACGCTGCCAGCTTGCCCTCAAGGACTCGGCGGTGCTCATGCCGCATTTGCTCGGAGAGCGATTGCTGCCCCTCAGCTGCGAGAGTCACACTGCCACCCAGCGCGTACAACTCCTCCAAGCAGCCTTGGTAGTGGTGCTCCCATGTAAGACGGGCCTGCGAGTAAGAATCCTGACATCAGTGATTCATGCATCTTTATGTATCTTCCAAAGGTGTGCATCCCATTTGCTCTTTACAAAAACTCCACCAGTATGCACATCCTGTCATGTCTTGTCCTGTCATGTCATAAGTCACATGTCAAATGTCCTATCATGTCATATGAACAAGCACCAGTACAGCCAACTGAAGGTGCAGAGTGGAGCAGCACCGGGATGGTGGGCGCGCTTGTTGATGCCCCCTCAGACGATGTCTGCCGCTGCTCCCGGGCAGACCCCTGCGTGCAAAACAAACAATCTGCTTGCATACTTTCTTCTGAGGCAGCTCTTTACTCTGAGTCCTCTGAGCACCTCCTTCTCACTAGCATACCCATTGATACTTATTCCATGCTAGAGAAGAGCCTTCAAAAAGGACCAACACACCTCTGCTTCGTCACTTGCGCCTGCACCAGCGCCGCCTTGGAGAGGATCCTGGCCTGCCGGTGATGGGACGCCTCCTGAGCCACCGCCACCCTGCACCTGATTCATCAGCCAATAAGCGAGCATGCAAAGCATTGCAGACTGCAGGATATATCAAGATGGCATCTCCCCAGAGAATCAGTAGAGACAGGTGCAGCAACTAGGAGGGGTGCATTTTACCTGCAACTCGGGGGCTTTGATTTGGGCAATCTCCTGCTTGAGGGCCCCCGTGGACTGCCGCAGTTGTGCCAGCAGTCGAGCAGCCCTCCTATGCCACTCAAGCAGCTGCTTGGGCAACCTGCGCTCCTTTTTTCGCTGCCAAGCCATCGCCTGCACATGGACCAACATTGTCACTTCTCGCACCTACAGGGTTACAAACTGCAACATCGAGCAAGGCTACAAGAGCTTGCATCATATGAAAGGAGAACTCACCAGGTCCGTCATGTAGTCCTCCCGCGTGGCAGTCGCCATGCGCTTCAAGATGTGTGCAAATTTCCTGTAATGTGCCCAAGCCTGTTCAATGTTGTCACCAAAGGAGTTTCCTGCCGCTAGCATGCGGCGGGCGCCATACTTTTCTTGGCATGCCGGAATGTGAGCCTTCACATGCCACGGCCCCACTGCCAGGCCAGGCATACCCTCCACGTTTCCTTGAACCATCCTGCCAGCACAACACATCACCATTCAAAGGGGACGCTGCTGTGCACTCCGACGAATCCACACACTCATAGCATGACTAGTACTAGACACTAGGAGTGAAATTGTTCCATGCAATAATTGTACAGGGCACATCTTGACGTAAACGCCAGGCATGATGGACGAAAGATTATACCTTCGCCAATATGGGTCAAACTGGCAAGCAATGTCAATGAAGAAGTACTTCAGATCCTTGCCCTCCTCAGGCTTGAACTCCTTCAGCAGACGCTGCAGGAGCAACTCGTAGTAAACAAAGCACTCCGGTGTGAACAGGTTTGCCGCCACGAGAACATACCCGTGGCGGCAAACTGCTGCTGCCACGCCCTACGCACAAGCACATGCGGGAGTGTCAGACCGGCTCCAAAGCACCAGCACATCTTCTTGTTACACGCTTTCCTGCCAAGCAAGGTACATCCTGCAGAGCTGCAATTTAAGGCTGCCATAACCCTACCCCTTGTTGAACTCGCCAGATCCAAGCAAGACCCAATCAACCGTGGGCATGGTATTCAGTATTTTTACCACCTGAAGCAAGGCACGCTAGGGTGCTGCCAAGTATTACCCTTGCCAGCCGGGGCCAGGAAAAAAAGAGAAAAAAATCATGGATATATGAGATGCATGCCAACATCAGTAAGCGCAACAAGATCCCAGAAAAATGCGAGGAGACTCACTTGCACATATAGGCGCAGCTGCGTGTCTGAGGCGGTTGGCGTGGCAGCAACGAACTGAGAGCAGACCGGCCGCTCCAGCGCCGCCGGGTCCAAGGCCTTCCGTTGAGCGAGCAAGGCCTTCACCTCTTCATCAGCAATGAAGGGGCTATAGGGCAGCTTCGGCTGCAGGAAATCAGAGGCTTTGCCCGCCGCCCTGAGCTGCGTGAGTCCCAGGCAGGCGTCAGCAATGGCTGCCACGCAAGTGCGAAAGCAGCAAGGACACTGCACAGTGGGGCCCCCGGAGGCACGACTGTCCAGAGATTCCTGGGTCGCCGGGCCCACCTCAGCTGCATCTCTGCCAGTTTGAGCCGCGAGGCTGCCTGCTTCCATTTCTGGTGGCGATGACGACGCTGCTGCTTCCCTCTGAGTGTTCTCCTGGGGCGGCGGCGGCTGGCCGAGCTGCAAGTCTGAGTCACCGCTGAGCCCTGCCTCCGAACAGATGGGCTGCACGCCAAGCCTGTTGAGGTCATGTGTGGCGATGTCCATTCTGCGCCACTGTCTGACCGCCACTGGGAGGTTCCTCCAGATATTTTTGGGCAGGCCACTCAGTTGCCCGTACGGCACACAGCCGTTCCTGACGTGCACCTCCTCCAGGGCGCTAGTCCAGGCGACCATTGAGGTTGGGCTGGCGAGGCTGAGCTCATGCGTCTGCAACATGAGCGCTCCAGAGTAGTAAACCAGCGGCCTCTGTGGCGTTGCAGGAAAGCATCCCATGCTCACAGGATCGACTGTGAAGGCGGCACTGCACCCGCCACACCTGAATGCTGGGGGGCTGACCTCTGTCCTGCCGCTGATCGAGACATACACAAGCCTGCTGATCGTCTCCACCTGCTCCCACACTGATCCCACCCTCCCAGCCTGACTGCATGGACTGCAAGCGGGCAGGGCTGCTCTGGCAGCTGTCAAAAACTCTGCCTGCAGCTGCTGCTTCAGTGCTGCTTGGCGTGCAGGCTGACCAGCTTGGAAACATGTGTTCCTGAATACATTGTCATCAAAGCACGCATCCCATGCTTGGTGCAGCCGTCTATTATCCTCTTGAGCTGCCTGTTTCCGCAGACGCCGGCGTGAGGGCGGAGGCTGATAATAGGCAGCAGCGGCTTCTCCATCTCCATCTGCAAAGCCATCCTGCTGTTCTTCCTGCTGAGCTGTGTTTCTTGCAGGGATCCGCCAGGATGGAAGGGCGCTGGCCGGCCTCCGGGGTCCCCTCGGTGCAGATGTTGCCACAGTGCTGCCTAGGTTCCTCCCAAATCTGCGGCCTGGCTGCAGCAGAGCAGGAGTGTCGGCTGATGGTATCACCTTGACACTGACCCTCCACCTCTTGTTCCTGACCATTCGTCCTGCATGAAGTCATCACACAACGGTTTCTGCAAGTGATCCACCAGGACATTAAAGGAATGAGAAGTACATCAGCAGCATGCCTTCTAGTACAAGTGATACAACTATCCTTACAAGCACCTGGGCTACTTGCTACTCTTTGGGGTGCACAGTCCTCTCCAGATGCTCCTCATCAGATTGGCATTCCAAGCAAAGCCAGGTCAGGGCAGACACCCACGGCTACTCACAGCAGCAGAGGGATCGTAACGCTCACCAGAACAATTGAACTTGATGTTGGTTTAGATTGTAGACGACTTCAGTGTCTGTCCGGTGCATCAGTGCTCAATTCAGGTGAACGCTCTGTGTTGCCTGCACGCATTTCATTTCAAGGAATTGGCTTGGCAGGGCATGCAGTCACTACGAAAGAAGTAGACATGCACGTCGATGGTCGTGACATTCGATTAGCTGAGTCCAAACAAGTCAAGGATGGGGATGCCAAAAAACCGGCAAAAGTGCGAACCTCACATGGCCAGCGACAGAAGACTTCAAGAATTCGTTTAAATTACTCCCATAAACATTTGCGGCCGTCCCACCCCCCTTTCAAATCCTACTTTGCAACGGTAACCTGGCAAATGGCATTGCTGTCTTCGCAGAAACGAGTAGCGCACGATCCTATAGATACAGGCTTGACCGAAATAATTAGCTTGACGGAGGTACTATGCAATGCTGAGATTGTTGTAGGTAAATCTGAAGGATGTGCAGCATTGCTTTTGTTATTGCACGCCCCGAAGGGGCGTGCTCAGAAAGAGAGCCAAATCCACTAATGTAGTGGAGTGCATGTCCACCAAAGTAGTGGATTTTGCCCGACAGAGTAGGATGCATCTAGCTGCTTACGATGATTGGACCCTGCCCTATTTGCTCCTGCTTCATGTAAGATGTCCATCATAACAGTGCGATCGGTGGTGCAGCGAAGCCTCTGTGCATATTCATAATGATGTAACTAGCTTCCGGCACTGAGAACAGGGGCTCAAATGGGTCGGCACGAGGAAGAGGGCACTGAAGTAAGGAAGGAGAAGAAGGAAAAGAGCAAGCACAAACATAAAGATAAGGACAAGGAGAGAGAAAAATCCAGCAAGTACAAAGATAAGAACAATTCTGACGGAACTGTAGCAAAGGCGGAGCCTGAGCAGAATGGCGACACGTCAAATGGACTTCCCTTACCACCACGATCAGGAGAAAAGAGCAGGGAAAAGAGCGACAGGCAGCCCAGAGAAAAGAGCAGGGAGACAGAATCAGAGGTGGACAAGGAAAGCAGGCGAGACAGGGATAGCAGGAGAGAACGGGACGGGGACAAGGACAGGGAAAAGGACAGACACAGGCACAGGGACAGGGACAGAGATCGGGAAGAAGGCAGCAAGAAGGGTGAGAAGGAAGGCAGGAGGGACAGGGACGACGAAAGGGATAAGGAGGAGAGGCGAAGGCACGACAAGGATAGGGACAGGGATAGAAAGAAGGTTGACAGGAAGGAGGATGGCCATAGGAGCGAGCGCAGGGACAAGGAAGAGCACAGCAGAGGCGAAAAGGCTGCAGACGCTGACAAGGATGACAGGGGCAAAGCTGCAGCGAAGCCCTCTGTTGCAGCTGATCCTGAAGGGGATTTCATGGAGGAGGATCTGCCTGGGCCACCATCAGGACCAGTTCCAGTCCCAGAGGAGCCAGCAGCAGCGTCTTCTGTCCCAGAGGAGCCCTTCGTGCTGGACGTCAAGCCTCAGGTGCAGGAGTCCGGCGGAGAGATCTCCATGAGTATTGAAGAGACCAACAGGTCAGTCTGCCATCCCTGTGCCTCCTGCAACTTGGTTCATCGTTGTCAAAGCAATGCTTTCCTATGTCTGCACTCTGCGGCCTCAGCGGCCTCAGGATATGCCCTGCGAGCTTATGGAGAATTCTTTATTTTGGCAGAATGTTCTTGTATTGAATTTGTGCCTCCTGCACTTGATTGATCTTTGTCAAAGCAATGCTTTCCCAGCTCTGCACCCTGCGGCCTCCTGTGAACTTTCTGGGAGTTCCTGATCGACGTGAACCCTAGAAAAGTGTTGATTGTGAGAGGCTGTACCTGGTACTGAGCTTTGTGTGTGGAAACTGCAGGGTGCGGGTCTCTCTGGGGCTGAAGCCGCTGGTGATGGAGAGCGAAAGGGAGCAGCGGCAGAAGGAGGCGCTGGCCAGGGAGGCCAAGAGGGCCGAGGAGGAGAAGGAGGCCAAGGCTGCTGAGCTGGCTGAGCGCATCAAAGCGTATGCCCCTTACCTACTGCATTTTTTGTGTATCAGAGGCATCCTAAACTGCAGAGCATACAGTCCTTCGAGGAAGTCACATGCGAGAATGAGAAGTGTTCCTGATGAGTTTACTGCACACTACTATCGTCCTCTTGTACCCAGGATGCCTGTCTGTGGTTACCTGTTCTTCTGCAATTGTTCAGTCCTGCTGATTGGTGAAAGGCTATGTTTCCTTGGAGCACTTAGTTCGGCAGTTGAGTGCAGGCCTCCACTACTTTAGTGGATGTAAACGCTACTAATGTGGTGGATTATTGGCAATCAGGGGCCATGCCACCTGGTAACACATTCCATAGCATGCCATTTTGGTAATAAAAATTAGGCCTTTCGTCAGTAAGCATGGAGAATGATCAGTGATGTGTTTCTGTACCGAGCATGTCACTTATTATTGCTAGGATCCCGTGTTACAAGTGTGGCAGTGACAAGGAGAAGCTTCATCCGAACTGCGCAAGTTCAGAACGCTTGACTCGCTGTGTAGGTTGTGATTATATTATCAGATTCTATTCAGAAGGTCTGACAAAGGACGAATACGGCCACGACGCTGTTGCCGACTGGGTCTTCAAACAAGAGGCAAGGGTGCCATTGCAACGTTGCAATGCCGTGGACTCAGGGGTCAGATATTTCCATCAGAGCTGCCTTGGCCGAGATGAACCTTCAGCATTGTCCAGAGCTAATGGCTACTATTCTATTCGCGGGAAGATTGAGAGCGAAAAGTATCCAGAGCTCAGAAATATTACCCACAAATGCTGTGAGGACTGCGTCATTGCAGCCCAAACCAGGGGCAAGGATCTCAATGAGGATAAGTTGAATTTTATCATGCATCAAGGAGTGATTGGTAGGTCTCAATAAGCACTCCATCTTTGAAGGTTGGGAACACCTATGTTTTGAATCTCCCCATGACCTTGACACAGAGTAACTAACTCTGACTTTTGCGTTGCGTTCAGAGGCAGAGACCGGCGACTTGGAGAGGAAGAGAGCCGATAGGCGATCAAGCAAGATTCGAGGCATCATTGGTGGTCAGCAGGCTCGCCTCGAAGACAATGGGACGACTTCGACCGCCATCTTTGCAACGAGACACCTCAATCAGAAAGTCAGCTTCAGCAAGAGCGCCAGCAGATTGCTGGCAGCAGTGCCCAACCTGAACAGGACAGTGATGGCAGCCTCGTATCTCCAGGCCAGTGGACTTCAGGCAGGCCAGACAGCCCAAGGACAGGCGCAGAGGGGCGCCACAGCTGCAGCAGGCGGCATGCAGGGTCCCGCAGCCCCAGAGGCAGAAGCTGCAGGACCTTCGCAAGCGCCACAGCCAGGGATCAGCCGCAGGCAGCTCAGCGCTCAGGGAGCCGAGCAGGACATCGTCCAACGGTGGCTTGCGTTCAGCCTCAAGGCCTCATCCACCGTTGCAGAGCTGAAGCGGTTCCTGCTTGACAGAGGCCAGCGGCCAGTGATCTTCACCAGAAGCGCGCTGCTCGCCAGGGTGGAAGGGCTGCTTAGATTTGAGCATCCAGAAGGTAGCTATCCATGATGGCTGTAACGATCAGCGCCTACACATCTTATGCCTGGCAAATTAATAACATGTCCTCACCATTTCCTCTGGACATCTTATGCGCTGGCAGCTAATGGATGCTGTCATGCAGGTGGACTGGAGCCGAGTGCGGCGGCGGTTGAAGAGATCACAGCCGCTGTTGAGGCCGCAGCCCAACCGGCACGGCAAAGACCAGCAAGGCAGAAGGTGGGCATCTTGTTGAGGATCCTTATGTTTGCATGTGCTTTGTGAACGCCTCTCATCTGTCAAGCTGCTGGTGCAGTGAAAGCGAGTTTGGCTGAACACACTGATTGTAAGTTATTGTTGTTACAGGCGCCGAAGAAGTCACAGCTTCAGATGGAAGCGGCCAAGTCCATTGTTAACAAGGGTGAGTGGGCGCTCTCAGCTGGAAGCTCTGATCACCTGGTGACTGTTGCACACCCGAGAAGGCTTTAACTTCTGCAGATTTGATGGAAGGGAATGATAGCCAGTCAATTGAGGCGCTCACATGTTTGCAGGAGTGAGCAGCGGCCTGCCCGTGGTCAAACTCAAGCAGATTGACGAGTTGCTCTGGACCTTCGACAAGTGCCACTACCTGCCGCAGTTGGGGGAGAGCACTCCCTCGATTGGTGTCGCTCTCTGGGCCGTCACAAGCACGCTGCACCGCGACGGGGAGTTCCCAGCACGCAACTTGTCCCAGTTGGGTCGTGCTGCCAAGGCTCCTGTTGGTTTGGTGCGCGCTGTGCAGCCAGGCAGCGATGGCACCCAGCTGCATATGGAGATATGGTTCCTCGAGGCGCGCGTGCAGACAGATAGCCAGGGGGAGCCCGAGGCAGCGGTGGCAGGGGAAGGCGGTGGGGCACGCGCAGATGTGGAGGGACGGGGTGCAGGAGAGGCAGCCACCGGTGGGGGCGTGCAGGAAGGGCATGGGCGGGGTCGGGGCAGGAAGCGTGGCCGCCGCGGCACAGGCGGGGCGCGTGGCAGCAATCGGCCCAGAAGGGGCAGCCGAGGCAGGCTCAGGCGCCCAACCGCCAGAGCCGCAGAGTTTTGGGGTCCCCCCACTGAGGGCGACGAAGACGAGGTTGGGAACCTCTTCTCTGAGTCAGATGCGGATGACCAGCCAGCGCAGCAGCACAGTGACCCAGCAGAGCCAGAAGGGCAGGCAGAGGGTGTCCTGCCTGAGGCCAGCGAAGTGCCGCCGCAGCCCACAGCTTGTGCGAGCCAGTCGCCGTTGCACGGCTGCTTGCTGGCAGATGAGTCGCCGCAGCCTGTGCCAGTCCCCAACGTGCGGCTGAGCATGCAGGGGCATGCCGCATCGCCGGCCAAAATGGCTGTGCTGGTGATCGACTACCGGCACATTGCAGCGGCCCTCTGTCATCCAAAACGGCTGAAGGTGGCTCTCGGAGGCGCTGCCGGGAGCTCGCCCATGAACGTCGAAGAGGCTGCAACTGGTGTGGCGCTGGCAATGTTGCTGGCTGAGGAGCAGAATGCGGCGCGCGCCGGAGAAGGTGAGGAGCCATCATGGCTCTCTTTGTCCTGGCTTATATGATTCCACTCACAGTGAGTTTCTAAGTTATAATGCCATGCGAATCATACCCCGAAGGTTTATCGACAGGTAATTGTCAGCAATAAGCTGACGACAGGCATGTGTTGTCTAGGTGGGAGTGCTACGGCAGCGGAGCAGTCGCAGTCAGCCTTGGAGCAGTCACCGCTGTCTGGCGCCATGGTCTTCTTTGATCCTGCTCTGGAGCTCGCTGCCGATGAGGAGCCAGCTTCCTCCTACCGCTCTGCAGATGGCCCAGCAGGCATGTACAAAATCCTGCTCTGTCATTCCTGTGAACTTGTCAACTGACTGCTCTCATACGCTGGTGTAGTTGATTTGTTCATGTCTTGTCTCTCAATGCTGAAGTGTCTGCTTGCCCCTTTGCCTGAGCCATGCCTGTCTTTCACGCACCCTGCTCCACATGCTGTGCTTGCCCCTTTGCCTGAGTCATGCCTGTCACTCACGCACCCTGCTACATATGATGTGGTAGAGTGCCGCACCTAAGGGTCATCTGGGTAATACTAACAACAGGAATAAATTTGAGCTTGACATCCTAGCAAGACACTAGGGAAGATATTGCTTGAATGCGGTAATAATCGCGGATTGTAAGCAGCTGTGTGTTGGTGCGCGCAGGTCGACCGTCCCTGGAAGTTTCCTCCCCTGGGATCAACATGGAAGCTGCAATGGGTGTCATCGCAGGGCTGGCATGTCAGCTGAACCCCTCGCCGCAAGCCAGAGGCCATTCGAGCGCGCACAGTGACGTGCAGATTCTGCCAGATGACACAGTCTATGTCCTAACAGATGACAGGAGGATAGTGGGGACGGCAGAGGTGGTGCATATTGGGCCTGGCACACGGTTCCACGGTGCTGAGCTTGAGGGGTTTGGTGTTATTTGCGGGCTCACCATCACAGACGCAACTGGGGCTGGACACCAGAAGGCATGGTTGAGCGACACAGATGAAGTCAGAGCAGGCAGAACACCCTTGGAAGCAATTGGGGGCAATCAGATGGTGGCAGTTCCCGAGAGGTGCCTTCGCTTTCTGAGGCGCCCACCGGCGGCTGGAGAGTGACTTGCAATGTGATCTTTGCACTTTCAAGCTAAGTCAGTTTCAAGCTTAGTCAGAATTGGCGTGTGAGCATGACGCAAATGTAGCATCAATTTTTTTTATGTCCTAAATTTGATATTGCAATGAGGACTGTAGTAGGTTGTGACCAAGTCTGCCTCACTACAAGGCGTTGCACATCCATGCGCTCTACGCAACTAATATTAGTCACTCACTTGTCCCTCTCTGCACATGTGCGCAACAATCATGACGGTAACCAGATATCATGCATGTAACAATCTGTAAGGTAATTCTGCTCCCGGTTGCCTCACATGCTCAACCTTCGAATCTGAAGTGGCCAGTGGGATGGAGCACTTCTGCTTGAAGACAGAGCACTGCTGCTGACCGCCACAAGGTAGTGGCGGTGGAGGGCAAGAAAATAAATCCCCTGAGCCTATCTTATAATATTATTAACCCCATCTGTCATTGAGCAGCCTGGCTCGTTCTTGCTGTTTCTCTACGATGTCGGTGTCGAAATCCACTCACATAGAATGTTGAACGTGGAAGAATTGCTACAAGATTCTTCTCAGCATCATCGCACTTCTTGGTCGCTGCATAAAGACACACGGCATGTCACATCAGATGGCGCAAAGGTGATGCCCTTATCTTGCCGGCACCCACGCTATGGTACACGCACGCGATGTGTATCAATCAAATGTGCCACAAGCGACAGAATTGGGGTGTCAATTTGCTGCACAGCGTGGGTGCCCCTCCTTGATGGGCACATCTCTTTACATCGAGCAGCCATCTGAGATCGCCAGGGTTGAGGACGTGCTGTCCGTGCAGCACGCACTCAGCGTCAATATTTAGACTCTTTCAATATTGATTATTGATGGTATTCTTGTGAAAGAGTCTCTTGACCGGCCCTGTAGGTATCGCACGCTATGAAGAGGCTTTTGCAGTCCAGGGTTGGGGCAGCACACCTCTGAACATAGGACCTGCCACCTTTGTAATCTTGCTCAAACGAAACCCTGAAATGCCTTCTCGAAGAGTGTGGTTTTCGAAATTCCTTCAAGCACCACGGCTGTGTGTGCAGGAAACCTAGTAATCTTCAACCACTGAACTTCCTTGAAGGCGGGAGCCATGCATGCACACACCGCCCTCATTCACTGGGCACTGGTCATGTACAGGTGAGATCTCAGGAAAGCAAGAGTATGATCCAAGTGTAGAAGTGCTGTAGAAATCGGGTTGAAGCCGCGGGCCAAAGCCTTGGAGCCTTAAGCATCATGCTGATGATCATAATGATGCCATCGGGTCAGTACTAGTATAAATGGCGTAAGGCTACCCATTAAGAGATTCCAGTGGGACCACCGTCGAACATTATAACCTGAGAGAAATTTCTTTAAAGCATCAAGCATCTCGAGATGTGCTCATGAGCAACGCATGTCTTGTGCTGCAGGTGCAACCCATGGCATGGTATTCAGTATTTTTACCACCTGAAGCAAGGCACGCTAGGGTGCTGCCAAGTATTACCCTTGCCAGCCGGGGCCAGGAAAAAAAGAGAAAAAAATCATGGATATATGAGATGCATGCCAACATCAGTAAGCGCAACAAGATCCCAGAAAAATGCGAGGAGACTCACTTGCACATATAGGCGCAGCTGCGTGTCTGAGGCGGTTGGCGTGGCAGCAACGAACTGAGAGCAGACCGGCCGCTCCAGCGCCGCCGGGTCCAAGGCCTTCCGTTGAGCGAGCAAGGCCTTCACCTCTTCATCAGCAATGAAGGGGCTATAGGGCAGCTTCGGCTGCAGGAAATCAGAGGCTTTGCCCGCCGCCCTGAGCTGCGTGAGTCCCAGGCAGGCGTCAGCAATGGCTGCCACGCAAGTGCGAAAGCAGCAAGGACACTGCACAGTGGGGCCCCCGGAGGCACGACTGTCCAGAGATTCCTGGGTCGCCGGGCCCACCTCAGCTGCATCTCTGCCAGTTTGAGCCGCGAGGCTGCCTGCTTCCATTTCTGGTGGCGATGACGACGCTGCTGCTTCCCTCTGAGTGTTCTCCTGGGGCGGCGGCGGCTGGCCGAGCTGCAAGTCTGAGTCACCGCTGAGCCCTGCCTCCGAACAGATGGGCTGCACGCCAAGCCTGTTGAGGTCATGTGTGGCGATGTCCATTCTGCGCCACTGTCTGACCGCCACTGGGAGGTTCCTCCAGATATTTTTGGGCAGGCCACTCAGTTGCCCGTACGGCACACAGCCGTTCCTGACGTGCACCTCCTCCAGGGCGCTAGTCCAGGCGACCATTGAGGTTGGGCTGGCGAGGCTGAGCTCATGCGTCTGCAACATGAGCGCTCCAGAGTAGTAAACCAGCGGCCTCTGTGGCGTTGCAGGAAAGCATCCCATGCTCACAGGATCGACTGTGAAGGCGGCACTGCACCCGCCACACCTGAATGCTGGGGGGCTGACCTCTGTCCTGCCGCTGATCGAGACATACACAAGCCTGCTGATCGTCTCCACCTGCTCCCACACTGATCCCACCCTCCCAGCCTGACTGCATGGACTGCAAGCGGGCAGGGCTGCTCTGGCAGCTGTCAAAAACTCTGCCTGCAGCTGCTGCTTCAGTGCTGCTTGGCGTGCAGGCTGACCAGCTTGGAAACATGTGTTCCTGAATACATTGTCATCAAAGCACGCATCCCATGCTTGGTGCAGCCGTCTATTATCCTCTTGAGCTGCCTGTTTCCGCAGACGCCGGCGTGAGGGCGGAGGCTGATAATAGGCAGCAGCGGCTTCTCCATCTCCATCTGCAAAGCCATCCTGCTGTTCTTCCTGCTGAGCTGTGTTTCTTGCAGGGATCCGCCAGGATGGAAGGGCGCTGGCCGGCCTCCGGGGTCCCCTCGGTGCAGATGTTGCCACAGTGCTGCCTAGGTTCCTCCCAAATCTGCGGCCTGGCTGCAGCAGAGCAGGAGTGTCGGCTGATGGTATCACCTTGACACTGACCCTCCACCTCTTGTTCCTGACCATTCGTCCTGCATGAAGTCATCACACAACGGTTTCTGCAAGTGATCCACCAGGACATTAAAGGAATGAGAAGTACATCAGCAGCATGCCTTCTAGTACAAGTGATACAACTATCCTTACAAGCACCTGGGCTACTTGCTACTCTTTGGGGTGCACAGTCCTCTCCAGATGCTCCTCATCAGATTGGCATTCCAAGCAAAGCCAGGTCAGGGCAGACACCCACGGCTACTCACAGCAGCAGAGGGATCGTAACGCTCACCAGAACAATTGAACTTGATGTTGGTTTAGATTGTAGACGACTTCAGTGTCTGTCCGGTGCATCAGTGCTCAATTCAGGTGAACGCTCTGTGTTGCCTGCACGCATTTCATTTCAAGGAATTGGCTTGGCAGGGCATGCAGTCACTACGAAAGAAGTAGACATGCACGTCGATGGTCGTGACATTCGATTAGCTGAGTCCAAACAAGTCAAGGATGGGGATGCCAAAAAACCGGCAAAAGTGCGAACCTCACATGGCCAGCGACAGAAGACTTCAAGAATTCGTTTAAATTACTCCCATAAACATTTGCGGCCGTCCCACCCCCCTTTCAAATCCTACTTTGCAACGGTAACCTGGCAAATGGCATTGCTGTCTTCGCAGAAACGAGTAGCGCACGATCCTATAGATACAGGCTTGACCGAAATAATTAGCTTGACGGAGGTACTATGCAATGCTGAGATTGTTGTAGGTAAATCTGAAGGATGTGCAGCATTGCTTTTGTTATTGCACGCCCCGAAGGGGCGTAAATCAGAAAGAGAGCCAAATCCACTAATGTAGTGGAGTGCATGTCCACTAAAGTAGTGGATTTTGCCCGACAGAGTAGGATGGGACAGGATCTGTGTGAGATATCAAGAGCATCAGCGTATTTTCGGGGTGATCGGCGTTGCCGTTAAGCAGTGTCTTCTTCCACAATGCAAGCTTTTCTTCTCGTGGAGGCTGGGTGAAACCGACTCAATGTCTGTCTCGTTACGCAGTTACGATGAATTGGCTCTGTCTTGATTACAGATGCAACACGGCCCGTGCACCAACCTTCCAAACTTCTCCAAGATTCTGCATGGAAGGCAGTGGTGCAGCTGAGTTGTGAAGGTGCGCTGGTATTCTCCACTGCTGCCCCTGTACAAGGGCATTTCTGTATATTCTTAGGGAGCCTCAACAGTTAGACAAGACGCAGAGAACTACCTGCATCAAAAAAGCCTGCCTAGCATCTGGCAGCCAGCCTGAGCACACAGCATTGAGGACTTGATATATTCGGAGCGCCCACCACCTGCACATGATCCACCACCTTGAAAACTCTCTTGGAAGAGAAGTGCCTGGACCGGGTTTGTGCTCCTTCAAGCAACAGGGATTGAGTAAGAAATATGATAAAATATCTATATGGCCTTTCGGCTCAGGAAAAAATGCAAGGCATGCACCAAAAGAGTAATTCTGGCCTGAACAAGCACAGGATATGATGAACATCATGGCCCAATATGTCCTTCTGTGCTGCAGGAAGGATCTACCTGAGCAGTTGAACAATTTAGGTGGCGTGTATGGATTTCAACAGTGCTCCCCTATCGCAAGGACAACACTTTACTGCGAGCGGACCAGGACAGCCAACACCTTCAGGCTATCAGAGCATCAACGGTCCTGTCATCAAGCGCGAAGGACAGGCTGAACCTGTAAATGGACTACAGAGCATTCAAGAATACTCTGCAACCAGTTCAGAATGGATGCCAACAATGAACCCTTCCTCCTTGCAAGGAGCCTTGCATCAGGTTGCACCACCAAGCACCCCAGGTACTTGATCATCCTGCCATACAGTCTTGACCCCTTCTCGCGCATTTCGTGATGACCAGCTGGTCTCTTTTTCCCGTGCCGTGATGAATTCATCTGGCTTTTACTCTTTGTGACGTTTACTTTGTATGAGGCCAGGGCCGGCAATGATGGCGTATCTGCCATCCCAAGAGGCTGCATTTGCAGCCAGTCATCCACCAGCTGTTGACAATGGAAAGCATGGCACCACAGTCGGTGTCAAACGTGAGCGTGGCGAGGCTGGTGGAATGCCAAGGTGGGTCTGATCAGCCCCTGCAAACTCAGTGTGTGTATTTTATGTCCTGCACCTCTCTTGTCTCAAATTCAGTGTAGCCTCACAGCAGGACAAATTCTAAAAGCCACCTATGTGTCAGTGAGAATGAATAGTATACCTTCCACTACACTTCCAAATAAACCACAAGCGCCCTGGGCTGATCAGAATCAGTCATATTGGCTTGGTGGCTCAGCATTATTGCCACTGATTCTGCAGGGATGCTTGGAGCCAGTCCTCGCCACAGCCAGGATATGGCGGTGCAGCAGTGGCATACCAGTCCCCTCAGCCTCCTGATGCCGGTGCGATTCCTCCCCTCCTCAGAGGACTCTCCTACAGACACCTCCTGCTCTCTTTCATTGCAAGTTGTACTCGTGTCATTGACAGCATCGAAGACAACTAGCTTCTTCTCTGTCATGCGCTTGGTGATGCAACATAGTGCACAGATTGGGGATGAGCTGAAAGTCTGTGCAGGCATGGGCAACGGAGCCCAGTGGCAGGCATACAATGCGCAGTGGGCTGCGTACGCGTGGCAGTCAGAGGCCGGCATGTATGGGGCGTACGCGGCCCCCCAAGCACCCCCCATGATGCCGGCCCTCCCTCAGCAGCTGCCTGGGGATCAGGCTTCGGCCTTTGCTCCCTCCACTCCCCACCCACAGGTGCCTTGCCTTTATCTTTCTCCTGAGATCAAACTAAAAATTGTACTGTACTGTGCGCCACAGACAATGTGACAAGGTCTGGCATAGAGAGGAAAATTACAGCCTGGATGGACGGTCTGTCTCGAGGCGCAGTCTGACCTGTCTTGGCGGACGATGAGAGCGAGAGCACTGGGTTGATGGGATTCTGGTGGGCGCTGCAGGTGATGCCATATGCTGTGGTCAACCCCTACAGCCCACAGTACTATGGCGGGGCGCCAATGGCATACACCTGGCCCATCGGCTACTCTCCGGCCCCGGTAAAACACGCTCACCACCAGTGTCAGTTAAACCTTTTGATGATCTCTCCCTGAGCCGACTTGAAAAGACAGAACAAGACTCACAGCTTCCACCTGAATACTGTTACTTAATGCCTTCCTGGTTTGTTTCGCCGAGTAATTAATGAATTGATGCAGCTATACCACTGCAAAGGCAACTTAATTTCCATCATTCATCATTTCTGATGACAGGGAAGCAGCGCTGCATATACAGCGTCCCGCTTGACATCATACTGCTGGACATGTGTGCAGGGTCCGTACGCGCCGTATCCGCAGGCGATGCCCCCTCCCGGGCCCCCTCAAGGGCATGCTGCTGGCCACTGGCAGACCCATGACCCCCGCATGCTGCGTCCCTACGAGCACTCTCACAGTGCAGGTGCTGCACTCATGCCGACATGCAGTTATTAATATTCCTTGATCATGCCATGTCTTGCATCTCTGCTGTCTCACTTCCCTTACCGCGTGTAGGAACTTGTTGGCAGGTAGCATCACTACCGTGTGCCGAGATGCATTCACTGACTTCCTTGACGGAAGCCATGTCACGCATTCATATCTCCCTTTCCTACAGCTAGCAGGAGCCAGGGGCAGTCGACAATGGCAGTGCCTGATGACAGTCTCATATTACATTAGGTATCAAATGAATATATCTGATGACTGTGCACAGGCAGGAGACCCTGGATGGGGTCGCCTCCAGGCAGGCCGGTGAAGCGCGCGCGCACCAACTTTGCAGGGCCGGTGCCGGAGTGCGTGCACATCAACAAGCGCATCACCGCCGCTCAGTCTGCAGAGGTTCGACTCTATATGACACATACATGGGCAGCATACTTGAGCATTTTACAATGTGACCTTTTCTTCACTGACAGCCTGCGTCTAGCCATTTCTGTGAGCAGACTGTCTTTTTGCTGGTGATGGGAAAGAATGGCTCTGCTGAGCTCGGTTGTAAGGTTGTGCTAATATGGACCAAGGACTCTCTGGAACCTTACCTCAATGAGGCAGTCCTCAGCACTCGACCGGAATGTGTTCATGCATTATAATATTCTTATTACACGCCTTTCCAATCCATGAGGATCAGGTGCGTCGCAGCAGCGTTCTATGACAGCCTCCCAACCTTCTCTATCATGCATTATATCAGGCAATTACTAAGGCTCTGTGCTGCCACGCAGGCTGTGATTGGCGTGGTGCAGCAGGAGCTGGACAAGTTTGACGCTGTGTGCATGGCCACTGCGCTGCACACGCTGGCCTCCATGCGTGCCAGCGCGCAGCAGTACGCCGCCCTCTTCGAGCGCCCTGAAGTCCTGCGCCTGATGCATGTCATCGGTGAGCGCTGTCAATCAATCTCTCAATCCTTCAGAGCAGCAGACGCTCCTGATTTGTCTTGTCAAGTATGTCAGTGTTGCTCAATTGCATTATCCAAGAATGGGTACTCATTGTTGCATGCTATGGTTGGCAAGGGCCCCAGATTATCATGCCATCCAATACCATCCTTCGAATGAGGATGGAATGTATTGTGTTACTGTGGAATTACTAAGGCATTCCTCGCTTCGGCAGGCACGAGGCTGACCGATTTCACGGCGCGCAACCTGTCCAACAGCCTGTGGGCGCTGGCCAAGATGGGGCACAACCCGGGCGAGGCCATGCTCAACGCCATGGCCGCAGAGGTCGCCAAGAAGCTGGACGGCTGCAACGCGCAGAACTTGGTGAGAATTGCCTCCCATTATGTCTGTCAAGAAATTCTGCTGGATGGGATTCTTGCTATCAATGGGCAATTGTGCAATTCCCTGGGCAATTGTGCAATTCCCTGGGAATGATTGTATGTCCAACCGGTAGCCTGAGGCTGGGAGCATTTGAGATGTACGCATTACCCTCATTACAAAAACTATCATTTCAGTGGAGTTTCGGGACATGCATGTCCACCCTAGTGGCTGAGTACGTCGGAAGAGAAATGCCTGGCCTCCTCTGAAAAAGCCATCCCATTAATCAGTCACTGCTTACATGCATGTCCAGCTAGGTGGCTGAGAGCATTGGAGAGGACTGCCTAACCCCCTTTTTAAAGACCATCCTGTTCAATGAATACTTCGTGACATTGCGCATGCACGCAGGCCAACATTGCCTGGTCGTACGCGACGCTGAGCCACACTCCAGGGGAGGAGCTGCTGGAGGCGATTGCAGTCAAAGCCCAGAAGAAGCTGGCCGAGTTCTCCTCCCAGAACATCTCCAATCTGCTCTACGCCTTCGCCAAGCTGGAGCACAAGCCCAGCACCTTCCTGGAGCAGGCCTCCCGCGCTGCCATGCCCATCCTCGGAAGCTTCACTCCCCAGGTACATCCCGTTTAAATACGCCCCATCCTGGCATGTGGAGATTTGGTGTCCACAAGTTCTCCTCTTTTTGCAGCTTGTCTGCAAACGCATCTTTCTCTGGCAGGAACACCCCTGTAATGATGTTCATGAAAGCATTTTGGGTATATTAATGACAATATATGAATATACCTCATTTGTGGGAGGTGCAAGCGCAGAGTGTGGGCTGTGCAAGGTAATAACTGTTTATATTGCTGTGGCAGGCTCTGTCAAACACTGTATGGGCCCTGTCCAAGCTGGACACGCTGGACGAGGAGCTGTTCATTGCCATCGTGCAGCAGGTCCTCGGCAAATTGACCAGGTTCAATGCGCAGAATGTGGCCAACACGGTGGGTCCAGCAGCCTGCTGCTCCTCGCTTACAATCCACAATGATCTGCTTCAATTTTGCTAATTTGAGCAAAAAGTGTGCTGTGCTCTCTCAAAAAAGAGCATGTGTGCAGGTGTGGGGATTTGCAAACCTTGCATTTGACCCTGGCCAGCCGCTGTGGGATGCTGTTGCACAGAATGGCATCTACACCATGCATGAGTACAGCCCACAGAACATCGCCAACGGTGAAGCTCCCTTTGATGCATGACACCCATTCAGGCTGACCGCGATTTGCTTTGGACATGCATGCACTAGACATCATACTGCTTGGACCTGGACTGTTCCTAATTTGTTTAATCTGCTGCAGTCCTGTGGAGCTATGCCAAGATGGGCAAGCGCTATGAAGCCCTGCTCACAGCCGCATCGGCCCATGCAGCTCACACCATGTCAACCTTTCAGCCCCAGTCTGTGGTGCGCCCTCTGTCCTTGCTTGTTGAGCGATCTCTGTCTTGATCATCACTTTGGTTTCTGAGTATGAATTGCTGCAGAGCTTACTGTTCTGGTGCACATTCCTGGAAAGAATCTGTGCGGTCCAGGCAAACTTCTGCTGGGCGTATGCAACGCTGAATGTGGCTCCCTCAAGCCAATGCCTGACGGCCCTGGCAGAGCATGCAAATCACACCCTCATGCAGTTCTCCCCGCAGAACATCTCCAACACTGCCTGGGCCTTGGCAACGCTCCAGTTCAAGCACATGGTGAGCCAATCTTCTGGCAATCTCTACTGACCACCACAAGTATTTGTTTGCCGATGGCCTTTCTTCACTCTGCAAGACAGCCCTCCTCCCTTGCTTGGCACCCGCACTGCCTTGCATGCCTCGCATGCTCTTCGTTTACATGTGTGATGTCTGGCTGTGAGTGGTGGATTGCCATGCTGTGCTGCAGGGGCTCATGGGCAATGTGGCAAGTGAGGTCACTGCCAGGCTGTCCGGCGCTGAGGCATCCGCCTTCAGCCGGCAGCATCTGGCCAACCTGATATGGGCCTTTGCCACGCTGGAGGTATATCCACCTTGCCATGCATGTTGCATCTTTGTTATTTAGATGCCTGGCAATGCGGTCTGCATGGATGCCTCGCAATGCGGTCTGCATGCAACCTGTTGAGCAGGTCACGGCTTGTCACATCTGAAGCCCGCAACATGCAGCACAAATGGCAGCTGACTCACCGCAGCAGCTTGGTAGAATGATCACATGGATGATCAGAAGGTCTTAAGAGCATATAGGGGCCTGCAGCTAGTCTGCAGACGCACCTTGCCGCTGGCAGAAATAGCATATAATAAGAATAAGAATAATGACAAGAATAAGAGCAATGATAACACAGGGAGGTCACTGTTGAATTTGTGCCTGCAGCTGGACCCTGGAGCGGCCATGTCGCGGGTGGTGGCGAATGCCATGGCAGAGAGGGCGTCAAACTGCAACCCGCAGGAGATCAGCAACACAGTCTGGGCCTATGCCAAACTCCGTGAGCTCCCCAATGGCATGCATGTATTCACGTGCCCTTTCATGATCTGCCAATAATATAATACAGACCTTTCCTCAGTGTTTTAAGCAAAATTGAGTTTCATGACGCAATGCATGACTGCATGCAGGCTTCTATGACGCTGCCGTCCTGGATACCTTTGCAAATGAAGCCACGCGTCGCATTGAGGAGTTCAGCCAACAGAACCTGGTATGGCCATGCATCTGTTATCATTTACACTTGCATCTCTGTTGTGTCTTTGACTTGAGTTGCTTATTGTTGAGCAGATGCCTTGCACTAAGCCTTCTGAGACTGAGTGGTATTGCTGCTGCGCAGGCCAACCTTGCATGGGCGATGGGAAAGCTGTCCCACTTCCATGAAGGACTCCTGGATGCAATTGCTGAGCATGCAACTGCAATGGTCCAGGTGCGCTGCTCAGTCAAACGTTCTATTTTTAGGCCCGTCATTGCACCGCAAGGATCTGAATATTCTGCCCAACGGAAAGCTGCAGGTATTCAGGGTTCCCTGCAATGTGTGCAGGATCTTTCCCTGCAGCACGTGAGCAACATCCTGTGGACGTATGCGTCCTTCCTGCACCTGAAACCGGCCATGACTTCAGCGTTTGTGGGCGAGATCGAGCGCCGCCTAAATACAGAAGCCTTCAACCCCCAGCAGCTGTCCAACCTCCTTTGGAGCCTGTGCATTGCTGAGGTGGGCATCCGCTCATCCGACAATTTCCAAATGTCCACACTGATTATGCCTGAGATTAAATCATGCGCGAGAAGACATGCTGCATGTTCACCATGCCAGCTGACCTTTCGGGCGGGTTTCTGATGCAGCTGTGCTCGGAGGAGATCTGGAAGGGCATCATGGCCCAGATTGAGACTCTCGGCATTGCTGCAAAGGACCTGCCCGAGGAGGCCCTGACTCAGATCTACCAGGTGCGCCCCTGGAGAGGAATTCACAGGCATATTGCACTGCTTGTTTAGCATTGACGGGCAACTTCTCTTTGATGGCATCAAACTGTTTATAGTGGCTACATCTCTTGCACCTAAACTTGTCACGCAAAACCTGCCACACACTTTTCCTGATACTGGCACGGTCCAGTGAAGCTCTGAGCCCACGGTTCAGGGCGTCCTCTCAGTGCAACTGTGGGCAACCTTGGCTGACAACCACATTACTGCGCACCGCAGGCGTACCTGCTGATGCGCGTGGACCGGCCGCAGCTGCAGCTGACCATGCCGGCTCAGCTGCTGCCGGCGGCGCACCACACGTGGCTGGAGAGCTGCAAGAACGTGCGCATCTCCGCGCTGCACCGGGACGTGGCGCGCGTGCTGACGGAGCACGGCATCCCCCACAACATCGAGCATGTGACCGAGGACGAGCTCTTCTCCGTCGACATCGCACTGCCGGGTGAGTCATCTTCCTCTGCGCGCATCCGCAGTTTTGCCAGGCTCGCCTTTGCAACGAACTGCATCATTGCATACTTTACCGGTATCAGTGCATGTGCCAGGGCCTTCATTGATATTTGTTTCCCCGGGGTGGGTGCTTCTGCACACAACAACACAACCGCAAGAATTGCCAGTCGCAAGTTTCATCATTGCGTACTCTGTTGTGGTCAGTGCATGCATGTCAGAGACAGCTCAATGACTGGGCACCTGGTGTGTCCAGAGAGTTGAGTGGTCCTTGAGAGCTTCGGCATGAGATAAATCAGGGACATTCTCCTGGTCTCAGGGAATAAGTCCATCTATTTTAAGTTCTGATGTGGTCGTGCGTGATCTAATCTGGTCTCAGAGAATGATTCGTCAATTTCAACTGTTGACGTGGTCAAGTGTCATCACATGTGGTGTGTTGCTGTGCAGAGGAGAAGATTGCGATCGAGGTGGACGGGCCTCATCATTTCACGGTAAGTTGCACAACCAGCTCCAATTAGTCTAGCTCCTTCAAATATAATCGAGCTTGCAGCAAAGCAGCTCGCTTGCAGCAGCACAAGCACGGTCTTGCTGTGATGTGCAACTTTGGTGCAAGGATTTCTCTCTGTCTGTTCTTACAGCATCAAGCTCAACTGTATATATGTATTACAGCGGAATCTTTGAGGTCAACAGCTCTAATGAGCAGAGGATGTGCAAAGTTTTTGTACAATTGTCCGTGTTGTACAGATGCCCTGTATTGATGATTTCAATCTTCTGCCATCAGGCCAACACCCTGGCGGTGACTGGGGAGATGCTGGCGCGCCAGAAGCTGCTCAAGGCGCGCGGCTGGGCCGTCATCTCCGTTCCATTCTTCCGCTGGTCCGGCCTCTCCGACACCCAGCGCACCGACTGGTTCTTCCCGGTGCCACTATTTCTCCACATATCACCCTTGCATGAATACAGAACAATCACGTAGCGCATGTTTTTGTCGCGAGGTGGCTTGACCCTTCAGGGGCGCACCCATGTTGGCTGCTGTGATTCTGCACAGCGCTTCATCAGCCCGTGTTCAATCCTGTTCTAACCGTATGATTGCAGCTGGTTGAGACCTGAGGTCAATTGACATGCACTTGAATGACAAATATACTGAGTATCATGCTGATGCAGAGGCAAACATGTCATCACAAGGCCGATGTGCAACATGTGGAGAAAACTAACGCATGTCCTGATGGCGGATGGCGCATGGCATGCAGGAGATCGCGCAGGCGCGCGCAGCGCAGGCGCAGCGGCACATGTGGCTGGGGCCCCCTCCGCCCGTCCCTCCGCCGCGGCCGCCACCGCCGCGCCCCCCACCAGGCAACCCAGCTGTCCGCACCGCTGCGTTGCCTCCGGCCGCTTATGCGTCCCCACCGCCTCCGGGCCCGGCATGGCCGCCTGCAGCCTACCAGCTTGGCAGTCCCCCTGCTCCAGCTGCCGTCATCAAGACTGAGGCTGCGCATGGTACTCCTGGGGGACTGGCAGATGCACAGCATGCCCTGGCGCCTGCCTCGGTGTCGCACTACGCTGCACCAGCCAGCAAGCCAGTCACTGAGGCAGTCAAGACTGAGTTGCCGGCAGCGGCAGTCCAGGAGGAAGCCATGCCAGTGCCAGGAGATGGGGGCAAGGCGCTGTCCAGCCAGCAAGCCCACAGCTCTGTGGAGCCATCATCTCCGGTGCAGCCGTCAAGCAGTCCGCCTGAGCATGCAGTGACGACCCTGCAGTCAGCAGCAGAGCCAGCAGAAGGTGAGGCTGCGCAGCAGAGCCTTCCAGTTGGTGACAGTGAGCACCCGCAGTGATGAGGAATTGCAGCGTCTGCCTGTAGCAGGCATGAGAGCAGCATCCCTTTTGAGGACACAGAAGCATCTGCATGCAGGACCTTGCCTCATACCGCATGACGGAGGTCTGCAGCTGTCAATACAGCTACGTAGTAGGCACCTTTGCAGGGCTCTGGAAGCCGCTGTTGGATGCGCTAGCATATTCACAAAATAATATGGCCCAGGTGGTGTTGGTACTGCTCTGGGACAAGAGCGATAGATATTTCTTGCCGTTGTGTTCGGTTCAAGGATTTCTCTCTGTCTGTTCTTACAGCACCAAGCGCATCTGCCTAGGTAGTACAGCTAAACCAAGAGCTCAACAGCTCTGACGAGCAAAGGATGTGCACATGCCCCTAAGCATGCATGACCATATTGGGAAGTGGGTACAATGGTCAATGTTGTACAGATGCCCTGGGTTGATGATTTCTCAATCTCCTGTCATCAGGTTTTTCCGGTTGCTGGTCATGTCACATCAATATGTGCACCACGACTGTCTGCATGGACATCACGGCCATGATGGCTGCTGTAAATTGAAATAGACTTTACCAAATGGCAACGGCTGCATTTCTGGGACCCTTATGCATCCCTGCAAGCATAGCGCCATTGCTGTGGTCGATAGATAATCCCACATTGTTGACCTCAAGACTTACTGCACGAGAAAAATCACATGAATTCCTTCACAGTTGGCATGGCGGTTCCACTGTTTTGGCAACACATTGCTGCTGGCACCATTATCCAGACCTTAGTTTGGAGATGAGAAGACTTGACAAAGCAGGATGCCACACTGTAATAGTCTTATGGAAGGTCTTGCAGTGACGTCTTGAGTCTGAAGAGGCAAACTTGCAGAGGCCTGCATGCCATGGATCTCCAGCTGGCAAGGTTGCCTGATTTGCCCTCTGCCAATTTGAATGCCACTTGTCGGCTTGGTGCCTGAAGCTTTATAAAAGGACTTCTGCGCAGCAAAAGCGATCCTTTTCTCTTCAGTCTTGTAGGTAGTGAAGGTGTCTATGCCAGAGCTGTGATCTTTGACTTTGAAGGACGTTGATGATGAGGGGATGGGCTGTCGCACTCGCCTTGGCGCTGGCTGTCTTGACCGCCGGCAGCGCAGCAGCCGCACCACCAGGACTGCAGGGCTTCATCCGCGTCTCCAATGGCACCTTCGTGGACGACGGGTGCCAGGAATACCTGCCTTTCGGCTGGAACAGGCAAGTCCAGGTCAAAGCTCCCTGCTGTGCACTTTGCCGCTTTCCCACCTTTTTCGGCCCAGGTGCACCTGCTTCAGTCTAAGTTGAGCTCTCCAGGGATTTTTTTTTGTTAGATGCTCTTTATGTGGCATGCAGCTGGGTGTCTTTGAATTCGGTTGCAGCAGACGCTGCCTACTCACTGCCTGACGGCAGCGCAGCCCTTGCCGACAATGTGCAGAACGACGTCGTCAGCCTGTTCCAGGAAGCACAAACCAGCGGCTTCAATGCCGTCAGGCTCTTTGCTCATGGCGGAGACGTGAACTTTCAGCTGCAGGTGTCGCCAGGTGTGCTTCGCCCAACCTTCCAGGTCAAAGCTCACAAAGGGAAGCAAGCAACCCTCCTTCAAAGCACTCATGGCCTTTGTTTCCTTGCAGGGAAGTACAATGAGTCTGTCTTCAGGGGCATAGACTACATCCTTGCCCTTGCCGGCAAGTACCAAGTGAAGGTAATGCTCAACTGTCAGGACACACTCCCAGGTGCCTAAAGCCAGCGTCAGCCTTTGTCAATCAATGCATGCATGTGCAATCCTGAAATGGTCAGCTGACAATCACAGGCGATAATCTGTACAGTGAACAACTGGCTGGACGAGTTCGTTGGAGATGGAAAGATCCAGGCAAGTTCCTGCTCAGATTGCTGGTTGCCTGATGTGATGATCAATCATCTGCTGAGTTGACTGTAGCATGCATGCAAATGATTTAAAGAGAGCATGATCGTCTCATAAAAAAAGGAGCAGGTCTCATCAGCATGCTTGACATCATATTTCTAACCAGTGATGCCTGGCAGCCACAACAGAATTCTGACCAGCAGGCTGTGCCATTGGTTGATGCAGTACCTTGCCTGGGCTCACATTGCCCTGGAGTACCAGGACACCTTCTGGACCAGCAAGGAAGTGCGCGACATGATCAAGGACCACTTCTCTGTTGTCGTCAACCGCCGCAACATGTTCACTGGGAAGCTCTACAAGGAGGACGACACCATCTTTGCATGGGACATCTACAATGTGAGAATGCTGCACCCCACCTGTCTGCTCTGCTCTGGCCAATCCCACAGATCATCAGATGTTCACTTCATGCATGTACATGTACATTATCACCCATGTACATGACCATGCATGCAAGGAGCGCTCTTTGTCTCCTCATGACCAAACTGTAGAGAGGCTACAGAGAGCATGAGCTTTGATGTGCCATGCATGCTTTCCTGCAGGAACCCCGCTGTCCAGCGTCACAGCTTGGAACTGGCTGCCCCGCCGCAGTCACAGCATTTTTTGGTGACCTTTCAGCATTTCTCAAATCAGTGGATCCAGACCACATGGTAAGCTCTCATTCTCTTCCATGATGTAGAAGGTTTTGCTGTAGCACAACAGCAGAAGCAGTACAGATGAGAATGCAGAAAATTAGAATTTATTGTTGCAATGGCTCTGGCAACATGTGAAAGGATGCATCTCAGGTGACGACTGGAGAAGAAGGCTTTTTTGAGCTCAGCAGTGGCGATGCTGATGCAGACCCATCCGGAACTCCAGCAAATGTACGCCGCCTCAGAGGACTCCCTGCATGGACTAGCTCAGTGGCATTCTGAGCAGGAGGCAGTCAATGCATGAGACTCACCTGACTGGACTTTCTGTTGCATGCAGGTCCTTGCGGCAGGGAGGTAAAATGAATGCATGCATGCCTTTTGTCAAGTTTAATAGGGTGCATGACATGCTGCATTCCAATGGTGGACAGTGCAGGGAACTGATATGTGCTTCATGGCAGGTACTGGTCGGCAAAGATCGGTCAGGACTTTCAAGCACAGCATGCCTTTCCCAGCATTGACTACACAACCATCCACCTGTGGCCTGGTACTGCTCTTTCTTGCAAGCCTCCCTGCAGATATCTGATCGCGCCACATCTGTCTGTGTGCACACCGCTTTGATGACTTTGCACTCGAGAATGAGGATACTGATGCCACAGTTGGGCAACGCAGATAACTGGGAAACTCAGGACCCCGACTTCCCCCGCACATGGATTGAGGCGCATGACAGGGCCTCTGCAGCCATGGGCAAGCCCCTGGTGCTGGAAGAGGTGGGCACGCTGCCTGCACTGTTACTTTTTGGTTGGTTATCAGGACTGCAGCATTGCTACTCCACATGCATGTCGGTCAAAACTGTGTATTTTGCTCTGGTACAATTTGGCATCCATGTAGGCAGATTTTGGCAATGCACATGCATGTAGATCAAAGCGCAGTGCATGGCTGTGGTACAGATTGGCATAAGGGACGCATCTTGGGAAGTGCGCATGCTTGGAGATTAAAGCACAATGTTTGGCTGTGGTGCAGTTTGGCAAAGGGCAGGGCAAGAATGCCACCTACCAGGCCGTCTATGACACGCTGCAGGACAGCCTGGCGCGGAACGGTTCCTTCAAGGGCGCGCTGTTCTGGCGCTAGGATAAGGATGGCGGCACTGACACGAACACTGTCGTCACCGGCGACCCCACCTTCCAGTACGCATTCAAATCCCGCTGCTCCTGCCCTTTGCACCTCTGTGCACCTCCATGATGTGACTGTGCACCTGTCATTGAAGGTCCAGGAATTGTGCTGTCTGTCCTTGCCTGTGGACAGCAAGGATTTTCAGGAGCAATAGAAGTCATGGGGGGTTTAGCTGACGTTACATACATGTGGCGCAGGTTGATTCTGGAAGCACTGTCCAAGATCAAGCCCTTCATGGGGCGGAATGTGCCAGGCTGCACACCAAAGGCAGTGTCTGCTTTTGGATGAGTCTGGAATTCATACGGCTCTCTGTACATGTACAGGTTGCAGCTATTCTGAGACCTGTCTACAGATCTGAGCCTTAGTTTTTTGAACGCCAATTTCCTTGTACGCATCCATCATTCTTTCAACATACGAGTTTCAATCAAGGATGTTCCGAACGATCATGTTCAGGATTAGTTCAACAGAGGGTGCATGTGCGCAAAGAATGAAGAGCGAGAGAAGATTTGATTCAGCAGGTAGCTCTGCCGTCATTTTGTCCGCATTGAATGGCTGCTGTGCTGCTTGGCTAGAGTATCTTGAGAGCTTTCATTTGATTTTCCAACCTTGAGGCTATTTATGCGGTGTAGGATGCCTGGCTGCGACTAAGTCAGCGCCAGGTCTCCAGCTGGGTTGCAAGAATCAGTAAACTTGGATCCAATTGTTCTTTCAAATCACGATATGGGGTTTGATTGGCAGTCCTTATGTACTTCCAAGTCACAACAGCTTGTAAGGAAATGCTCTGCCATCCAGGACTTCATTGTCGAGAATGCAGACATAAACAATGCTCAATATCCATAAACATTCCTTGACAAGTACAGTTACTGTACATGATGTTTCCCAGAGAAATGCTGCCAGCGAAATGCAGACATGTGTTGACATAGTATCGTCTCCACACATGCATTCATTTTGCAGTTGTTAAATAAAATTGGAGAGCAGCGTTGAGCATGATAGCAGTTAACTGCTATCGTGCATTGTCATGATGCTTCTTTTCAGCTGCTGTCTCAGCACGCTTCTCCATCAGCAACTCCATGATGCGCCTCTGGGACTCCGAAGGATTGGATCTCCTCTCCTCTAGCTCCTTGTGGATATTGTAGGTGTACCTACAGGTGAAGAGCTCATGCCTTGTGAATATGCCAAGTGCAGTGTGCAGGCCACTACTTGCACTTTTAACTGCCAGTGTAAGGAAGACTTTGCAGCAGCGATCTGCAGTAAGAGTGGGCCACAGCGGTACTCACAAGTCCTGATGTACATGCAGAGCTCCTGTAAATATAAGGCAGCCTCCTACCAAACATGCTGCTGAGAACCACATTGCAAAGCGGGGATGCCTGCACAGTCAAAGATGCACCACAGATGTCAAGTTGGGCAGACACAGCAAGAATGTGGTAGTAGATCATGAAGCAATCGATGCAATCATAATTCTGAACAGGCTGTACTTCTTCACCTTATTAATCTCTCGGTCCTCCTGCTCATCGCTGAGGCTTCAGCATTTGCTGCTGACATTGTCTGGGGGGTCCCCCGCGACTGCGTCACAGTAAAGCTTCCCATTCATGGTGGGCAACAAGAGGCATTTGATGCTGCAGAATAATGCGTGATGCTGGGTGATAACAAAATCTTTTACGCACTCACCCTGTTTAGTATCTGATCTGCAGCTATTCTGACCTTTTCAAACTGCTCAGCTGCGTCTGGAGCAGTGCTCACATCAGGGTGATACCGCATGGCTAGTTCTCTGAAAGCTCGTTTTACTTCTGCTGTGTCTGATGTAGCTTCCAAACCAAGGACTGCGTACGGATCTGACCCCATGCTAAGAGGGATATGAGATCCCAGGATTTAGATGCTTGATGATATCACTGCATACTTATGATTGTGAGCTAAACAATTAGTATTTCGGGTATTTCGGGTTTGTCAAGACCACATAAGGAATTGGATGTTCTACTGCTATCTTGCAGATTATCCTTGGCGCTCACCGCATTCTCCCTGCGCTTGTGCTCGCAGCTTCCACGTCGCAGGAAGCCAGGAGCCACTGCAGTGACGTCAGCTGACAGCCCTTTACATCTTAATGTAAACGCAATTCATTCCAGTAAAAAGACACATCAAGAGCTTTGAAATTTTCTCTGTATTTGGCAGATTAGCAGGTTGCTCTGTGTGACGAATCTGATCTGTGACCAGAAAGTAACATCGAGAAGCAATGACCACGCAGATAACAGAGTTGATATTAGATCAGACACCTTCATTGATCTTAAAATCGCAGAAAGAATACGCAGGTATGCCACCAACTGAAAGTCCGGTAATTTATTACGTCAAGGCTTCAGATCGCTGTGACCACCTTTGCATGAAGTTTTCTCATGCATTGCAGCAGGCGGACCAAATCAACGACCCTGCCCCAATTCAAATTTCTTGAAAGGTGACACAAAAGCCATCCTCTTTCTAGATTCTTTCCTAGCAGCATTATGCTGTCTTTCATGTGAAAGAGATTGGGTCTGTGGGCCCCAAGACTTATGTCAGGCCTGTGTTGGCAGGCGTCCGATGGTCTCCAGATGGAGCTTGCCTGCTGACAGCCAGCGAGGACAACTGGTGCGCCAAGGTTCCTCGCCCCGATCGTAAACATGCTACTTGACCCAACAAACATCTGAACACTGCCTTGAATGTGCTGTGGGCCTTGGGGTGATCAGGTTGCGCGTGTACGATCTTCCAGCAGAAGTCTTGGACCAGGGTCTCTTGGAGCCTGCAGATGATGGCGGTGCAGCTGCGATTGATGACAACCTGCCAGCAGTTTTGTACTTGGACGAGGGCGAGACCATCTATGACTATGCATGGTATCCCAGGATGCTGGCCTCGGAGCCCTCATCCTGCGTCTTTGCTTCCACTTCTCGGGTGACACTCTCCTGCCCGTGCTCCCATTGACCAGATCCTGTCACACAGACCTTCTGCGAGAAATGGGGGCCTCTGTTGGCCTGCTTGGCTCGGTCACCTATCGAACAGCTGAGGCCTTCTGATCCATACTTGATTCCCAGATCAAGACCAAATCTTTTTGATCTCCGCATGACACAGAATCAACCCCAGACAGTCTTCAATCAGTGAGACATGAGGTCCTTACCGTGCATGCAAGAGCATGGATAGGCTGCCATAGCCATATCCAAAGCCATATCCATGGCCATGATAGGCTGCCATTGTCAGGCAGCGCGCCACTTTAATCACCAGCTGACAGCGCATGATTGGGCAGGCGCACCCGCTGCACCTGTGGGATGCGGTCAGCGGCCAGCTGCGCGCAACCTACAGGGCCTACGACGCTGTGGACGAGGTGACGGCGGCCTACAGTGTGGCATTCAACCGCGACGGCTCGCGCCTGCTCGGCGGCTACAACAAAGCCATCCGCATCTTTGACACCTCCCGCCCCGGCCGCTTCTACACCGAGATCGTCACCCACTTGAAAAAGTCCCACGGCCTGCAAGGTGCGTCCCAGTGACACTGTCAGGGACGTCCACTCAGAAGAGTATTGGCTGTCCATCAACTCTTCTAGCTTAAGATGGCCAAGGTAACGTGCTGGCAACAATGTGCCTAAGGAGCCAGCAGAGCAACACTTGGCCATCCACATTGGGATGTGAACATTGGATTGTGAGTTTTGTAATGTGCCAGTCCGCCACCTTTGTTCCTGGAGTCGTGCATGCTTTGTTCCTGCACCCTGTCCGCCAATGAGTCCTGCATGCATTAATTCTGCCCCCTGCCTGCCAGGCACGAGCAATGCCCCACTCGCAGGGTCTGATCTGTGTCAGGTGCGGTGTGAGCAAGAAGACTTGGATGTGCAGGGATTGTGTCGTGCATGGCGAGCAACGAGGACGGCTCGGGCATGATGGCAGCGGGCGCATACTCGGGCGATGCTGCAGTCATGGACGAGCGCACTGGCGAGCTGCTGTATGTGCTGCAGGGCCAGAAGGGTGGTATCACACAGGTGCATTCCATCTTCATCAGCTGCTCTGTATAAAAAAACGACTTTACTTCTGGTCCATGCCATGCACAGTGTCATTGAAAAAGTTGCTGCTTCTCTTTGCACGTTTCTAATTGCCACAATATGTCTGATTCTCGCCAGACTGAGGGCACAGAGTGGCAGCGTTCACAATACTGATACCACAGTCTTTGCCTTCTGAGACATTCATGTTTTTGAGTCATTTCTTCAAACCAAGCCCACTGCATGGTTCCTTTGGCAGCCAAAGGAAGTCACTCACTTTTGTGCACATGCAAGCAGGTGCAGTTTTCCAGGGACGGAAACTTCCTGTACACGGGGGCGCGGAGGGACCCGGACATCTTCTGCTGGGATGTGCGCTTCACATCAGATGTTATTTACCGCATGCAGCGCGAGACCGTGGCCACCAACCAGCGCGTCCAGTTTGACATCGAGCCATGCGGGCGCCACCTGGCCACAGGCATGCCCTCCCACTCCCCTGATCAAGTACTTCAGGGTTGAGTGCAAATGGTCTGCTGTATACTGTACAGGAGTAATAGCCTGCCTCCAGCACATGCAGCAGCAGAAAACCTACCGGCAGTGTCAGTGGAACCTCCTGAGACACGTGTAAACAGGCTTTGTGCGTGACTGCCATTTGCTTCCATGCTGAAAGCAAGTATCTGTTATGGGACATGCAGGTGGCACAGATGGCAAGGTGCAGGTGTTTGACCTGCGGACAGGCGAACCAGTGGCCAGTCACACTGCTGCGGCTGACACTGTGAATGGCTTCCACTTCCATCCGTTCCTGCCTTTGGCTGCTAGTGCATCAGGTGCAGTGCTTCCCATCTCTGCCACTAATCTCATGCATTTTTCGCCCACCCATCAAAGAGAAGCACCTGCAAATTGTTACTGCTGAAGCTTTAGCTTGATTGCTTCTGGACAGGGCACCGGCGCTTTCCTCTGGAGCCGACATCAGAGTCTGACTCTGACATGGATGAAGATATGGCGCCTACCTCGGATTCTGAAAGTGCAGAATGCAGCAATGCCCTGCTGGTGTGGAGATTTGATGCGCGGACAGTGGAGTTAGAAGCCATTGAGGCAGGGAGCACTGATGCAGAGGGCGGCACTGAGCCAAGGACTTCCAGTAATGCAGCAGTTGTAGACCCCGCTAGTGCTGTGCTGCCACATGATGCTTTGCCATTGAATGATCATGGGATAGAGAGCGGTCACCAGGGCGTGGTCCTTGAACAGGATATGCAGACAGACTCCACAAGGGAAGATCCTCAAATACAAGCAGACCTGGCTGTCCAGTGAGAGGCAGGATAGATGCACATGCGTTGCGAAATACATTTGCTAGGTTTGTTGCAGTGATCTCTTTATTGGTCCACAGATGTCTTGTGCAAGATGTACCACATACTGCAGGATGGCAGTAGAGGACAACCCTTTGAGTAACTTCCTGGTCCTGTGAGCCTTGGCTGGCCTGCTGGCCTAGCTAGAGCAGGAGCATACGCTCATTGTTTAATGACCACAGCACTGAGCCAGCCTGGGAAGGGTGATGGCAGCTTTTGCCAATTCATGTGATCTAAGTGGCGGTTGGATCTTTAGCTGGCCTGGCAGCTCTCTGGTTGAAGGGCCGTGCCAAACCTATTTGGGCACACCGCGTGACTGTCACAGTGCCCTAGTGCCACGGTGGCACTAGGGCAAGAGGTGTTTTCCAGCTGACCAGCTGATAGAGGACTTTCTGCCTGCCTCCATGCTGGAGGCTTTTCATGCAGGATCTAACAAGATCCCAAAAAGCACGACGCTGCGCTGTCAAATTCAACTTCCCATGCAATTCATCACGTCCGAACAAGAGGTGAGTTGGATATCCTACTCAGCCCTGGGCAGGCGACAATTTAGGACACATCGACCAAGAAATTGCCCACTTTCCACACTTTATTAGGGTACAATTTGTTAAAGGAAGTTCTGGATTCGAGGAGTAGCATGTTGTAATTGAAATGAACTCAGGCGTATTCGAGGGAGCCAGTGTTGGGGGTGGTGGGCGGCTGCAGCACTTCCACACCAAGACAGCTGCGTCGTGGACTCGGCCCAACAGTCGACGAGTTGATTGCGTTCTCGCTCCGATTGAAGCGCCTAGCAGACCTTCGGTCTGTCTGACGCCCTCAACATCAGAACCAGCCACCGGCACCAAAAACCGGCTGCAGGATGGTGTCCACCGAACTGTCTCGTCTGGCAAGGCTTTGGTGGGACAGTTGTGGGGCATCTGGCAGCGGGACAGTGCCACGCCCACAGGTCAGATCCGGCAGAACGGCCGTGATCTGCAGAGGCTCGGCGAAGCAGCGACGGAAAGAGGCCTGCAGGTATGCGTGATCCTTGTCAAGGTCAAGAATAGTCATGCTGGGTCAGCAAGACATTGTTGGTTTGCCGAATCAGCCCTGTGAGAGGTTTGTCTGGCTGTTCGAAAACACAATGCTGGTGATCCCCAGGGGCTAATTCCCATAGGATAGGTGGGTGTTTTTGAGAAACGAGGTAGAAGCTCCCTGCAAAGCCCAGGTCATCCTGGAGCCTGTTTATCATAGAGGTCTGTGAAGGGACATTTCCTCGGTCTGTCGTATTTTTTGGGGACTCCTAGCGCCTGCTCGCAGCGATTGCTCTCTTCCATGACCCTCACCCTTTGAGATTTACATGACAAATCTGCCCTTATACAAGAGGTGGACGAGCTTTTTGTGTATCCGATAATCTGTGAAGCGATCATACAGCTGTAGAGGTATTCTTCCCGGAGTTTACATGTGTTCCTGTCGGGTGTTGGCTTTTCTTATGTCTTGACTGATGATGTCAGCCTTGTTCTGTGTCAACACTTTATTGACAAAGTTGAGGGGTATCTTGCAGGTCGACACCGCTGTGAAAAGGAGGGAAGCAGTGAAAGCTCCTCCAGCAGATATTAGGCGCTACGTGAAAGCCACTGGTCTGATGGAGACCCGCTACGTCAGGATGCTCTCCAGCTTGTGCGCGGAGACATACTACCTGAACAAGCTGAATGTGAGATCTTGCTCGAACTCCCTTGCATTTGCTGCTTGGATCTTTCAAGCTGACAATTGCGATCTGTTTGGCCAACTGTTGGTGTGACGCAACTGATGGAACTGCAGAAACGGACTCTGTACCTGCGCCACCGCCTGCACTTGGTGACAACATCACACGAATGCAGCCACGTGGCCAAGGAAGTCCCGCGATCAGCCCAGCAGACTATGGATGAGGGAGATGCCATGGCAGCCTGCCCATCCCAGGCTGAGGCTGTGCAGCAGGACATCATGGCCAGCTCCCAGCGCTCCGTGCCTGCCATGGAGGTGCGTGCTTCCCTGCAGCTCTGTTGCCTACAGCTGTCTTGAAAGTATTTTTCCACTATACTCACTCTTGCACAAAAGGTAGACCTCTTTTGACAAGGTGGAGGTGCATCGCAGGCTCTGGAAAAGCTGAAGGCGGCGGATGCAAAGAAGGACAAGGCGGTGTCCCCCACCGAGCTTGTCACACAGCGGCTCTCCATGGCGGCGGCAGCAGCCGCCAACGCCGCTCAAAGTGCAGCTGGGCCCCTGGCCAACAACATCACATCCTTCACCTCTGCAGCCTCCAGCGCGGCCGCCGTGCAGGCCCTCACCTCCCAGCTACAGGTCAGCCTCGTCATAGCTAATCCTGCAACATCTTGCTCGAGGAACCATTCCTGAACTCACTGTTGGATGCATCACAAGTTGTTGAGCTGTATGCTGTGAGCTGAATGAGCGATTCTTTTGGCAGGTGGCGGCTGCGGCAGGGCACTCCACGGCAGTGGCGACGATTGCTACAGTGACCGCGGCGGTGCAGGCGACGTGGGGCAGCGAGAAGGACAAACTGGGCAACCCGACAGAGTGGTACGTGGCGGACGACCCGGTGTCGCACACGCGCTACTTTGTGGTCCAGGGCAGCGACTCCATCGACCACTGGAAGGTCAACCTCACCTTCGACCCAGTCGTCTTCGAGGACCCTTCCCTAGGCGTCAAGGTTCGAAACCCCCATCTTTTTGCTCTGGTCTTATTTTCTGTGTGGCTGACCACTGCAACATACAGCTGGGAGTGTGCCTGGTGTACTGTTCTCTTGGTCTTCTGTTCACTCGGCTGCTTGTGCTGGCTACCACTTTGACAATTGCCATTGTAGATTATGGTGGAACTCCGAGGTGTTAAGATATTCTTTGTTCCACAGGTGCATCGAGGCGTGTACGATGCGGCAAAGCGGCTGTACCAACGCTTCCGGCCGATGCTGGAGGAGCACCTGGCGTCGTCGCCCTTTGCCAAGGTGGCCTTTGTGGGCCACTCCCTGGGCGGCTCCCTGGGCTCGCTGCTCATGCTCATGTTCCTGCACCGCGGCGTGCTGCCCCACTCCGCCGTGTCCCCCACCTACACCTTTGGCGCACCCGCCATCTTCTGCGAAGCCTGCGGCCCCGGCGGCACCTGCGCGCTCAACACCGCCATGGAGCCCCCGACTGCCGACAACAAGCAGAAAACCCTCCCCTCCGGTTCGAGTGAGGTGAGCCCTTTTTCCTATCCCCTGCAAGGTCCATACATCGAGCAAATTGAAAATGGTCAGGATCCAGCTTTTGCATCCATAAAACTTTCCGTGTCGCGTTGTGGCATGATGGAGCAGACGGGTACCCAGAACTGAGAGGAGTGTTGTGGCCATGCAGTGTGACGACGGCACATGCCTGCACATGGGGCACGCGGCGGCGGAGCAGCGCGCGGCGCCGGACTTTCCCGAGGCGGCGAGCCGGTCGCTGCTGGAGCGCATGGGCCTGCCCACGGGCGCCATCCGCAACATCATCATGCACCGCGACATCGTGCCCCGCGCCTTCGCCTGCGACTACACCCTCGTCGCTGACCTGCTCGCGCGCGTCGGCGACGGCTTCCGCGAGCACGGCTGCCTGCAGAACCCCCACGGTCGCCAGGTGCGCCTGCCACGCCGCTTTGTTCTTATTATATGTCTTTTATGAAGGATAAACAAGTTTCTGCTTTGGAGATTCTGTCAATCTGGCCGCAAAGTACAGCACTCTTACGAAGGTGCATGCTGAGCTGAGCTACTTATTGCCTTCAATTGTACATGGGTTTCATCAGAGTGCCATACTTTGCTAAAAGTATTCAAGCCTTGATGTGAGTTGGTGGTGGTGGGCGCAGGTGATGTACTACTTCCTGGGCAAGATGCTGGTGCTGCAGCCGGACAGGGAGCACACCTTTGTGAAGGGCGAGCCGGACCACCCCATGCTGGCGCCCGGCCCGGGCCTGTACACGCTGCGCGAACCCTCCCTCCTCTCCTCCGTCGCCAGCGGCGCCCGCGCCAAGGCCTCCAAGCTCGGCAGCGAGGGCGCCGCCCAAGCCGCCAAGGTGAGCTCACTTTCTTTCATTGCTCGACATCAGACTTGTCATTTTGCAGGATTCATGGAGCATTCTGCAGGTCACTTTGTTCCAGGACTTTGGCAGCTGATGTGTGCACCTTTGCATAGAAAACAAACAGAAACCAGTGGCTTCTGTGGAGGCGTGGTATGAATCCATTTGTTATTCAGGCATTTGGGTTGAACGGTGTGCCTGTCCTGCTGTCAGGTGGCCAAGTCTGCGGCGGGTCTGGCAAGGCTGGGACGCAGGGGGGCGACTCACCTGGGCAATATTGCGCCCAAGCCCGCCAGCATGGGCAAGGCCAAGCTGGGCGGCCTGGCCGTCTTGGCCGGAAAAGCCGAGAAAAAGATGGCTGACAGCCAGGTGTGTGATTAAGCCTTGAAAACAGGACACCAGCATTTGTTTTGTCCTGTTTCATGTGCTTTGCATCTTTGCGGATCCAAGGGCGGTTGTGCCAGGAGTACGGCAATTCTGTTCTAAAGCGCTCCTGTCACATGATTGCCTCGGTGCTGCAGAGGTGCGTAGCACGGCTTGTCTCTTACTGGCCCACACGGCTGCTGTCCTGGCCCATTGTGCAATGTGCTAAATATCCATCGACAAGGCACTGATTGGGTGTGGCTGTGTGCAGGCGCCCGAGCTGGGCCCGCCGGCGCCGACGCTGTTTGACGCGGTGATGGAGCTGCTGGACTGCCCGCACCCGCTGGACACACTCAGCGAGGTGAATGCCTACGGCCCCGACGGCGCAATCAGCCGCTTCCACAACCCCGACAACTACACACGAGCTCTCGGCGGCGTCCTGCGCTCGCGCGCGCGCTCCTGGCGCCCCCTGCTCGGCGACGCAAAGCCCCGCGGCGGCAAGGGAAATAAAAAGGGCAAGGGCGACGGAGGGGACGCCTCCGACTTCCAGGTCGGCCAGGGGCCTGCCCCCACCGGCGGCCTCTGGTTCCTCCCACCCAAGGGCACCACTAAGGTGTGTATCTGATGCTGTCTGCTCAAACGATGCTTTAATGTGATGACAGTGCATCTGGCATCTGGCTGCAGCGCACAGGTGTATTCCAAAGACACCCTCTCTGGTTTGAGTGATGCTCATCGTTCAGAGAGCTGCGTGTTGTTCACAGGCCGGCAGCAATTCTGACAATGTGTCGCTGATGCATGCACTCTTTACCCCATTGGTCATGTCTGCTTCTCAATATTTTGGGTTTTGTAGTCTTGCTGAGGTGTGCGTGGTATCCTGCAGGTGAAGGTGCACCCCAAGAAGGTGCCTGCAAGCGGAGAGCGCAGGCAGCTGCCAGATGCTGTCCTAGCCAAGCACACGACTGGCCGACACTGAGGTCGCTGCTAGCAGAGCCTCTCAAGTGACAGCAGCCCTGCAAGGCTCCAGTGTGTGCAAGAGTAGGTAGATAATGAGAGACGTGCTTGCGCTTAGAGGTAGTAATTCGTTATGATTTGTAGCGCGCAGCACAATTTGTGAGCTTGTACAACGCATGTGTGAGAGAAGAGACTCAAGAAACGGTGTGCCTCTTTTTCATTTGCTATTGATCCTTCACAGCAATTCCGACGAGCTTCTGCAGACGAGTCATGGGATTGCCTGCCTGCCGGCTGCAGTCGCATGCAGCTGTCAGGTGGTGCACCATGGCATTATTTCCCTCTGCAGTATTGCGGGGTCGATGAGAATGTGTTGATTTGAGAGGTTGGTCAGGCGCAATTGGCCTGACGCATGTATGGCTGAAAGAATGTGTATTGTCTGTATCTAGGGCTAGTGATGTGCTTTGCTTTTGTCACTTGTCGTAGCTCGTAATCTAGCATGTTGGTGCAGCAGTTGTGCTCTAGTGCACCAGAGAGATCAGGAAAATCGGGTGAACAGATTGCCTTGTGCACAGATGAATGCTGCAGCCTGTTAAGCTGCAAATTCTAAATGCACAAGGTTGAGTCACATCACAATTTCCATGGCACCAAATGCGGTGCATGTTGTAGATCCTTCTCGAGCAAAACTATCTTCTTGTGACTAGGACGTACAGCAAACGTGCTCTGTGGTGACTGGTGAAGTCTGACTAAAATGATGTCATCAGGCTTAGTGTCTTCACAGTACACCACATGATGTGTGAACCTAGCTAGTAATTAACTAGATCTGTGGCTGTGCGCACATTTCTTGCAGGCCTTGGGGATAACATGATCTTACAATTGTACTACTAAATTTAATGTAAAACCATGCATGATCTTGCACTATCGTGGCAAAACCATAAGAGTTGTTGGGAGCTGCCAATTCTGCAGTGCCTTTTGGTCCAAGCGTTCAAACTTTGAATATGCATTTACGTAAAACATGAGGATGCACACATGCAGGCTTGTCCATTTCTACATTGCACTGGCAATGCGAGCGCCAGAGCATGGGAAAAGTTTTTCAGGCCTTGGAGGCGGGATTCCAAAAACCCTAGGGGGTCAAATTTTGACCTTCCAAAACCCTTATCCTCTGATGCTAGGTCAATCTACGTGTCTTTCTCCAGCACAGCTCTTCCACCACATCTTTTAAGTTCGAAAGTAAATCAAATCTGCTCCGAATGAGTCACACACTGTGGGTGTAAAAGATTCCCCTTACACATCCTTTATGTCACAGATCGGGGCCACTAGGCCATATTAGCCTACTCCAAAACGTGCGCAGTCATATAGTCCGGTGGCACCTGTTGTAAAGACTTACACCCTGCCCGAAGACTATGCCTAGTCCGAGCTGATCCAAAGATCACTACCATTGTATCCATTGTCCTCAGGATAGTCCCCTAGCCTAGTTGATACTTTACAGTGGCATTCTGACCTCTATGGGAATTGATGAGGGGCACCGGGAGAAAACGCATATATAATGAGGGGAATGTAGCTATAGCCCAAAAGATGTTTTATTGCCTGCCTCGTGAAATAATGGCTTATTCTTGAGAAGATGCCAGATCTGGATATCGCCAAATTAGGAAAAAGTCTATGTATAAAAATGCCAGTTTGCGAGGCACCCCATCAAAATTTATCACTTTCAAAGTTTGCAAGTCTTAACAATTCCACCGTTCACTACTTGCTGCATTATACCGACGCCGCCACTGGTCCAACTTGGTTGAACCAAGTTGGCTAGCACCACCGGGCGCCACAAGCACCACCACAATCACCGTGACTTTACGGTATTGGCCAGGGTTTGTTGTACAGCCCTATGGCAAGATGAAGTTCAAGTTGAAGAAATTATGTTGATGGCCATGGCGTTCAGTATGACCCCGGGTCGCTGGCCGCGGAACAAGTGCGCTCATGCGCATGCGCCATTGCTTGGATTCAGTACATAGTATGCTCGACGACGTCACGGGCATCACAAACAATAATAGGTGTGTTGCGAGGCATTTTCCAGGAGTGATGACGTTGTGCATTTTGCAAATTTGCATACCCTGACAAATGCGTCCGTGATTATTGCATGCCTCATGATGTAGTGGGGTCATTGGAAACTTGCCAATTCAGGATATAGCCATTTTAGGAAAGATTCCATGTTACTAGCTCGATTTTCCTAACGTCCCACGACAATGTATTGGTGTGTAGGAACAAATCCCCAACATTTTAGTCAGCCCGCAAAAATCCGGAAACCTTCGGCTTTGAAAGCTGTCGGCCCAAGACAAGGTATACTGCATAGCTCCTCACCAAAAAGACACTGGACAAAAAGAAATGGGATGTATCCGCCGTAATATTTTTGAGGCGATTATATCATACCTAATGAGATCCTGAGGTATGTTACGGTTCGATATTCGCGAGACGAAGGAGATCCTTGGGACCGTAAAATGGCTTGCTTTCACTACGGATTGTTCTCATTGACGTCTGAAAGTGGAAGGCACTAATTCATCCAACATGACTAGGAAGGCCTTGGTGTACCAAATGGCAATAACGAATTTGAATGGCTTCAATGGAGATACTGATAAGCGTCCCGAGGTCATGTAGATCATGTGAGGTTGCAGTGCAAATAATGGTCTCAACACGTTATAACATTTGAGACGCATTTGTCCAGGATGAGGCTATATTTTGGAGACAACCAGCCTGTTGATTGCGATTGCCAGCTTCAACCGGGTTGGAGCCAAAGCTTGACATCGGACCTTCCTTCTGAATTTGCAGTTCGCGACTACTGGTGAATTCCGTACTTCCATCCTGATGGTGTGTTTCGGGTACTGCCACCAGTTCTGAGATTGTGCATGATTTTTAACCGGCTTTGTGAGGCAGAACGGCCACCAAGTTGAACTGTACGATGATCCAGACCAAAGAAATTCAACCACTGTGACGCTCTTGAATCCTGGCTTCCTTTATCACCGCAAACAACCAGCCCATTGTTTGCATTCTCCTCATCGTGCAATGGCTATTGTGGTTATAGCAGAAAGCACAATCATGAGAATGGAAGTTGTGCCAGAGAGACAAATTCAAGCTTTGGTGTGTTGCATCGTTCAGAATCTTCTTGATGCTGGGCGAGCCTCTGCTAATAATGTAATATATGACACTTGCTGCCATGCTTTGCAGGACCTGTAAGAAGGATGTGCGGCTGGTGCTGCATGTTTTGACCGGAGGTCTGCTCTCAATTCCCATATCAGCATGATTTTGTCAAAATTCTGAACCCACAGTCAGAAAGTTTCTAGCTGCAGGTCTGATCGTGCTGTGTGTGCTGCTGCCAGGTTCATGCGTGGCACTCTTGCCATCGCCACAACTCACACCAGAGTGCGCACCTTCCCTCATCTCCCTGTGTAGGTCCCTAAGTATACAGGATGTAGTATGGGGGGATGCAGATGTTTGAGCTGACACCATTGCCCTGCCGTGCAGGGGCACGAAGGTGTTGGAGGAGCAGCATGCGCAGTGCCTTGGGGAGAACAAGGCGGCAGTCGTTGCAGCGAGCGACAAACTGGACCTGCTGCTCGTTGCTGAGAGAGCCTTAGACGGTGCGAGGGCGCAGGCCTCCTTTGCTGCTCACATCCTGCTGCCCTTGACTCCCTGCCTGCCGCCTGCCACTGCCCAAAGCTTGTTATGCTGCATGCACAAGTTATGGAGTGATTCCTATATGTTGGTGCTGCGCAGGCGAGACTCCTGTGCCCGTGTTTCTGGGCTATGTTGTGGCGCGTGGCACGGCCGAGACAGCGCGTGGCGGGGCGGAGGCAGCTGCGGCCTTGATTGAGAACATGCGGCTGCCACTGGTGCTGGACCTGGATGAGACCCTGCTGGAGGCCTTCACAGCCAACCAGCTGAGGAAACATATCAAGGACCTGTCAGCGGAAATAGATGGGGGCAATTGGTACGCCTCGCTGCATTCCTTGTTCAGTGTGAGCACATTTGCCTCCTGTGGCGGTGTACTGTCACCAGTGCTGCTAGCGCGTTTTTGGTCTTGAGTGCTTCAAGATGCGCAAAGGATTTCATGATTGTCATTGTTATTCCCTACAATTGCAGGAGTAACGTAGAGAAGAAGCTGCAGCTGAAGAGGGAGAAAGCTTTCAAGGAGGAGGACTATAACTTACTGGTGCAATTCATACAGACAAACAGCGTCACATTGAACGGCCAGATTCACAAAGCATGGTTTGTCCTCTTTCTACTCAAGCCATCCATCTGAGCACCATATTTTCTTTGCAGCCAGCCCATGTGTCTGGCATGGAGCTTGCATGCCCAGCACCAAGACCCGTCCCACACCATGTATAAATGCCTCGCTCGTTGTGGTGTTCACGCAGTGTGGAGGAGGCTAAGTCAGAAGCCGGGGTGCCGCCTGTGAAACGGCCGACCATCCACCTACCCAACGGTGTTGTGGTGACGCGCATTGATCCGACCAGGAAGGAGACGTCCATGTTGATGCGTATACGCCCTGGATGGGAAAGGCTGCGCCAGTGGCTTGAAGGCCAAGACAATGCCCAAAGGTCACATGCCAATCTTTTCACGCTTGCATTAAATGACCTGTCTTCCTTCCTGCGCTGCGGAGGCCGGGATAGCTCACTTGGCCCTTGAACAGCATTCACCTCCTGACAGAGCTCTGTCTGGGCTTGGTCTTGGCCACAGTCTGTGTCCTGATCTGTTCTATTGCATGGGCAGGCCTGGCCGGGAGCGCTTTGAGGTGTATGTGTGCACAACGGCGGATCGCTCATACGCGCTGGAAGCCTGGAGGCACCTGGATCCGAGTGCGCTCCTCATTCCCTACGCGGATCGCCGGAAGCGCTTTCACAATGTGCACCAAGACAAGGACTCCAAAGACAAGGACGGTAATGTCAAACCAGTGAAGGATCTTGCGCATGTCATGGGCCTGCTGGGGCACCCCTGGTCCGCGCCCTGCACGCCCCCCAACTCGGCCATGCCCCTCGCAGTCATCATCGACGACCAACCAGCAGTGCGCATCCTACCCATCTTCGTCGGGCATGCCACCTGCCTGACAAATTCCTGCATGTGAGAGCTGTCTAGAGCTCGATGTAGGAACACATGATTGTGCCCTTGTGGGATGCAAACACCATCACATGGAGTGCATGCTAAGGGGGGTTTTGCAATGCCGAGGTGAACAGAGCAGATCTGTGTGCCGTGTGCCAGGTGTGGACGGCTGAGTCGCAGGGGCAGTTGTACCAGGTGGAGAAGTTCAACCCGCAACGGCTCGCAGGAGTGCACGACGGCGTGGCAATGCACGATCAGGAGCATGTGCGCAGCCTGGCGGAGGAGCTGGAGGGCGTGCAGGACGTGCTGTGCAAAACGCGCGGCTGGATGTACAACACCATGGAGGGCCACCCCAGGGACAGCCTGCGCAAACAGATCTTGGATGCCAAGCCGCTGAAGATCAGGGACATACGCGAGGGGCGGCCTTTTGCCAGGCACCAATGGCCGCGCATCTGCCACCTGCTCAGCGTAAGTTACCTTGTCCGCTTGCAGTGATGACTGGAAATCAGTGCTTTGCTGACAGTCCCTTTCTGCCCGGTCTCTGTGCACCCCATCTCATAAGAAGGGGTAAACAGTGATCTGCTGTGGGTGCAGAAAGCGAAGAAGGGAACCTTGGAAGCTGTGCCATTAGAGCTCTCCCCGGCCAACTCATACGGGGCCACCGTCAACGCCGGAACCGGGCAGCCGCCTGCAGCCGCCGCTGCTGCCCGCAAGCCTGTGGATTCCCGGCGGGGCTGCCTTCCTGACGGCCAGCCCGGCGCGGCCGCGCTCTTCGCTCGGGGCGCTCCAGCTGGGGCCGCGGCGGGCTGCAAGCAAAACCCTGCACCACCCCCCAGGGGGTCTGCGGCCCCGGCCGCAGCGGCCGCAGCGGCGGACTTAACACGAAGAGGGAGCAATGCAGCGGCGGGGCCGTCGGGCGCACCTCCCAAGCAGTTCGGGAATTTGCGGGTATGGATCTTAGCGATTGTTGTTTAATCCCCTTGGTTTTGTCCAGCAATGCACATCCAGCAATGTGCATCGCCTTATGCTGCAGAGACAACAGTTTTCAAAAGGCTGCTGTGAAGGGTGTACGTATTGGCGAATTAGTCCTGATGGGTTGCTCGAGTGGGAACAGGCGGCTGTAGATCCGCGGATGATGGCGGTGGCGCCGGCCGGCGCGCAATCAAAACCCCCGGGACAGGGGGTGAAACCCCGGGGGCAGCCTCCGCCGGGGAGAGGCCGAGTGCAGCCTGCCGCCCCAGGCCGGGCACCTGCCCCCGGCGCTAAGGCTGGCACCGCTGTGCCAGCCAAGCCAGCAGCGTCACGAGCAGCGCCGCAGCAAGCAGGTCAGGGAATGGCGGCCGGCAGCAGCGCGCAGCCGGGCAGGAAACGAAGCCTTGAGGGGCAAGACGACGCCGCCGCAGACAAAGCCAAGCGGCCGATGATTCACGCAAACGGCAGGCGCCGGCCGTCGCTCAGCCCGAACTTGGAGATGACCTGGATGCAGCTCAAAGACAAGCCCCATGCCGAGTCTGCCGCACCCGCTGCTGCCGCCACGGCTGCATCCGCTGCCGGCACAGGAGGTGCTGCAGAGGGTGCACCACAGGCCAGCCGCCCAGCAGCAGCCGGCGCCACACAAGGGCAACAGCCGCAGATGCTATCAGTGCAGCTCCCCAGCGATGAGGACGGGGCAGGACCAGTGCCGATGGAGGCGTCGCCATATCGGACGCCGGCTAAGCCACCAGCGGGGCCCAGCGCGCAGCAGATTGGCCAGGCGACTCCCGAGGGGATACCCCTGGGCTTTGGGGGGTCCAACCTGCCGCTCAGATCCCCCGGCAGCTCCAAGGGGCGGGGCAGACGGCCTAGCGCGTCCCCGGCTGCCACCAGCGCAGCAAGGAGGCGGGCCAGTGCGCCAGCCGGCCCCACTGACACTCCAAATGGGCCGAACGATGCGAGTGACGGCACGCCCGCACAGCCGCCCCGCCAACAAGGTAGCACAACGTGAATGGCAAACTGGGGTATGCTCTGACTGCTGGCAGGCCAATATACCTCCGTGCGTTAGCTTCCCTTGTCCCGAGATGGCGTGGGGCGTCCTGTGCTCATCCTGGGCTATCATTGCACCAGGCAGGGTTTGAGGAAGGTGCTCTGAGGCGAACGGATGCTGGGGCTGCTCAGGGGACTCCAGCCCGCTCCCAGCCAGCGTGCGTGCGACGCAAACCACATCATTTCCCCCTGAGTGTCAGTTTGGCAGCCTGGACGAGCTGCCCGCCGCGGTGAGGGAGCATGCAGTCTTGAGGCAACGCCGGCTGCAGTACCACACCTGGAAGGTCGAGGACTGGTGCTGCGCGCGCGTGCTCCTGGGTCCCAAGGTGAGTCAGGCACCTGCTTGGCAAGCGTGCCTTTGAATTGCGGGCGCATAATAAATGGGTTTAATAGGAGCGGCTGACTGTTGGACAATCAGAGCCGAAGCGGCTCACTCCACAAGCCATGGCTCTGGTGTCCAGCTGCTCACTGGTCATTGCAGATGCAACCCTTGCCTGTCAGTTGGCAGAGTCTGATCGCCATATTAAGTAGCTGTGTTTCTGCAGGTGCTGGGGTTTGGCGTACATAGGGAGCTGCAGCCTGCTAAGGACAGCTGCATCAAGAAGGCCTGTGACAAAGTGGAGGAAGGCATGAAGAGTAAGCTACGTATCCACTGCAAAACCTGCTGTCATGCCTGCCTGCCTGCTGCTAGGCGCAGAAACAAAGAGCACATATCTTTGCATTATGAACTTGCAGCAACAAGTGGATTGCCCCTCGTGCTGATCACAGTGTAGTGTCGCCAAGGCTTCAAGGGAGTGTGGTGCTGAATGCTGCCATGTGCTTGCCAGGGGGGCTGACGTGGCTAGATGATGAGCAGCCCGTGGATGCGCGCTCAGCCATTAACAGAGCCGAGCACTTGTACCCCGGCAGGCTGCAGTGGGCCAGTGACAACCGGTGCTTTTCCTTTTTCCTCTTGTATGCTTGTTAATGTTGAGCAATGCATCAGCTGTGATCAGCCCAAAGTGGTTGAAGAGACACAAGGCAGTGCGAGCGCGATGTAGGGAGAAATGGCTGCCTAGGAGTGTCATGAAATGCCTGCAATATACAAGACATCTCTGATTGTGAACGATGGGCAGACATCAAGGTTCATGTCGAAGGCTGAGAGTTTCATTTGTGTTGTTCCCATGCAAAGGATTCTTGCGGCTGAGTCATCTTCGCCTTCTGTGCCAGGGATGGGGACAACAAAAAGGCTGTGAGACTGAGCCTGGACAACGGAGCGCTGACGGCGGAGGCATGGGCGCAGACAGAGGTGCAGGCAAAGCGGAAAGTGGCTCTCTGCGTCCTGCTAGAGCTGGGCTGCCCCTTGGATGACACTGAGGACAAACCAGGTAGAGAGCTGCACACATCTCTTTGGCGGCATGCATCTCTAGAAAGTAGCTGCTTGAAAAGTCAGTGACACAGAGGAAACACTAGGTAGAGAGCTGCACACACTTCTTTGGCGGCATGCATGTCCAGTTTGGCTGCTGGAAATGCTTATATGCTGGAGCTGCTGTCTCACAGAACTCACTGCCTGCTTGCAGCTCTGAAGGCATCGAGTTGGGTGAGGAGGCGAGAGCCATTGGCGGGAAAGCCAACAACAGGGCGACCTTTCAGGGAGCCAGCAGGATGATTGTAATGTGCCTCTACCAGAAGTGGTTGGGAAGGTGGCAAGCAGTGGCTGTACTGGCATTTGCCTTCGCATGCCTCTCTTTTGTCAAGGCAAGTAGAACAGATGAGTTTTCGTCGGCGAAATGTTCAAGTGTTTGGATTCCTGTGCAGAGAGGAGAGGCAGTATTCAAGATAGTCAGCTTCCAGAGAATGTGTGGTATCACAGACACAGTAAACAGGTCTGGCTCTTGCAAGGGCCATCAAGCAGAACCTGTTTGAACCTGCTTGAACATCCATGATATCTCTTAGATAGAAGACTATTTGTGTATATGTCCTGTTCAGGGTGTTGGTCAGTACTGGCGATTCAAGTACACCACCAGAGATGGAGAGATTTTGGAAATTAAGTACTCCTTGTCTGTAAAAAAGAGACCTTACACCCTTTGTAGTATTTGCAACATTGTTGATCCTCAAGAGCTTGCAAAGTTGCTTCCTCCCTATTTATAGGACGGATACTGTTAGGGTACAATCGAGCGCCATTCTCCACTTCAATGATAGATGCTCGGCGGAATAAGCAATGCTGCTGCGTTGAGAGCTGTGATGACCTCAAGAGGACTTTCAATTGACAAAAAGGTCCTGTGGAAGGCTATTCTTGGACAACTACTCGAAGGCTTGCTCGGATGAATCTGGCTCATCCTAAACACAGCAGGAGTATGTCACTGATTATCCTGGGACAATGATAACATCCAAGATTAAATCCATGCGTCCATCGGCTTGGGGTGCAAAATATTTTGCGTTCGGCTCATGAGCGATGCTCAATCCCCACAGTTAGCGGGCCTAACCTGGCGGCTTCCTGGTGTCGCCGAATCTGAAATCTATGTATCCTCTGATGAAAGGTGAGATCCGCTAAGAGTTTCTAGCAATGATTGTTTCACACAAGGTTGAGACCGTCTCTGGCAGTGGTGTGGCTCTGTGCTATCCGAAACCGTCGGTCAGCTCCTTTTTTGCACATGCAGGTGGCCCGATCACCAGGAATTATTCCTGCCTGATCAAGCACAATATCAGGACAGCAAAAGAACTCACTCTTTCAGACCCCTATGGCCCACAGGCCAATCTGCAGATCTCAACGTGCGGGGCATTGAACGTGTCCCTAATCATGGACAGACTCCTTCTCGGCGCTCCCATCTGTGCATGCCAGAGGCACGCGTGCCCAGTCTGGGACGGAGGCAGAGCAGAGGGCAGAGCAATGCACAGCAGCCATGCAGGGCCAGTCCGTGGTCCAGCAGTACAAGGAGCCATGACCGGCTCAGGCCCACCCAGCTGAGCCCTCAGCTGGGGTGCAGCCCTGCATTCAAGCGGGACGTTGGAGGACGTTTAAATGCGCTGAAGCAGTCTAAGCTATTTCAGCCTACCTCCCATGGCTGGCCGGCTCTTGCTCGGCCACAAGTAACCATGCCGCCTGACAGAGCAGCCGCGCTGTTGAGAAGCCTGGGCCGCTTCTCAAGTGTTTCATGTGCGGGGCAGAGGCCGGCAGATCTCACAAATAAATCGCACATGCTGGAGACCTACCTGCAGGATGCTCGCAGGCTCAGCATGCAGCCCAGCCAGCCCTGTATGGGGGACAGCGCGAGGACACCCTTCCAGGAGACGACAGAGCTTGACACATTCAAGTCTTCTGTGCATTACGATACAGTACAGCAACATAGAGACGACACTCCAACGTCTTCTCTGCCTGTCCCGCCGAGAATATTGCGTGAAAATAAATGCATACAAGCAGCATCAGCAGGTCTAGTAAAGGAGCATGCTGCGGGTGAGAGGGCAGTGCAAATCGATGGCGAGCCAACGGCCTCAGAGTGGGGATGGGCGCCCAGCATTGCAAGCACTAGGAGGTCAAGGGCGACAGCTATGGGCAGCAGGAATCTTGGATATGCACAGATGCACCTGGAGCGCATAGCTGGGCGGTGAGATCTTCATGGGCATGATGAATTTGGGTGATAGAAACTCCATTTATCATTGAGTGCCCTTGTGGGATCCGAAAACTATTATGCCCGACTCTCAAATTGTGTATGCCTGCTGCAGGGAGAAGAAAGGGAAAGCCCCTTCCTGTCATGCGGCCCCATTTGCCTGCCAACGGACAGCATTCAATTATCCAGTTATTGCGCAGCCACCTGTAGATTCCTTCTCCCCAGGCCAATAACGCAGATATAAACAGCAGCTGTGGCAAATGTGTCGTGCATCTTCATTGGTCTATCAGTTTGCAGATTTTCTAACGGCAAATTTTACTAATGGTCCAACTAGACGATCCTTCCGTATTCTGGCACCATAGCATGTTGACTGGCGGCTCCAGTCTGGGTCTACCATGATCATGAAGGGGATGTGACCCAGGCTTGCACCTTTAGTGCACACCAGGCTGCCAATCTTCTGGTCACGCCATCATGTTTTAGAGGAGCGAGACAGAGTGATCTTATAATATTACATAAAAACATGATGGCTTGCTTCTGGGGGAAATTTCCACGACTTGCCTATAGGTATGCGTTTGCCTGCAATGAGGCAAACATGGGATCTTGCTAAACATCGGATTGTCAACGCTGTTTGGCTTCCCTCATGTCATTATCCGTTTGCCTGAATGCTGCCACAAGTGCAGTTCTGTCAATACTTTCCACCATCCCGAAATGCAGCAGCACGCGCTTGTGCACCCGCGTTTCTTCCAGCAAAGCATATGCAGCACCAGGGATTTGTTTGTGCTTAAAAAAATGTCCAACATGGTCTGCTATGGCTGACTACCTTAGAAACTGGCTACGTCCTGCTGTACTACTCCGACACATCTTTGCAGAAACTCATATTCTTATGAACAGTGTGGGACGCCTAGGCACTATAAGAATGGTGACACCTGCCGTCTCTTACTGCCAGCACCTTGAAAGCATCGAGTACCGCGCAGCACCATACTGCAATCTGCTTGCTGCACAAGGAGCAGCTTCCAGCAATAACACAAAGCAGCAGCAGCTCTTTGTTCTCTGGGGCAGCAGAGGCTTCCAAATGGTGCCAGCCCGTATGTTAATGTTTGCATTCCAGAACGTTAGGCTACCACTGCATCGCTTGTTGCTTCTGAGGTGCGCTCGGCTGGCCAGAGCAGATCATGCCAGCTTGCTAGTTTGTGTCCTTCTTGCTCCTGAAGCTCTCCCGCAGCTCCTTGAAGCGGCGCATGCACTCCGCCTTGTTCTTGCCCGGCACGTCCTGGGACACATTCTCCCAGCGCTCCTTGTCATCCTTCCCAAACTTCTTCAGCGCCTGTCGCACAAGCAAATCCCACATTCACTCTCTTCCCTTGTGTCAAGTAAAACCATCACTTTTCCCTTGACAACCCACAGATACTGCTCCTTACATCTCAAGCACCTCACTGTTATCATGTCTAATCCACAGTCAAGGTATATGGACATCAATCGTATTACTAGGGAGGCCAGTGAACAGAATGATGATTCAAAACAAAATTCAGATAGGACGAACAAGGGTGCATCATGAAAGATGGTACAAAAACACCCTTTCAGCAGATTGATCAAGGGGGATCTATGTTAGATATAGATCCCCCTGGATAGATAGAGAAATGGTTGACCTGCACGAGGGCGAGCTCCTGCTCCTCGGACCAGGCGCCCTCCTTCTTGGCGGGGCTGGCCTTGCCGTTGGCCGCTCGCGCGCGCGATCGGCCGCCGCCGTTCTCCGTCAGCGCCTCCTTAGCAGCCGCCGGCATCGGCGCCGGCGCCCGCTTCGACGCTGACCGCGGCGTCCCATTGCCATTTGCCTGCACCGCAAGCCGCTTCGCATCAGTGACCCAACCCTGTGTGGTATTTCTGTAGGGCATGGCAGCCCACAAGCAGGCATTCACAGACGTTTCAAGAACCTTCAATCCACTAGCTCCTCTCACAGCAAGGAATCACCTGGCAAACGGCCCTGTTGTGGTGCACTGCATCAAAGATGACAGCTTACGTGCCCTGGAGCTATTCCGTTTGCAGAAAGGAGAGGACTTTAGCGGTGGCAGGCTCGGGAGGGCAATGAGGACTAGCAAATTTATCGCTGTGTACCTGAGGGGCGGCGTGGCCGTTGGCGAGTGCAGCGGCTTCTGCGGGGCCTCCGAGGACGGCGGCTGCCTTGCCCGACAAGTTGACGTCCACATCTGTGAAGGCCTCCACCCGCTGCGTTGCGTCCGACGCAATCGTTGTGTTCCCCTGCGCTCACACAATGACCCATCAAGACACACCCTACACCCTTCTTCTGTTTAATTGTGGTGAGCCAGCTCTTCTCAGCTCTGTACAAGGAAGACTCCAAGAACCTCCTGCTTGCCGAGATGCACTTCTCATCTGTAGGCTAGGCAGCGACATTCGCACGCAGCAGGATACGGAAAAGGCGTGAAAGGGACCGCCATGAGGCAAGGGCAGGGGCAGACCTGGCGCTTCTTGGCGACGGCGAAGTTGTCCTGCTTGGGCGCGAAGCGGCCGGCCTTGAGGCCGTGCTTGACCATGTCCAGCACCTCGTCCACTCCGCGCGTGCGAACATAGCCCGCCACTGCCTCCCACCTCTTCACAGTTCCCTGCAGGATAAGCTCAAAGCATCAGCCTCACAATCCAATCCCGCGCCACTGAAGCACAAGCATGCGGACGAGCACACCATGATACGCATCACTCGCCCTGCTCATTCAACAGTGTGTATGCAGACTCAGCAGCACAAGACAGGAGGCACGCGTGCTGGAGCTGAGAAGAGATGAATTATCATGTGCCGCAGTGGATTGCCCCATTCAGAAGTCAGGCTGGTGTGTTTAGGGCCAGTGAATCATAAAACGAGGTAGAGAGGAGTGCACCTGTGGGAACTTGTCGAGGGCTTTTTCCAGCAGGCGCACTTCCTCGTCGGACCACTCCTTGGCCTTCTGCACCTTCTGCCGTTCGGCCGCGCGCTTGGCTGCGCGCTCCTCGGCAGCCGCGCGCTTGGCAGCCTCCTCCTTAGCCCTCTGCTCGCCGTAAAGTGCGCGCTCCACCTCGCCCACCCGCTCCTGAACATGAAACCCTCACATGTCAGCAACTCCCTCGCCTTAATAATTTGAAGGGGTAACGATAGCGTAGAAACCCTTCGATCGACGTTTGCCCTCGGGACCATACATCATGGAGGCCCCTTCCTTGAATCCTGCTGCGCAGACTCTCCCTTGATGGTGGACATGGTCAAAGCCTGGGCTTGCCGCGTGCCCAGTCATCTGGAAATCTGCAATGAGCTGGAAACAGGGACATTGATGCCTGAACAAGCTTGAAACTGACCTTGAGCAGGGCCTCCTTTGTGGCGGCGGTGGCGCCCTCGGCGGACAGGCTGGCGTTTATGGCCGCCAGGTCATCCTTCTGCAGGTTGGAGCACAGCAGCTCTGCCATCTCATCCACAATCGTGCCTGCGGGTATGCACAAACAAATTACAACCACAGCTACCACATCAATGGTCACTACTGCCATTCCTTCGTTGGAATGACCTGCGTTGCTTTAAAAGTCCGCAGGGTCCATCCTAGGCCCCATGATTCTGCAGCACATGCGTCATCCTAAGCATGTTAGAGAGTACATTTCTTGCAACTCGGAAGTAAATGCAAAGTGGCTAAGCGGGGCTCAGGCGCGCACCCATGTCAGCACAGAGGCTGCGCAGGCGCGAGCGCTCCTTCTGGGTCGCCTTCTTCTCTATCTGCCGGACCTTGCGCGCTTCGGCGGCTGCCTCCGCAGCGGCTGCCGTCTCGGCCGCCACCCGGGCAGCCTCCTCTGCGCGCGCTTTCTCCTCTGCCTCCGCCTTGCGCTGCCTCTCAGCCTCCTTTTCTCTCTTCTTCCGGTCCCTGCCCAGCAGCCATCACATGATCAGCACTCGCACCGGAAAGTGGGATATCCACAACCATTTGCTCTCACCTAAACAAGTCGTGGTGTTGCAATTTATGTTGTGATCCAATGCATTGTGGGACCAACAGCTAAAGGTGCTGACATGCTGGCGCGATTACTTCATACCAACTCAATAATGTCGCTAAACAGTACTCGAGTGCTTTTGCTGCAAAAGAAACCATGATGGGCATGTCAGGTCAATGTGCCAGCGCACCTCTCTGCTCGCTGTGCCTCTTTGTGCGCTATGACGCGGGGGTCGCATCTGTATGCGTTCTCCACAAACTCCTTCAGCCGCCTCTTCTCTTCCTTCTTCCCTGCCTCTCTCAACTTTGAATTCATGCGTTCGAGCCACCTGCGCCACAGACAAAAACCCCCATTGTTTAAAACCAGGCTCACCAATGCTTCCAACTTACAAATCCAGACAGATCAGGCGCCACAGCAAGCGATGGCGCCAGACAGAAACATGCATTGTCATCCGAAAGCAAGGAGGCGGAGAGGCTGGATCGCTATCCAATATACCCCACATCATGCCATTGGCGCACCAGCAACAATGGGACGCACACACTTGTTTACGATGACAAGTGGCACACCTCTTCTCCTCTCTGCACTCTGCCTGCTCCACGTCCTCCTCGTCGGGATGGGGGAACTCGCGCCAGGACTTGAAGCTGAACCAGAAGTCGTAGAACTTGTCCACGTCCTCCCAGGCCGTCTCATCCTCGCCCACCTCCGGTACCGGCGTCGCCACAGACCACCGGCTGTTGCGCCGGAACGCCGGCCCAAACACCTGCGCCACAACCGCATCGGACTCAGCTGCCAAAATAAAAGAATGACATGGGGTTGAGTCGTATCAGCTGTACTCAGTTGGGGCATCCTTACATCACCCCTTTCGCTGCCGATGACTGCAACGCAACCATGGCGACTGGGCCACCAGGTTAGATTGTTCGCGTTTGACAACTGTTGGGGTCACCCAGCTGATATAGCCATGCCCCTTTGCCTGCAAATGAAGAAGGTACATGGGAGACTCCAAAGTGAGGTTATAGCAAATCGCCAGCCCCGTACTTGGTACAGAAGAGATGGCACCCATGCAATTCACAAGAGCATGGGAACAATGAGCACTCTCCAAACGCGAAATAAGCACAGGGCAGGCAGGCTGGCCGGATCGTTAGGCACCTTGATGAAGTCCTCGGGCGCGCAGTCCATGGGCAGCGTGTCATCAAAGTCATCGGTGGAGTCAAACTCCCTGCGCCTGGCCGGGTCGGAGAGCGTCTCATAGGCTTCCTGGATGGCCTTGAACTTCTCCTCAATGGCCTGCTTGGTTGCCTCATCCGCGGAGGCCGCCCCTGCCTTGTCCGGGTGATGCTCCAGTGCTGACTTGCGGTACGCTGCACAATGAAATCCATGGTGAGCAACAAGCGCTGCAAAGTATGAGAGTCTCTGCCACATGCCATGCTGCAGCATCTAAAATACACTCTGCAACGACAAAGGGGATGATATCCATCTTCACCCCATAAAATAGCATTAAATTATGTGCGAGCATTCATCAGGGCATTCACCAAGCTTGATCTGTGCGTCTGTGGCAGTCCATCGCTCGTTCTGCAGGCCCAGGAGAGCGTACAGGTCCTCCTTCTCTGACTTTTTCTTCTTCTTCTTCTTGCCCTTCCAGCTTACTCTGCAGCCAACGGCAAAGCGAGAGTGTCAGTGTTTGCGGCGACGGCTACTAGGGAGGTGTGGCATATTCCCGAGATCAGATCAGGGGGTGCCGGCCCATGCAAGCGCTACTCACCCTGGGGGAGGCTGGTCGTCATTAATGAATGAGCCCTGTGATGGACTGGGCTTTACTGTGGAATCCTCCTGCTGAACAGCAACGTCCTCCTCGTTGGCTGCAGTGCAACAGATAAAGACACTGTAAGCACATCAAACAAATTGATAGCTCGCTCTGAGAGGATAGACGCGGGAAGAAAACGCTGATAATTCCTGCTGGGTAAGTTGAGATACTGTTTCCACAGGGGCTTGTGAAGTCAAGTATCTTAGACAATTTAAAAGATCTGTCTGATGGACTATCACTGATGCAAGGGTTGATCATTGTACTCTGTCATCATATATTGGGACAGCGTATCCATGAACACACCTAGCAATCCAAACTATGATTCACGCACACCTTGGTCGTAAACACGTGCGTCTAGACGACTATTTTATCTGCGCTTTGCGCAATCTTGGGTGCAGGTTGGTCATGTCATGATAGAGAAACTCACCAAAGAATCCGGATTGCCTGAGAGCATACTCATGAAACCTGTGCCCAGCAGCATCCTTATTTTTATGCTTCACTGGCGCCGCCAAAGCACCGAGCACAGCCTTCCCTCCAGGCGGAACGCCATCGACGTTATATTCTATAGCGAGCAGGAAGACCTGCTGGGCCATCTTGCGAGTCATCGCACTAGCATGGCACTGAATCGTTCGAGTCTCCTGACGACTCAACGGAGGGCCACCGCAAGAGGGCTTTTCCACGGTCATCAAACGGCGTGACAGAGAAGCATTTCCAAGAATGTAGAGAATGGTTTTGAAGATTGCAACGTTTGACGATCTGATATACAATAAACAAGAATGGCCTTGCAGAGATTAATTTCAATTGATTGAGAGAATCTGGGGCCATCGTGTTGTACATCGACGACCTGCAGATAAACAAGATCTCTACTCCCGCAATTGCTCATCGAGCATCGTTGTTATTGACCTGAATGTAGTGGTCACGTCGGTGGCCGCACGAGCAATCGCGCTGTATGCATGTAGCGTATTGTTGTGCTTCTCCTCTGCTGAAAACAGATGATCAAGTCCCGGGTTGTACTCGTGTTGATCTTCACGGCACAATTTCATAACAATGTCGTATTGTCACAGCTTAGCAATCCAATTGCAAGCAACAAGCAGATTGATGCGAGAAATAACAAGTACCTGCAACGCAGTGCTGATGAGGATGACCACATCGACCCTACGTGAGCATTTATTTCTCTGCCTGCGATCACAAAGGGATGATGTTTTCAAATTATTGGCTTTGCTTGGACCGAGGCAGTGCCGCTGCTACATGTACTTGTGGCACTGATGCTTGGGTACAACAGGGGCGCGGGTGATGAGGAGATCCCTCAAGGCCTGTGCGATACTAATATCAGGCTGAAATGGATGACAGAGGTCAGCTCGAGTGTGTATGCCACCCCCATCATCCATGACCTGCTCAGCGATGGCCACAAGGACATCATAGTGCCGTCCTTTGTCCATTATGTGGAGGTAAGCTCAACTGAATGAAGAACACATGCAGAATAGGGATCACGGATTCTTGTATCCTGTCCTCATGCCCCAATGATTGCAGGTGCTTGATGGAGTCGATGGGGCCAAAGCCTCAGATGACTCATGGCCGGCCTTCCACAAAAGTTTTGTGCATGCCTCACCAGTCTTATTTGACTTTGACGAGGACGGCGTACTCGATATTTTGATAGCAACTTACAATGGAGAGATTCTTGTGGTCAAGGACACGGTGGGTGATGCATGGCTCCCAAGGCCTGCTATTGAAAAAATCACAGACTGGTGTATGTGGGCTGTTGCCTCATCAGCGTGGTGCTCTTTGTCTGACACCTGTTATTCCCCCAGGGAGAAGTGTTGGCGGAGAAACTGGTGGTGCCTAGATTGAGAGTAAGGAAGGACTGGTACAAAGGCTTGGACGATGACCCCACTGATCACAGCCACCCTGACGTGGGCATCAGACCTGATGCCCAGGATGGCTCCACAGGTCTGCTTCTTGCTCTCACGTCTGCATGCAAATATATCCGGCTAGTCTCAGCCACTCTCATGACTTGACAGTGTTCCCTCATAACGTGCGCCCGACTCTTTCTTGTTTCGTGATGCTGCAGTCGAGGCAAATCTGACGGCGGGGATGCGGCGGCAATTGCTGGCTGTTAATGAATCGGGGAGCGCCCCTGGCGGACAGTCAGATCTGAGAGCAGGGCAGCGGCGCCTGTTGCAGGTGCTTTTAGCAATTTTGAATTCCTATTGTTATAGTATTCTCTGCTTATAGCCCCCTGCAAAATCAGGAGATGTGAACCACCCGGCCAGATAAAGAGACTTTTTTGTGGCTCTGCAGGCTGAGTCTAAGGTGGACATTCCGGAGGAGGCAGCACAAACATATAAGGAACTTTTTGAGGACCCACACAACGAGTGGAACGCGGAATTGGAGTCTGATGATGCTGCATCCTACATGCATGACATGGACAACCCAGGCATCCGCGGCCTCATTGATGGCGACGGGTTTGACTCAGGGGATGTGGCAGACTGGCACAGCAAGTGAGCCCCACTGGTTGAAGTTGCCATGACCTTATTAAACCTATAAAGGACCTCAGTCAATAGAGAGCAAAGAAGCCTGGGCTCTTAGATTTTGCCGTCCTGTGCTGCCCTAATGGTTTGAACTAATTGCAGGTATGTGCAGCATTATGACGATCACTATGTGGATGACTGGAAACCGCCCCCAGACATGAGTGAGGATGAGATGTGGGGCGATGAGTGGTTCTTTGAGGCTCCCCATGAGCGCGAGAAGGGCTTCCTGCGGCTGGATTCGCACATCATGAGCACTCCAGCCATAGCAGACATCGATGGGGATGGTCAGGCTGAGATAGTCATTGCTGCCTCATACTTCTTTGACCCAGACTACTATGATGATCCGGTGAGGCCCCACTCCAGGATCTCTGCACATCTTGCACCAAGCAGAGCCTGCATGATCGGGGGCAATCTGCCAAATTCCTGGAGTGCAGTCTTCCCCTTCCATCCACATCATGCATCATGGTACTGCATGGCTGCATGTCTCAGATGTACTTGATGCATGTAATTTGCCGCTATACCCAGGAGCACAAGAAGGAGCTCGGAGAGGACGTAGACGTGAGCAAATATGTCGCTGGAGGCATTGTGGTGTTCAACTCGAGGACGCGCACCATCAAGTGGCAGCAGCACCTGGACCTGTCCACTGACAGGACTGCCTTCAAGGCCTACATCCAGGCCTCTCCCACTCTTGCTGACATCAATGGTGACGGCAAGCTGGAGATTATAATCGGCACAAACATGGTGCGCCATAACCTTTGTTCTCATGCATCTGCTTTGAAGCAGTATTTCGGATTGCTCATTGCTTCACAGATGCATGCTGGTATTGAGCTACTAATTCCATGAAGAACATAAATGGCAGGAATGAAGGGTCCTTCGTGGGTGAAGAAGGGTCTTCGCATCTTGGACCGACCGATCCGCATTCAGTGGTACGGTAGTAGCCTGATACCTCGGCGCGGCAAACATTTAAGTGGTGGTGCGCGATGTCAGTCAACCAAAGAGGGGTAATTGATACGCTGTGGCTGGGGGTTGTTGGCAGGGATTTGTGTACGTGCTGGACTGCGAGGGGCGCACGGTGGAGGGCTGGCCGCTGCAGATGGGCGCTGTGCAGGCGCAGGTGGCCGTGGCCGACATCAACGGCGACGGCGCGCTCGAGATCGTGGCCGCCGACGCGCGCGGCAACGTGGCCGCCTTCTCCGCTGACGGCTCCGAGCTCTGGGAGCGCCACGTCAAGAGCCTGGTCGCCCAGGTAGGCCCAGCAGCCAAACACTTGGCGCGGCTGAATGACACCTTGATGGCTGTGACCACATCCAGATGTGCAGCTGACCCATCTTTTCACAGATACCATGTGGTATTTTGGACAGCAGCCACTCTTGGCGCCCATAAAGGAAGCAAAGTGGCATGGGCCACTCCAATGCACTTTCGTAGCCATCGTCTCCTGGACTTCAAGGCAGGGTTTTGTATTGCCCAGCCGTGCCAGCGACCAACAAGGCCATTCAGCTCAGAAGCTTGTCCCCCACTGTACTCATGGCTAATGTACTCCTGTACAGGTGCACCTCCTGAGAGGTGCCGCGCCACCCTCTTCCTGAGGCCACCCTGTCACTTGCAGGCGCCGTCGCTGGGGGACATAAACGGGGACGGCGTGCTGGAGGTGGTGTTTGCGAGCGCGTCAGGCGCCGTGTATGCGCTGTCGGGAGTCAGCGGCCACGATGTGGCGCCCTTCCCCTTCCGCACGCGCGGCCGCATCACCGCCCCGGTGCTGCTCGTGCGCCTGCGCGACTCCGGCCCGGCGCTGCACGCCGTGGTGCAGTCCTACGACGGCCACTTGTACGCCATCGACGGCGTCACAGGTGGGGCAGCCATGCGTGTTATAAAAAATAAATGAGGAGATACATTGACATGTAAGCAGTAGGAGCGCCAGTGCAAAGGGATAGGGCTCAACTGATACAGGGTTAAGGCCTTCACTGACTCCTCTTTCAACAACAACTCTTCAGTGCAATTCTATTCCGTGCCTGGTAACCATTGCCATTCGGTCTTGCTCCCACCGGTTGCGTTGGACTATCTTTTGCGCGAATCCCTTCATTGGTAGCTCGCAGAAATGGGCACAGGATGACCCTAGTTTCATGCCCTGAGAGAATGCTGCAATTTGTGAACGGCATTGCTGCATTTGTGTAAAAGGTTAGGACTACCATTGGGGCCTGGGTGTGCAGGCTGCGCTGACACGGTGGACATTGGGGAGACTGCGTACAGCATGGTGCTGGCGGACGACATGGACGGCAACGGGCGCATGGACCTCGTCCTGGCCACCATGAACGGCAACGTGTACTGCTTCGAGACCGCCGCCAGCTACCACCCCTTGAAAGCCTGGCCCTCCCAGGTCCGCCTGTCACCCCTCCTGCACAATCCAGCCCCTCTCATCTCATGTCCGATTCTCTACACTGCCCTCCCGACCTTGCAGATTTTTTCTGGCCTCTGAGGATCGGCAGGGGCTTTATACAGGCGCTAAGCTGGATGGGCCTAATGGAGAGCATGACCCTTTCAGCCCTTCTCTTTGTGGTTCTAAGTCATTGCCGGCTCGTTCATCACAATAATTTGGTAGCTGTAGAGAATTTTGCAAGTAACAACAATTTGGGGTCTTTGAAGATCGCTGAATTTCCCCTACATGCAGAGCTGCACAGGCTGTGCTGGACAAGAGGACCGTTCATGCAGGCCCTGCAGGTCGGCGGTGGAAATCTCTTGCTCCCTTATTTTCTGGCTGAGAAGATGACACTAGTCCTTGGAATGGTACAGGTGCTGGAGCACAGCGGGTTTGTGGCGAGGTACAACTGGGAGGGCGTGTATGCAGTGGCGGCCAGCAGGGCGCCGCGCGACGTGCGCGGGCAGACTCTGGCAGTGCGCTTCCAGATCATTGACAAGCGCCCGCGCAGCACTGTTGGCGGCAGGAACGCCACCGGGGGGCCCTACAACGTGGCTGTCAGGCTGCAGGTGCGCACCGCCATCCCCTGCCTGTGCAGAGATCTGCCCCTGCTATGGAATTCAGTGCTTCAAGCGTTCCTGAGCTCTGCTCACTCTGAAACCATGGAAGACTATTCTCTGCAGCTGAAGCAAGAGGAAATGCAAGACATGGCATTGCGAGCGCTACTGAAAAGAAATGGGCTATAGAAGTGCGTATGCAAGCTCTTATTCCAGTCCAATTTACATGTGCGCACTGGGGCCTGTGCAGGGTGTGGGTGTGGAGGAGATGAAGGCTGGCGATCAGCCGGTCATCGGGACGACGTCTGTGTACCAGGAGCCAGGCATCTACACCCTGGAGGCAAGACCCCACCTCTCCCAACAGTTGTGCAGCCTGTGCACCTCACCTGCGAGTGCCCTGATCTGTAAAGGTCCAGGATGCCCAGCGTTGATGCAGAATGATGCATCCTCGAGGGCATTGCATGGCACTCCTCCAACATGTTACTCATTGCATATTACTCACACTTAGGAAGTTTTGCCGGCTTGTTGCAGGTGCCATGCCCACGGACGCGGTCCACGGCAACTGTGCGCATAGAGATGGTGGACGAGAACAAGCAAATGTTTGTGGACACCTTTGCGCTGTCGTTCCACATGCACTTCCACCGCCTCTTGAAGTGGCTACTGGTGGCACCCTTTCTGGCCTGCGTGGCTGCAGTGCTCAGCCTGCAGTTTGACATTGACCTGCAGGATGCCCTGCCCTCCTTCAACAGGAGAGTCTCCATGAGTGCTCCATGAAGTACTGCACAGTAATTGCCAGTGCTTTGAGGCCCGAGCTCTTTGCGTTAGCCAACTGTCTTCAATTTTATAGAGTTGCTAGGCACTAACTTGAGAGTCTGAGCTTACCCTAAAATCTGATTGGTTTGCACGCTGTAAAAAGTATCTGGGAGGAAGGAAGGAAGGAAGGAAGATTACATCACTCCAGCCGCCTAGGGCTGATTGGATGAACTGGCAGCATCCAAATAATCAAAACAATCCATCACAAAATGTGCAACACCAACAATGTCCAACTGCCACATGAATTGCTGCATCGTCACAATGGCTGCACCAAACAGCCCAGGATATCTGTCCCGAACAGATTGCAAGGCAGGGCACTCAAACACAAGGTGGCGCTCATCCCCAATAACCTGCTGGGCACAACGCATGCACAAACGCTGGGGCCGGGGAATCCTTGCCCAGCGGCCCGAGACATTGGGCAGACTATGACAACCCATCCTGAACTTCAACAGTATACGCAAGCAACGGGAGGAAAAGAAGGAAATTGCATGGGTACGATTACAAACTTTATGTTCTGCCGGCCTGACCAAATGACCTCTGTGCAGCGACCGTTTTTGGACATTCTAGGTGCACAAGTCACATCCAGAGTACCAGCTTGTGCATTTTCAGACACGCAATCAACAAAGCTTCATCATTGGAAGGAATCTGCAATTTTCGGCTGGGCAGATCGCATGGAGTTTGTTTAGGGTTGAGGCTCCATAGCTTGGCAGTCTGCACTAGAAATGAGATCCTCATCTATTCAAAGATATAGCAGGCTTTTGAATCGATGGACCGCGTCCCTTTGGACTGTGTCCTCGAGGCAACTGTCAACAGGAGATGCTTTGCAGGCACATTACTCTGGGTGAGCTTCGCCAACACTCTCCAAGTAGAGACATAAAATTTGAAGGATGCAATACTCTTCATCTCTCCTCACATATGTTGGTCCCATTTTCCTTGCAAGACGACGACACCAAAAGGTCTAGGTATCCTTGAACCTGACGCCTGCTGGACAACCTTTCCAGAGTACATGCCCAGCCCTCTGCAACATTCAGACCATTTGTACATCACAAAAGTCTCTTCTTGTGGCAGGATGACTGGAGTACTTGACGTTCCCAGGAGAGGGTCTCCCTGGCTGCAGCTGGGTGGTCAGCAGCGCTTCTTCAGCGACCTTCCACCCCATACAGTGAGTTTCTATCCTTCATTGCTGAGATCACAGACTCACAGTCTAGTACTGGGAAGCAGCCCAGAAGTGCAGAGCATGACGGCTGTGTGGGTCCTGCTTACTTACGATTTGGAGGCTATGGCATGAGTGCAGGAACTACAGATGCCAGCACTGTCACCGACCATGTCGCAAGGCAATATTGCCACCTGGAAGGTGAAGGAGGGCCAGGAAGTGACTGCTGGAGATGTGCTTGCTGAGGTGGAGACAGACAAAGCCACCATGGACTGGGAGAACCAGGCAAGCCTTACCCTTGAAGGACAGGAGTACATTGTCCTTCCCTGACGGAATTGGGTTGCCGGTGTCTTGTTACCAGAGCGGAACAGGAGCCACAGGTGCTGGTACACGATTGAATGGCTGTGAAGCATGAGCTTATATGCCATGCATGCTACAGGACGACGGCTTTGTCGCCAAGATTCTGGTGCCGGATGGCGAGAAGGACATCTCAGTGGGCACGCCCCTTATCGTGCTGGTCGACGATGAGGAGTCAGTCGGAAAGTTCAAGGACTACAAACCTTCTGGGGCGCCCGCAGCAGCACCCAAATCAGACGATACCTCCTTGGAAGAGGAGGCTCCCTCGGCACCAGGTATGTCTTGCCACGCTCCACACTGGATCTCTGAAGCTACTTTGTCAGCATTTTTGCAGTTTGAAGCATTGAGCAGCTCCTAAGAAGTCGCTTGTCTATCTCTGTAATGCTGCAAGATGTCCAAATTTGGTGATTTTGGTTGGAGATTTTGAGGCAACACCGGCGTCACATACATGCATGTATGATGGTGTGGGATCGCCTGGCAGGGCCCAGCACGAGCGTGCCGGCTTCTCAGGAGGGCGGCAGCCCACAGCACTTTGAGGTGAACCACCGAATCGGCCCCGCGGCGGCCAAGCTGCTGCGCGAGAGCGGCCTGCGCGCGGACGCCATCCAGCCTACTGGGCCGCACAACATGGTCACCAAGGGCGATGTCCTGGCCGCCATCGAGTCCGGCCTCAAACCGTCCCCCAAACCCCAGGTGGCCCTCTTGCTACTGCCACTGCTACTGGCCACCACTTCTCCATTGGCCTTGCGCATGATGTTTGGCGTCCACCACGCCTGCCTGGTGCCAGCTGATGCAGAACAAGAGCGGTGCTGCAGTTGTCCTCCAGGAACACGGGAATTGATGCATGTGTACCAGGGCGTGCCAGTCACGGTGTCGGTGTGACAAGTGCAGGAGACGAAACAGCTGGAGAAGAAGGAGGCTCCTTCTGCGGCGCCGGCGCCGCCGGCCGCGTCGGCCGCGCCGGAGCAGGAGCAGCAGCCGGCAGAGCCTGCGCCGGCGCCGGGGAGGCCGCGGAGGCGGGGGCAGGGCGAGAGCTACACGGACATGCCGAACTCGCAGATCCGCAAGATCATTGCCAAGCGGCTGCTGGAGTCCAAGCTAACCGTGCCCCACTACTACCTGCGCGGCCACGCCGACCTCGCCACCGTCACTTCGCTGCGCCAGACGCTCAAAGACCAAGGCGCCAAGGTGGGCTTGTTCATCTCTTGCCGAGCTGTCTGAACTTTTATTTAGATCTCTGTGCTGGCGCAGAGGCTGTCTAGGAAAAGAAATGTTCATGCATGTCTTGAGAATGGCCTGTTGTGCTGAGATCTGAAGCTTTAGTATTCACCTGGACAAACAGAGAATGTTTCTGCACTCTTTGTAAAACGGTGGTGCCAGTTCGTGTTTTTTATGTTGTTTTGGCGCTAAAAATTCTGCACTGGTCAGGTGTCGGTGAACGACTTCATCGTGAGGGCGGTGGCGCTGGCGTTGGTGGATGTGCCGCGCGCGAATTCGCAGTGGGACAGCAGCCAGGGGGAGATTGTGCCCTGCCCCAGCGTGGACATCTCCATCGCCGTGGCCACCGACAAGGGCCTCATCACGCCCATCGTCAAAGACGCCGACAAAAAGTCCCTCACCCAGATCTCTGCAGAGGTCCGTGCAATGCCCGCCCAATTTTGTGCTTGCATTTGCGTGTTGAATCTGCTGTTATGCATGCTGGATGCTGTGTCTTGACTGCTGTGTGCCTTGCTGAGTGTGTGTGTGTGGAGCAGGGAAGTGTGCCTGCTTGTTCATGCTCTTGAGTGTGTGCTGATTCACTGAGTGACTGCTGAGTTTCATGTCTGGACGTGATATGTCTGTCTCTTCTTTGTGCCTTGCTGAGTGGATGCAGAAGCAGGGTCGTGAGGGGATGAGTCAGGTGTGAATTTTGAGAAGGGTTTTGTGTGACAGGTCCGGGAGTTGGCTGGCAAGGCGCGAGCGAACAAGCTGCAGCCGCACGAGTTCACGGGCGGGTCCTTCACCATCTCCAACCTGGGCATGTTCAATGTGGACCGCTTCTGTGCCATCATCAATCCTCCTCAGGTAGGTGTTCTGTCTGTGCATGCGTGAAGATGCAGTTGACGTGCCCTTGATGAGATGCAGCATGTGCTGTGATAACATGGGGCGCTGATGTGCGTTTGGGATCCTGGGAGAATATGCATATGCATGAAGTATGCCTTGTGCTGCTCGCAGGCGGGCATTCTTGCTATTGGAGGCACTCAACATTCTGTGAGCCTAGAACAAGGGCAGCCTGTGGGCAAGGCTGGCATGACGGTCACATTGAGTGCGGACGAGAGGGTGATTGACGGGGATGTTGCCGCGGACTTCCTTGCTGCGTTTGCCAAGGCGATGTCCAACCCCGTCAGATTACTTAGTGTGTGAGGATTTGTGCGAGGGAGAGGGGTTTAACAGTGCTGAAGGACGCTAGTTGATGACCGGCTGGTTGCCCATGCAGTGACTTAGATGGTCTTATTGTAATGCTGTTGGAAGATGAGCAGGACATCTGCATTATGGACTGACGTGCCTTACATTATCTGGGCAGTTTTTTAGACCTAATGCATACTGCAACTCAAATGTATGAGAGAGTTGGTTGTATACAGTAGTGCAGTTTTGCAGCTGGTGGTGCATATGCATTCAAGGAGAGGGAGTCGACGATGCAGATGCATGTGCTTGATCACTATGTGAATCATTATTTTTCCATAAATGAAATCGTTACAAGCTAGTGTGGCACTGGATCTGCATCCCAGCACCTGTCAAAAGGGCACAGATGGTGCACAAATGACAAAATCACCATCACATAAACATCACACTTGAAACCAAAGGCATGTTCTGAACAAGACATAGTTTGCTATGGATGCCTCAGAGGGCTAATGTACAGTCATACCACATCGACATATCACGCTGCCTCTAGAAGCTCTCCTTGGAAAGCGAAATCGGTCGCGGTTCTACACAAAGGAAGAAGTGCCCTGCAGACAGAGCATGGCACACCCAAGGAACAAAAGAAACACACCATGCCGTACACAACATCGGGTGGCATTCTCAAATGGATGCACAGCTGTTCCAGCAATCACAAGGTATGGGGAGGGAAGCCTTCTTACAGTGCTGTGCTGCCCACTCTCAGGAGTTTACACCTTCCAGTAGTGTCGACCAGGGAATGTACAAAACGAAAACACTCTGCACTCACCACACAAGAAACCCCAAAGCATAAACAGGCCCAGCAGAAGAGTTGAAAGGCAAGCAGATCGCTGCAAACCTGTGATCTGCCTCCTCCAGAAAAGCTGGTCCACCCAAGATGCGCAATAATCTATCATCCTGTGATTAAAGTCTTTGCCCAAAATATCTATGCAAAGTGGTAGATGAGCCACCACTGAAAAGTTGTGGAAGGAAAGCAGCAGGTATGAGCCAACCTGCCATAAAGTTCCTGAGGCCCTTCGACTGCCGCTGCATTGAACAGCGCCTGCACATTTGCCAGCAAATGCCCGCATGCAAATGTGTGAGGCAGAGCAAAAGGCAGGCAGTCCACAAAAGAACAGCACACCTTCCACATGGCGACTGTAGGCTAATGCTAAGGAATTAACAACACCAAACTGCCAGCTCCGCTGATCCTGCCATCTGTCAGCATCCTTGAAGAAAGAAAGCAGCATCTTCCAGACATGACCCAGCAGGAGTGGAGCATGTCAGCGTCAAGATACCAGCAATTACCTCCCTCAGGAAAGTTGCCGCAGCATTGCTCTCGCAGCAGGAACCGCAGCCCCCATCTGTTCACACAAGACACAGGCATAAAATTGCATCTTGGGATACAAAATTGCCCTTGGCTGTGTCTTTTGTTGCATCACCATAACGACACAGGTTCCTTGTAACAAGCTCATCTCAGCAGATCTGAGAAAGCATTACCGTGCTGCTTGATTCTCCGCTGCTTGTTGACCTCGGTACGGCGGTCATGTCCGAAGCCCATCTCAGAAAAGTCGCCCACCCTGTGCCAGCAGCAGACACCAAAGCACCAGAAGCATCACCCAGAAGTTCCTGGGTGCCTCAAGCACGAGAGGGCCATGATGATGCACGACAGCAAGATGTGCACTCAGGATGCTGCAGTGCCGGTAGGTACACTTAGCCAGCTACAGACACGTCATCGTTGATCTTCTGCGGCCATCTCCTGATCCCTCTCGTCCTCATCGCTCACAGCTTGCCCATGCGCATCTTCTGCTCCATTGCGCAGCTGCTCTTGCAGTAGGAACAACCGCTGCACAGCCAGATACATGGGTCATGATGCAGCACGCTAGCACCAATTATTGCCTGAATGACAACCGCACGATGATGCTGCCACCGCATCATTGGCATCTGGCACATGCTTCATAGCAGCCAGGCACGCGAAAATTACCTCCTGCAGATCAAGGTTCTGCTGCTTCAGTGCCATGTTCTCCTGCTCCAGTGACATGATGTAGGATGTCTGATCTTGGCGAGGCTTCAAGGCTGCATCTCCTTGCCCCTGCGCAACATACAGGAGCAACGAAATAAGAAACCATACAAGCCTTTGCACAGGACCCCACCAACAACAGCACAATGACAAAAACGCAAAAATATTTGTGCACATTTGAAAAGCAGGAACACTTTACATACCTCTGCACCAGGCTCCATCTCGCTGTCGCTGCTGTCTGAAGCAGAATCAGAAGCACTGGCGTCGTGCATAAGCAGAACCTCGTTGGTGCCAAAGAAGTCCAGATGCGCGTCCTTGTGCTCTGCCGCTCCCTGGGATGACGCCAAGCTTGCTCCATCATCTGGAAAAGACACACAATCATGTCAGACTCGTACATCAGCTCAGCCTTTCTTGCACAGCCGAAGGGTACAGGCCAGGACGCACATGGCAGCCTATGGCATATCTACCATGCTGAGTTATCACAAGCTGATGCACAGATGCTGCACTACTACAGTGCTTCTCAAGGGCCAAGGGTGAAAATTATGGCGGGGAGCAAAGCAGAGAGATATTTGAGAGCTTCCACAAGCTTCCATGGTACTACACGTCAAAAACAACACTATCATAGCGAACCCGGGTGCGGAGCAGACTCTTACCTTTCTGTCTGGCCAATATCATGTCGGTCGTCGAGTTGAACGGGGCGCGGGGAGCTGTGCGAGGCGTCTCCTGACCTGCGCGAAGGCGGTTCTCGAAGTTGGTACCGGCGCCTTGAACAGCACGCACACCCCAACCGAAACGAGATTTCCCGCTTTGCTTCGCACCCTGGGGGTAGTGGCGCTTCGTCCTCTGCCTGTTGTTGACGGCCAGCGCATCCAGCTGACTTGGATGGTGGACTTGACTTCCAGACTGCTTGCGCTTCTTGCTCCAGTTCCGCTTGCGCTTCTCGGTCAGGCGTCCCTGCGGATGAGATACAAACCCCTGCACGGGAGGTTGGGGCTGATTTTGGCGCTGCAGGCGCTGAGGTTGGTCCTGAGGAAGATATGAGGCAACACCTGCTGCAAAGCCTCCAGAGAGCATCGCCGGTCCCGGCGCCAGGTCCATGATGTTGCAAGGCAAATTTAACACTGCTGCGGAGGCCATCTGAAGACTTTTGAGAGAATTTTTGGCAAAAGTCTAGTCCTCCGGAGCTTTTTATTCGCACCATCATCGAAACCCTGCACCCCTGCTGGGCTGGAACAAGGGATTTAACCTCCTCTCTGTCTAGTCGAGTCTAGTCGAGTGGTCCCACGTTTGTCAGATTGTTACGGCCCGGCTCAAGTAGTATAGGCTTTACCTGGCGTCTACTGATCGATCTCGTGGATGCTCCTCCGCTTGCATCAGAAAACGCGTTCTGGAACGGCGCACGTAGCAAAGATCTAGATCGGTGTTATGGCCCCGTGAGTTCGCAGTCAGGTTATAACTCTCATACGCTGCAGAGAGAAGAATGGTTCGGAAAATGTAGTTTGTACGCTTGGACACGCGAGTCACAAAGGTATGATCAGCCGCGCCTGCACCGTGGGCAGGACGGGTGTAACCGAGAGTGCAAAGGCGGAGATAGGGCCTGCCATCTGCACGCGTCTGCCATTTTATGATGGAGATCTTTGTTAAAATCACTTGTTTGATCGCCACCTTCTTTGATCCCTTTCGTGGGTCCATGACGCGCCATGTGGATGTTATCGAGCATGGCAAACAGCGCTATCTTTTCGTGGCTTCTTTTCCTGCTTGTCAAGTAGCGTGACTGAGAACTCCGATAGATTTGGGTACTCAGTTCACAGTTTGAAAATGTGGGTTCGGAGCCCGTCGTGCTTGTGAAGGCTGTGTCATGATGCTACCCTTCTCTTGTTCGTCAGCAGGTGGATTGAGTGGGAGGGACGAGCTCACTCACCATGGCCACAGCATCGAGACGGCAGCATGTGGCGCACGCCATGCAAGGGGAAGACTTGGTAGAGGCAGCCTCAGCCCTGGCCAACCCTGCACGCAGAGCACAGCTGCAGGAGTCCCCCTCCACAATCCACCGCAACCTTGAGAATGTCACAGGCATCATTGGGGCTCATGACCTTGTCCACTGGCGCACAACCCTGACGGTCAGTCTCATCGCCTTCTTTCCCACCTGCCTTGCATGCATGGTCATCGATACACCTGGTACCCAAACTAGCTATTTGGCCTTCTCACAAGGTATGTGCATTGTTGCAGGTGAGGTCAGTGGTGCTGGCGGTGATATTTGGCAGCGTCTTCTCCATCATAGTGCACAAGCTCAACCTGACGGCCGGGGTCATCCCCTCCATGGGCATGGCCATCGCGCTCATCAACTTCTTCACAGTGCAGTCCTGGAACGCGCTGCTCAAGCGCTTCAACATCAAGACCCTCCCCTTCACGCCCCAGGTGCCCCTGCCACTGCCACTGCTGCATACCATCTTACGTATCACACCATGGGGATGCTAAACACAACATAGTATAGTGCTGTAATAAGCATTTTCATCGGCATCCACCTGATCGTGCATTGCAGGGGTTCTTCTTCTGATTACTGCCCTTGTGCTAACACAAGCTGTGCACCATGTGCAGGAGAATGCTGTCATGCAGACCTGTGTGGGTGCCACAGCGGGCCTGGCGTTCACCGGGGGTTTCGGCTCCTACCTGATCGCCATGGACCAACAGAGCTACCTCAACCTCGGCTCCACAGTGGGCAACTATGCCTCGGTGCGCGCACCTTCCAACCCCCCGCGTACATACACATGCTCCCTGTCACTTTCATCTTCCAGTCACTCTTAGTCACAGTACCCTTACGTCACAGGCTCACCCGTTCATGCTTACATGGCGTCAAGTGTAATAGTCCTATTTTGTCTCACCACATCAACAGGTGAGAAACGTACACCAATAGAGGGGGCTGACTGTACTTGTCCCACCGCCTCTCACCACAGAAACAACTTAAAGTGGTTACGACAAAGAGAGTGCCATAAATGTAACACACATATGTGTGGCGCAGGATGTGTATAATCCGGAGCTGTGGCGGACGATCCCGTACCTGCTGTGCATATCGCTCATCGGCATCTTCATCCTGCTGCAGCTGCGCAAGCGCTTCATCGTGGATTATGGGCTGCCCTACCCCTCCGGCACCGCCTCGGGTGTCCTCATCAACTCCCTGCACAAGATCGGCGACAAGACTGCCGGGCGCCAGGTAATCTTAATCCCTCTGAATTGTACGAATGCCAAATTTCAAGGAAACAAGCTTTTTGAGGTCTAATTGCATGCTTATTTTTGCACCCATAGTGGCAAATGGTATCATCTGATGCCGGACTGCAGGAGCTGAGCTGTTGAGGTCTGGAAGCACGTTGTCTGGGCGGCCCTGATGGCACATGCTGGTGCACTTTTGCTGGATGATGTCTTTGTCATATATAGTGTGATGCAGTATCTGACAGAGCTGCATGCATGCGCTGCTGTGCAGATGAAGACGCTGGGGACGTGGGGCTTTTCTTCTTTCGGCTTCTCCTTCTTCAAGTGGTTCTTCAGCGCCAAGGGGGAGAAGTGCAGCGGATTTGAGGGCTTCCCCACCTTCGGCCTCACAGCCCTCAAGTGGACCTGGAGCTATGACTTCTCCTTGACCTACATTGGAGTGGGTGAGTCCTGAGATGCTTTTTCAATCTAATCTCGATGGTTGTCCGATTGTCTTGCTCTGATGGTGAGCCCACCAGCACCAAAGAGAATGGCCGCTACCAGGCGATTAAGTGCAGTTCTGGGCAGTGTGCTGCTTTGATCTTGTGTGTTGAGGCTGAATTGGGGTGCAAAGGTGCCTGCCAGCGTCCAGGGCTGAGGTGATGTGCTGTGCTGCGCAGGCATGATCTGCCCACACATCGTGAATGTGTCCATGATGCTGGGGGCCATCCTGTCCTGGGGTGCACTCTGGCCCCTCCTGGCCACCAAGGCCGGCGACTGGTTCCCTGCCGGACTCAGTGAGCATGACTTCAAGGGGCTCTTTGGCTACAAGGCAAGCCCGTGTCCCCAGCATTGCCAATAGGAGGCAGAATGCAGATCCAACGCTGCTGTGACAAACACCTGACAGCAGAGTGCAGGCTGTGGGGCACAGGCATTGTTGCCATGATGCATTCATGCTCATCTCACTTCTGTTCCCAGCAGCATTCCTGATGAAGCAGATGTTCTACTCTATTTTGTGCGACGAAGTGTGACAGTGAATGTTCCAGCATGTGATGGCTGTCTGTGGGGCTTGACCTGCGCAGGTGTTTGTGGCCATGGCGGTGTTTCTGGGCGACGGCCTCTACAACTTCACCAAGATCGCGGTGGTGTCGCTGATCGCCATCAACAAGACGGTGCGCGCCAAAAAGGAGCAGCTGCCCGTCAGCCTCCCGGCCCCACACCCAAAGACGCCATCTGAGGCGGGAGGCAGCGCCGGTGACGAAGGATCGCCGCTGTCGGACACCGAGGCCGCCAAGCTGACGGAGCTGCGCAACCGCGTATTCCTATCGGACCCTGTGCCCTGGTGAATCCTTCATAACACTCAACTCTGGGACCTCTCTCGTTGATGGTGGAGCGACTGCGCGGATAACTCACCCACTCATGCCACTAGGATGCGCTTGTTTGGACCGGAGCATGGATGTGCAGAGGAAGATGTATTGGAAGTGTGCTGAGGGTGGGACTTGCATGCGCGCAGGTGGATTGGAGGGGTGGGCTATGTGCTGTTTGGGGTCCTTGGGGCGGTAGTGATTCCCCTGCTGTACCCGGCCGTCAAGTGGTACATGGTTGCCGTGGCATTCTTTAGCGCCCCTGTCTTCTCGGTGAGCCCCCGTGGCCAACAACATGGCAAATATATGAGCACCCTTTGCTCTGACTTCTTTAAGGCAACCATGTTGATGCGTGTCGCATGTCTGAAAGGAAGGTTGCCTCATGCAGGTGTGCAACGCATATGGTGCTGGGCTGACGGACTGGGACATGGCCTCGCTGTATGGCAAGCTGTGCATCTTTGCCTTTGCTGCCTGGGCAGGCCACAGCGGCGGCGTGACTGCCGGGCTGGCCATCTGCGGAGTCATGCTCTCTGTCACCTCAGCTGCCTGCTGTGAGTGGCCAACACCCCTTCTTAAATACCTCTCTTTGCTACTGCCAAAAGCTCATGTATCCTAGAACTGCTGCTCGACAGCTTTTGGGCATGCAACCTTTCTAGTGCGTCTTTGGCCAATATTTAAAACTGCGAAGAGTTGGGACATGGTAACCAGCAACCCTGAGCCATCCTGAAGTGGGGTTCTGGGGCCAAGGTAGCGATCGAGAGATTCAATTGCACAGAGGAAGGCAGGTACAGAAGTCTGACGGAAAGAGTGTGATTGCATGCAGCGCTGATGGGGGACTTCAAGACGGCGTGGATGACGCTGTGCAGCCCGCGCTCCATGTTCATAGCGCAGGTGGTGGGCTCCTTCCTGGGCTGCATCATCGCGCCCCTGACATTCCTGCTCTTCTACAAGGCCTTTGACATCGGCGTGCCCGGCTCCGCCTACCCGGCCCCCTACGCCACCATCTACCGCGCCATGGCCGTCCTCGGTGTAGAGGTGCGCCGCCCCTTTCTGACCTCTTCCTCACCCTTTTATGAGGGCCAGTGATGCCCTCACCTAAACAGCTGCCTCATGTTGCACTGCATGCTGGGCGTTCATCTTGTGATGACCTCTTTGTGTTGGCAGAACTTCGCTTCAGCCATTTCCACCTGTGACATGGAAGCGGTCTCTCATCAGAGACTGCCCAAAAAGCTATCATAGCATTGCTATCTGCAGGTGGTAAGACGGGCAAGCAAGTCATCTGCGATGGTTGAAACAACTGCTAAGTGAGTCCTTGGCTTTGCAGGGCGTGGCGGCGTTGCCGCAGCACTGCATGTCGCTGTGCGCGGGCTTCTTTGCTGCTGCGATCGCCATCAGCGCTCTCCGTGACGTGCTGCCGGAACGTTATGCGCGTTTCGTGCCCATACCCATGGCCGCAGCCATCCCCTTCTACATCGGCGCCAACCTGGCGGTGCGTGACACTTTTCTGCCTGTTGTTATTGACCCTCTTCTCCCTCCTTTCAAGGTCACCGCCAAGACTTGCACTTTCAGAGGATTCGCAGGCGATACTCAAGGATGATGACGCGAGCAAGGCCAGGCACTGCCTCCTTTGGGGCAGGATCAACCAGAGAGACTTGGTGCTTAAGGCAGCCCTTCTGTCATGGATAGAATATGCTCTGGTTGGTGGAAAAGGCGGAGGGAGTTGAAGGTAGATTGCGGTGACATTGTGGAGCCCTCTGTCATGCGTGCAGGTGGACATGTGCATCGGGTCGGTGGTGAAGCTGGTGTGGGAGCGGCGGAGGCCGACGGAGGCCGACTCGTTCGTGCCGGTGGCGGCTGCGGGCTTGATCGCCGGGGACGGCCTCTGGTCGGTGCCTGCCGCCATCCTGGCCATGGCCAAGCTCAAGCCGCCCATCTGCATGTCCTTCTCCCCCGGCTCATAATTGCTATAGGAGGAGCGATGATTCTTCACTGCTTCCTTGATAGGGACATAGAACTTGGACCTCTCTGACCGTCCAAAGGGTGCGACCGCGCGCCCTGTGACAGCTGCTCTCTTGATAGGGGCAGAACATTTGGGCCTCTCTGACAGCAGGAAGGTGCACCATTCTTGGACGCTTGCTCCCTTGAGGGGGCCACAACACTTGGAGCCCTCTGACGGGAGAAAGGGTGCGGCCACGTGCCTGTGCTAACTGCTCTCTTGATAGGGGCGCAGCACTTGGACCTTCAATACAGATACAGAAAGGGTGTGCAGATCCCGGTCCCATTCTTTGTAGATATCTTCTGTTGTTCTGGCGGTTTGCACATTCATCCTCGAGCCGGCCTTCTCGTGAGACCCATCCAGAGTGCTCAGCCCAGCTGGCTTTGATGGCTGGAGTCTTGCTGAAGCGTGCTCGTGTGCAGTGGGTGTCATGTAGCTCTCATTTCTGAGCACACTACTGTCCTATTCCGCGTCCCAGCACTAATTCTCAGACAGCTGCCATGGTGCAATATTGTTTCTCAGCTGTGTTGTTGTGGTGAGGCACAGAAACTGTAGATCTTGAGCCTCTGAGCAGGACTAGGGTGAGCAATTCTAGGTGGCATGTTAAAAATAAAGCTGGCTCTGACCAGCACTCTGAAGCGGCACAGAGAGCGGCTCAGACATGAACGCGTGAAAAATGACATAGTAGCAATATTTTTGCAGTGTCTGCTTTGCCAGCAATCTGTACCTGTACATTTGAGGATGCCAGACACTGTGCTGGACGGTGCTGAGTCCAGCAGGGTATTCTGACTGACTGTATTACTATGCTGCTGAAGTGTTTCAGAGCGTGTTCAAGAAGTAGAACAAAGAACCCCTGAGGAAGAACCAAATGAACAAAGGAACAGTGACCCTGTTGTGCAAATACTCTGAATAAAAAGCGTTGGGGTGGTATGCACGGAATGCTGTGAACTTGATAAGAGTATTCTGGGTCAATTGCAATGATGATGTTGCTGTCCACATGTGGGAGGTATTGAAGGTTTGTTTGGGTTGCGGCTTTCCACTGATTGTGCAAAGACATATGGAAGTGAATAAGGCAAGAGATCTCAAATTGTTCCCTTAAGACTGACCTGCTGATGGCGCCAAGGTCTTACAACTTCATTGTAAGCTATATGTCTTGTGCTTGGAAGTTCTGTCACGAATACGCTCTGCGCATGACTGGCATAACGCTTTCCTAAATTCTCCGGCCACACGCGAGGAGGGCCTGCATGGTGCCATCATCTGCCATCATACTGTCTGCGCTTCGCAGGGTCTCTGAGAATGCTGTAAGCCTCATTCAGCTTCTGGAACCTCCTGGACGCGGCTTCCTTGTCCTTGTCCTCCACCTTGTCCGGGTGCCACTTCATAGCCAGCCCCCTAAATGCCGCCTGCAACAGTCACACAGCTCGAACCTCAACACCTGTCCTTCTTTGCCGCTTCAGGGCATGAATATTGATGCTGGCCAGATGGCATAAACATGGCCCTGACCCTAGCCACAGCATGCCTACCCTGGGCCATTGCCAAGCTACCTCTGATCTGTCGTGATAATGGGTATTTGAATATCCTTTTCCATGGTTTATGCACAATTACAACGCCCTCCTTTGACGTTCAGAAAGACAGCATGTCAGGGGTCAACACGGCAGAGGCACGATACATATACCTGGATCTCCTGCTTGCTGCAGCCGGCCTCCAGGCCCATGAGCTGGTAGTAGCCGAGGCGATCGCCAGCGCTGCCCTGCTGCGCAGAGCTGCCAAACCACTCGGCGTTCTCTTGCTCGTCCATGCGCCGCCGCTCCTCTTCGTAGCGCGAGTATGCATGCACCCACTCCGCGTCCCACGCCCCTGCCCTGTTGCCCTCCGCATCCCTGCACCACAGGTGTTCCCTGTTGCAACCAATGACTAGTTATTTTAGTGCTCCTGCCAGCCCACCGGCCACACATAGTGCAGAGGAGCCTTTCCATGAGTCCTCATTCTGTTCCAAATGAAGACACATGCACGGCATACGCTTGACAGCGGGACCTGGGATGTGCCCTTCATCCCTGGGTGGCGGAGGGCAAAGAAGAAGTCTATGCATAACCGGCTGCGACTTGCAGGTGGTTGCCAGCTTATGTGCCAGCTCGTGGTTACCAGGTATCCTGTTGGTGTTCAAATAAAGCAGATTATGAAAAGTTCCACAAGAGGGGACCTGAGGCGGGGAATGAAGGGACAGGGGAAGGACCTGGTCTCCTCAGACTGCTGCCAGAAGGCGGCCCAACGCGCGCGCAGCCAGGTGAGGTAATGTGTAGCGACGCCGGCCAGGCTCATGGGCAGGGCAACGCCCCAGATCAGCGCCTGCGCGGATGCCAGCACGGCCAGCCCCTGCGACAGCGCCATCCCCGCGCCAGCCGCCAGACCCGCCAGCACTGCTATCTTCCCCTCGTCGTACGCGCGCGCCCCCGCCACCTGCTCGCTGTTCACCCCTGCACCGCAGCACACAGGGGGAGAGTGAACACAACTGCTGTACACAGTACTGAAGAATGGACAAGTGTTGCATTTAGCTTACCCCACAGCACCGCCGGTGACTTTGTTGGCGCGAGGACAAGCAAACAGAGCAATGGCGTACACAAAAGCGTTGGAGAGGGAATCTTGTCATGCCTGATCTGCATTGCACAGGGGCAACCATCGCCACTCTGCGTGCCACTCTCAATGCAGTATTTCATACAGCATGTCAGTCAGTCCTCCTTTCTTGGACCTCAGCGATGTTATATGTGGACATCAGACAGTGGTGGAAGCTTCATGCAAAAGTGAAAGACAGCAGATGCGCGGGTGGCTGCAGCTGACCTGACACAAAGGTGCGCATCTTGGTGCCAAAGTGCTGCGAGCGGAAGATGTAGGCGGGCACGTAGAGCGGCGAGGAGCGCATGGCCGTGATGCTGAAGTCCATGTCGACGCCCGCCACCCTGTCGCAGTCAAAGCTGCTGCGCAACAGGTCCTCTGCCGCGTTCCCCTCCTGGCACCGCATCCACTCCGACACAAACCTGCACACACCCTTCCAATGTTCCGATCCATTCTGTACACCTGCCCATCATGTGTACTCTTTCCTCGTGAAACGAGGAAGTCACTTCAAGAGAGAGATTGACATTGAAGCACACTGGCTCATGCTCTATTTCCAAGGGGGTTAGCAAGTGGGACTGCCTCTCCACTTATGACCCCCATGGGAATTCTTCATTTGTGAAAGGATAATGCCACTTCAGGTAAATGCAGCCAGCATCTCTTGTCAACACGATTGACGTGTAGAAAGTGCCGTGGCTGGCACCTGAGGGCAGTGCCGGGCTTCATGTGGAAGGGCCCCACGCGCCGCGTCTCTCCGGTGGCCGCGGACGTCAGCATGCGCGGCGTGAACTCCGTGGCCTGCGTCACTGTGCGGCCCGGCCGCAGCCGCTGCACCTCTGCGCGCGGATACTTGTAGCTCGCGTACACCTGGTGACATATCATTGGGTGCCCTGAAGTCAGAGAGTTCTTTGCATGACACCCGGCAAGTGCATGGAATATTGCTACATGGCGATGCATATATACCAACAATGGGCATCCGAATTTTCTTGTGCATTATGCTTGCTCAGCCTCAGCATCAAGCACAGGAAAACTGTGTGTAAGATGCCCAAAGTTGGCATGATCAGTCTCCTAGATAAACAATGCGCCAGCTCACCTGCATGCCCTCCTCGGAGGCGCTGTAGGAGCGCTCCCAGCTCTGCTGCAGCCTGACCTGGCGCCAGGTGGTGCGCAGCTGCTGCTCAAAGCGCCTGGTGGCCGGGTTGTACACCGACACCCACGCGTCATAGCCCAGCTGCGCCCCCTTCAGCACCACCTGGGCAGTCGCTGTCGTCACCCAGAAAGGCAGGAAGCTCTCCTTCACCTTCTGAAGCCCTGCGAGGTGCATGCATTGCTGAATTCTGCTATGCAGACCTTGCTGGCAACGTAGGCGCAAATTTCGCATCAAGAGACCCGGATGATATCCCCTGCTTGGATTTGTTGGGGCATCATTTCAGGGAGTCACCTGCAGAGGGCTGAGTCAGGAAGAAGTTCTCGCTGTGATAGTTCTCAAATGCCTGCGCGGCCTGCTCTCGTGGCTCCTGATGCAAGTCACATTGCATGCTTGAGATGTCTCAGATGATGGACAGTACTAAACAAGTGATGTGCAGCTCCCAAGCAGTGTCTCACCCGGAAAGGCAGGGCAGTGAGCTTGGCCTTTGGTGGCCCTTCGGTCTCTGTGGCTGCCTCAGCTCTGGTTGAAGTGGAGAATAGACTTTGGCCAGGTGTTCGCTCAGCAGCATGCGCTGAGTCTGTGCTGTATTGTGGAGGTCTGGAGTATATACAATACACAAGATGCTCTCCAGGTCGATCACCGTGTCTGACAAAGGCTGCGAAATGATCTGCTCTTCCTCTCACGAATTCATTGAAACCCAATGGGGGAGAATCAAGAATGCATCTGGGAACCAGAAGGCGGACACATCTCCCCCTCATTTCATTGAAGGGGGAGATGTGGTCGGATCAGCAAATTTGTAAGAAGACCTTATTGTGTTCGGCAGGTCAATAGAATGAAAATCGAACATTTCAAATCAAGGAAATCGATCTGATGTCGGCCTCTTCATACACACTGGTGCCAGGGTCCAGTCTCCTTTTCAGCCACTACTCACACCACGGACTGTAATTGAGACCAGCTCAATATACTCCCCAAGCTTAAAAACCATGATACATCTAGTATATTAATAGAATTTCTAATGTTGAAACATGTTTCTTTTCGTTTTGTCCTCAACTTCCTCAATCTTGGAATTTGGGAGGAACGCCCTCCGACAGAGTAGAATTCTATTCTTGGCTCCTGTGCCTTGGACATGCATGTCGAACCTTCTGCAGGGATTGATGTCCCATTCGACATGTACAGGGAGAAAGTATTAATCATGGCTGCGGAGACATCTCAAGTCAAGGCAGACAATGCTTCCCTCGTGGAACAGATGAAGCAGATCAGCAAGAAGAGTCACAAGTACGAGACTCTTCTATGGCTGTCGAATACACTGAAATTAACAATGCCTGATTCTTAAGAAATTAATTGTACGCATCCTTTCTGATGCGGAAGATTTGCCTTGCTGGGATTCCATGTTGATCTAGAACACCAGTTCACTGAGCACGGGTCTGCTGCTGGGCGCAGCGTTTCAAATGGCCTTGTGATGGCAAGGCTGGCCGTTGCGTGTACAGATGAAGCCCTGTACGCCAGGGCTCTGCATGCATTCTGGTACATACACTGTGGCATAACAGATGCTGTGGAGAAGCACAAGAGTCATCCGGGTACAGACTTGTTGGTTTCGCACCCCTGTTGTATGCGAATCTTCTCAGTCAGTGATCCCGATGCCAAGGCTCAGTTCTGCCATGCAGCACTCAAGAGGATTGCCGAGTTGTCTGTGAGGGCTGACAGGAAGGGCGCATTTGAGGCTGATCTGCGCTTCTTCCGAGGGTGATCACTCATCTCTCGAGGTCAAATCTTTTTCGGCATGAGATTTGTGCCTGTGCAATTGGGCATAAGGACTGGTGTGGCACAGTGAGACATGGAGAGCACGCGGGGGTACCCCGACACCACCAGTGAAGGCATATCTGGACCACCTTGCGGAAATATCTGAAAGGGATCCAGTGCTACTGGTGGCGCACGCGTACACACAGCAGATGGCACTCCTTGCTGGCGGACAACGGATCAGCAAATTCATCCGCTCGACACTGCCGAAAGTTGATGGAGATGAGGGAGTCTCTGTCTTTGCGTTCAAAGTAAGGCCCATTTCTCCGAGTCTACCTTATCATAAAACCCAGGACTGCTGAAACTAGGCATTGGTCCATTTTATTGGCTCTGATGTGTCGTGCCATTTGCTGGTCACCAGGAATCGGTGCCACAGCTGAAAAGCGACTACACCGAAGCGGTCAATGCTCTGGGAACTCAGCTTGATGAAGAAACTGTCAACAGGGTAGGCTTCCAACCAACTTTAAACAACATACTTCCTTCTGACTACAACTGTGACTTGATGCTTGTTCCAGGCTTCATGCAGCAGCAGTGATGTGCCTGGTCTGTGCAGATCTTGCAGGAGCACGTGCGAGTTTTTGAGCTCAACAACAAGGTCATTGCGAGCTTTCCAGTCAGGGCGAGGCACAGCATCCAGGCAGTGCTTCGGATGCTACCTCCAGAGCTGCTGCTCTGCATCTTTGCTGCCACCTTTGCAGTCGGCATGATGTGCCTCCTGCCCCACTTTAATGCCTTTGCAGCCTGGCTGGACGGCAAAATGGTAGCTCCTGATGTGGAAGGACCTTCTGCTGCTGCTGAACGGGCAGAACTCTGATACGGCCAACTGGAGGGCTCAGCTGCGGCAAGTGAGCCTGAATTGCCTTAAGTACTGATCTTCTGTCAGACAAAACACTTACAAGCAGTCCAACATTACATGTAGTATACTGGGCTCAACATGCCCCATTGTTCCTTAGGCAACATGAGGAGACATGGATGCCATGTAATGTTGGATAGACGCTGCCATTACTGAGCATAGATAGCTGGTGCAGTCTGATAATGCCCAGGTGCAAACACACTGTAATCATCTTCATTCGCAGAGCCGCACAAAATTTAAAGTACATCACGTGAAATCTAATTGTTGTCCAAGCACGCACACAAGGGTATCAATACAAAATTTTTCTGAAAGAGAATTGAGTCTGGCATCATCATGAAGGCAGCACACAAATGCCAGTACTTGACATGGCAGTTCTGGCAAATGAAGTCTGCCGACACCACTAGAGTTATCTGCGATCAAACTTCCTGGAGCCTCGGCGCATGTCTTCAAATCCAGGGCGATCATCGGCTTCCTCCTGCGCGGCTGCCGCCATTTCGCGCTGCTGCTGCTGCCGCGAGATGATGGCCTCCTTCTGCTGCAGGCGAGGCAGTGCGGCTGCCAGGAACCTGGCCACCTCGCTGTAGGGAACGTCCTCCTCCGTGCGCCGCTCGAGATTCTTCACCTGTGTCACGGAGCATCGATCTTCACCCAATGCATGCACAGAAATGAAGAAGGATGCAAGACACGACGACTTTGCGAGCCCTAGGTGCATGAACTTCAGCTCACACCTCAGAGCCACTAGACAGCCATTCGTACCCCTCAGAGCGGAGCAGCGGCTTCTGTGGCAGTGCCTCTTCCACCAGGAGATTACAATCAGCCATCTCAATCCTGGGGCAGCATCCATCGGCCGCCTTGGTGGAGGGTTTTGAGAAGGCTGATTGCACCTTCCTGGCACAGATCGCACTGCCATAGGGTACACAAAGCAAGTCTTATGAGATTTTACTACCCAGAGCAAGGGTGATAGTGGGAAAAGCGGCAAAGCCATAAGGGGAGACACACGCGGACGGTGTCGGTGGTGGAGAAGGTGGCTGCGTTGATGGTGACAAGCCAGTGGATGTGGCGAGCGCCCGCGTACTCGTACTGCGCGGTCTGGCTGGGGGACGCGCTGTGCACCAGCTCCGCTCGCACGCCCGCCTCCCACAGCAACGCCGCTAGCGCCATGCGCTCCCTCAGCAGACCTCCGCCGCCCTTCGCGCACACCAGCACCTCCGCCTGCATTGCGAATGGGTGGCTTGCTACCTTACTTGTTTGATTTCAACCACAAAATGACATTCTCGATCTGTTTACAATAATCAGCCTGAAAATCAGATGTTTTAACCTGAGACAAGATCAAATCTATCTGCCAGGTTCAATATCTGCTCTGCATGCACGTAAGCATCTGTGTGTCGTCCATCAAGCAACCTACATCCAGATAAAGCACAGGGAACTGCCCTGCCCGACCCAATGCATGGCATTCCTGCAAGCACTTCCTCTTGGCAAGAAGTTGACACTAGGTCCTGAACTGTGCAACGGCCAGAGGCACAAACAAGACATTCCCAAGGTGGAAGGCTTGCTGGAATGCAGTGCAAGCGCAAACACAGCAGTTCCCTGCCCTGTGAGGGATAGAAATGGGGTGTAGGAACCTGGGAGGCTTGCAGTGCGGGTGGGCGGCCCCGTCTGGGATGCGGCGCGGCCAGCACAAAGAGGCGCTCCACGTTGAGCGTGACACCGACGGCGCCCATGGGCGTCCCCATCGCAGGCGGCCACAGCGACTTCAGCAGCCCATCGTAGCGCCCGCCTGCCAGACCAGCCAAGACCAATGCTCGGATCTCTGCTGTAGCTATTCACTACCTCCTCAGTAAACCAATACTCTCCGAGTCTGAGCAAAGACTTGGCAAGTTGCAAGGCTGCTTTGCAGTGAGGAGAGGTTGGACACCTACCCACAGCAAGCAGGGAGGATGCGCCAGTGCCTGGCTGAACCAGATGCACCTGCAGCACCATGCACACAGCTTCAGAAACTATGACATCCGCCCACATTCTCTGCTTACCCACAGCGCACGCAGCGCGCTTCTGTACATGCAGTATCTGGGTACATGGCAAAGGTCAAGCAGAACAGGTGACATTCAGAGGCAGAGGGAACGCGCCTGGAAGACGACGCCGGTGTAGTAGTCGGCGTGGGGCCGCAGCAGGGGGTCGACAACGACCTGGGCGGCCGGCAGGCCCCAGGCGCGCAGGTGCGCCGTCACCAGCCGCACCGCCTCCAGCGCCGCTTGCACCTGCCCCGACGGCCGCCGCGCCCCGGTCGGCGCGTCCACCAGCTTTGCGTGCAGCCGGTGCAGCGCAGCCTCCGCCTCGCCCGGCACCTGAGCGTCGCAGATACACTCTAGGACTTCTAATAGGGGATCTTCTACGGACCTAGGGAGCTTCTAAGAGGAGACTGCTCTCAATCTTGACGATACCATTTTCCTGTCAGAGAGGGAGCATCTTTTATCCAAGATGTTAAGTTGTGAAGAAGATGTCAATGGGGAGTTTGAGTTGCAAATGTTATGTTTTTCCAAGTATTGAAAAGGGCACGCAAATGGGTTATGCTGCTAAAGAGACTCTGAAAGCCGTGCTGCAATCTCCAGGTAGACTGTGCATTGATCATACGAGTGTGCGCATAGTCAGGAGTGGAGAGCAAACCTGCAGCAGGAATTGCTTGCAGCCGGCGACGGCGTTGCCGGAGAGACCGAGGCCCTCCAGGGCGACGCGGATGGACGGCCAGTGCTTGGAGCGCGCTCCTGCTGTCCTCGGCGACGGCGCCAATCCTGTTGCCAGCAGCCGCAGCGCGCTCCCCCGCAGCTCCTGCCGATTTAGTAAAAAGAAATGTCTCATGTGCGCCTTGTAAAACAATCTCTCCACACTGGGCCGCTGTCCAGCAGCATGGCAATGGTATCCAATATGCAAGAAGCACAGCAGTGTCTTTGGAAGCCTGGCCACCGAGGCGAAACGAAGCTCAAAGGGCCTACTGCGCTTTCAACACAGCAGATAGCAATGCTCATTCCCACGGCAACGCACAGCCGCGCAAGTGAAATCTGCAGGAGACTGAAAAGGCGAAGATATCAGGAGACTGAGTGCTGGCGTACCTTGGGTACGTGGGCGTGCGTGAGTGAGGCGTCCAGGAGGGAGCGGTGGCCCAAGCGCACCTCCAGCTCACCAGACCACTCCGGCAGCGCGTCCATCACCTGCGCACCAAATTGAAACTTCAACGTCACTCCAACGATTCCTTGTTCCTGCAGGATGCCAATGATGATACAGAAAAGCTGTGTGTCATTCAGGCCATGTCATCCGTGTTAAGCAAAATGAAGAGGACTGCAACTGACCTCAGACACAGTGCGGATGACCTCTGCGTCCGCCAGCAGTGTCTCTGATGGAGTGGAGCCCGGCAGGGTGACGATGTCGAGGTCGGCCTGCAGGTATGCGCGCGGTAGGCAACGCCCCACGCCCCGCCTCCTCACCCACGCCACCTGTATCCATCCACCCCCTCAAATCAGCGCCCAAGCCTTCTCTTCAACAAATTGCAGGGCAAAGCTGCTCTGGCAAGGCACATCGTGTAAAAGGGGATGAGTACTGAATAGAACAAGGGCATTCTGTAGTGAGGAATTTCAGGATGCAGAGCAGTGCTGCATCGCACCTCGTATCTGCGCATGGCTTCCAGGATGGCAGAGCTACGCACGCCGGAGGCTGCTTGCCTCGCCAGCCAGGCTGCAAAGGGAGCCCGCAGCTCATACCTGCGTCACACAGATACACACGCCCTCAAGCAGACAGCAATACAGCGGCCCAAACATCTCTTCGCTGCCTCTCCTCTCGTCACTATCTCTCTTCATTTCACAGGCTTCATGCATCACCAGAGCGGACTGGGCCATGATGTTGCTTGGGAAACTGCAGGTGCAGGCTGAAGCGTGCTCCGTCTCTCCAATGCGTCTCTCTCATTCACCGTCTTTTATTCTCTCACAGACTTCCTGCATGGAGGGAGGGAGAGCGGGCCAGGAGATTGTTGGGTAGAATGCAGGTGCAAGCTGAGGTGTGCTTGCCTCATGGCCAGGCGGGCGCCGCTGGTGGACAGCATGGCAGCGATGTCTGCGGGTGCATCGATGGGGCAGAAGCCCACGTCAGAGCTGTCCATTGGGACCGCGCCGTGCACCTCAAACACCCTCTCTATCACATCCACCACCGCATTGCGCGCTGACACCTGCACACACCATGTCACAGTGAGCAGGCATCTGATGAGTCTTTGAAGCAACAAGAAGATGACATCTGATGGGTGATTCTCACAATGATGCTACATTGCTGCTATAGTCAGAGGAAAATGCGTAGCAGGTGAGATGGGCACCTGCAGGGAGTTAGGTGTGCCTGGGACCTCGTCCTGGACCAGCAGGTCGCTTGGCATGCTGAATATGGCGTCCACCACACGCTCATACGCATCCAAGCTGCACTCAACAGACACCTTCTCTGCAAAGCGCGCCGTCACTTATTCTTTGCGATAGATTTCGACAGCACGCATTTGCTCCTGGTGACCCCTTACAATGGGCCAGGTATCAGGTAAGAAATACGCTGAGTTGAATGTACCCTTTGCTTTCACCAATTGGTTCCAGAGAGACAAGACATATTTTTCTTCAAAATTCTGTATAATTGGGGAACGAGTACTGGCAAGGGGCTGGCTCACTTGTCTGGGAGGGAACGCAGCAGGTCAGTCAGCTGCTCATCCCCCACGGTTGGGGGCAGCAGCTCACTGCGCAGCACCTCGCGCGCGTTGGGCCGGTCCGCAGGATTCGCCGCTGTCAGCCACCTGATTAGCCGCGCCACCTGTGCCACCCATACAAATGTTGCTTGCAGTTTTTGCTGCCCACCACATAAATGACCTTTCCAAGAGTATGCTACATTGCCTGTCTGTCAAACACAAACATTGCATTCGCATGGCGAATGGCTTTATGCCCGAACAAATACCAAAAGGAGTGAAAATTAAGACAGGAATCCATCCACCTGGGTGCTTGGGTGCCTTAACGAGCCCTTTGCACCACTTTGGTATCAGGGCAATTGGTCTGACGCAATAGCTGCCCTGAATACTGAGAGAAGTACACTCCCTTAAAGTCGTCCGTAATGCTCCATGGATGCAGTGCTGAGGGGTCGAATAAAGAAAGGGGGTGGACCTGGGGGTGGGCGGCCTCCCACTCGGCGGGCATGACGCCGTGGCCCTGCAGGTCCCGCAGCAGCGCAACGCGCTCCATCCCCGTCGCAAACGGATGCCACAGCTCAAACGCCACGATGCCCAGGCTGAATATGTCCACCTTGTCATCGTAGCGCGCCCATCCATTCGCCACCTCTGCATGCAAATGAAAACATGTATAATCCGTACAATGACAGAAAGTCCGCTTACAGCACCTGGGTACCCATGGGCCAGTGCCATGTGCTTGCAATTCGCACATAAGAAGGAAGCGCTGCACAGGGTAGAAGAACCGGCATTGGGCATCTGTCTTTTAGTCCATTTCTCATTCACCTGGGCTGATGTAGAAGGAGGTGCCCACACGGCCGGTAGTCTCCCCCAGAGCGCTCCCGTGCTGCGAATCTGCATCGGGCCTCTGAGCTGCGCCGCCGACGCCCCCTCTCTCTCCTGCCTCCTCCTCGGCCTCTGGCACGGCGGCAAACTTGGCCAGGCCAAAGTCCCCCAGCTTGATGTCTCCTCGCGCATCGTAGAAGATGTTCGCCGGCTTCAGGTCCTTTTCACAGTACACAGCATAATCAGCACAACGTTCATCTGGGTCAGTGCAGCGGTTTTCCAGCTTCGTTTCACGAGAAGCTTCCCATGCAAAGATATCTGCAAGTATCACAGGCTGCTCACCCTGTGGATAATGCCTTGGCTGTGGATATTTGCTAGCCCAGCCAGCAGCTGCCTGATGACCTGCGCACATTGACACCCGTGTCACCCACTGACATGTAATGTCACCGGCATGCATGTCAGTTGGCTGTGAATTCTGCAGAGAAGGGGGCATGCCTGCCAGCAGTCTTCGGGGTCCATTCCATCTGGGCTTTCATCAAGAACTTGGCGCAGGGTCCTTGGACAGAACTCCATCTGTATGTACAGCATCTGCTGGGGAGCAGTCTGCCTGCTCCCTGTCTTCAGAGTGCACGTCCCTGCCACATTCATATCAGTGCTGAGGACCCCTGCAGGATCAACGGGCACTGCAGCAAACGTTTGTAAATGGGGCAGATCCAGGGAAGCCTGCAGACCTGCTGTGGTGGTTTGTATGCCTGATTCCGAGGTAGTTGTCTGTGCAGTGTCAGTCTGTTCCCTCCTCTTCTGCCAGAACCCTACTCCGCTGGAGCTGTCATCAGTATCTTGAGTAACTGCACCAGCTGCGCCACTGCTGCTTGCCTGCAAGAATATGTCAACAACAATTTGCAGCAATCCAGTCAACGCCCGATGCTGCTGAAACATTGTTGGAACACCCACCTTGGCAAGTGCCTGCCTTTGCCACATAAAAACCACGAACCAACAAAATGTCTACTTCTTGAAATGATGTTTCAGGGCTCGTCCTCACCGTGCCATGCTGTGTGGGTGCTGACGTGGGGGTGCCTTCAGATGACACCTCCTGCACAGTGTCAAGCCCGGTGAAGGCCAGCTGGCGCATGGAGGGTGCCACAGCGTGCGACTGGCTCTCGGATGTCTCTGCCAGCCAGTCCCCAGCATCTGTGTCCACATCCGTGTCCATGGGTATGTCCCCCACGCCCGCCTCGCACCACGCCTGCACATGCCAGCACACCCATCTTCTTTCCAAACTAGGCTTGTCCTGACCCAGCCATGCCATTGAAACTGCTCTGGCATCTTGCTTGGAGCAACATGAATCTTTGTCAGTGCATGATTGGATCAAGCAAATGCCGCTGGCTGAAGCACTTCGCAGAGATGGTGTTTGGGGACATTGCTTCATCGAAAAGTTGGTCCCCTGGCGCATGTGTGAATAGAGCAAACAGCAGTCATGGTGTCAATGTGAAGTGTGCAGGAGAGGGAGCAGCTGCAAGAGAAGGGAGCTGGTGAGTCACCTGGAAGTAGCGCACGATGAAGGCATGCTGCAGGCGAGCGAGCGTGGCCACTTCGCGCATGAGGCGCGAGTAGGCGGCCGGCGCGGAGGAGGGCATCTTGATCTTCTTGATCGCGTACTGGCGCCCGTCCAGCCGGTTCACCGCCGCCACCACCAGCCCATACCCGCCCTTGCCCAGCGTCCGCAGCTCCTGTGGCATACCATTTACCTCAATTCACATCCATATACGTTGCCTTCTCAGCATGCGTTTCTATGAGCTTGACGAGGAAGGAAGGTGCATGGACAGGTGTCCTAGTTGTCCAATGTGAACAAGCAAAATTATGCGTAAGAGATGTGAGGAACGCGTCAGTTATCTCGAGATGGTAAGGCGATGAAGCCGAGAATACTGATGAAGCGGGAAAAAAAATGAGCTCTTGGTATGAAAGAGCATATGAGTACAAATAAAATACCTGGAAGTCGCTGAGGTATCTGGAGGTCTCTTCGCCGGCGCGAGGGGCGGCCGGGGGCCGCGCCAGGGGCGCCTTGGCAGAGGGGCGCTGCCAGAAGCGGTCCAGAACCCAGGAGGCTGCAGGATCGCGGCCCATGCCGCCGCCGCCGCCGCCGCCGCCTGCCCCGCCGACAGAGGTCTCAGCAGCCACCTTGGCCACCTCCTTGCTGAAGAGCCTCTGGAAGGCGCGGTCGAAGAGCGCTGGCTGCTGCACCAGGGACACCTGCCACACCCATCAGAGCATACATCTGCAAGCTTGGCCAGAACAGAAGACTAGGTTTGGGGAGCGCCCTCACCTAAGGACTGATTGTTCTGCCAGAGCATGATCACTGCAGGGCTGGTCTCAATGCAGACAGCTCTTTAACGCTTCAGGTGATGGGATTGATACATCTACTGAGAGCATGCTTTTCTTGCTCACCTGCACCCAGCGCGGCAGCAGGCCGCTGTCGGCCAGGCTGGAGGCGAGGGCGGGCAGCGCATGTGCTGGCATGCCCTCTCCGCCCTCAGTCAACAGGCCCAGCAGGTGGCCCAGCAGAAGGTCCTTCTTGATATCCTCGCGCGTTCGCTCCCCTGCATCGCCTTCCTCACCCTCCTCCTCGCTCCCCGCCGCGCTGCTCCCCGCCGAGCCGTCCCGCAGCGTGCGCCGCAGCGCCGGCGGCAGCGCGGCCATCACGCGGCTGAAGCCGGTGCGCATGGTGCTGATCAGATTCCCCACCATGCTGCTCGAGGGCTCGCTGCGGTCCCCGCTGCCGCTCGAGCGCTTGTGACTTATACTTGCAGATGCTGCGCTGTGGCCAGCGGGCCTCTGACCCGCCGGCTGGAGCGGCTCTGCCTGGGCGCCGTCCACCTGCTTCTGGTCGGGGCTCTTGTAGTCGCTTGGGGCCCGTGGAATATCCACGGCAGAAGCCAGCTGCGTGCCGCTGTCCCTCCTCGCTGCCAGGTCAGCTGCAGGGCCCAGCGGCATCTTCTGCAGGCTGGCAGTGCTGCGATCCGGTGCCAACCTTGCTGGAGGTGTGGGATTGGAGGCCTGCAAAGGGCGAGCTGCGGCCCAGGCAGCACTGGAGGGCTTGGCTGGGTCAGTAGGGGCAACTGTGTCAAAGAGCCCTCCCGCGCCTGCGGAGCCCCAGGCTGCCTGATCCACATACAGGTCGTCCCCAGTCTCGCTGCTGGCTCCGCTGCTTGGCGCGTCCCTCCGCTGCATGTCGTGCCAGAGGGAGATCGATGCGGCCTCCTCCGCCTCATCCTTGGAGGGCTTGTTGCGCTGCTGCAAGAACTCCTGAGCACATGAATAGAGGATCGTGTCACCTGACCCGGCCACTCGCTTTTCTGATTCTGTGGGCTTCCTAGTGGACACATGCATGGGCAAGACGGGATCCATCATCATCGGGCATCGGGCTTGGATCTATTGCTGACCTGGCATGCCTCCACCAGGTCAAAGGCGCAGACCTCCTCCTGCTGTGCATGCTGCGCAAGAGCGCGGTGCAATGCCTTTGACAAGGCACGTTTGTCAGGGACTGACAGCCCCTTTGTCTCCTTGACTCGGAGAGCGCATGGCGCCTCAGGATATCCACCAGTCAGCCTGCACGGCCGATTGGATGTGATCACAATTACCCAGGGGCAGCCTGTATTGTTCCACCACATGCTTCTGTGGGCTAGTAGCACTTGCCAAAACTACAGGTCTTGGTCCGATTTCGGCGAACCTGATGCCCAGCTCTGCCCAGACAAAGTTTGCTTCGGCATCTCCTGGATGGGGGACAACTCTGAGTGAAAAGCCCTGCTCGTCTTCATCGATCTTGAAGGGTTCTTCCTCATCGGCATCTCCTTCGGGGTTGGAGAAGATGGCTTGCAAGGCGACCTGCTCGTCATGATCGTCTGTCAGAATTAACCTTTGAATATCATCGAATGTGGTGTAAGGGCTAACAAGATCGTACCAGCTCTTCTTGAGCGGCTCTGGTGAGAGCTGGCTCTTTTGATGCAGTCTGTTTGGACCCCTTCTTCTTCTTTCTAGCCATTCCAAGTCTCAAATCATGACTTCACAATGTCAATGCGTTTTATACATTCCATCTGGAGTGTCATTTTCAATATAACCCAAGGCATGTCTCCCAATGGCAGAGTGACTCAGCAGGATTGCATGCACCAGTCCCTTCCACATGGGGGTTCTGGACTAGCTTTAGCAGCAGTGTTCCTTCGCCTGCCTGCCTTCTCTGCATTCGTCTGATCGTGTTCTTTTTTGTGAGCACAGACTGAATACATGTGTAGACAGGCGCATGCAATGTCCATGGGCGTCGGCTGCAGTTGGACCTTTTGAGCCATACTTCAAAACTTTAAAGTGCCAAATGATACGTACGCAAAGTCACAAACGAATCACAAGCAATGATAGCCACGCATGACAGATCATCCAGTGCAGTGGGCTCATCTTGCAAAGATCTGGTACATTGCATTTCTGCTTACAAAGCAAGAGGGACAAAAAGAATTCCATGGATCTTCATTCCAGCTCTCAGCTCTTTCACATATGCTCAGCTCAGTCTCAATCTCTTTCTCAACACTATTCCAACAGTCAAAGTCTCGCAACATCGCAACATGCAGGATGTCCACAGTAGATCTAGCTCCAACAATCAATATCAATGCAGCAATGGCTGATCTACAAATCATCTATCTTGCTGATCATACTACAGCAGCAAGAAATGAAAACTCCCGCTTACAATCTACGGGACCAAGAAGAAGGTTGCAAGCAACAACATGCATTCGTTATTGTACAGCATACATGCGCCTCCCACCACCCAGGCAATGGGAAAGCCAGCTGGAGTCTAGTTAGCCTGTGCGCCTGCAATGGCAGCGTCCTGGCCCTTGTCATCCTTGTCCAGGAAGAAGGCGCCCAGGGACTTGCCCTTGCAGAACTTGCCGGCCGCGAACTTGCCCTCGGCCTTCTTGGCCTTGGCGAACATGCCGAACTGGCCGGTGCAGATGTTGAGCTTGTCGTAGTACTCAGCATCCACAAAGGAGGTTGCCTGTCCCTTGCACTGCAGCCCAGCATATAGAATCAGCAATTCCGTGATCCATCACCACTCACATGGCTGCATGGTGTGACTTCTGTAAGATGCTGAAAGAAGGGTCACATGCCAGCAAACAATGCAGATGGAATAGGATGGAAGTTAGAAGGGGCACATCAGCTGCACATGCAAGTAGAAAGTGAGGTGACACCTTGTGGCCAAAGATGCCGCTCCAGAAGCCCTTGCAGGAGGCGGCGACAAAGTTGGGCGCCCAAGTTGGGGCGTCCTCTCCCGCCTCGCACTTGACAGTGAGCTTGCCCAGGCAGGGGAAATTGCCATGGAACCAGGCCGGCTTGTCGTTGCACAGAATCTCGCAGCGGGGAGCCTTGCAGCCGTAGCTGGCGAAGGCCGGGGTCATGTCCAGGGACAGAGGTGCGGGCATGGAGTGCACGGGCATGCGCACCCCCATGTCCTCCATCTTGTCCTTCACGGTGCCTGCAAGGCAGCACTTCCTCGTGAAACACTGAAAATACGTATGCATATGCATAGCCCGTGAATAGCAACACAGGAGTGTCTGAAGAGGGTGCTGAGAACTGTGGGGGATGTCAGTACACCAGAGCAATGTAAGGTGGAAGGACCATACTTCAGCCACAAACAAAGAACTCAGCTCGCCATTCAATGACACTGCTGATAGGGTGTCTAGCATGCATGCAGCTGCCAGGTGACTGATCACGTCCAGGGGAGGAGCTGTGGCGCACTCTCAAGGGTGTCAAAGTCCATGGCCTTGCGCTCAAGCTTGTGAACTGCCTTGGCTGCGAGCTTCTGCTCGCACTGCTCGCCCTCGCAGTCGCTCTTCTTGACCTTGAAGGCCTTGATGCCGCCGCCAAAGCCGGTGCACCTGCCCTGCCCCAACGGCTCCTTGCTGTTGGACTCGGCCAGCGTCCTCTTCAGGACGTCCAGCCCCTCATAGTCCGCGTCCCACTCCTGCGCAAACGTCACTCCATCGCCATGTGCTCGAGCATTCCAGACTAAGAATTCATGTAGATGCTGCATGCCTGAGGACAATATGGACAATCGTCTAAAATTGAAATGCATGCATCATCCCTCCTCAAGCACTCAGTTCCCCGCTGGTCATCTCCACATCCGAGATGCCTATTTTCGCAGACCAGACAAATGGCATGTAGGAGTGGCATTTTGACAAGCAAAGCCATCTTGTGTGACACAGTGTGACTCATGTAGCATGGGCGCCTGAGGTGAGGAGCGTGCCTGAGGCATCTGTGAGGGCCAAGTCATGGCGGCGTCGGAGTCCTCAGACTTGTTCTTGCCAATGAAGGAGCTGGTGCCCAGGCAGCCGCCCGCCTTGAAGGCCGCGACCTTCACATCGCCCTTCTTGAAGAACTTGGCCGCAAAGCCGTGGCTGTCTCCCTCGCACACAGCCACGCGGGCGCCGCCAAGCTGCATCATGGCAAATGAACAATCTCAGTCCCTTCTGATCTTTTGACAAGGACTTCCTTGTTGATTGTCGACAAGGAAAGTTGTTGTTATCAGCAAAAATAACTGCCAAATTGGGGCCGGCGTTCTTAGCAGTCTTTTGACATCCCCTGAGTGATGTATGCGGGGTTGTGCAGCATTGGATGAGCAGCAAGGTAGACACTTGATGGAGGCTCAGGATTGACACCTTGAAACCGACCCAGTGACCCTTGCACTTGAAGCCGGCAGCTCCGCAGCCCTTCTCGCTATGGCCCTTGCAAAAGGCCTTGAAGAGGCCCCAGCAGCTGTAGGGCTTCTCGCCGTTGTCATCAGCCCTCGTCACATTCTGCAGCACACCCCGAGGATACCCAGTCAGCAATGTCACGCACCTAAATACACCCTGCAAGGGACATGAGGATACCCAGTCAGCAATGTCACGCACCTAAATACACCCTGCAAGGGACATTAAGATGACTATAGGTTAGCGGCGCAGCAGCAAGAGCAAGACTTACCCCCCCATTGCAGGTGACAGTGCAGTTGGGGCTTCCCTGGATGCCGTCCCAGAGACCAGGGTCCTCCAGCACTGTGGCCAGGTCAAGGGCAGCTCCTCTTGAAGCATGAATGGAGGTCTCGCCCACACCAGCAGTCACCGTCTCTGATACAAGGCCTGGTTGGAACAGCTCCAAAGCGTCTTCATTCACCAGGGAGCGCGCATGGCCTGCAAATCAGAGGTTTCCGACGAGATCAGGATCTTGCTTGAGGAAACGGCACAAGGCACGCGTTTCCGGCAACACGGAGGACCCACAAAAATCGGGACGTTTCATTGCTGGAAACGATCTGCCGCTACTTCGAATCAACCATTCATAAGGCCGTCGACCCAGACCGGCATGGGACAGCAGAGCCCAGCTCATCCCAACAACAACGTGGAACGATCACGCCGCACAGCAAGTTTGAAAAGAGAAGGTAAAACATTAATAAGAAAAATCAACAGCACAGTTTCAAAGTGTGCGAATGTGGCTGTCACACGGCATCATGCGGGCCTCCCAGAGCCCGGCTACTGGTATACTCACCACGAAACAACAGCGCGACACTACAGTAGACACCAGGAAGGACTGTGACGTCAAACATAAGGTGAAGGAAACCTCATTGTACCACCCGTTACTCACAGATAGGATTTATCGCGTTCCATGACAGACACGTCGATCAAGCATATAAAAAGTCCAACAGAACGCTTTAGCTCGCAATTATGGCCGGCAACGACCTCCAGAAGCTGCATTACCTCAACGTAACCCCTTTGCCACAGCAAGAAATCTCTGGTTCCTCAGGACGTGATAACGTTACCGATGCGTATTGTGCCAATCAATCAAGGCGTTGTCTTTACCTGATGCGACGAAACAGAGGGCAGCGATTGCCAGAAGCGACGAAACGGAAAATCGCGCCATGGTGAAAACAACCTGTACCAAATATTGACAAACATGGGCTTGTCCACAGGTACGGTCTGGGTTCTAGGAAGGAGGCAACGCCGCAAATGGATCACGTGGATTCACGTGCATCCCCGTGCGTCTGTGCTCCCTCCCTCCTCTGATTTCCTTTCAAGATTAAATTAGTATCAACATCATGATGCAGTACCATGTAATTTGAATGCCATCAGCATGCTCCCTCGCATCGGAATCCCATCATGCATGACCCATCATGACCATGGCATGACTAAGTTACATTGTCACCGTGATAGTCATGCCATGATAGTTTGAATGAGCTCATCATCCATGAGTTTGATCATTTCAACGAGCACCAGAATATAGGCACATTGCCGGGACAATACACAATGGTACCAATGATTCTTTACAAACTGGGGTTGCACCTGTCTTGAGCACACATTTTGTCACGGTTGTCTTCAAGTCCCACTAACTTTCAATATCCAGTGCGCAGTTCCATACAGTAATTCTGCAAAGACCAGCTAGCCCAGCCTTCTGCAGACCTTAAAAAGTGGCAAGTTGGCAGCTACTCCATAAATTTTGAAAGCGTGCACGTGTTGCAAACAAGCAATCCTGAATAAAAAGGGTCCCACACAAGGCTCTACATCGTGGACTAGGACGCTGTCTCTGCTGGCAAATCTGTCGGCTGGACACTGTCTGCCTGTGCAGCAGTCTCGCCATCTTGGATGTCGGGTGCATCTCCTACAGCTGCTGCTTTGACTGCAGGCTGAGTATACTGCGCGACTGGCCGCGCCTTCCTCTTCCGCTTCTCCAATATCGTAGCGACCTGCGGCAAAGACCATGTGACAGTCACCAACACTTCATCTTGCCTGTAGAGCACTGACACGCCTTCTGCTTCTGCTCCAAGGCCATAAACCAGCAATAGCCTCCACAAACTGTTAAGCCTACTGCCCAATAACCTGACAATGCAGACGAAGGAGCCCGCCAGCAAGCCCCAGGGGTAATCAGGATTGTATAGGAATATAAAAGGTGGGTATTACGGGCGCAAGATGCGGCACACCGTGTTGCGGAAGTTGCCGAGGCCCATGAAGATGAGCAGCGCGCCGGCCAGGGCAACGCCGCGGCTGCCGCGCAGATCGCTCTCATGCGCCTCCGGATCCAGCCATCCCTCCGGCGATATCACCGCCAGAAACGTACCGCTCAGCATGCAGGCCCCTGCCCACCATGCAGCTCATTTTCATTCAAATATTTGATTCCAAATGCAAGGCAGCCCTTCCTCTAATCTTTGGCGCTCGCTCTGCCATGAAATTTACATTTAAGTAAACAGATCAGCCCACTAGCCTCCACTGTTACATGCTTGCGACAGGAGCTGAAAGATCCTTGAAGGTGCCATAGCAAAGTATCTCCAGGTGGAGAGGCACCCATAGACATTGGGATGAGCAAGGGGAAAATGTGGGAGAGAACAGAGAAGCAGGGCGCACCGATCCAGCACTGGAGGATCTGCAGGGAGAAGAGGAGTGGGTAGAGGAAGAGGAGCTGGCCAGAGCCGCCGCTGGACTCGCCCGACACCACGTCCATCGCGCGGTTCTTGCCGAGCGCGATGCGTGTGTACATCCGCCGCCGCTGGTACCGGTTCTGCACCATCATCACCAACCCCTGCACCCACACATCCTGCCCCGAATCAGCATCCCTGTGTATTTTCACCGACGCTCTGCAGCCTGAACATGCACATTCGGAGGAAGTTTTACCTTTGCTCACCAGCCATATTCAGGGATCAAGAGTACACCCAGGCATGTGTCATGGCAAGGCCAGGGGTCTTTGGATGCAGGGCTCGATTAGGGGCAATGTTTGTGGTGTCGTAGGTGGGATGTGGGTGGGATGAGAGGAGATGCGCGCCTGGAAGGTGGACCACCAGAGGAACTTCCTGACGAAGGCCTGCACCGCGCTGGAATCGACGGGCAGCGTGAGCAGCAGCGCCATGGTGATGGCCGCCCAGTAGTGGTGGTGGATCCACCAGGGCCGGATGCTGCTCCCATTCACCTGCATGCCAGGCTAGCCAAATCAATGCACAGCTCCCGCCTGCTTTAATCCACCAAGCGCGCGGAGTGGATGTTTGAGACATGCATCCTGGCATAGGAGCGCTGTGAGTCTTAGAACCGCCTGCTCGCTGACACTGACGCTGCCACTGGTGAGCCCACCTGCTTGATTACACATGCTTTGCTAATCAACAAGCTACAAGAAGATGTTTTGAATTTTGTGACCTTATACTTTTTCATATTTGCATAGTCTTGATACAAGGAGCACTATTGGAAAGGAACCCACCTTGAGGACGTTCTCTCGCAGGGCCATGGCGGTGTAGAAGTACAGGAGCCAGGCGAGGAAGCCCTGCACGCCCACCATGAAGGGGGGAGTCAGGGAGAAGGGCTCCCCAGCCTCCCGCTTGGCATCCGCTCGCAGGAGGCCCACCAGGAGCACAAGCGCAAATGAGAACAGGATGACTCCGCAGCGGTCCCTGAACGCGTGGTATTCCTCCTTCAGCTTTATCGCCTCTTTCCTCTGCGATCCACAGCATGCCTTCACTTAGCTTTTCAGTCAGTACATGTGGCAGTGTGTGACTAGGCAATGGGCTCTGCGATGCTGTAGCATCCCAGTATCGTACTCTTTCAGGGTAGGTGGAAAGTCTAAAGCTTGCAAGGATCATGCATCAAGTTCCAATGCCCAATGCCACTCAATGCCTGTATGCAGAAGCCCTGCTGAATGATGGGGATGCTGCACCTGGAGGGTGACCAGATTGCACTGCTGGCCCAACAGCAGCGTGAGCAGCGCCGGCGTTGGCTGCTTGAGCAGTTTTCGCATGTCTCCACCTGGTCCGTGACCTTCCAGCACAGCCTTGGCCCTTCCGAGCTCCTCCAGAGCATTGTCATCTGCGGCGCGCTTCATGGCCCGCGAGATGTCACTCTTGACGAGTTTTACCTGGACAGTGCATAACCGAAGATGTGGTAATGTTGATGTTGTGGAAAATGAAAGAAAGCTGGGATTAGGTTTGCTGGGCCTTCATGGAGGAAGCTCAGCATGACAGGTGCAGGGAAGGACATCATCTTAAAGCATGAGATCACCTCTTCTGCCAATGACTCGCCCTCCCCTACAATGCGAGAGTTGTAGGAGGCCACGCGTGAGCTCAGGTTGCGACTGTGAAAGCAGGTGCACAGTCAGTCCAGGACAATAGAACTTGCAAAAGAGGGTCAAATCACTGGAGTGAAGGGATTGACCGCGATCGTACCATCTCGTCACAATCTTTTCAGCATCCTGTAATGTTAGGGGGACCTGCAAAACGCATTCCCTTCCCAGGTGATCATCTGATGCATCAGAAGGGAACCAGAAACGCACAAGATCATCGGGCTAGACAAGGCTTTCACGGCAGTAAAAGCGAGTATGTAATGTTTGAGCATCAATATCGTACCTGCACTTCTTCTTCATCCATGATATTAGCCCTGGATCAGGTCAGTGAATTTCGAAGAGACTGATTCCAGGTTCTCGTCGCTTGCTGTGATCAAAGACGTGGACACCAGACCTTCAAAAACATTCCTGACCGGTGATATTGACTACATAGCTATTGTTTTTGTTGGAGGAGAGTTCTGCATCCAGTCCGAGATTCTTCAAGGGTCCCCCCTTCTATTCTGCGAGCCCCCCCGCTCCCATGTTATTATGTTCTGCCGCACCTTCTGGAGGCGGCTTCACATCTCTGAATTCACCACTTGTCCTGAGGACAGCACCGGCGAGCCGTTGCTGAGGGACGATTTCATCATGCAGCTCTTCGTGCGCACAGGTGAGAAGACCTGCTGCTCGCCAAGCTCGAGCAGACTTGATAATCTCTTGCACCTTTTTAGTTTATTTGATCATCAGCGAGGGAGGCGATAGTTACTGTGATATCTGGGCGGTGTGAAAACGTAATTCTGACGCTGGAAGTGTTGCCCATGGCTGTGGCCATGTCCGTGATAGTGTGCCTATGTACTGATGAAACCTTTGCTTCCCTGCAGACAAGACTCACACGCTCCAGGTGGGCAGTGATGCCACCGTCTCCGATGTGAAGGCAGCCATCGAGGCTCGTCAGGGTACGTACCTCTATTTTTTTGTAATGTTTTATCACATTGAGCTGTATTATCACGTTGAGCCAGAAGCCACCAGATCTCAGGCTTGACTCCCACTGACCAATTACACGCAGGCCTGGCTGTGGATGCACAGCGGCTGCTGTTCGCTGGGCGCCAGCTGGAGGACAGCACTGTGCTGGCTGAGGTTGGTGTGTCAGATGAGGACACCCTGTACATCCTGGCACGCCTGCTGGGTGGTGGCAAGAAGCGCAAGAAGAAGACCTACACCAAGCCCAAGAAGCAGAAGCACAAGCACAAGAAGATCAAGATGCGCGTGCTCAAGTTCTTCAAGGTGGGGGTCCGGATGGTGCTATCCTACCTGCAACTAAAATGTTCCCGACTAAGGTTCTCTACTGGCAATGGGATTGTGAAGTGATGTGTGCTGCTCAGGTGGATGACTCTGGCAAGGTGCAGCGTCTGCGCAAGGCCTGCCCCAACTGCGGCCCCGGCATCTTCATGGCCACCCACTTCAACCGTGTTTACTGGTACGCTCTCGAGAGAAGTGCTTTCCTCAGTGATAAGCATTTATTTTGCAATGTCTGGAAGTTACTTCTATTGTGAACAGTGCTGAGGATCCCTTTTGTTGTCCTGCAGCGGCAAGTGCCACCTGACGTACATGTACGAGAAGGCGGAGGCTTGAGAGGTCCAGCATGCATAGCTGCTCAATTCTGGGGGACAATTTCTTCGCTGTTTTGGCTTGCTATTCTATAGTGGGCATGAGAATGGGTTGAATACTCTCTTGGGTGTATTGGCACGCTGTGGGAAGGCCATGTAATCGCTTCTACAGTACAAGACTGACTGTTTTGAGGGACACGACTGTTTCCCACCTCCGACCATCCGAGCATAAGTCATGGTTATTCACCGGGTAGACAACATGCTCAATGATTATTACACGTATGTGTGCCTTATCATAGCTATCATTTTGCGCAGACCCGAACGATTGCTCTTGGAAGTGCAGTATCCTCACAAATCTCGTACATTATCGACATGCACGGTTCTGGTTGCACCAGAATATAATTGCCATGCTCTGTGACTGGTCACATACAAGTTCGGGGTCAGAATGCCACCTACCAGTGATATCAATCGATTAGCCACAAGTATAATTCAGATGTGCAAGTCCTTCATATTCTGATTGTCTGCTGTACTAGACAGCTTTCTTCCAGCACATAAACCTTGCAGCATGGGCCGGTGGCGCAGCACAGGCAAAGAGTCTAAACGCACTTCCCCGCTCAATACCAACACCTCTGCATCCCCCTAAGCCAGATCACTCAAAGTCGCAGCATGAATTTCCCCTGTGGTCACAAACCCTATCAGGGGCCTGAAGCCAGACGCAGGACCCGCTGCAGCAAGGAACGGCCACAGCTTGCTAGTCATAGCCGGCAGCGTCGCGGTATTCTCTTCTGCTGCCTGTGCGCCGTGCTCACAGCTGTGCAGCATCAAAATGGGTTAAGCGCCATCGTTTCATTCCTTTTGCAGCTGCTATATATTCCTGGAGATGGGGTATGCTGTCCGGACACCAATGCCACTACAGTCACTGTGCTCATTGCCATGTGGTGGGTCACCCGTGTCTGTGAGCACCACCACTGCAGGGTCAAGCAGGGGTGAGTTGGCCAGCGCCTCGGAGGGGTTGCTGAAGGTGCGGAGCTCGCATGTTTCTGGCGGCACGGTCCTCCCAGGGCCCCAGCTGCAGTATGGGGGGGGTGTGTCCAGGGGGTGGATCATCTGGTGGGCATCGTGCGCCAATCTTCTGTCCGCCAGCTGCACCTGTTGAGCAGGACACGGCTTGTCACATCTGAAGCCCGCAACATGCAGCACAAATGGCAGCTGACTCACCGCAACATTCGGCTTGCAGCACATAGCATTCTCACAAACAAGAATTTGCAGCATACACCCAAGGGTCGCTGCTTGAATTCAGGCAATGGCTGCACGCTACATACGCACCAGGCGGCTAATAATCTGGCGCACCTGGACATTATGTACTTCAGGGCTCAGGAAGCCACCAGCCTGCCCTTCACCAGGGCAGGTCTGTACAAATCACCCAGCATGACGGTGTCGAGGCCGAGGGCTCTGTAGGCTGCTGCATTGATGACCTCCTGCGCTGCCACCATCGCCGCCAGCAGCTTCCCAGGCGCCTCTGCATCATGCGTTGACAGCTGTGGCTTGATAAGCTGCCCTGCTGCCTCCTGCTCCTCAGTGCTCAGCTTAGAGCCTACAGACTGCAGCTCGTAGATTTGCTGCAGCAACACTGGAGGCAGCCACAACCTGACATGGACCCACTCGTTTTCCTTGCGCGATCAGCCCAACTGGAAGGCCTGAACACACGGCTCATCAGGGCTTCACAGGGAAAGGCTGCTGATTGGAGAGGAAGTATCTTCTACAGTACTGCCTTGCAGGCCCGTCACATGCAAGAGAGTTGCACAGGACCAACATCCTACCTGATGCAGAAAGTGCCTGAGTCCAAGACGTCACCGAGCGTGAGAGTGTCTGACAGCTGAAACTCATCACTGACTGGAGCCCCCGACAGCACCAGCAGCAGCAGAGTTTTCGCAGCCTTGACTTCATGTGCAGCTGCCCTCCCTACTGTGGTCCTGTCTTGAGAATGCTCTGTTGTGAGCTAGGAGCTACATGTTGCGGCAGCCCATTGCCTTTGTGACTCTGACATTCTCGCTGGCCTAGAGGCTGACAAGAAGTATCTGTCCAAGAGGTGCAGCTGGCGGACAAGCAATTTTGGCGCGATGCCCACCAGCTGATCCACCCCCTGGACACACCCCCATACTGCAGCTGGGGCCCTGGGAGGACCGGGCCGCCAGAAACATGCGAGCTCCGCACCTTCAGCAACACCTCTGAGGCGCTGGCCATTGCACCTCTGCTCGACCCTGGAGTGGTGGTGCTCACAGACACGGGCAACCTCAATGGCAATGAGCGCAGCGACTGTAGTGGCATTGGTGTCCGGACAGCATACCCCATCTCCAGGAACAGGAGGAGCTACTTCAACGGAAACTGCGGCGATCGGTCCATCTTGTTACTCCACTGCTGTGACGGCCGCTCACAGGCAGCACAAGAAGTGCTTTTGACGGTGCCCGCTCCGATCGGCAAGCTGTGGCCACTCCTTTCTGCAGCAGCCTGCTGCCAGCAGGCCCTGCACGTGGCTTCCAACCCGTGATAGGCTTGGTGACCTTACGGGAGATAGATGCCGCCACTCTGACTGACTACAAGGGAAAAGCACATGTTGTTGTGTTGAGTGGGGAAGCATGCATGAACTTCATGCCTGTTCTGCGTCACCGGCCAATGCTCCAAAGGCTGTGCGCTGGAAAAGCAGAGCTGAGTCACAAATTGTGTACATTTAACAGGGATATCCTTTTGGCTTCATGACCCTGTGCTTGCATTTGGCCATTGCAATGACTTGTGATGTCCGCAAATTTAGAATTGCGGCCATGCTCATTGAAGGCGTGTGGCAGTTGGAATGCTTCCTCCTGCATGCCACATTCAGGCACTCCATGCGCGCATAGTGGAGATTTTGCCGGTCCTCAGCTGGTTGAAATGAAACAGGGCAGTATTTAGAGCCAGAACAAGATTACATTCCCGAATTTCTAGAGTTGATTCACTGAATGTGGCATATATATAGTCAGGTCGCCAAATAAAATCACATGGCGATAATATCGCCGCGATATCAAAGAGATTGCAAATAAGATTGCTGCTGATAAAACAGTACTTCGGCATGCATACTGGCCAACTCTTGCATACAGGCAATACATGAAGTGATCTTGAGCGTATGCCACTCATCATGACCCTATTTACCATACATTTGAGACTATGGGATCAGAACTGGCATTGTCACAGCCATCTCCCTTCCACACAGATGCACATGACGACTCAACAATCTGCACACGGGCTTTTGCATGCGTACTTGGGTGTGAAACTGTCAGGTTCACCCCTGAATACTTCCTACAATCCTGGTGTCACCAGCATTTGACAGTCATCAGAAATTAAGAGCTTGCATGGTCGGCAGTCTTTCAGAACGCTGCCCTGCTGCACTCATTCCAAAGCACAATCTGCTCCAGGCGGTTCCAAGTACTTCTCTTGTTGTGTTCACACAATGTACTGAGAGCTCCCTCTGGAGGGTGTCCCCTGGGGCGTCCTCATAGACCCCACTTGGGCTAGGGGCACATTGTTGTTCTCGCCTGCCCTCGCGCGGCGCATGATCAGCCTGCATGTGAATTATACTCACATCAGCGAAGTACCACAGCAGAAGAGCGCAAACATCTCCAACAGCATTAGCAACAAATAAATGACATCACAGCCAAGGAAGAGGGAGAGTGTGGTGTAGGCAGCACAGCAGCACACCTGTCAAACTTGTTGGTCCAGAGCAGGTTCACGTCGTAGCGGATCTTGGCGGCCTCGGCTGAGAGGCGAGACAGCAGCAGGGTAGAGCCCAGGTACACCAGCACCAGACCTGCAGATGGCCATAATACACTGTAACGACCTCTTCTCACTGAGAAAATTACACACAACCTCTCCTAAAAAAGAACAAACGCGCAGGAATCCTAAACCTGGGCGCACGCACTGATGAGGTGGTGATTGACACGGTGCAGTGCACTGGACAGTGGAAGGTGCTCACCAACGAGGGCGCGCAGGAAGTGCCGGCGCGCGTCTCCAGCCTGGGTGGCAATGCTGACGAGGATGGGCGAGTTGCAGATGCAGGCGTTGTTGTTCATGAAGGTGTACTGCTGCAGGTCAATGCAGGTCGTTGCCGGGCAGTAGCGGACGCCACCGGCACCCACAGCTGCACGCCATATGGAGGATGTCAGATTGATGATCAAACTTGAGCTGCTGACTAAGCTATACCTTTACCACTGACTCATTGACACGAGTATCGCTACTGTAGAGCCCAGAATGGTGTTCTTCCAGCACCAGCTTAGCTGTCAACACCAGCTCACTTTGCAAAACACAAGCATCATAGTGAGAATTTACTCTTCATTGGCTTCGCCATAGTTCTTCCGTGAAACGGTCAATTCAGGAGCAGCATTTCCTGCTTGCTGAGTACGTTTGTGGCAAAAGGCATATGCGCAGCAAAGAGGGTGAGCAGTGTTAATGCAGATTGTTGGGAGAATTGGAGGAAGAGCGTCGCACCTGGCGAGCCGGCAATGAGGCTGTTGACGAGGTAGCTGATCTTGTTGCCGGTCTGCTTGTTGATGAAGGCCCCGATCGCGTTGATGTCAGGGATCAGGGTGTTGAACGCCGTCTCCACAAATTGAGGCGCAGCCGTGCCTGTTGCAACAAAGACACTCACTCAAGTCCATCTGCCACACTTGTCATCACCAGATACCCCCACAGAGGATGTTTGCAATCCCGGCATGGCCCAAACATGCTGCCTCCTCTGTTCCATCATCAAAACACCGAACCACTGCGAGGCCCCCCCTAATGAGGCTGAACAATTTAACATTTCATTACGCTTGTATATGTTGTACTTCCCTCAAGAAAAATTGAACCCTGCTGTGAACACGATAAGGTGTCTAGATGCATGCTGGAATTGGGAGCTTACCAATGGCAGGGTTGCCAGCCAGCAGCTGGCCCAAGGCATCATGGGAGGCAGCAGCGTCATCCAGCCAGCCGCGCAGAATGGGCAGCACGGTTGTGAACAGCTTGCTGCCGGAGATAGTCACCTGCTCCGCAATCATCACTACGGCAAAGACTGCGCAGCACACACTCAGCCGTGAGCAAATCTGCTCTGAGCCAAGTGCCATGACCGCACACAATGTAAGTCTGACACACTCATTGCTGGACGTACCCAGACCCTAGATCCGTGAAAGTGGACAACAGGAGGTAGTACTAGTAATACCTGCTATGCAATATCAAACAAGGACACCACCACACAAGGCTTTGAACGTGACTTCTTTGCGAATCAAAGATCGACACAACATGGCATTGCAGCACATGAATGGATTGGGACCTGTGGGCCTTAATCTGTAATCTAGTACTGTATTGACAGATTTGAGTTGGAGCATGGTGGTAGTGGGCAAAAGAAAGGAGAGGAGGGCGGCAGACTCACTCAGCAGATTGATGGCGAACCAGACCGCCGTCCACACGCAGAAGGCGTACATGATCACCACCACGATGACTGTGATGTACTCCAGCACCACATATCTGCGCTCGGTGCTGAACCCTGCAGTAGAAGAACTTGTTGATGTTAGGTATCATTGAAGCCCCACATCCCGTAACGTCTTGACCAACTCTCGAATCACCCAAACAAGCCACACATGTGATGTGATTGCCGCACCGGGAATACACAATTAATTTCAGCAACAGAGCAGGAATGCACATTTTGATTTCATGCACTACCAGGAGTAAGTGATGACCAACCTGTGCCGACCCTGCCCTCGGCCCTGAGGCGCTGCTCAGTGCGCCAGAGCTGGATGATGATGGTAGAGACAGCTGCCAGGACGGCCACCACAACAGTGACCACCCAGGCAGCGTAGTAGGCACGATTCAACTTGCCAAAGTCCCCATTAGGCCCGGTCGCCGCTGCTAACAACCGCCTCACGCTGCCTCCTGCCTCACTGGCCTGCAAGCACAACACAAATTCTTTGCAACCGCTCAACTCCCCCAAATCTTAGCAGCAGAGCAACAGGAAATGGATATATGCGTGCAGGACGGTGAAGGTGAGGGTGAACAGAGGAGTTTCAGAGTGGCGCGCACCTCATGGCCATACAAGATGGTGCCCACGACGAGCAGGAGGACGCCCAGTATTGAGAGGAAGGGTGTGTATGAGAAGCAGCATCTGAGGCTGCTGGTGGGCCTGCGCAAGCAGCAGCACAGTAAAACTCAACACATTCACCTTCCTGAAACATTACCTGGCCTGACTTTATCTTCAGCAAGGCAACTAGGCCATAGTCACGCGCATTACTGAGCGCCCTACAGCAGAAAAATTCAAGGGAAGACAATAGGAGAGGCATGGCTGGAAAGCCCCAGGAACCGCACCCGCAGAAGGCCCTGTCCCCCTTGTGGGGGCTTGACGTCTTGGTATCCAGTGCAGCTGACGTTCTGCCCGTAAGAAGGGCGTCCTTGCCCTCGGCTGGCTTCCTCTTGCTGGGTGTGCTTGCACCGGATACACGAGGTTCTGTCAGCTGGATGCCCTCTGACATATCCTTTTCCTACCTGGCCACCACAAGCTTGTCAGCTCTTTAGCTTGGCGCTGCACCGCTCGCTGCAAAACTTCCAAGCATGGGCCCTCAATCGTGTCTTAGAATAATAATGCTCTCTCGGTGGCCTCTTTGAGGGCCACAGGAGCCCAACACTTCACCATCGTGATCACCTACTTGCCTGAACGGCTTATCTTGGATGGCTGTCACCGAGAGAAATCAGCGTGACAAGCATCATCACTGGTTCTCGACAACCTGGGTTCACAGGCTGAAAGCCCACTCACCAAGCCTAAAAGGTGGACCGCTGCGCAACGCGGGGACGAGTCTACCGAGGTGGTTGCGGCTAAAATACGATCCAAAATGATCACCAATAGTAGTTTCCTTTAGCTAGCAAGCGCTGGAACCCATAATCCATCGATGTGTAATAGCTGGTCCACGCTTGATTTAGAAGTTGAGCCGACTTCAGTGTACACCATTTTGCTACCAGCCCTCCTCAACACCCGAGCGGATCAAGCCCAGAAAGCATTAAGAATGCATCAAGTGTTTATTGGCAGACGGGCATACCCCGCTCTGGCCGTCTTCCGCAGCCAGCTATAACGAGAAAGCGATGACAGATTCCCCGGATCAGTCCGATAATAGGCTCCGACGCTGCCTGCGCACTTACAGGGAGCAATATGCCACCCTTTTCGCTATTTGACTAAAAGAGGATAGCTAATTTGTCGAATCACTGGCGTGGACTTCCCTTCCCTCTCAACCTTCGGGCCTGACTGCTTTGCCAGGTGTTCGGGCCAGTCTTACCTGCCCAAAATGGCCAACGGGGCCTGACCGAAGCCATGGGCAGCTTCTTCCTGGCAACACCCAGCTCCCCTATCGACTTCGGCTAGGAGTAAGAACGATCGATGCACTCCAGGTCCCACACATTGAAGTCGGACCTGAGTCGCTTAAAAATTTGCAGAAAAACGTGCGAAAAATAAACCTACACTTTCTCGATCCTAGTGAATTGTGAACAGAGATCAGGTGCAAAGAGTTCATACAACCTTAGGGAAACGACAGGTATCAGCAGAAGCATTTAAAAAACTTGAATGACGATCTCATGAAGAAAGAATGCCAATCCAAATGATAGAACTCACAGAAGAATTCATACTCAAGGAAAGGCTTGGTGAATGCAAGCCTCATGTGTCTGGGGCCCTCAATGCCTGCAGAGAATACCAGCAAGAAAGTTGTGCAAGAGACGTATGCTGTGTGTGCTAGCCAAAGGGAGGCACATGGCAGTCCTAGCAGGCAGCCACCACGGCACAGACCCAACTTATTTGCAGGCCGTGGCAGTCCCGCCCACAGAGCTTTCTGCCACCCTGGGAGCACGCGTGGAGCACATCTTGGTGAACGAGCCTGGGGTCCTCTCTGAGGTTGTAGCAGCTGCCCTTGATCTTCCACAGGTATGCAGCGATCACTGTGATCATGTTTCTCCTGTCACTCATCGTTCTTGTTATGGCATTATGATTGCATCACTTGATCTAGGGGCATTGTGATAAAGGGTCTGTCAGAGCACCAATCAGAAGCAATCGCCGATTCTGGTGCAGGACTTTGTGACGGAGCTTATCCGGTTTGGGGCAGTCCACTGGTGTCCCGTGCTGCCCGTCAAGGCAGGGCCACCAGGTGAGAGCCACAGCACTGAGCATGAAGCTTCTGCAAGACAGGCTGCTATAGCCAGAGTCGGAAAGAGCGTGCGTCCCTCACTCCGCGCATTATTCTCTGCGCCCATTCTGTTCCAGCGCTGCTGCCCACTTGTCAGGGCCCCAGACATGGTGATACACAAGCTTGCTCGCCTTCCTCCATGGCATGGCTGATTTCTTGGGGGCTTGCACTGGACAGCCTGTGCATCAGCAGCCTCAGCGTGCTGCGAGCGATGTTCCAGTGGAGAAGTATGCGTACGTGCGTGTGCATGTGCACCCCAAGCGCTTTCCCAGCGCCTACAAAGTTGACTGGAAGGTGGGCTCTGAAAGACCCCTGTGCATTGAGGCCCCCGCAGAACATGCATTCACCGTTCCAATGCTTGCTGTACTTCCCATCGCTGCCTTGTTCACTGTCTGGTAAACAATAGTCCAATATTTTGTGGTTGTTAGGCACGAATCGTGCATGCTGCGCCAGACTTTGTGGTCATCAACAAACCGGCCGGCGTGCCAGTCGTGCCCACGGTAGACAACATTCTCGAATCGTGCTTGGCCTGCACAGCTCAGGTGCGACTGCAATCCAACTCCTTGTCCCCTCTCAGGCTTGGTATCAGGGCCTCAAGCTATGTGTCAAGCAAACAAAGAGCATGTGATCCTGAGAGATTTACGCTCTGATTACTTGTTTCATGTGTGGGCCAGGCACTTGATGAGGCATCTCCGCTGCTGAGCACACACCGACTGGACACCTGCACAGAGGGTCTGGTGGTTTTGGGCCGCAAGTACGAGTTTGTGGCTGCCTTCAACAAGCTGCTGGGCCAGCCTGGCGCCCTGCAGAAGTACTACAGAGCTCTTACGAAACAGGCGCCCCCTACAGGTACACTTAATGCCAGCCTTGGTGGTTCTGTGTGCCGGATTGCCTGCTTACAACACTCCTTTGTAAGTAGAATGGGACGGAGTGTGAGTCATAGCTGCGTTTCTATGCCCTGAGGAGGGCCGGGTGTGCAGGCGGGCTGGTGCACTATGTGACAGTGGGCAAGAGGGTGAAGGGCCTGCCGGCACACACAGAGGTGCACAGTTCGGCGGTGGAGGGCGGCCAGCGGTGCGAATTGGAGATCCTGACTGTGTCCCGCGTGCAGCTGGCCCCGTGTGCTACGGCTCTGGGGTGGCCGAGCTCTGCATATGAGAGCTTGATCCTGCTCAAAACTGGGCGCACACACCAGGTCGGCACTTCATTGACCCCTGTACACCTTTGCAGCACTGGCAATGTCCAGCTGGCTAGATAAGGTACTGCTGGGCAATGTGGGGTGTGTGAGGTTTCTGTGCCGGCCATGCAGATCAGGGCGCAGTTGGCGGCTGAGGGCCATCCTTTGTTCGGTGACACATTGTATACGCCCTTGGCTATGACTCTTCGCCCCAGCAGCGATGCTAGTCACGAAATGGGGCGGATGAGCATAAAAACAGTGAATGACTGCCAGTCAATGACAGACTGCAGCGGTGTTGATAGCGAGATCAGTTTGGGACAGACCGTACAAGTGCCTTCAAGAGGAAATGCTGTTGACATCAATGAGCGTGAGAACTTCAATGCACATAACCAAGAGGAGGCAGCAGGTGCTCCAGACAGATGCGCGGGGAGCATTCCTGTGCGGGTCCTCAATGAACCGCTTGCATCAGGCATTGGGTTGCAGGCGTGCCGGCTTGTAGTGCATGCAAATGACAACATCATGGGTTTAAGCCCAGCGGTGTTTGAAGCCCCTGTGCCATGGTGGCGAGATGGTGCATGATGCAACTAGGCCCTCATACGTGTAATTCAAAGCTGAGCAATGCTTCTGGGAAATGCCACACAAGAACCCACTGCAGAGTACAGTGCCAGGACAATTCTCTCATCGGAAGCATCTCTTACAGCTCGACATCTGATTGAAGCCGAATTGAAGCATTTCATGCGGCTATGAACCGCAAGCTAGATTGTTCAGTGCCTTAAGCACCTTAACGGCAGATTTCAACCCCCTGATGCAAGAGCAAGGACTGTCGTCCCAGTGCCAACAGGTATTTCCACACTGGGAAGGCTGAAAGCTATTCTACAGGGCTGTGGCTGCTGCAAGGCTATCAAGCCACCAGCTGCACTGCACCGCCAGCCTCCTTGATCTTCTTCTCTGCCAGCTTGGAGAAGAACTTGGCTCGTACAAGCACGGGCTGCTCTGGAAGGGTGCCCTTGCCCAATACCTTGAAGATGCCGTACTTTGTCACATCGATCACGAGTGCCTCGCTCGTCTTCTTTGCTGCCTCCTCCCGGGCCTGCAGCATGAGCCAGCTTGATTAGCATACTTTTGATGCTGCCTACTCATGTGCACAATTAGTACCCCAGGCTGACGGTTCGATGAGAACAGCCAGCAAAACCCTGTGTATCAGAGTCTTGGGTGTTGTAGTGCACACTCTTTCCCACTTGCCATGCATATGCCATTGTCAGAAGGCCTGATGCTCAGCCTCGAACAACTTCGCGTGAGCAGGTATTTTTAAGCTCATTATGCCATCCTCTCTCACCTCATTGCCGACCAGCGACCACAACTTGTCCAGGTTGATGATGGGCTGGAAGTACTGGTTCTTCCTGATGTTGAAGTGCCTCATACCAACCTGCATCAGTCAATGGTTTCAGGTTAGTTTATTTACTGACATATCCAAAAGACTACCACTCAGGCAAAAACTATGAGCAACAACACCCACCTTTCCAAAGTAACCAGGATGGTACTTGTCGAACATGATCCTGTGGTGATGCTGGCCACCAGCATTACCCCGTCCACCAGGATGCTTTCTGTGCTTTCCGATACGGCCATGGCCAGCACTGACGTGACCACGCTTCTTCCTGTTCTTCCTCAAGCCTGCATCACACAGACACTTGTAAACAAGGAAAGGCAGCAGTCAATGCAATCGTGCGATGGTTTTCCTCTACGTAAAAGACTCCCCCCAAATCCTTTTAAGTCTGGTATCCCTCAAAGACAGCAAAAAGAGAATGTAGCTATTAGAGCAAACTGCTGCAGCACGCGATTCCTTGGCAGGTCAGTGCACCAAGCACAGTCCTGCGCAAGCCTAAGCATGTGAAGTAAGGAAACTCACGGGTCGTCATGGTTGCTCCTTTCCAGTAAGAAACACTAGCAGGAACATTAAGGTCATGGCGGCTCTGTAGCACCCATTGGTGGGCAGGGCATAACAGATTTCGAAGATTAAGGTCTGCCCAGTATGAAATGCTCGTCAGAAATGTTGACATCGCGACTTGTGCCCGGATCTATGGCAACTTGCCATTGGCAAGTCTCGCTGTGTAGCAACGGTGATTCAATGATGTGTTGAAGGTTTCGACACCGCGGTGGATGAGTATCAGGGACTCAAGGTGCTCATTGCACTGTTATGTTGCCTTGTGGCATGCTTTGGCTTTTCACCGTAGGCGTGATTGCCAAGAAAGGTAATCGGAGCTGAAAGCTGGATAGCTCTGCATTCTTGAAGCGTCTAGAAGTTCGTGCAGAAGGTGGGACCACATTCTTGGAGCAACGGTCAGTAAGCAAATTTGCATTCCTTGCGATACAAATTACTGGCCATTATACGCTGTACAATCAAACCAGCACTGCAGCTCCCCAGTGACTGATGCACTTTCCTGAATAAAAGGGGGGTCGCAGGTCCTGCGGAGCATCTGCCCATATGGAGCAGGACTTCAGGGCCACTCAATTCGTGGGCTCACAAGCAGACGCAGAGGTCCTCCTTGAGCAACCACGCGCTGAAATTGTATTGAAGCAATTGAGAAGGCGAGGCCGTCGACAAGACAACGAATACCTCATCAGGTTTGAAGGGTGAGACTCTCCTAGGTAGAGGAACCGATCTATTGTAGCCCTTCAAGCCACGACATTGACGACATCCTGGAGAGCTTTTCTTACTCCTGCATATCACAAGGACACAAGATATGCGTTGATGTGGCTGCGCAGGTACCCAGACTCAGACAGCACCTGGGTCACAGAACAGGCGCTCAGAAGGGAGCCAAACGGGGCACAGCTCATTGCAGAGTATGAGGCAGCAATCGAGCAGGAACACGCCGACGTGCAGGCCAACAGTTCCGACGAAGACATGACAGCATCCGTGGACATCCAGGGCAACGCTCCACAGCCGCAGTTGGCTGTCCCCTCAGCACAAGACATAGTGAATCAGCTGTGGACGCAGGCTCCCTCCGAGCCGCAGCTGCCGGAGACACAGCTGCCCTCGCAGGCAGCAGCCGCGCCTGTCTTGGCGCGCACGGCGCCCGCCACGCAGGAGCCAGAGCCGGCATGGGAGGACTGGCAGCGCAACAGGTCGGAGCAGATTGAGGCGGCCAAGGTGGCGTACAGGAGGGAGGTGCAGGCCAGTCACGGCCGGCCGGCTGGGCTGCGGCCGGCCCAGCGCTCCAGCGTCCTGAATGGGTTGCCAACCAGCCTCTGGGAGAACAGCCCGCTCGTCAACAGACGAGCTCAGCGTGCCCCAATCGCCGGCCTTGCTGAGCAAAGAGCGCCAGTGCCGCAGCCTGGCAGCGACCAGTACGCCAGGCCTGCTCAGCCGGGGCCTGCTGGACCATCAAGCACTGCGGATGCCTGGGGGTTTGATGTGCCAGGTGGGAAAGCAAACCCTTTGCCGCAAGATCACCATATCACCTTGAAAGGCATTTGCGTCCATGCCCACGCGCTCCGCTATGGCGTTGATGATGCGCGACATGGCCAGCCCCTTGCTTATGCCCACCGGCCGCACCTCCACGCTCTTCGCCCCCTGCCGCCATCACACAATCCCCTTTCGTCCCCTGATCTTTGGCTCTGGAGTCTTGAATGGAAGCTGTCATTGAGAGGAGGCAATGCTGTGCAGACGAACCGTCACAGGAGGATCTGGCGGCCGCAGACTGGGCCCGGCAGCACGCCGCCCCGCAGAGGCCAGCAAACCCGATGGTGTCGGCTCGCCAGAACCAGCCAGTGGGCCCTGAGCAGATAGGCTACATGGCCGCTGACCCTTTCGGCTGGCAGAGCCCCAGAGCTGCCGCACAGCCGGCCTGGCCCCCTCTCCAACAGGGCAGGCCTGCAGCAGCTGGAGGCGGGAGCCCTGAGCAGGCGCGCCTTGTGCCGGCATCCTTCAACCGCAACAGGAACAGCCACTGGATTGGTCCCGGGGGCGGGGCACATGCGCAGCCTCTGTGGGCAGCTGCACCCAGGAGTGCTACGGGTCCCGTGCCCAGGCATGACTTTGCAGCCGCTCGCCACAGCCCGCAGCCAGCCGCATGGGCCCACCATGCGCACCCGCCAGCCTCCTTCGAGCCGCCAGCAGACCCTCAGCGCCACAGTGTTGCCGGCCACAGTGTTGGGAAGGTGCCGGCACACGCTGCGCGCATGCAGGGGCCCAGTGCCGCAGAGCCCTCCATGCAGCCGCTGGGGCCCCTTCCGGCGGAAGCTCAGCAAACCCGCGCGGCGCGGCCCTTGCATGCCGACCATGCAGCGCTCGGCCTGCCTGCTGTCGCTGCCGGCCAAGCCGCCCCGGCAGCAGCAGCCAGCCTGCAACGGCAGGAGCCAGCGCCCGCGAGCTGGTACGACAGCATCGCGCAGCAGCTTCTTCCCAGCAGCCGGCAGCCGCCACAGGCCGCCCCTGCGCGCGCGGCAGAGCAGCCGCCGCCACGATATGAGGCGGCTGCCCGTGCGGAGCCGTCGGTGCCAGCATTTGTCCGTGAATCTGCGGATGCGGATGGCCTGCCTTCCCCCAGGCAGTGGCCGGCTCCGACGCACCCTGCACCGCCCCAGCGCCTGCAGAGCCCTCTGCGGCCTGCACAGCCAGTTGTCCCCGCTCCGTCCCATGGTGGGTGAACGTCCCATTGCACCACCTGAAGGGACACCAATGCACAATTAAAACGTTAAGGCGGGCGCAAGAATGAGGTTTATCAGCTGCTTGAGGATGTGAACAGTGATAGGGCCTTTGTGTGCCACAGGGGCTGCGGCTCGGGCGCCTGCGGCAGTCCACCAAGGCCTCTTCTCTGAGCTGGGAAGGCGTGCTGCTGAAATGATACGCCAGGCGCCCCCCGCTCCTGAAGGTGCAACCTTGCACACGACAAACATAATTGACCACAATGCAATGTCCAAAATTCTTGGTCATGCATTCCTTCGTGCATTTTCTCTGTCTGACAACACAGTGTTTTTGCAATGATTGCCCTTGCAGATCTGCGCACCGAGCCTCCCAGCTGGAAATGCTTATTTCAGTCGGCCACGCATCCGACATCCCTGAAATTCACGGCTGCGCAGGGCCGGCAAGCGGTGCTGCAGAGGGGCGTCCTCAGTCGGCGCCTGTCCGGGAGGCCACATGGGGTGCCTGGGCGACACATCTTCAAGCGCTGGTGCGAGACCAGCCCTCCTTGATTTTGACTGACTACAATTACCTGCGTTGTGGAGAGGCTCAGAATGACATATCTGCACACTCGCTCAACGTTGACCATGGTTTTGGACACTGTCCTCAAGACCTTAGGTGCTTTGCATGTGTCTGCAGGGTGGCACTGTGGCTGCATATGCCGCGGCGCAGGTCTTGCCGCCAGAGCTTGCTGCTCAAACTGGAGGATTGCCGAGCACTCCTGTTGTGGACCTGAACGCCCGCCCTTTAGCCCAAGCGCAGCCTGAAGTGAGCAACTGAGTAATTCCGACGACCTCGGGCTCCTAGAGTCATTTGAGTATCTTTGCAAGGATCAGTTGTGCTTGTGAACCTCAGTGGATTCAGAGTCCTCTGTGTCTCTATGTGGTTTGAGATGGCAATTTGTGGATGTGCAGGGGGATGAGGAGCCAATTGAGGACTTCATTGATGTTCCCAGCCTGCCAAGCCACGATGCTGAGGAGGACACAAGAGACAGAGAGGCAGGGGAAAAGAGCAGAGGCCGCAGTCAGTTCAAGCGCCTGAAGCGGCTTTATCAGCCAGAGACAGGTGCCACCTCTGCGTGGCCTGCTGTTTGTTAAGCCACCGTTATTGCAGCCCTATACCAAGCCCGGTTGAATGTGCTAAAGTGGTCATCATGTGTGCAGAAGAGGAGGATCCTGCGCCAGAGGAGGATGCACCAGAGCTTGTTCCAGACAGCAGTGAGGAGATTGGTGCACCAGCACACAGGCGGCGCCCTGAAGGTAATGTTATCTTCCAGTTTACCTGCAGCATGCGCATGAAAGTCTTCCGTGGCTTGCATGGCAGGCATGGCTTATCTCAGGCTTCTCATGTTGTGCATGGCGGCCTAGATTTCATCTGAGGAGTTTAAGATGCTGTGCTCAGGCGGCGCGCGGGTGTCCCCAAAGAGGCAGAGGAGGCAGTCCCACGTCATAGAAGATGATGAAGACGAAGCGCAGGAGGCCAGTGAGATGGCAGAGCCTGGAGACAATGTGCAGCAGTATCAGGAGGATGGGGCGCCCATGGACCAGATCGATGAGGAGGACTCTGTGGAGGATGCATACGGCCTAACTCAAAATGAGCTGTGGCATCTGCAGCCACAGCAGTGGGACGATGCTGTCATCAACAGTGCGCACCCACCTTCTCTTGACTGTCATGCATGACATATGGACACCTCTTGGAAGACACCATTCTTCCACTGCTGTTGCCTTGCGCAACCGTCATGGAGTGTGAAAGACTCAGATTGGGGGTTGTCTTTGACACTCACAGCATGTAATGCTTCCCTGTGCAGGAGCGAGGCATGAGGAGAACGATGTGCTGCTGCTGCGCATCCACTGGCCTGATGATTTCAGCGCTTGGGTGAACAGATACGCGCTGCATGTGCGTCCGCACTGCCACATGAAGCTGATTGACTTCTACGAGTCCAAGGCGAAACCGAGGCGCTAGATGCATCCCCTCTGGATACAATTGCTCGTTTGCGCCGCAAGGTTCACCTCTAACGAACGAAAACCCGGAGATTGATTCAGTACAGGTGGCATATGGTGCCACAGCATAACTGCAGCAGTGTGACAGGCAGCAATTGCGCTGCATAATTGATCTGATTAAAGCCAAGGGAAGCTTCTTGCTCTTGTGTGTAATTATCACTGGACTTTACTTGAATGGCTTGTCATGTCATGTCATTGTTGTTTCTGTTGGTAATATTAATCTATCAGGTATCCTGTGTCAGTACACGCCGTTGCTTTGCTGCAACACAGATGGCAATCGGTGATGGCTGTCAGAAGTCACAACCTTGAATCAGACTGGGGATGAGGAGATCCACACAATACCTCCAGGATGAAAGAGACTTCATGTAACAAGTGCTCTGCCACCGAGACCAATTGGACGTCACTGCAGGTCACTGTTTTCCATGTGCTCCTCTAAGTCAGATCATTGTGCAGCAGCTGTATCAGCGGATGCGCTGTCAGGCATTTGTCCTGATGACAGCGATGGTTTCTTCAGCGTGACCCATTCCACCGGGGCATCATCCATGCATCTCCAAACCCTCTTCAGCGTGCCATTCACTCTCCTGGGCTCCTCAGATTCTTTCCTGCCTGCATCAGAGCAGCGGAGTTGTCAGGCTCTTGCTTCACCTGAAATTGCTGGGCGCCAGTTTTTATACGAGATCACAGCAGGCTCCTGTACCCACCTCTCCATGTGAGGATACCAAATGCCTTTCCATGCTTGCCATCCTGCAAGCCAAACACCTTATGAAAGTTCCACCAATGCAACACCACCAACAGCATTGTAAGTATCAAGTGTGGCAGAGTCGAACATGTGACTGAACTCTGCTTTTCTTGGATAAGCAAGGGCCTACCAACGACGGCTTCATGCCTGTTATCGTCCAGAAAGAGTCCTCCTTCCATGTTGTTCTCTGCACTTTGTGGCCAATACCATGTTTTTGCAGATTGCTGGCCACCTCGTACACTGCATGACAAACAACAAGCTCTGTCAAGCACTGCAGGCAATGCAGCATGCATAGTATATGAGTATGACCCTCCAGAAAGGAAATCCGGCTAGCTTCAATGTATACGTCTGCACGCTCAACAGCGACGACCATGTAAACAATGGGCACGGTGCTGCTTGAATCACTCACAATTCTTTGCGCTCAAGATAGCCGATGCACGCATGCACGCAAATCTTGGCCAGAACGACAGATGTATACCAGCACCTCACTTCCTGATTTTGCACCCAGGCTTTCTATGCGTGCGTCAAAACTTAGAAGAGCACCTTTGCATGCATTTGCACCAGTAATCCAGATCGATCTAGATTGTTTTGACTCACAAACATTTGCAGTCTTCTGGGAGGCAAGATCGTTCCGGAGTTCAGGCAGGCCATATCATAATAGTGCCGTAATTGTACATTTGTCCCAGAGTAGTTCGCATTGCTCCCCGACTAACGAGCTTCATTGATGCTCTTGTGATCTTATAATCACTGTTCTATCATGCTTTCAGAAGCTGGCACAGGATGAATCAATGAGAAAATATTTTCTTGGACAGAGCGGCATCTGATGAAAATTGTGGGGCTTACCGGCGGAATAGCAACCGGCAAATCCACAGTAACAAATTTGATACGACAACATGGGATCCCAGTCATAGACTGCGACGAGATCGCGCACCTAGTGACTAAGAAGGTGAACACTGGCCTGCCCAGAAGTCTTGAACACTAGATTCTTCCATCAGCCTACAATTACAGGGGACAAGACGGTGGGGCTGTGATGTTACACAGGGGAAATGGGTTTATAAAAGAATTGTCAGGATGTTTGGATCCGGTTTTCTAAAGAGTGATGGTGAGTGCTGGACTCCCTTGTACAGCTCAGCCAAAAACAACTGCCTAAGAAAAGTCCAGGAAGTAATTCGTATAATGTTTCTGATTTGTTTCTTTACTGCTGATTTCACAGGTGAGATTGATAGGGAGAGATTGGGCGAGCTTGTGTTCAAAGATGCTGTTGCCAGACGGAAGCTCAACAGAGCAACTCACCCTGCAGTAACTTTGGAGCTTGCTAAGCAACTGCTGAGTCACCTCCTCCAGTGTCACTCGCTGGTGATGGTGGACATGCCCCTGCTGGTCGAGACTGGTGCATACCTTTTGACGTGGCCGCGCGTGCTTGTCAAGTGTGATCCAGAGACACAGGTGCCCATGCCTTGTTTTATTTTTGCTCAATGCAGCGCTGCCATGAATGTCACAGCATATGCAGATTGGCATTGTTTCTCAGATCCTGTGAAGTGCATTTTGGATCTGCAGGTGAGGCGGCTGGTTGAGAGGGATGGATGCAGCAAAGACCTTGCACAGTCAAAGGTTGCTGCTCAGATGCCGCTTGAGCAGAAGCAGAAGTGGTGCCAATACATCATTGATAACTCTGGCACGCGGCAAAGCACCGAGGCGCAGGTGTGCTGCACTACTCTGCCAAATAGCTTACAGATGCAATTTGCAAACGCCGATTTTTCTGGATTTTGTCATCATGACCATCAGCAGTCATGAGGTAATGTGCCATGCGCTGAAACCAGATATCCATGCAGGTGAAAGACACCGTTTGGGGGCTGAGAAAAGGTTTATGGTGGAAGAGCGCACTTCAAACTCCAGCAAATATTGCAGTGATACTGATATTTGCTATAAGTGGTCTTGTCCAAAGGTAACGGGCTTGGCATTTAATATATGCAATGGAAGCAGTAAAGACTCCTTAATAAATAGAATGGTCTCAGCACCTGAGCAGATCACTCTCGATTGCCTTTCAGTAACTGTACTGGCAAGGAAGGCAAGAAGCATAACGTCATGACAATCAATTATATGTTATAATCCCCATGTGGTGCACCCCCAGAGTTCAGTCTAGACACAGGTCTGCCCAAAGTCTTTCATCGGGCCCTTGAGCACCACAATCATATTGACACTGAGAAACAATACAGGCAACTTGTATCAAAGAACTAGAATAAGTACTAGCAGCAAAATGCATGGATGACAAAGACTACAGAACCCTGTGCTCTGGGACACACAATGTGCACTTTTTGCGCATGTACAAACACAAATGCTCGACGTCAGACTAGCGCACAGAGCTATATATAGCACTTGTGGGACATGCGCTCGCAGTCCATTTGACACACGATGTTTGAATGCGTGAAAACAGCACCATTCTAGTGACACACTCCGCATCTGCTCAACATGTAGTTGTACAGACACTGCAGCTTGTCTTGAGCCATCCGGCAGTGAAACCTAGAAATGCGAAAGACGAACCTGGACATCCTAGTGCCAGCAAACCTGGGTATCAAGCCTCAACTTTTCTCTTGCCAGATGCTTGCTGCTGTGCAGCACACCCTGGGAAAACACAATAAAGCACTGCAGCAGTGACGTCTGTGCTGCAGTGGACCCGAGTCGCTGCCAAGCTTTACAAAATAAACATATCTTCAAGCAGCGTCATCGTGAGTACGGTCAATCTCAAACAGCGTCCCAGGCACCTTTGGGCTGGGCAGGGACGCCCTCAGCCACAGCCTGGGCAGGGGCAGCGGTGTTGGGGGCGGCCGGCTCACTGTGGGGGATTGCTGCAGGGGTTGCCGGGTGTGGAGTGCCCGGTGCGGTGGCGCCGATGGGCTCAGCAGGCTGCGCCGTGGGCTTCTTGGAGAACCAGCTTCGCTTGGGCTTTGCGGCCGCCGGTGTCTGCAGCACAGCACCGTATGCTCAGCATGGTCACAGCATGTTCACAGCATGAGCATGACAGGTGCTGTCTACAGCTCTTACCGTGACCAAGACAAGAATTGCTTACCTTGAGAGTCCCTCAAAAGCATGACCATGACAAGAGCATGAGCATGGCAAGAGCTGACCACCTGCCTCAGATCATTACCATGACAGGCCATAACATAACAGTCATGGTGTCAGACAGAGTTCGTTGAGATGGCCGGCAGAAATGTGTGGCGCTGCAGGGGGAAGCATACCGCAGCGACTGGGGAGGCAGCAGGATAGGAGGCTGCTGGAGAGGGCGGGACCTTCCCTGTCTTCTCCTCCCTCACGAACACATTGCGCATGACCAGGATGAGCACAGAGTAGGCCAGGTAGACGCCCACCAGAATGAAGGCCAGCACATAGGTGGCAATATACGCCGCTGCACAGCACAAGCACTCAGAGAATGATACAGAGAAGGGCTTGAATTTAAGGGTGGGCTATTCATCAGAGTATTGCTACAGTATTGCATTCATAGCACGGGATGGGATGAAAGGTTTAGTGGTAGTGGTCGAATAGACGGACAGATCCAATGAATAGAGCTGATTGGTGTCATTCAAAAAGGTTTCTGCAGCTCACCTGTCTGACCAGAATTCCAGGCCAGGTTGGGATTGCGCTGCCAGGACCTTGTCTGCAGGGGTGAACAGAAGAGATTAAGGAAGCTTCAAATATTGTGCAGACACAAACATTGACACCACTAACCAGTGCAGCTAAGAACAGGGCCCATGAGCACATACCAGGTTCTTTGCAGAGTACACGACGAGAGCAGTCAGCAGTTGGAATACTGAAGTGTGGAAGCTGGACGCCAACAGGATGCCATTCCTGCACCATCAATGCTACCAATTGAGGACAGCAAGTCGGCTGTTATAGCAACAGCAAAGATAACAAGCTTTCATACATGCCAGAATGTGGTGCTTCGATAAATCAGTATGAATGGCAGCTCACCCGAATCCAGAGAGAGGCTCATGGTTGATAGCGTTCCTGTAAGACAGGCATACTTATATCAAACAATTACTCCAGGGCTCTATTCAAGGAAGTATATCTCAAAAACGCCAAAGAGGTGACATGTTGAGAAGAGGCAAACTCACTTGAGGAGCAGGATCAGGCTGACAACAAAGAACAGAATCAGGATTAGGACACCCAGGAAAAGTGCTGAGAGCAGAGCATTGAGGTCAAAAGTGTCCTCGTTGGTCACGTAAGGTTTCGCCTGCGGAATGTAAGGGGGATGCACGTCAAAGTAGAAAGCATTTCTTGCGAAAGGCAAACTTTGAAAGCGCGTGTGCATGGTAAAACCGTTGGGTCACTGCAGTGTAAGGCTGCAGTGTAAGGCGTTAACAGCATCGCACGCTTCCAGTACCTGCTGAACGTTTCTGAAGCTGATCAAAGCAACCACGACGTACGCTGCTGAGATCGCCTGCAACACATGAATTCTGAGTCACGAGAAGGTGCAGGAACCGCCAGCTTCGCGCAATTAATTCACCACTCGTCACGATTCGCTGTGCAAGAGTCAAATTACCTCCTGTATGAACCAGAATATCCAGATAAACAGCCACGCCGCCATTTTGATTGCTTAGAACAGCTTCTGCTTTCCGGGCCCTGATTCCTCGGAGTGCTTGTGTAGCAAGACAAAGCTTGGGTCTGCGCTAGCGATCGATCCTCAGTAAGCGATCTGCGTAATCTCTCCACTCTAAGAGATGTCCTTTGCGGAAGAACACGCCGATCTTCGGCCAGGAGATCGTACAAAGCGTTCAACAGAGCAGGTGCCAAGAAGGTGGGAAGCTGTAGTGATGGCCAAGGTCGTCCGGTGGCGTTCCTGCCGCTGGGTGAAACTTGTCTTCCTTCCCTCTTCCACCACCAGATCAAAGGTCTTTTGTCCTGTGAAGAACGTAGAGGAGAGAGCAGTCTCCCGAATCCCGAACGTGCGTCATAATTTGGTGCATCTTGGGCCAGGGGGCGGGAGGCTCCCCTAGCGGAAGCTGTCATGGCGTGGCTGGAAAACTTTGCGAATCTGATGATCACCGGAGCGATCTGTACATACGCAGTGTATGATTTCTTCAGGGATTACAATGGACAGCAGCAGCGCCAGGTACGTCTGCACAGATACAACGCAGAAGGCAGACTATTCCAACACCTCACTGTTGCGCCAACATTATCGTGAGGTGCACCTTGAATCCACCTTTTTACAATCTTGAAGTACTGCTCATGTTATCAGGCACGTCCTGATACGCTTGGTGTTCGTCATAGGGGAGTGAAGCCAGCAGCAGCAGCAGCACCAGCCGGATCCAGACCACTGTCAGCAACCAAGGGTGGACAACAGTGCAGCACACAGGCCCAGGGTGGCAGTCCACAGTGTACACGTTCGGAGACAGCAGCCCTCCAGGCGTACTGACCCTGCACAATCTGTTGGGGCCCAGTGGTGAACCCCAGGCCTTTGGCAATGACGGGGAGGGCCCATCGGATCTGCTGCGGCTGCTGCAACACCTGCAGCAGGACCTAAATTCCCCACAGCTGCAACTGGCTGGAGCAGGAGCGCGCGACTTCACTGAGGTAAATTTTGCCCAGATCTTCGAGCGGATTGAAGTCCTCTCTTCCTCTGAAGGACACGACCATAAGACATAAAGGTTTTGAGCCCCTCTCTTTCTTTGAAGTTAAGTGCAGGTAAGATGTCACGTGATTGGGCTCCTCTATTTCTTTGAAGTTCACTGCGACAAAAGAATTCACTGCAGTGAAATTGGCATTGTGAATGCGCTTAAAAAGGGGCTGGCGATCAGTGAGAATACTCCTGTGCTACGCTGCAGGCGGACTATGAGATGCTGTCAGCGCTGGACCAGGGGAGCAACAGGAGGCGGACGCCCGTGACTGAAGCTGATGTGGCGGCGCTGCCGACACACATCCACTGTGCTGCTGCAGAGGTGCGTGGCTTTCCTGCATACCTCCACAGCAGCAGGCCTTCCACACTCATTGTGAGCTCATGACTGCAAAGCCGACGAGGCCACTTCGTGCAGTGCTGATTGTGCTCCTGAATTCTGCGTGGCCTGCCTGTGTATGATTGTTGGTAGGAGCAGGAGCTGACACGGCTCTTTTAAAAAGCAATACCAGCAAAATACCGTTGGCTGCTTACCTGGAACATGCTCAACTGGACTTGTAGTTTCATTGGGATTGTCGTGCAATAAAGGTTATTCGAGAGGGTGCTTGACTGGGAGGTGTGGTGCCTGGCAGGGTGTCAAGGGAGCAGAGGAGGGGGAGGAAGTGTGCAGCATCTGCTTGGACGGCTTTGTGCCGCGGCAGGAGGTGAAGACGCTGCCCTGCATGCACCACTACCACACAGGGTGCATCGAGGAATGGCTGGTGCAGCAGGGGCGCTCTGTGTGCTGTCCTGTCTGCAAGACACCCGTCTTCCAAGGTCAGACTGCTCCATGGTAGCGCAGCAGTCCGTCAGAGTTTCCCAGACAAGTGAGCCGATATTGCTCAGAGCAGCGCTCCGGGATATATTTCCAAAGAAGCGAGCTGAGATTGCTTAGAGCAGCTGTGCAGCCTGCGTCATAGGAAGCCTGCCCAGGATAGAAGCAGACAGAGCACAGCAACACACTTTTCTACTGAGGATTGTAGAGCGAGTAGCTTGCAGGAAGTGTGCAGGGCTGCCATGTGACTGGCAAGCCTGCGACGGATCACACATTCCCTGAAACACGGGATGAGGAGTGTATAGTATAGTCACTTTGTGTACAACCAACCAGTGAGATATGCTGCAAGGGCATGTCAGGAGCGCGCTACAGCACGGAAATATGACATCAGATCAGCTCGGAGGAATGCAGCAGGATTTCAGCCTTTTTTGCCTGGCTGACACAATCTGGAGGTATAGAGATTATATCAGCAAACTCAGTTGCTGGTGTGATGACAAGAGGGGTCGGCTTTGGTTGATTGAGGGTACCAAGATTGCCACTAGCCAGCAAAATGCTCAGTGACGCATGCTTACAAGCGGCGAGATGCTGCAGATATTCGCCTTTGTTTGGCAGTTAGGCAACCGCATAAAGAAGGTGCCCGAATTGTACAAATACAGGAGGTCTCGGTCCAAAAAATAGTGGTGTTGCAGTCAGTCCTCTCAATTGGAAGGAGCGTGGCTCTTGGCTGACTCAGTCAGACATCCAAAAAGATTGGGTACGTGCCCACTGGTCAAGCTCTGAGAGCATAGCCATCAATCAAGACTTGTCATGACTTGAAGCGATGGATATGCTTGTGCACTTCACAATGGCTGGAATTTTTGAAGCTCAGCAACAAATATTTGTATTGCAGCTGACATCTGTGATGGGATGTGCACCGCCTTTGCTATGCTCCCATTGATCCTGTCCGAGTAAGTGATGATGTGCACCACATGTTGTGTGTTTGTCAAGGACATTTGAAAGGTTTGTGGCCATGGCGCCATGGCTTGCATCCATGAATGATGGATCAGGCTCTCCCAAGATGTCCCTGCTCGGCTTATGGCGCCCGTGACTTCATCTGTAAGCATATTCCATTGAACATTTACAACTGAAGAACCACTGCCGCACGGTGGCGGGCTCTTATACCAATAATAATCTCCAAAATAAAAATCATAAAGGAAGTAAGCTTATGCCGGCAGGCGCCTGCAGGTCTCGGGCTAGAGGACACAGTCTCAACAGGGCCTATGCATGTCGACACCATGATCATGATGGATTAAACAAAACACTAATCTTGTGGACCCCAAAGTCTGTGTCTAGACTTCATCAAAGTCGTCCTCAAAACTCCTCAAAATGCATTATGTTCCCCATAAGACCAACAAAGAGGTCCTGCGACAATCCAGGCAAGTCCAGGAAGGGATCCGGGCAGAAATAATTATGGCAGCTCACCATCAGACAGTCCATGAAGCAATGACAGCTCCTATAGCTTTTGTTCGAGAGGCATATGAGATCTGCACAGCTTGCGGCACTGCACGGGTGTGCAGGTGCCTAAAAAATATTGCAGCACTCCTTGCCACATGGCACAGGATCAGATCTCCCTTGTTAGACAGAAATAAGGGGGATCACAAATTGCCTGCCACATGGCTTGGATGTGCTGTTCCTAGAAGTCTCTGTCCAGTGTTGGGCTTAGAAGGCCCGGCCTACCCATTACTTTGCATTCTGCGCTCCGCCTGATGCAGGGTATCCTGCCAGAGCGGCCCCCCTGGCCTGCCTCTTTTCAGCTTGAAAATGCCATGATGTGCAACAGCTGGCATTGAGAAAACCAAGGCGTGGGGGGCTCTTCTGGACTCTTCCTCTTCAGCTAATCAGGGCATGAAGCAAAAGGGCAACGTAGCAAACAACCGAACCGCATGGATGTTCCCTCCACTTCTGTTTCCAATCTCTACCCTACTTTCGACCAATTGCATGCAATACTATGAGAGGCGTGCAATCCCCCCGCCAAACCAAGCAAACCCAACTGCAATTCTCTCCTTGTCTCTCCTCACCACAGCTCTCTCTGGCACCCTCAGCCGTGCAGTGCTAACAGCATCCACCTCATGCATCGAGCCGGACCCTCTGACAGAAAATCAGGCCCTATAGGAATGCAGAGATGCCTCACACATGATCCCCATACACCGGACAAAGAGCAACCCCGAACAGACAATTGAGTGCCAGTGGGGGTGCCGCGCCAGGTCAAATGATGAGACAAACCTTGACTGTGGCAACAACTGACCGTGGCCATAAGTATCTAATAGAATCTCAGGAAATGGGCAAGGGAACACACCTGTGACATGGAACCTATTCTGATCACAGCGCATCATACCAGTCACTGCTAGAAGCTGGCGGCCCTGGCAACACTGGCGGGCACACCCTCTCTTCTCCCTCCCCTCACCCCTCAACAATGCTGTAACCCCACAGAGGACTCTTTCTCCCTACATCTCCAGCCGCGCCAGGCAACCCTGGTGCACTGCATCTGCACACAGCGCGCCAGAGCACCCCGCGCGCACAAAAGCAGTCCACAATGAAGACCTGCTCCGGTCCCAAAGCTAACCCCGAAGCTACACACTGCTGCTTTTATAATTAATACCTCCCTCAGGGCGTGGGTCTAAACTCCCAGCCCCGGCTGACGAGCCAAATGGACATGCATTTGGTAATCACATCATCGTCCTGCCGTTCCTTGTCTCTCCCTCAAACTTCATTCGTCTTGCCGCAAATCGCCTCTCCAAATCTCCTCTCCAGATTCGAATTTCGAAACCATCAGGCTTTCACCGGGCAGCCGCCGCGCAGGCAGCACAGCTGAGGCCCCTGCTGATGGAGTCAAGCCAGTCAGCCGGCATTGCAATATCGGTGGCTAGTGCTCGCCAGAAGCGCGCCTGCGAGTGCGGCTGCCGGTGAAGCTGCCGCTCACATCATCGGGGGCCGGCCGCCTTGGCGCTCCTCGAGGCAGAGGCCCACGGCATGGTAGAACTGCGGCAGCGCCTCTGCTGGCACAATGATCGCGATCCGATCCTGCCCAGCCACCTGTGCAAGTGCGCACATCTCAGTGCAACATGCAGAGCAGATTCCTGTACTTCCCACGACAAGCACTGCACCCTTGAGGGGTACAATTGTATGTCGTGCACTGCACTGTTTATCAAGCAAGTTTCTGCCCTGAAAGGACCTCGATTGCGTGCTTGGAAGGACATATTCTTGCACAGCTGGAAGGCACTGCTACACAAGGTGCTATGCAAAGTGCCATCTCTCGAGACAGTAGCCTCTGACCTCGGTGATGCGCAGGTACTGGCCCTTGTTGTTGCTGCCCAGGTCGAAGAAGTAGCGCTTGTGCCCCGCGCGCACGATGCGGCTGCCGGACTCCGTCGAGATCAGCGTCGGCGGTGATGGCCCCGGCCCCACCACTGTCTCCTGCCCAAGTGCCGGCACCTGCACAACCCCCCCAGCACAAATACTAAGCTGCCAGTGCCAGCCTCCCCACAAGGTGCCATTTCCATATGCTGCATCACCAGGCTCTCTCCAGCACGATGCTTCAAATTCGAGACAGAGCATGCATGCGCAGAACAAGCAACGGTATCTGAACGTTGGTGCTCCAGAACAGCTGAAGTCCCGGGGGACTCAGAACATTTGCCTGGGTGGTCAGAACACTGTGACTGGACACATGCAAGCAGATGTGTGGTTGGGTACTGTCAGAAGTGATCAGAACGGCCTGAACGCTGTCTACCTGCATTGGTCTAGAGGAGATGGAAAATGCATCCAGGTAGGACGTGGTCTGAGCAATATCCGGAATGCGGGCACCCAGCGACGCCAAATGAGACTCCAACTCTGATAACCGATCCAGCTGAAGCTGTGCGCGCAGATCAAGCAACCACCGTCAGTCAATCAGAGCCGAAGGTCTCGGCGTCAATTCAGAGAGATAAACAGAGCGGCCAAACAGCGAACAGTCAGTAGCGCAATGCTCCACTTTGGAACAAACACACCCTCTCACAGGAGCCCCAACTGATGCATCTTGATGCGTCCGTCATGTAGCAGATCAGCAAATTGATTATCGCTGCGCTGTTCAGCCACAATAGAAACCAAATTTGTCGTCCGCTGTTAAGCTGACGTGCATCAGTGAGTGGAAGTGTAAGGCGGCCACCTGCACAGGAGGCATCTCCGTGGTCTGGGCCTCTATCCGCGCCAGCACACCACGAAAGGCCAGCCATGCTGAGCAGTCAGCACCCCCCGAAGGTACAATTATGGAGCTCCTCCCCCTCGGCCTGCAGCACAGGAGGCTCTTTCATCACACTGGCCAACAGCACACTGCAGCTGGCCAGGATTCCAATGCTTTCAAAGTTTGCGCTTGATTTCTTCACATTAGTAGCTACTTTATAAATACACTGCGGGGGCGCACCCTGCTCCGCTCTCTGAGATCCGAAGGTATCTTCCGCGCGGGTTGTCGCCCACTGACCAGTAGAAAACCTTGCTTTCCACCGGGAATTCTTTCGCGGTTGCAAGCCTGCAACAGCAAGCAACATTGACGTGTGCACGTGCAACTGACAGCGTCACCAAACATGCACATTTCTGATCACGATATAGTAGGGCTCTGCTCACTCGAAGCACAGAGAGTGTTCAAAAACTTCACAAGGTCTCTTGAGGGAGGGACGAGGGCGTACGAGGGCTCTGTGGTGGCATAGTAGTTGAATAATTCTCGGAACCAAGGCAGCGATTGCCCCGGGACGATGATGGTTGAGCGCTCCCTGTTCGTCCCCTTCTCCGATATCTTCAAGTAGAGACCTCTGGAATTTGCCTTGGCATCGCAGAAAAAGATCTTGCTCTCAATCTGCGCAAACAATCGGGAAAACGCTTATGAGAGAGGCCGCCGGATGTGGGCCCCAGCAGGTGCCCAGGCTGCACACGGGTCACAAAGTACCCTATTGCTGACTTATCCCTGCTTTCCCAAGCTCCAAATGGCTGTGCTGGCCGTTTCCGCACGGTCGAGGGAGGGGTACGGCTGCCAGTACTGGTGCCTCTTACGCGGTATCAAGGGCCCCTTCCCCCAAAGCTGTCCTTGCAGGCTGACTCTGGCATGCACAGATGGTTGTACCCCTTGTGTTGAAGAGCTTTCGCCAAGTACGGCTGTGGTTCCCATGTCTGCAGCCCTCGATCGGACTCTCCAGCACTCCACGCGTGAGAACTTTTGAAGCACAGGCAGAGGCGCTCCACGCTCTTGAAGTGCTACCGAGTGCTTCACTGTTCTGATAATTCACAAGAAGCTCAGAAAAAACTCACCCGCAAAGTTTCACTGCAGACTTCTTCGTCCTCTGCGACCCTGGCTCCTGGGCCCTGTTGCATCTCCGCAGCATGGCCCGCGCCCGGCAAGGGCGCACTGTGCGGTACCCGAGTCGCTTCGTCCAGGGAAAAGTACGTGGGATCAATTCTATCTAACACATTGGACATGATGGCCCGCTCCCCGCTGCCATTCCACACTGATTATGCTGCCGTCACTCTCCTTTGCTGCCGTCACCCGCGGGGAACCATGTGAAGGAGTCACCACGTTCTGGAAATGGCACGCCTCACTAGACGGGACCCAAACACGTGCAACCGTGTTGCGGTCAGCGCAATATATGATGCGCTGTGCCACTGAAGCTTTGTAGCACCATCAAATCGGCCAGTGTACACCGTGCACGTGTGGCACTTTTCCTTCTCAACCTTTAAAATGTCAGCTGAGTCTCAGGTTGACCGCTTTGTCAGGCAGCCAGGTTGGCTCTTTGGCCGAGTGAGGCCAAGACGTCCTCACTCAAGCTTAAGTCGACTTAAGCTTGAGCTTGCGCATGCATGCAAGCAGCTCGGAGGAGTCCTGGTCAAAGCATTAAATGGCAATCCAGATCTGCTTCTAGAACACGTACGCATACTGCATCACAATAATTAGCTAATGCCATTCAGTGAACCTGTCAGAATCTCTGTCACTCCGAGTGCCACTCGCAGACGAAGGTCTATATCTAGATCTCAGATGATAGGCTATCATGGTCATGCCATAACGTAATATACCGGTATCACTGGTACCGCCACAGCGTGCACTGGCAGCCCTCAATTCCAGGACATACTAAGGCCGCAACTCAATGTAAAGACTTAAGCCCTAAAGAATTCGAATCCGGGTGTGGCACTAGTGCGGCAACTAGCTGCAATCATGCGACCAGCTCTGAAGAGCAACGTGACATGTTGTACAAGCACAAATGCCTTCCGGAGGGACACGCAACACGGCCATGAAAAAGTTTGGGATATCAGCAAATTTTGATTTGCAAAACTCATTTGCCCCCTCGTCAAATGTGATGCATCTCGTCATTTGTTGCACGGGCCCTGCAGGTTTCAACGGTGGCTGCTCGCAAGACAATGGTTGACCATGTCCACCAGATTTGGGTTCTCCAAGGCTGCTGCAACTCGCTCCTTGTCGTTCAGCTGCTTGTTCACTGCTGCTTCTGTGGAATGCGTGCCTGGTGTTACAAAAATGTCCACCTGAAACCCCGCACCATCAGCATCATTGTCCTGACCAGATCACTAGCGCAATACTTGGTGCTCATTCTTGCATTTTGGCACACCTTGAATCTGGATGGCAGCGTCTGCATGAGTTTGACCCTCAGTGACAGGCCGATGAGGGTTGCCATGCTGCAATGCTGCACTGTGGGAGTGAATTGCACCCTGCAGACAGCAGCAGGCGTGTCAAGTAGCAGCAATGAGCTGCATGGTAAAAACAATCCCACAATACTGACATACAGGTGCATATCTGTGTCTTGCCTAACACGGCCTGCAGAATCCTCCACCGTGATCAGGTCCTCGCTCACGACATTCAGCTGCTCCAGACTGTAAGGATGCTCAGGATCTGTAACATCTCGTAGATGCTGCATGGGCAACACGTCAAACAGATGAGAACAGTAAACGGACCAAAAAGCATATGTCACAACGGGCGGACCGTGGCATATTGTGTCCCACCAACATAGCTTTCCCACAAGCTTAGAGGTGTACCTCGAATATTTCCAAGGCATCTATCGGTTCCCTCTGCCCTTCATCTCCTGAGTCCCTTGTGCTCTGCACCAATTCAGTGAGCAGGATATCACTGGGCTCACGATCTCGCAGAGAAATCACCTGATCAATCGTATATGTCAAGTAATAAGGATTTAATGTTTATAATACTCTCTTACCGCTGCTCTGTGCGTTTCCTTGCGCTCATGCACCACTGGAGACGGGTTGATCAGGTCCATCAGAGACGCCTCAAGAGATACGTGCAGTCTTTGGTGGTATTTTTGGGCATTCCACACAGCACGCCTCTGCTCACAAAGCCCCCTCAGGGCCTGACGAGCGGCGAGTTTCACTTCCATTTCACGTGATACCACGTGATAAATGTGTCATCCAGAGCGTCCGTGAAGCCCGAAGATGATGTTTTGGGAGAGCTGGGAAATGTTGAGAAATTTGGAAATGAAAGCTTCAATACAAAAACTTCTGCTGCCTCGATGAGCCAATTCTAGTTGTCACAATTTTGGGGCTGAGCCAATACCATGAGGATGGCCTATTCCTGCACTGACTGCCCTTCCCATAGTCATCAGATACCCCCTTCAGCATGTCTAAAGCTCACTCGCGTCACATCTGTCTCAGATCTGCATCGCAGAGTACAGCAATCCTCAGAGCCCCTCAGGCGTCGGCGGTGTTCGATGACGAACAAAGGATGCATGAAAGTGAGAGCTTTAGATGCGCCGATGCCCTTCGATTTTGAACATAAAGCTACGAGGATCTTGGCGAAACGGAAGCAGCTCACTATAGGCATCATCGGATTTGGCAACTTTGGGCAGTTCCTGGCAGAAAGGCTCGTCCAAGCAGGCCACACGGTAGGCTCGCAGGACAGTGCATGTTGCAGTATAGTATGTTGCACTTCAGCATTCAACATGCAAATATTATGCAAGCAACATCCGTACTTTGTTGCATGTCAGGTCTTGGCCACGTCCAGGACAGATTACAGAGAGGTAGCAGCGGGAATGGGGGTTGCATTCTTCACAGACATAAATGACTTCTGTGAAGAGCATCCAGAAGTGGTCATCTTTGCGTCTTCCATCCTCTCGATGGGATCAGTGCTTGGAGGCCTGCCAGTGCAGCGGCTGAAGCGCAATACTCTCTTTGTGGATGTCTTGTCGGTGAAAGAGTTCCCGAAGCGCCTGATGCTCTCCACGCTACCTTCTGAGGTGCGCTGTGTCAGCTTGTCAGGATGAGGCGCACCTATACCATGTTGCTGTGACGCGTTTGAGCAATGCCGATTTCGGCTGAGCAATGCCGGGATATGCGCCATGCAGGTGGACATCTTGTGTACGCATCCCATGTTTGGGCCAGACAGCGGCAAGCACAGCTGGCAGGGCCTCACCCTGATGTATGAGAGAGTGAGGGTAGCAGGTTCGGCTGATCGGCAGAAGCGAGCTGCTAATCTTTTGAGGGTGAGTACTCTCTGATCCTCATTTGTTGAAGCCACAGTTGTACCATGGAAACGAGAGTGGAACCAGGAGCATCCAGCTCCTCACTGATTCTGGCAGCCCTGATAAAGGGAACAGACCTCCCATTGCAGCTCTGGGAGAGGGACTTCCATGGCATGCTTGCTTTGCCAGCTATCTGCCACCTCTTGCAGCCCATCCTGTTACCTGTGTGAAAGGTGACAGGACTACCCCACAATCTACCAAGCCAGTTGGTGACATCACTCAAGCGTTTGTGTTGTGCGCGTGCAGTTCTTTGAGACGGAGGGATGCCGGATGGTGGAGATGAGCTGCGAGGAGCACGACCGCATAGCAGCGAGCACGCAGTTCATAACGCACACAGTCGGCCGCATCCTGGGCAGCATGCACCTGATGCCCACCGCCATCGACACTCGGGGGTTCCAGTCGCTGCTCAACCTCGTGGACAACACCACCAATGACTCCTTCGACCTCTACTACGGCCTCTTCATGTACAATGCGGTGAGCCCGCTGCCTAAGTGTTTCTCCTCTGTTCCCCCTAATACATGCCCGTGCCAGATCTGACTGGCCAATCTTAGAGTGCTAGGGGCCGGTCATCAAGCTGCAGGAATGAAGCTTGTGAGCTCGAAACAGTGGGGAAGTTGTCAAAAAAAAAAAAAAAAAAAGGATCACATAGGCTTAACCAAAGGCCTACCTGCGGACAATTTCTAGTTTCACAGGGGGCTAGAAGACTGCGTTGTGACGCTGCAAGAACGTGGCGGTTGTTTGTTGCGCAGAATGCGACAGAGGAGTTGGAGCGGTTGGAGCATGCATTTGACAGTGTGAAGAAGCAGCTTTTCAGGAGGCTGCATGATGTGGCCAGGGAGCAGCTGTTCCAGCAGGCGCCTGCTGCTGCTCCAGAGCGCCTCCTGCTCAAAGCTGGCAGGAGCCCTCAAGCTGAGGCCGGTCAAAACAGCAGCAATGGGGGAAGCCAAAGTCAAAGAGAACATGCAGAGAGCACCCCTTTAATTTGAGGCTTTGTCTCTGTTTCTGTCCGGTAGGCGGAGTGTAGCGTGCATTGCGCTGCAGGGGGATTTTGTTGTTCCAACTCTCCTTGTCCAGCAATCACTTACAGGTAGTACAACCTTGATGGGCGCGAAAACCGAATTATTCCGCTGTTCGTAGGGTCCGTGTACAATATGTGTGTCTCCATATGCTTGACAAACATGAATTGCAGCAAGTGGTGTTGATGTTATACCGCCATTCATTGGACAGGGAAGGAAATCTGGGCCACAGTAAGCTGCTTGCACAACGCCTTGGACAAGGAGCCAATTCAAGCAGCATGCATGCATTGCCTTCCAGAATTCAGGAAATGGATCTGCGATGTCGCAGCAATGTTAGGATTCAGGACATCAAGTTCTTGCTTGAAAACGCATTTTCCTCACCTTGTCGAGACGGGTACAACAATAGGAAGTGTTGCAGAGGCCTTTTGGTTTCGTAGATCATCTATTGATGCGGCATTCAGACTTCTCGACCTCTTCGCAGGAAAGGCCCATGTCCTGCCGCACAACGGTGAGAGCATGGTATGGTTACTGGACTAAATTAGATGATCACTTTAACAAGCATACCCAAGCGTATAGTGCGCCTGAATACGAGCTCTGAAAAACTCCGCTGGGAGCGCAGGAAGCGATCTTGAGATTCTACGCACCCCATCAGAGTTCCATGAAAGGCTCTTGGTACGAGAGTGATTTCATTTTCAACATTATACAATAGCGCTGCCTTGATCCAAGAGAAGGGCATATACCTTCGTTGGTACATCAGGGTGCTCTTCATGGTCCATACAGGCTGGCATCAGGACAGCAAAGCATAATGTCACCATTGCATCCCTGTATGCTGGAACTTCTGGGGGGCTGGAGGCACAATTTGTGGATGCTCTGCAATGTGCGGCATCCAAGCAGGCCCCTGAGGCACCAGGAATAACAATCCTCTTGGATGCCCTGCGCTCCACCAGGCTGTCCCTTGGGCCTCAAGGCAAGGACATCTTCCGGATCCACTAGGATTGCTGGACTGTGGCTTGACATGTAGGTTGACAAGCTGCGGCATAGCCACTGCATGTACGGCATTGGCTCTGCACATCTTGACACGTGTGTGGATCCGCAGGGCAGCAGATCAGCACAGCACAGATGCTCGAAAGTGCTCTTTTGGCAGGGAAGAAGCCAGAAGCAGATGTGTCCATCCATCTCTTTCACACCCCGGCTCTGCGGGGCGTCTTGAAAAGGTATGGCAGGGCTGTCAGCTGACATGGGGTCAGATGCCAGATAACTCCATGTCAACACTTGTTTCTTACACATGATAGATTGTCACCTGCAATCTCACTTCCATAGGCTGTTCTATGTTCAATATCTTGACGTTCTCAAGCAAGACATGATACACTCGCTTGTAGGTATCAATCATGGGCAGCCTGTGTGTTGCAGGCTTCTGCCGCCCCGAGTGAGCGAGGTGGTTGGGGTGTGCCACCTCAAGGCGTACATCTTTGATGATGACATCATGATCTCAGGTGCCAACCTCAGCAACACCTATTTCTCCACGCGCCAGGATCGCTATTTTTTGATCCGCAATGCAAAATTACTGAGCCAGCACATCCGCTCCTTAGTACAGGCGAGACACTCTCAAAATCTCCAGTTTGTTACATGCAGTTGACAGAAGTGCTGCAAATGTGTTAAGTGTCATTTGGGAAATTGTGGTGCAGCTGACACTCATTGCAAATAGATGACTATGATTATGTCATAATAGAGATTTGGACCAATTGTTCAAATTGCCCACAGAGGTCTATGTTGGCGCCAGGTGGTGGGCAGGTATTCATACAAGCTGCAGCCTGGTGCAAAGCTTGCCCAAAATCTGGCTGGGCTGGATCCCCTCACGGCTCCCTCTGCCTTCAATCATGGCCTGAGGCGGGAACTTGAAGCGCTGTTTGTGCCTGGGCAAGCACCCAGAGAGTCTCAATCTTCCCTTGCAGAAGAGGGCGCCAGCGCTAGGGATGCCAGCATGAGTCACAGCGCAGCTGCAGCTGTAGCTGAAGATGCCAAGGCGCCCATAGCAGACAGAAGCATGCCAGCAACTGCCTTGTCGGAGAGGATCAGAGCTTCTCTGAACCTTCTTCAGCGCCACACGATTGGAAACGCAATTCCAGACCTCCGATCCATCCACAGGAGAATGCCAAGGCTCCTTGGAGGCACAGACCCAGAGAAAGCAGAGGCCAGCAGCACCGCCGACCAGTCAACGCTAGAGTGGGTCCCAATACTGCGCTCTGCAACAATTTGTTGCTCAACATTTCAAATGAGATCTATATGTGCTGATATTCCTTCACATGTCAATCGTAGAGATCCCAATGAAGGATCTTAAACCTTCTGGTGGTTTGTTTGCCAGCCATGAGCGGCTGCGCGGCGGCGAATGCTCGACCTCAGGGCGCACAGCAGATACTTGGATCATTCCCACAGTCCAGCTAGGAAGCGCTGGCTTGCGGCAGGTGCACCTCAACATCACCGCATATAAGTCTCGTGGTGCTAATGCCTCGGTCATCTCCAAGCTTTTCACTTGTTGAGTGGTGCAAAGATTTATGGCTGCTGGCAGGACGAAGCTCTGACAACGCTGTTTCTGAGGGCTGCCGAGCCTGGCAGCAGCCTGGCCATGTCAACCGCGTACCTCAACCTCGCCAGGTCATACGAGGCAGCCCTGGCTATTAAACCACAGGTGACTGCCTTTTCTGCACCTCAACTGTGCTCCAGCTCACCGCTCCCCATTTCATCGTTCTGCTTTCCTACCCAGACTGTCCCCGTGCACTGCATGGCCTAATTGCACAGCCACCAAGCACTGGGCCCTGATTCCGACAATTAGAGTCAGACAGATGGGTCGGCCTGAGATTGGCTGGAAGCGATGTAATAAGAATTCCTCACCGCATGCAGTCATGGCCTGCCAGCTGGCGCTTACACAAATTATGAGCCAGGTTGAATGCTGTGCCCAGGTGAATGTGGAGTTGCTGACGGCGTCCCCAGCGGCCAACGGCTTCTACGGGGCCAAGGGGGTCTCGGGGCTGATCCCCACCGCGTACTCGCTGCTGGAGCAGCACACCTGGCGCCGCCTGCAGCGCGCATGGGCCCGCTCCGGAGTGTCATCCTTTACAGCGCAGCGCAGCTTATTGGAATACAACCGCGCCGGCTGGGAGTTCCACGCCAAGGGCATCTGGTGGGCCGCATTCCCTGATGTGTTGGCCTCCGTTGTTTGAGGCTATCTTCAGGTGGACAGGCTGAAGAGAGGGGTGAGGCGCGCAGGGCAACATGCCATGATTCAGCAACTCCGGACACGGTCATCTTCTTGCTGATGGGCAGGCGGTTGCTGCTGTCCTTTTTTGCATTGCAAGAAGGTGAGGCGGGAACGGGGCTTCCAGCAACTCATCGGGACACTCTGAACACAGGTACACGCCGCCAGGGGAGACGCTGCCCATCGGTACGGCTGTGGGGAGCCCCAACTACGGGTACCGATCAGTGGTGCGCGACTTGGAGGCCCAGTTCATCATCATCACTACCAATCCAGCTCTACGACAGGTATGCACCCTCTAACACCCTCTCATTTGCCAGGCAATTCACTTGTGCTTTTCTCGCCATTCTGCATGTCATAAAGGGCCTGCATGGGCTTGCAGTGTGACTGCAATCCCATTGCCTGCCGATCAATCCTATGGGTTGTGTGCATGAAGGAGAAAATTGGTATATATAGACGACTGGAGATGTGTCAGCTTGGTTTGACGAGGTGTGTTCAGGCCATGTCAGAGGAGCTGGAGGCACTGCGCTCGCATGCTGAGCCGGTGAGGGACGCCCACTTCAAGAGGTCAGACCGCAGAGGCACCCCCACCGTGCGGCTGGCGGCACACCTGCTGCGAGGGTTCCTATGAGCCTGCGGATCTGCACTCTTCACACGAATCCATTACTTACGTTACTATTTTTTTCAATGCCTTGAATTGCTCAGAATGCTGAAAGATCGTTGTTTGAGCCGGTTTGCGATGGCAGTTGTCGAGCGCATGCCAACTTGAACAGTGCAATAAAAGAGATACCAGATTTCCTTTGGTGAGCATTTAACATTTTGCATCTTAGTTTCCAGAATGATTTGTAATTTCATCTGCTGTAGAGTTGGCCCACATATTGCAACCGCATAAAATACACAGCTCTCACAGCGTTCGTGCCAGTCACATGATACAACATCTGCCTTCCTCAACGGCTCATGATACAGGCAGGGTTCTGCTATACAACATAAAACTTACTTCTACATTGTCCATCTCTCCCAAATATCTCTCTCTCTTGTGCTCGTGCAAGGAGTACCTCCCGTTCGCTCATTCATCTCGCCTCCTCAACAAATTACCTTGTGCAGGATATGCTGCAGATGGGTCCGTTCAAGAGAGCTTTGCAACGGGTCTGCACACCAAAAAAATCTCTAGTAGTCAAGCCCAACATGTTGGTGGGTCAAAACTGTCTAGAAATCAGAATCTCAATGCGCACAATGGTAAACGCTGTGAAAAACGCTTTCTGGAATCACCTGCCATCTCTCTGCCAGGCCTTGAAGCCTGTGCGCAGTACCGAAATGTTTGTGAAACCATCAACCGTCGCCAGGTAGGCTGCAATCAAGGACCTGCAGAAATGCCTAATTGTTCATCTCTCAAGCATGCCTGGCTGTCACTCATGCACCTTACGTAACTCCGAGCGGCAAAGAGACACTTCACAACAATAACAGCTTAATAATCAGCTGCACTCTCCTTTGCACCGCAGCAGATGGCAGGTCCTGTGCTTTTTCTGGGACACACATGGTGAGTGGACTTCTGGTCCAGGCATGCAGGTCATTTTTATACAGTGATGCCCAGCACACAGCGGCTTTGAAGGGGCAGATTACCTGCTCTGGTACACCTCATGCCACAGCTCTGCATTGTTGGGCGGCGGCGGCCGGGACATGTCTCCCTTGCTGTTGCACACCAGGATCACCTGCGTGGCCGGGTCACCTCCCACGGCGCTGGCCAGCTCCGCCGTAAAATTGACATTGGGCTCTGTGGCATTGAACACCCCAAACAGCGCAAAGCCTGTCCGGCGAAGGATCTTCCATGGTGTCCAGCCTGTTACAGCACTTTAGTCAGGAGATACTTATGACAAGCAACATGATCTCCGAGGCACAATGAAGTCCAAGGCTCCAGTGTCATACAGCTTGCACAGCTGAGAGCGGGTGACACATCGTCAAGGCATGATGTGACGTGTGCATGGGCGTCTTGCAGGTTCTGTGACTATATCTGCTGAGCAAGCAGTGTGGTATTGCGCACCTCTGATGGACTGGTAGACGGGAACGTTCTTGGCTCCAGGAATGTGGGCTTTTGCGAATTCGCTGGGGACTCGTACGTCCACCAAAGTGACTTCCCTCTCCAAAGCAAACTTCACCTCATGGGCAGATACTCCCTCCACCTGGATTTCAGTTTGCATTCTTCAACACAAATAATTTTGAAGGTGTTCAGACAGAGTCTGAAGCGGGGCGACACTTTCAGGAGAAGAGCCCGTGCTGTGCCCCTCCATGCGTGGCTGGTAGGGACAAAACCAATGACTGAGGAGCCCTATCCACCTTGTTTGCCTTCAACACGCGATACATAGCTTCCCAAGCTCCTGGTGTGGTGATCCTCAAGCCATTCACTGTGAATCTGTCGGTGTTACGTTCTGAGCTCGTTGCCGGAGTCTTTGGGGGAGATGGGACACTCGTCGGTGCAGCAATCGCGCGGATAGCAGACCTGTGTTGTTACATACCACAAATAAGTCTTGCATCATCGCACACTTTGCACGAGAAGAACAATTCCTGTTAACGACTCCCACCCGAACTTGAGCATGAAGCAAAATAGTGATAGAGATCGATTGCTATAGCAGCTCACTTGGTACTTGTTGTTCTTTTGACTGTCTTTGAAGACGAAAAGTGTTGCGTGCGCTGCAAGGTTCTCGCAAGCAGAGTGCTGGAGAGAGTCGGTCTTGTAGCGCGATTTCCCCAGGCCGCGGGATCCATTCTGACTGCAACCGACATGTTCGACGCACCAAATCTTGCCTTTAATTCCTTCTTAGATGGATGTAGGGCCAACGTACATCCCAAGAGGAAGTGGAAGCCCGTTCCTTGGGGCGACTTGCGCGGCATGCCGGCACGAGAAAACACGTGCCTATCCATATTAATTCCCCTCTTGCTCTCATTTAAAGCTGCTGGCACCAATCTTGCAGGAAATCTCCTTCGTGTCAAATATGTTTGTTAAGGTACCCTTGCGAAGAAATTAATACAAGACTCCATCCATTTTATCGATCGCCAATTTTTTCTGCCAAGCCAATTCTTTGAAGGCAGTGTCTGTTCGATTCACTGCGATTCTGAGCAGATGGCGTCTCAAGGAGAAGTTTTAGTAAACAGTGACCGGGTCATCAAATTCCTTGGGGGGCATGCTGATCGCCTGGCAGATTTTGCAGATGTAAGTGTTGTGCTTCGCATGCTTTGCCTGCCCATGTCGATGCTCCCGCTTCTTTGACCTTGAAGAATCAATAATGGGTACCTATTCTCTTAAATTCTATGCAGAACGTGGATCCTCCTTGCGACATTGTTACAGAATTTGCGGAGCTGTTTGAGAGGGCCCAAGCCACAGACAAGGTGAGGGACAAGGCTTCATAAGCGTGGATCAAGACGCTCCTGCACTTTGACAATCACTATGTAGATCACTCAATGGATGACACGCCGAGGTTCATTTTCAATATTGTGCATATGGGGTGGCTTTGTAGGTGGACAGCTGCAGGAAAACACTGGCAGAGCTCACCATGATGGAGGCCCAGATAAAGGCCCAGGCAGAGGCCTTCAAGCGGATGTCTCAGGGCTACGAAGCCAGCATTGACTCCTCAACAGACTTCATGGCTCGCCTGGAGCAGACTAATGCTGAAATCCCTGTCAAGTGAGGACCCTGTCCCCACCGCTCATTTCATCAGTCTCTTGCTTGACAGCCTTTCCTTTTCGTGCATATTCAGAGACACAAATGACTCTGAAGCTGGGTGTGACTGGGTGAGATGTAGCATAACTAGATGTATGCGGGTGTGATGCAGTTGCAACCCAGAAGAGGAGGAGCGCTTCAGGGAGATGCAGGAGAAGCTGTGGAGGGTGAATCACCCGAACGAGCCCATGCCAGCTGCCGGCGGGGCTGCAGACGAAGATGAGGACGTCATTGTTGCAGACTCTGGCAATGACCTTGCACGCAATGTCAAGTGTCCCATCTCTGGCGTGGAGGTGAGGCCTCCTTGTTTGCATCTTTGTATCAACATTCTCGTTGCACGTATCTACTACATTCCACTTCAAACTTCCAAGAGGAAAGGTATGTGCATGGTCAATCTGCATGGTCACTTTATGCTTGCACCATTATGGTTTTTGTGCGCAGGTGCTGAATTTGAAAGAGCCTGTGGTCGATGAAGTCGGCTTTGTGTACGAGAAAGAGTCCATTGAGGGTTGGCTCGTGCCTCATGGAAACCGCCCCGTGGAGGCACCTATAGCCGGTGAGTACCCTGAAGATTTAAGACCCCCCTTCCACTGTGTCACTGTGTCAATATGCAGGAGTGATCTTCTGATGAGTGTCTCCTTGAGACAGATGCTGCTTTGTGTTGATCACTGGTGTGTCGTGATAAACAGGCACGAGCCACAAGATCACGAAGGCAGGGCTTAAAAAGGCTACCAGGGTGATCAGGGAGCAGCGAAGGAGGCAGAAAAGACCCCAGACACAGCAGGCAGAGGATGCAGCTGTGCTGGACGTTTGAGAGGCACATATGATGCCTCTGTTTCCCTGGTGACTTTCAGACGCACTTTGCAATATTCCATGAAATCCTATCGCACCGGAGGAATCTCAAGGAGCTCCTGGGTATCTGTCATGGTGTGGGTATTTACAAGGGCAGGTGCACAACCTCTTTCAATAGCCTCACTACCCTCGCTTGACTAAGTGAATTCATCTTTTCATGTGGATTCTTGGCAACATCAGGGCCATTACAGCCAATCACTGATTAATGCCACAGCAGTTCTATCATCTTCAGATGTTATGTTGGAAAAAGTTGTCATAGGCATATGCATTGCAACAGCACACACTGATCGTGCCAATCTAGGTCCTATCAATTCTTGCTCACTGATCAGAAGGCACAGCCTTCACAGGATACCATGGCTGTCTCATTTTTTTTTGTTCGGCAACCTGGCAGGAAAAGAATCGCAGAGAAACGTTTTGAAACGGCAACCGAGACGTGTCACTGTTTCACAGCACTGCGTTTACTAACAGACAAAGCTTGGACATGGACGCATATTGTATTCCTCTAAATCTAGCAATGTTCTACATCCCCTACAGTGCCCCATGGCACTCTTCCCCTACTGGCACCACAGGAAAAGTGACCCCTGTCATGCAGACACCTCCACTTCGATGTTCTATGTATCCAGCCCAGCTGGTCCATGGGCTGTCACACACGCCCCCTTTGCATGCGCATGGCTGGCGGCATGCTCCCTCCTGCTGAGTACCGGCCACAGGGCCGCTTCCATGCATGCGCATGGCTGGCATTGCCTGGCAACACCCTCCTCCCTTGCATGCAAGCGCATCGCTGGCAACCACGTTCCCGCCTTTGCACTAATGGCCACAGACCCCCATGCACGCATGCATGCAATGGCTGGCACCCACGCTCCCTCCTGCATGCTATTGCTTCTGCAGGAAGGGATCAGATCTGGGCCAGACCCCTTGCATGCATGCGCATGACTGTCACTACATCCCCCCCTGCACGCTCCAGGCAAACGCCCCTGGCATGGCTGGCACCGGAATCCGGCCAGCGCGCTACTGCTTCTGCAGGAAGGGCTCCAGAGGCTTGCCCAGGGCGTAGACAATGAAGCCAATGGAGCGGAGGCGCTCGTGGTCCAGAATGTTGCGGCCGTCAAACACAAACGCGGGCTTGCTCATGCTGGCAAAGATACGGTCGAAGTCCAGCGCCTTGAACTCGTCCCACTCCGTCATCACGCACAGCGCATGCGACCCCGCGCATGCCTGCACATAAATCCAAGCCCTGCTCAATCGATGGCATCCAGTCTTCCCTCTTGTCTTCCATGCTTCCCACGTTCTGCACACTCATGCAGTGATCCCTCACCTGTTCTTCAACTGTCAACTGAAATGACAACTGAAAGGGCAACTGAAAGGAAATTCTGCACTATTTCACGAACATTCTCTATTTTTTACAGTTAGCAGGATGTCGGACCATCATGAGAAGCGGTGGAGCATCCCCAATAGTGGTGCAAACCCCAAGCTCACAAAGCTAGTGGGATTGATTATCTGCCATGGCACTGATTGGGAATTAAGGCTGCAGACTTATTCAGCAGAGTCAGGGGTGGAATCTGGTGCCGGGTGTGTACCTTGTAGGGGTCTGAGGAGACGCTGACGGTGCGGTCGATTTCGCGCGAAGAGAAGGGAACCTGGGCGCCGTTGGGCAGCATCGGGTGGTCCCACTGGAACTTGGGCATCGAAAGGTCCCTGCAGACACATGCCCCCGCACCCTCAGTGTCCTGATTAAATTGAATGGTGCAATTTTTATGGACCTAATTGATTGATTCATCAAGACTTGTAGCACGAGGCACAGCATCTAAGCTTGTGCACCACCAATGCTGTTTGAGCATTCTCTCCCTGCAGCCGCTGCAGACTTTTCTTTGGCTGACGTGGATACTTTTGAAGTGCTGAACATGGCTCTATACATAATATCATCGGGAGAGAAGTGCACCTCGTAGCATGCAGGCCATGCTGTTTGACACAATATATTCAGATGGCATGGGTGCTGTTTTTTTGGAGGCCCACGCCATGCATGGAGGTACGGGGTTGGAGAGAGATGGCTGACCTGAAGATCTGGTCCTGCTGGACCTGTGGGTCGTAGATGCTCAGCCGCGCGTCGTCCGCAATGAGGCCGTGGCACACATCGATGGCGGGCGTCTCACGGGTGTCGCCAGTGTCCTGCAGGATCATTATTTTCAATGAACTCTGTGCATAGATAGCATGAATCTCACTCTCCTTCTGACTTCGCATGCTGCTGCAATGATTGCACTCAGAAGATCTCAAGGTGCCTCAGATACTGATTAGGAAGCATTATTGTCTGACTCCTCATGAAGGGTCAGCAATGCTCAGCTTCGTAGAATGCTATATCACAAGGTAGCACAGATTGAATAATCCCGTCTTGCTTCCATAAAGCAGGACAGGACTGGTGGAAAGGGTGAGTAATCACCTTCTTGAAGGCGAAGCCGAGGATGGCGATCTTCTTGCCGGAGACGGTGTTGAACATGCTGCCAATGACCATCTCCACAAAGCGGTGCTTCTGGTAGTCGTTGATCTGGATCACCGAGTGCCAGTAGTCCGCCACCCTCTTCAGGCCCACGCTCTCACTGCGCCACAATAATGCGACTCAGTCACTATGCTGGTCCATCTAGCCTGCCAGATGTGAAGGATGAAGCAGATTGCAAGTATGGCTCATTGCTGGGACTTGAGTCCTCCATTCAAGGACCTCGCTGGGCCCTTCAGAACCAGCCTGCTCTGACATGGAAGGAGTATAACAGCATTGGAGTGATTGTAATGGTAATGACGGCTGAGGTGAGTTGGGGCCTCACCAGATGTAGACCAGGTTGAGGATGTCCTTTTGGAAGCAGGAGCCTCCAAAGCCCACGCTGGCGTTCAGGAACTTGGGGCCAATGCGGCTGTCTGTGCCTGTAACAGCAGCATGCCAAGCATCAGCCCATGCACTCCCTATAATCCTCTACTGGCTCGAGCCTTTCTCATTTGGTTAAATAGAGCCTTCTTCATGCTCCCACATCACTGTGTCCTGGTGCCTTCCCAGCATATACTGTCTGGAGCTTCTCGCCTGAACTGTATCCTCCGCGTGCATGAAGGCGAGAAAAGCAGCAGTGCAAGGGAGCAGCAGGGAGTTGTAGCAACACTTAGGAGGATGTGCGAGGCAGCCGCAAAGGCTTCGCACCCAGATTACAAGGTTAGTCACCAGTGAGCAGGTGATACAGAAGAGGTAGCCCGCACCAAACCAGCACATCATATCTGACAAGGACATCTCCGCGCAAGCCTTGTCGCCTGAATTGGTGTTTATGGTGCTTGATGACAAGGTCAGTCCCTGGTAGTACTGTCATTGAAAGGAGGAGGCGCACCGAGGGCGTGGGCGACCTGCTGCACGTCGGCGCCGGTGGCCTCGCAGAGCGCTGAGATGGAGTTAACGGAGGAGATGCGCTGCGCCAGCATGGCGTTGGCCGTCAGCTTGGACAGCTCCGCGCTCCACAGGTTGGCGCACAGGATGCGCTCGGCCGGCACCCAGTGCGCGTACACCGACGCCAGCGCAGCCACCGCCGCGCGCCCGCTCTCTGTCTCCTTCCCGCCGATCAGCACCTGCAGATACATGATTGGGGTCCTCTTAGAGATGAGTTTTCTTTGGATTCTTGGGGCTGCGGAATCCCTGCTGAAGGGTGATATGATTGTGTCCAATTAGCACCTGCAGCGATTGATTGGGTCCCCCTGAGAGATGGGTCTTTTTCCGATTTGGTGCTGTGGGCTCCCTGGCCGAGGATAGCATGGAGCTATGACTTGCCTCCAGAAGGCCATCTCCAGCATTCAATCAGGGCATTGAGGCCGAGCGCTTGAGGGAGTGATTGCATCACACATGGCCCAGCATGATGGCCCCATTGGATCTTGGTACTGCTGGGGGTGTTTGGAGCGGGAGATGGAGGGGCAGGGGCGTACCCTATCGGGGTTGGTGAGGTCCTGGATGGCGGTGCCCTCTGCCAGGAACTCCGGGTTGGACAGGATCTCAAACTGGACGTCCGGGTGGGGGCAGTTCCTCCTCAGCACCTGAGACATTAAATCTTGACTGTTGGTGGATGAATACAAGAACTTGCGAGTCAATCTTTGTCTCGACTGTACTGCAGGCTGCAGGCATGTCATCACTTTTGCAGCCGGAGTGGGGACTCCTTTGGAACATACCTTGCCGATGGCCTCTGCGGTCTTCACAGGCACGGTGCTCTTCTCCACAATGATCTTGGAGGATGTGGAAACAGAGGCGATCATGCGAGCAGCCCCCTCCCAGTAGGCCAGGTCTGCTGCCTTGCCCGCCCCCACTCCAGACATCTTGGTGGGTGTGTTCACACTGCGGGGCACCAGGCATGCTTGTTGAGTCGCAGCACTGACGTTTGCTGAGCAGCCAGGAAGAATTGAGTTCAAACACACATTATCGCGCCACCTTGTTGCCGACCTTGCCCTAAGATGGAGGAAAGGCTAGGACTTCTCAAGGAAAGGTGCAGTTACATCGCAGGCACCAGTATGTTTGATGGGATCAAAGAGTCCCCAGATGCCGTTGAAACCGCCTCCACAGATATCTGCAAATTCTCACATGTTGCCAGACTACCATCCAATGACCTTCAAGTCTTCTGAGGGCCACTTGCCAGGACGGCTTCATCAAGTTGCAGCTTGACTAACAACGCGTGCAGTGACGCAAGAAATGGAGCGTGCGGATAGAGCATTTCTGAGTATGTAGAGTCAAATTCAACCATCTACAGACATTGAGGATGCAGGTATCGGATTCTGGTTGGCCCACTGGGTCTCGACATGCATGTCCAAGGGCCAACGGACCTCACGAAGACGATGTCTGCCTGCGCAACGTGGTAGCGGCAGTCCGTCGAGAAAAAGAGGTTCTTGCCCCTGCAGGCCTTCACGACCTCGAAAAGCCCAGGCTCATAGATGGGCAGCGTCTCACTGTTCCAGGCATTGATGCGGCTCTCGTTCAGGTCAACCACAGTGACGATGATCTCGGGGCACTTTAAGGCAATCATCGCCATCGTGGGGCCTGCAATCGGAGACACATGTCAGTTAGCACCAGAATAACCTCGCTTGATACGGCGGAACTAACCCCATACAGTTCAAGATGTCCAGAGTGTCAAACGCACACAAACATGCCTGTGCATACCTCCGACATAGCCAGCACCGATGCAGCAGATCCTGGTAGGCTTCGCCATCTTGATTGACTGCTGCGATCTCTGCGATCCCGGGAATAATGCGGTCGACAGGATCGATTGGAAGTGAAGGGGACGATGCTTGGACGCGCCTTGAGTCTCGAGAAGGGAGCCAAATCTGGAAACTGCATGCGTCAAGCTACGCTTCCAACTTCTTCTGAGTCATAAAATTTCGCAATTTTCTCTCCTCAGCTCCTCGTCAGCAATATATATATATATATATATATATATTCTTGCTTGCACTATTTCTGACTCCAATTTTTGAACAGGTCATGTTGCAAGATTCTCGTGGGACTGAGACTTTTGTATCCTGACAATCATCACTCGAAGAAAGGCATGATTTTGAAGGATTAGCTGCCAGAGATGTTGAAAAGCTTTAGATGAGTATTTTGCATACTTTTCTTGCCCACGAAAATGTGATGAATGCGAGACTATTTTGTTGAAAAAAAGACCCATCAACAGGAGTCAAGTTGTCTTAATCGCCGGTGTTCCTCACGGCAAAAGGCCTCGAATCTGGTAGCAAACTTTGCTAAAGTGATACAATATATCAGCAGCGATGTTGGACGACAGACGAAGTGAGTTTCGTCAGTCCAATGACAGTGCCAAATATTGTACTGGCTGCTTGGTAGTCTCAGCAGAAGTTTCAATTTTGCAATGAGGCTGCATACTGCTTGTAAGCTGATCGTTTGGCAATTCTCATGTCCTGCAGAAATAGGGATCGGCCTCACTGGACTCGGATTCCTGTTTCTGGTGCTTGGAGTGCTATTCTTCTTCGACAAGGGACTGATAGCCCTTGGGAATGTGAGCATTTCCTGCACAAAAAGCAACTTTCTACCCTCCCCCCTCCATGTATACCCATAGCTTCATTGCAGGGATGTGCTGAATGCACGTTGAGGGACATAGACTTTCCCTGTGTTTATGCAGCTCATGTTCCTATGCGGAGTGGCACTCACCATAGGGCCACAGGCAACGGTCAAATTCTTCCTTCGAAAGAAGAATCTGAAGGTGAGCTGCTGGTCTGCAAGCATGAGTCCTAGAATCTCTGAAGCATGCAAACGGCTCTTGACCGCGCATCCCGACCATATGACGAGTCTGCTTTTGCATGCAGGGCACCATATGTTTCATGGCAGGTGTGGCCCTTGTGGTCTGGGGATGGGCAATTGTTGGGATGCTTGTGGAGACTTATGGGTTCTGGTTGCTGTTTGCTGGGTTTGTACCAACGGCCCTGTCTTTCCTGAGGAGGATACCTGTGTTTGGCCGCGTTTTGGACCTGCCTCTCTTCAAAAAGGTCAGATTTTGTCATCTCTGACATTTATTTTGATGTGTATGCTCCTCCGCCTTTCTTGTGTGATGTGTATCTGCCTTCAGTCTCAAAGTTTGTCTCTGTGCATTTATGTGCCGTTAAATCTCTACTGACACATGTTTTGCAGGTGCTTAATAAAATTGCACCGGCTCAGACGCTTCCCATCTGATGCTGCTGAGGGGGGACATGCGTTGTTGGACTGGCGGGGGATCTGAAGCCCCTCACTCAGCCAGCGGAATGGGAGCATTGGGCTTATTCTTACATGTTAGGAGTGATTTAGTCCCATCCAACCGCGATTGAACTCTTTGAACATTTTAATAAATTATTGTGATGGGTCTCTTCAGCCTCCATCGTATCCTGGGGTGCTGAAGAGTGAATGGCCTTGTGGACATGCAAATCTGTTGGTCCATACTGTCTTGCCGGGACGGCGCAAAAGCATCATCAGTGAGCCAATGAATGTGTTACAAATGATGACAGAGCGATATGCTCTGTTCAAGACAATAGCAGTTCTCTGCTAATCTCAAGACAATCCCTGCTCCGGATGAATTACATTGGAGAAAACTTGCACCAGGTAGTAGGGCTCAGATGTCTGTTTCCAGAACGCTAGTGCAGGCACTTGGAATTCCAGGATTCTTACTGCAGAACACATAACAAGAATCAAAGTGACTCCTAGTACCGTATGTCCAAGTATCACCTGAGTAGGCTGATGAATCCTGCACATCTGTGGAGGTCGAGGTCAACAGAGTCATCACACATGCAAGCTGTACTTCCCCTTATAATCATTATCCAGCTCATTCTCTCATGCCTTGTTGTACTTTCCTGAACTGTTCTCAGCTCATGAAACATAAAACGTCCTTGGATTATGCCCCTCGTGCTGGCATGTTTGCATGCCACAATGACATCCGTGTTTCAATACGGTACTATGGCTTGCTTGCTAGTCTGTATCAATTTACCACTTATGCCACAAGGTAACCTGAGGTTGCTGCAACGCACCTAGCCCTGAGGGCTGGAATAAGCGTGTAATAACAATAACCTGAAGATGCCTTCGAAGGTTGGAATCCAGGTTGACACGCCAAATGCGTTTATTGAGGGAAACAGGTGCTGCTGACTCTCATCCCATGCGCAAGAAGAGTCCAGACTCCTGCAACAAGCACTCCGTTGTTAAGTGTCAGTCACTCAGTTGTCAGCCAAGGAACCAACGCCAGGAACGCAAAGCACATGACTGTGTCAAAGCTACCATACCTGATTGATGCATGCCATAACACCCGCTCTTGATGCATCAGCTCGCACGAAGGTTGCTGCAGAGCTGGCCCTGCCCGGGTCAGTCTCTGCTCCCTCACAGGAAGGGGCTGTGCTCGTCTCATTGCCCGAGTTCTCCTTGTCAAAGCTCTGCTGGGGTCTGATGCGCTGTGGGGAGAAGCCTGTGCCTGAAGGGCGCCCTCCCAGGGCTGGGTTGACAGAAGCCTGCGCTGTGTCCTGGCTCACAGCTGTGTGGCAGGCGCGATCTGACTCAGATCCATTCCACTTCCCTGCAGCGGCAGGCGTGGTCACCTGCCGAGGCGCCATTGTCTGCAATGCTGTCCTCTGCGCAGCGATATTCTGCAGGGTCTGTTGACTGGCTGACTGGGCGGCCCCTTGACTGGGAGCTGGCTGCTCGAAGCAGTGCACTGGGCGTGCAGGCCTGAAGTGCCACACTTTAGTGCCGCCGTCCGAGAGCATGGAGTCCTGGGAGCTGTGCAGGACCTGCTGGTCCTGGGCTGTCTTCCCGTCTGCGCATGACAGAGCTGCAGCTGAGGTGGCCAGGTAGTCCCGGCGGCAGGCTCCAAGTGCCTGGCTGAATGTGTATCGGCCGGGCCCACTGCTCTGTCGCGACAGGGCGGAGATGTTGATTGGCAGGGAGGAGGCACTGCAGGCATAGCTGCTCATGCGTCCATCTGGGCCAAGGAGCTTGAGGACTGGAGCTCCCTGATGGGGCCTGGCTGTATGGGTCTCCCTGGGCTGGTCCTCGTCTGCACTGAGGCTGCTGGGCGACAGAGGAGGCCCCATGGCAGACATGTAAGTCGCTGTGCCTGCACTGCAAAACGCTGGATGCTGATCGGCCGCTTCTTCGTTGTCCTCTTGGCTTTGCGCACTGCTTGGCTCCTGTACAGCACAAATTGCACATGGCTTAACTGCAGCGTGTGGTAGTTGCAGCATGCACTGCATGGCATGCAAAATCCGTTGCTGCAAATCAGTGATAATTCAGAGAGGAAACATCATCCCTCTCTTTTGAAAAGTAGATGCATGCACAAGCACCTGTGCTTGCGAGCCATCCTCCGAGTCTGTGGCCATGATTTCGTCCATAACGTCAGGCAGGATCTCATACAGGTATGGGTCACTGCGGCCGCCGCGGCCCCTGCGGCTTATCTTGCGGGCGTTCACAAGCATGCGCAGCGCTTTGGACGTGTCCGGCGTGTTTCCAACGTCACGCCTGAGCACACATCACCGTATCCTCTCATCCTTCTGAGCGGATGCATGCATGACTCATGCATGCATGATTCTGGTTTGAGGCTACTTTGCCTTACAGCCATGAAGCGATGCTTTTTTTGATGCCAGATGGGGTGGGAGTGTACCTCACTGCAGATTCCAGCGTGGTGGTCTGACCCATCTGCTGTTTGTCAAAGAGGTACTGCAGCGTGATGCGCCCTCTCTTGATGATGCGCTGTTCTGTGTTCACACCTCCGAATTCCATCTGCAATGCATGCACAAAGGTGTCTTTGATCCAAGCATGGGACTACACTTTCTGAAAGGCCCCCAGACAAACCAGCAGCAATGGGGTGCCAAGGCAATCATATTCGGGTCCACACCTCGGCAATTGAGCGCTTTGCAGTCCTCGGAGCCTTTGGTGTTGGTTTCTCCAATTCCTTGACTGTCTCATGAACCTGGCATGCACAGGAAGTCATCAGCAGCATGCAGCAGGAGGACACACTGCTGGGCTTCTAAGAATATAGTCCCAGCGCTTCTTACATCCATGTAGGCATGCATTGAAGACCTGTGCATGCGCCCATCATGCTCACATTTTTAATTATTGATAGACAGATTACATTTGACATGCATGTTGTCTATCAGGAAAGCTGCATGCATCTGCATTGGATGCTAGGTGACTCTTGCAGTTCTGCCAAGGCATACCTGGGGACAGGGTGGCGTGAGCTCCAGGATGTTGTTGTGCTGGGACAGGGCATGTGTGTGGCTGCGTAGTGTGTGGGGCCTGGTGCTCTGAAGGGCGTTTTCCTGTAAGCACAAAAACTTGTCACCAGCGCAAGTTAGGGGACTTTTTGGTTGCTGATCATGCAGCAAACAGCAGCTGCTCTGCTCTGCAGAGCTAAAACGATAAATGATGAGCTGTGATGAATGCTGTACCAGTTCCTTGGGTTCGTGGTGCTTGCTGGCTTCACAGGCTGCCTGCAGAAGTGAGGCAAATTTTGCGTCCATTGCCTCGCTCAGCCCCTCCCTGAACGGCAAATACGACACATCCTTGATCGGTCTTTGGCATGCTGCACAGAGCCTCAGGTCATTGCTTGTCCAAGCAGAGACGACTGAATTCTCACAGCACATTTACAAAACGCAAGAGGTTTTGTGGCCCTGCAGAGTGTGGCTCGTCAGTTATCGGCTCTCACCTGATGCTGCAACCTTTCGAAACCTAAGAGATCTGCGTTTCTACAGAGCCTTGTGCTCAGTGGGCCTGCCTGGCTTGAAAGCCTCCGTGACTCCCTGCCGGACGGAGCTGCACAAAGCAGGAGGCACCCTTCGCTTGGTCCAGCGCAGCACTCCGTTTGCAGGTGGGAGGACAAGTACTTAGGCCTCAACTTCTGCAAGCGTGCGCTTCTGAATCGCACTTTGCCACTTCGAAGTGGAAGGCTCAGTTCAAATTTCGCATGCTGTGCAGTCTGCATGCATGGGTGTCTCAAGCGGCGTTCCGATCAGTTGACTTTAAATGAACCTTTTTCTTTCTTCCTCCTTCTCCTGATAAAAAATTGCACGCTCTTCCAACAATGGAGACTCCTGCACCATGTGTTCTTGTTGTCGGTTGTGCAGCTGTTGGCAAGAAAACGCTGATATCACGCATCACTGGATCCAGAAGTGATCAGCAGGTCCTGTGGACGATCGATACAAAATACTACACAGCGCAGGCCCAGATCTTATCAGTAAACATTCCCCCAAACAACAGCCATGACAGCAGCGCCCAAGACTGCGAATCGTTAATATTGATCTTCGATGCACAGCGTGAGGAGACGTTTAGACAAGCGAAGGAGTGGCTGATCCAGCAGAGCGTCAGCCCAGAAATCACTCTGCTTGTAGCAAATAAGTCAGAGCTTCTCAGAGGTCCAGATGGTGCTGTGCAGCGACAGACTTGGCATGAGGAAGCCCAGGACTGGTGCTGTGAACAGCTCTTTGAGTACATTGAGGTGAGATCTGGTTTTAGAAAACTTCTAGTTACCAATCAAAGGAGGGTTGCAGCTGTACTGAATACAAGATGAGAGCACTTCTCGTTTGTCACACTGTTTCCCGAGCTGAGTTCTTGTGCATTTGCAGGTGAGCGCGGCTGATGATGCAGCTGACCATTCATTACAGCTTGACGGCGATCCCCAGGGCCTGAAGCGAGTGCTCGAGGCTCTCGAGGCGCACACATGGCCAGGCCTGCACTTGAAGGCCCACCGCAATGGCAGTAGCAACGGCAATGGACTCGGCGTGCATGCTGCAAACGTGTCACAGCTGCCCGGGTCTGAGGGGCCAGGGCCTACTTCTGACCCAGAGAACAGCCACAGGCAGTATTGGACAAACCATGCGCAGGAAGAACATCAACAGAGCAGCATGCAGGAGCCACATTCAGGGCCAGCACTGGATGGCTTGGGTGCCAGGGCGACGTTGGTGCCCTCAGCAGGAGAAGCTGAATCGACAAACGGCAGCAGCATGAACGGGCAGAATGGAATTGCTAAACTGGCTGGCAGCCAATCTGAGGAGGATGCAGAGCTTGAGAGCTTTGAGGTGATGTTGGGCAGACTCTCAGAAGCGCGGGGCCAGGTCCAGGGAATCCCTGACGATGAGCGGCGAGCCAGAGCTGCTACATTTGCGATGCAGATGCTGGAGTCACTAGGGCTGGACGATGATGATGACAGTGACGATGGTGATGGCAACAATGACAGCTTCAACTAAGTGTTGCTCATAAGGCAATCACAGTACACGGTGTACTAAATGTACTCTTTGAACCTCGCAAAAAACTGTAATGCCATTTTGCGATTTGGCTATCATGATCAGATGCTGTGACCCACCTGCTCTTGCATGGCCAATCGCAGCCTCATGATTGTTTAGTTGCCTTATCTTCAGTTTACAAGGTGGCTTTGCTCATGATGCACTTGAAATATTGTATCGCTCTCAGCAAGGCACACCTGACTTGGTCACGATGACGAGTCATTTACAGCGTCTTCAATTCGCATCCTGAAGTGATTTCTCCAGTGAACAGATGTCTTCTAGGGTCATTGTTTCAAAACGCTGAGACGGCGTGGCGTTTTGGTACAGGAAAATCCTGGCATGTATCCAGCTGGCAGAGCAAGCCAACTCCACCACTGCAGAGCAAGCCAACTCCACCACTGTACCTTTTCATTGGTAAGGTGTGACAGTCTCTACGGTGGTTAGCCTTAACTTAAGGCTTGCTGGCCTGAACGCAGCTTAGCTAGCCTGCCAATCTTCAGGCTCAGCGTAATGGGGCGAGACTCAGCATTTGTGTCGCCATCATCATGATGATCACTCACGCTGGTGGCATACATGTGCCATCATGCCATTTAAAATCCCATCAACTTGATCAATTTGAAATTTGGCTGAGGCCTCCAGCCTGGAGGCTCCAGGCACGGTGCCAGTGCGTCAACGCCCCTTGAGTTTAAGAAGCCCGAATGTCGCTCTGCGATTGCCATAGTCAGTCCTCAAGAACTGATGTGTCGTTACTTTGTTGACACCAGACATTCTGCATGTCCCTTCAGCTGTCCACTGTTGCATTCAGGCTGGAACCTTAGTAATCGATTGAGTCATCACCGTCAAAGAAGACAAGGCCGCCTCTTAATCAAATGCGATGCAATTATTGCGTACTTGGAATTCGCACACTAAAGCAGACCTGATACTTGAAATGGAAGTGTGAGCTGATGTGCCAGGATTTGTGTATTAGTATGAGAATTTTAGGCTAGAAATCCAACAAGTCTGTTGTAAGGGTCCCAGTGCTTTTCTCAAATGGACGACATACACGAGATGGATCCCTTTCTGCATGAAAAACCAAGGGGAAGCGTTGCATCAGAGCTTCTGGCGAAACATCTCCGCTCAAAACAGCCGGAGTCGCAACAGATCTGTGTTGTCCTTGGAGCGATCCTGGAAGTTTTGGAAGGCGAAGGGATGGAAGCAACTCCCACTGCTTTGTTTGCGGCAATAATGACATCGCTTCAAAGTCCAAAGGCGTCTTCTGGCAAGTCGCAGCAGTCACCACAGGCGTGTTTCTGCCAGCAGCCGTTCACATGCGCCACTATGGCTGCTTCTTTCATGATGATTAGTCTGTAGGATCGCAAGCTCAAGCCTTGAGATGGCCATGAAAGCTATTCTTAATCTAAGCTGCAGTGATACATGACGGTAGGCCCTGATATCGAATTTTATTTTGGAAATGTCTGGAGAAGGGAAGCCGAATGTTGCTGTGGGGCTGGTGCAGGTTTGTGCAGCCATGGGGACAATCCTCTCAGTGACTCTGAGCAGGGTCCCGAATGCTGTGCTGCGCTCCAAGTTTGCCGCATCATCCGAGATCTTGTGTTCCCTCGTCGAGGAGCATGCCGAGCAGGTTCGATCTCTCTTGCAGCCGATTATTCATTAGCATGCAGATATTAAGCCATCTCTTGGGCAGGCAGAGCATCCGTTGTGTTTGAGGGGCTGTGCGGCTGTTTAACAGGCTGCGACGCTGAAGCCAGTGCTCTCCTGTCTGGCAATGGTGACAGCTGCAGTGGATCCGCGTGAGTGGGCCAGTGCTGCTCGGCCCTTTGGCCTGCTGCTAGGTCTCTCCCTGGACGAGCGGCCAAAAGTGCGGAAGCGCGCCCAAGAAGGTGTCATTGGCGTGCTGGCTGCTGTGCGTGGCACATCTGCAGCAGATGCAGCTGGCTCCACCGTCGCAAGAGGTAGAATGGCGGTTTCATCATTTGACCCATACCACTGCTACTGGGTTGAGGAAGATTGACAACCTGCACCAACTTACCCACCCATGTTGGATTGGAACTTCTCACATATTGTGTTTCTGAGATGGTGCCTTGGTGCCCTGCAGTGTGCCAGCAAGTGCTTCCGGGCCCAGAGGTGGCAGCCCGAGCAGCAGCAGCGGCTTCAAACAAGAAAAGGGCGGAGGCAGAGGCAGCCATCGCCAAGGCAGTGACAGACGCCTTGAGAATCTTGGGCTTGCTCAAGCCTGCCTTACCCCTCATGCCAGGTAAAGCTCATTGCAACAACCTCTGAGGGGATTGAGTGATTGAGAAGCTGATGCGGAACAGTTGGAGTGCCCCTTCAGAAGGGCGAAGATGAGTTGTCTTTCATTCATCTTGTTTGCATGAGATTGACTTTGTGATGTCATGTGCAGGGACAAGAGTGCAGGAAGTGGTGGGGCTGATGCTGAAGCTGTACGTGCTGCGTCAGCCGATGCTGTTACGCTCTGCAACAGAGTGCCTGGCTGCCTTGTGTGCCGGTTCAAGCAGCATCAGCGCGGCCGCTCTGGTGGAGGTGCTCAGAAACGTGGTGCACATGGAGACCGCATGGGATTCCAAGGACGCTGACTCCCTCATCTCATTGATCAACCTGGTGGAGTCCGGCTACATCCGGTGAGCTTCTCTCAAGCTTCGTGCACATGCATGCACCCGAATTGTGGACTTCTCTCTCCTGTTTGTTTATCTTGTGTCGATTCTATACTCAGTATACTGTCTTGAGCGCTTCAAGACAAGATCCTCAAGTGCTGAGAGTGCTGTTGTAACACAATATGAAGGATCATCTCCCCCAATCTCAGTGATACTCTGACACTTGTGAGCTCCATTGCTGCAGGCTGCATGAACTTGATGCGACAGCTGCTGCGGAGCGCTTGCCGCACGCATTTCATGCAGTCATACCGCGGCTGACTGGTGACTTGGAGGGCGTGCGGCGAAGAGCGGAAGAGGCCCTCAATCGCCTCATTGCCGCCTGCCTGGACGATGCGGCTGTGGCCGCTGCGGTGAACCTGGCCGGCGCCGGCATGGGCGCATCGGCCGGGCCGCCGTCCGCCGCGGCCGGCGTGGTGGCCTCCGTAGCTGGAGCTCTCGACCCGCGCACTCAGGACGCCTGGCCCAGCGCCCTGTCAGGTGGGGCTAGTCACTTCTCCTGCATTGTTCACCTGACAAGCTCCGTTGGGCACAGAAACGGCAGACTCACTGCAGACCCACTCTTGTGGAACGTGCTTTAGGCAGGTAATGACTTATCAATGCTGTGCCACACAGCAAGATTTCCTTGGTACTGTGGTTCACCGCCGTATTTCAAGTTGTATTCACTTGTTGTAGCCTGCCTAATTCCTTTCAAGTCTGAAGAAGAATGAGGGAGGCTGAAGAATGTTTATGTGTGATAATGCAGTGTCTGCGGCGCTTTTTGAGCGACTCGGCCAGCGAGGGGCGCGCCTTGCGGAGCCCCTGCTGGAGAGGGTGGGAGACCTTTGCGCGGCTGCGGCTGAAGCAGCAGAGGAGGCTGATGATGAAGATGATGAGGAGCGGACGGCCGGTGCGGAGTATGCCGGAGCAGCTGGTGCGGCGATGAGCTCGGCGTTGCGGAACCTGGGGCCCGAGGCTGTGCTGCAAGTGCTGCCGCTCAACCTAGAAGAGGTGCGACGGCTGCCATGATAGTTGCCCTGCCTCTATGCTGGCCCTACTGCGCTTGCCTTTCATACCCAAGTATAAGAATCCGTGTCCATTTGTCTTTGGACAGTGTCTGGACACTGTCTGGCTGGTGCTGATTCATTCCTGTCTGTGAGCTTATTGTCAGCCTAAGATCACATGGGAAGGCGATAACGTGAGCTATGCTTGGTACACGGTGCATACTTGCTGGCAGAGGCAGTCCCATGGAGTCCCTTCCTCAATTTCATTGCATTGCTGGGCAGGGGATGAATGGGATAGGGGAGGCGCGGACGTGGCTGCTGCCAATGCTGCACCAGCATGTGTCCAACGCGCGGCTGGCCTTCTGGGGTGGCACGCTGCTGCCGCTGGCTCGCAGGATGGGCTCCATTGCCAAGGACCCTGCCAACCCCCATGCACTGGCGTGCCGTGCTCTGGAGGCCCAGCTCTGGCAGGCCCTGCCTGCCTTTGCCTCCTGGCCTGAAGACACCGCCTCTGCCTTCCGGTGAGCCCCTCGCTGAATCTATTCCAGAGTAGATTGTTGAGATTCTTGGGATGTTCTTCCCGTTGACCTGTGGAAGATATGTGGTGTGTCCTTGTGAAAGGAAGGTACAAAGGATGTCTGTGATGAGACTTTACATTCATGATCGAAGCTCCATCTGAGTGCCTTGCGCACATGAGGATTTGTATCAAAGCCCTGAGACATCCATCTTACCATTCTGGACCACTTCAGATTTTCGTTTCAGACTCAAACCTCGAAATGCGTTTCCAGTATCACGTTGTCTGAACAGCACCAGTGTAAATCACATCGAGTTTAACTCGCAAGGGGATTGCCGATGATGAAAAAACATTGTTGTTGAGATCCAAGTATGCTTCAAGGAGCATGTGAGGACAGCACTTTGTCACTACCCCTGAGGCAATCCCTTGTGCACTCTTTGCTTTGCACCAACCACTTTTCCATTTTCTCATACGGCTTGACACGCTCTCTTACAAGATTGCATTGTGTGCCTGCGCAGGGATCATGCGAAGGAGATAGCCATGGCTTTCATCAGTCGTGCGGATCTGCATACTCCAATTTGCACAGCCCTATATCGCCTGTGCACGCAGAACCGGGATGTGCTGAAGGTCTGAACAATTTTCTTAGAGACTTAGCAAGTAATGTGGCTTGATGGTGCTCAAGCTGAGGAGCTGACATGCTGAATTCTGCATATGACACTGATGCAGTTAGGATTTTCTTCAGGTGTCTAAGCATGTCTCTTGGCTTTGTTTGACACAGGCATCAGGCCAGGTAGAGGGCCTTGGCTATGCAGGAGGGCCGAGTGCTACCTCGAATGGAGACGAGTCTGATGCAGAAGACGAGGGCCAGGGTGTTGCATCAGAAGCACCTCCTAGCTACACACCTGCACTGGCACAACAGTAAGTGACTCATCCCCATATTTAAATTCAAGCGGTCCCAAATGGCTATGTTCTTTGCTCCCAATGCATGCTCACGAGGAATCAGTCATGCATGTCTGGTGGCTCTGCTTCCAGCGCTGCAATATCGGTATCTGACGTTGCATTGAAAGACAGAATTTCGCTCATTTTCTTGCTCGGTGCATCTTCAGGAATGTGACGGTCCTGCGTGGGTTCTCCAAGAACTGGCTCAAAGTGATGGCAGATGCATTCTGTGCTACGCAACCGGGGCTCAGAGGACCCACTGGACGCGCCATATCAGCATATGCCGCCATCAGTGACCCTGCAGTCTTGACACCCTTCCTGAAGGATGCATTGAGCAAATATGTGGAGGTGCGCGCCTCTTTACTTCCAGACTAATCCTGCCTGGACCCGCTCATCTGGATCCGCTCATGTGACCTATCAAGACTGGGTCAGACTTTCTGAGCTTGCTAAATCTGTAAGTCAACTTAATGCACCCAAACAGTCAAGCTGCATGCTAGTGGGAAGAGACATGACATGCAAGTTCTGTGCTCGCTGCAGCTGACACAGGCAGCTCAGGCGGACGTGCCTTCGGCTGCGTTGGTGGCACAAGGGGGCAACAACACGCTGAGCGAGCAGCGGTGCACCTTCCTAGAGCTGGCGCTTGCGCTGGCCGTTGGCCTGAACACTGACTGCATCAAGCTGCTCTTCACGACAGCAAAGGGCGCCATGCAGGTTTGCTGTTATTCAACATGGACAACTCTGATGACAACTTATATGCCGTGAGTTCTGTAGACTTAGCCTGTGCACAGGACATCAAGCATGACGTCTTATGCACCGTGATTATATGGGCTCAGCCTGTGCAAAAGACATTAGAGAACATTGTGCTTGATACTGCAAGTCTGACCGCTCAAGTATGATATCAATGTTGGAATATGCAACAGACATGAATCAAACTCGGCGATGCAATCCGCAGGAGCGGGATCAAGCGGTGCAGAAGCGCGCGTACAAGCTGCTGGCGTTCATAACGGCCAAGCGGCGAGATTTCACGCTGCCGGCCCTGCGCGAGGTGCTGGAAACTTTGCTGGCGGGCGTGACATCATCGCTGTCAGCCGCCAAGCGCTACCGGCTGGCGTGCCTGCAGGCCGCCGTGCTGCTGCTGCTGGCACCGGACGCCCCCGACGTTGACCTGCGCGGCGAGGACGACGCCGGCATGAGTGCGGAGGAGCAGCGCAAGCAGGTGCGCACTTGGTCCATCTCTGTGAGCATGCATGCATTGGCCCACTGGTGTAGGACGTGCTACTTGTAGGTAGACATGCAGCAGGGTCTTTATTTGATTACGTGGGATAGGCCAGTTGTGGGCATGCATGCAGCATCCTTCACCTCTGAATTTGTAGGACGTGCTACTTGTGGGCGTGCATGCAGCATCGTTCACCTCTGATTATGTAGCCCGTACTAGATGTGGGCAAGCATGCAGCAGCCTTCATCTTTGATCATGTAGGACGTGAACAGCAGAAATAGAGACAGGCCATATGCTTTGTGGCACGGCCTACACATGCAAAGGTGGAACGTGCTGCATGCATACCCACACTGGCTTCCTTGCGCCATTATGCCATTGCCTGCATTGCAGATCCGACCTAGCCAAAATCCTGCAGGTTGCATGGAACCTTCAAGAGCTGCACAACCAATGCGGGGTAACTTTTGGCGGTTCTTGGGGATGAAACGAGGGGATTAAAATTGCTGAGAGGGTGTGCTGGCGTGTGCAGGTGGTGGCGACGTTGGTGAGCGAGATAGTGCTGTGCGTGAAGGAGGTGAACCAGAAGACGCGCGCGGCCGCGTACGGGCTGCTGGTCGACCTTGGGCAGGCCATGCACGAGGCCGACCCCCCCTCCCTGCCCAGCCTGGACACCCATATGGGCGGCCTCGACCTCCAAGGTAGTGCCTCCACCTGGCACCAGCAGTTCTACATGTTTCTATACTGGGAGCGGCTGAATGCAGGGCCCAGCCTCTCACTGCTGATGTGGAGGTATCAGGAGTCATTGCAAGAGATCATCTATGCACAGTGACCTGTAGTAGAAGTTCTGGCATCAAGAAGCATGGTAGCCTACCACCAGCGCCCTGTGATGCGAGTGTAGCGCTGGGAGTCCTCTGAATGGGATAGCGGCTGTCATTGGCAGCGATTACTTACCAGAAGGCAAAGATATTTGTAAGTTGTTTTGCTGCTTGGGTGTGTTCAGGTGGTAGCGAGGGGGGATCGGGCGGGGGAGGCCTGGCGACGCTGTTTGAGATGGTGCTGGGGGGCCTGGTGGGCACCTCGCCCCACATGATCAGCGCGAGTGTGATGGCTCTCGCGCGGCTGCTGCACCAGTTTGCGCCGCAGCTGGGCGGGGTCGCACCAACGCTGCTGCCCGCCGTACTCATGCTGCTGCGCACCAAGAGCCGTGAGGTTGTCAAGGCCGTGCTCGGCTTTGTCAAGGTGCGCTCTGCTTTGTGGTGGCAACATGATATGTTCCTGTATGCCGTCTGGATGTAAATGCATTTTAAATGCAAATGCGAATGCATGGCTCTTAAAAGAGGTGTAGAATAGTATAGCTGTGAAAGGGGTACTCTATTGAGGTAATTATACTTAGCTAGCATTGGAGGAGAGCAAACCATCATAGCGCAGGACAACACAGCTTTTGGCAGAAGAAGCAGTGGTGCCTCAAATGAATGGGACTGTGCAAATGCAGGTGTGCGCGGTGCGGCTGCCGGTGGAGGTTCTGGAGCAGCACATGGCGCAGATCCTGGAGGGGCTGCTGCTGTGGAGCGAGGACTCCAAGAACAAATTCCGCCTCAAGGTGCACCCCGCTCGCCTGCTCGTGCCCTGTACTATCTCTAGCATTTCTTTTGAGAGGGCTGTACACTTCAGAGCACCTCCTCCCTGCCCTGACGCTGTGCAAGAGAATTCGAAGCACTTGTCAGGCTGTGCTTTCCTCTTGCAAAGGGTTCACACGGCATCTTCGATGATACTTCTCTCCTGCTGCAATGCATTCCGCGCTCTTTGCTGGGACTAGCGCATAGTGAATAGTGCGTAAAACAAGCATGTAATGACTTCCGTTATGAGCTGGCGCGCAGGTGCGAGTGATTGTGGAGCGGCTGGCGCGGCGGTGCGGCTACGACGCTGTGGCGGGCGCCATGCCGGCGGGCGACAAGCGGCTGCTCATCCACATCCGGCGTGAGAACCTGCGCAAGCAGCGCCTGCGATCCAGCGAAGCCGGCTCCCAGGTGCGCCATCCAAAACTCCTCTCGACTCTCTGGTTTGAACATTTGGTGCACATGGCCGCTTGCCCTGAAGCACAATTTTCGCGCGGCTCAGTGCTGACCAAATGGCATCTTCTCTTTTGCCACAAATCACCTTTCCTGGAGAAAATGAGGGGCAATTTACAATAATTTGACAGCATACACCTCCCAGAGCATTCAGCAGTCATGCAGTCATGTAACAGGATAGCTTTGTTAGAGGTCATTTGAGGTAACAAGAGTCCAGAAGAGCACATGTACTTTGTAATGGGGGACGCACCACCTGCTGGAAAAGTGGTTACTGTCATGCAGATGGATGTGGACGAAGAGGAGGATGGGCGCTCGAGGGCGAAGGTTGCGCCCACGGCGCGCGGCAGCACATGGAACCACACGAAAGTGTTCTCTGAGGGCGGCTCCGAGGGAGCCCCCACCAGGTACAGCGGCCCTGCACCAGGACAGCGCGGCCAGCAGCGGCCCGGGCGGAGCGTCAAGCAGGTGCAACCTCTCATAACATCACACCCTCAACTCTCTGGATTGTGACGCGGGAGACATCTCTAGAAGCATGGGAGCAGACTCATCGACCGGGCCTTGCCTGCCATTACTTTCGCTGCTGTGTCCTGTGTCCTGTTGTCTGGCCTGATGGCTGGAAAAAATTTCACAGCTTCCCAATCCCTTAGTCTGCAAACAGGGTAACGTCTACGGGCTGCTTCAGTAGCCTTTTAGGCCTCACAAGCCTCACGAAAAGCAACTATGGGGTTGACCCTGTCTTGACATGGAGGGTGCTGCGCGCAGGGTGAGTCACGGGCGGTGATGGCGAGCTCGGCGAATGGTGATCCGCTGGACCTGCTGGACGTGGGGGCCACCCGGCAGATGCAGCGCGCGTCGTTAGGCGCCAAGCCGCGGCGGTCGGCGGACGACTACGCGCGCGGCAGCGACGGGCGCATGATTATCCAGGACGAGGACGCACCGCCAGGTCAGCACGACTTTCCCTTAACAATTCGTTTTTAAATAATAGCCCAGCGATCTGAATGACAGAGGTCTTCAAGTGTTGTTGGCCAGGTGCTTTTTATATGCATGCCTCACCCCCTTGTTTGCTTAAGGCGTGGTGTGGTTTGTGGGGGACTTGTAACCTGCAAGAGGTTCATGTGGAAATACTTCACAGCGTGCTCCTCATGGCAACAAGTTGCAAAGTGTGAGCAAAGTGTGGTGTGTTGACTGTGCACTTTATATTGTGTAGGTGTCAAGCGCAAGCGGAGGGCGGGTGGAGGCTTTGATGACCGGCTGAGCGATGACAGCGACTTTGACGACCTTCGCCACATCGGCGGCTTGGCCGCTGGCATGCGCAGCGCCAGCGCCAAATCAGTGCGCTCCATTTTCAGGATGACAAGCTTGTAGCTGAGATTTGCTCTTCACAGATGTAATAACCTCATAAGCATGACTTCCTCTTCCTTTTGCTTCCGGCTACGTGCTGCCTGCTGCCTCTCTTCCTGCTTCCTTTGCCTTGAAGCCCATGTCAGTGCTCAGCATCTGTCAACCTTGTGCAGGTGGCTCTGGCGCAAACTGTGGCAACGAATGCCAAGACCGCGCGCACGTCCCGGGCCGGTGCCAATAGTGCTCGCAGCATTGGGGGCCGAACAAGCGTCGGCGGCCGCAGTAAAACCACTGTGAAGGGCCGACAGCACACCGGCGACAGGCATGCACACCACTCCTGGACCATGTTGAGGCTTTCTGTCCCATTGAGGCAGTTGGAAGTTTGACTGCACAACTGGATGCATCTTGTTCTCCCTGCAGGGGATCTGATGGGTCATGCAACTTGCAGGTTCAAGAGCAAAGGGAAGGCAGGCGGTGATCAGAAGGGGAGCAGCAAGGTGGAGCCGTATGCGTACTGGCCCCTTGACCGCAAGATGCTCAACAGGCGTCCATCCAAGAAGGCAGATGCTCGTGAAGGCCTTGATCAGGTTGTCAAGGCTGCCAGGGCAGGTGCAGCAAAAGGGAGCAAGGCCAAGAGGCACCGTGCCCAGTGAACTGCAACAAGTATGCCGAATATTTGTGACATCAAGAGTGTTGGGCATATGAAGATCAAGCCAAGGTGGCACGTGATCGTTTGAAAAGTCTGTGAGAGTTGTCTGGCATGTGATGTTTACCAATGCTGATTAGTTGTTGCTCCATGATCATAGGCCTCCCTGGTATTGTTTGAGGTATGTTTTGGCAGTACAAACGCATGCTCATTTGGTGTCTTTAATGCAGGCTGATTGTGTGAAAGCTCATGGGTACTCTCTGGCAGTTCTGCATATAACTTATATGACATGTATGATGACACATGACATGATGACACATGACACATATGATATAAAACTTTGAAAGGGCAACCTTCAAGGAAATTCCCAGAATATTGCGAGCTGTCTGGGGGCTGGGGGTTTCAGCCTAGGATGGCAATTTGCCCTTTCCCTGCCACATGAGGTTTCTCAAGCCAGTGTTTGTTGCAGACCATCTTTTCCACTGATCAGAAGGAAGGAAGGAAGGAAGATTACATCACTCCAGCCGCCTAGGGCTGATTGGATGAACTGGCAGCATCCAAATAATCAAAACAATCCATCACAAAATGTGCAACACCAACAATGTCCAACTGCCACATGAATTGCTGCATCGTCACAATGGCTGCACCAAACAGCCCAGGATATCTGTCCCGAACAGATTGCAAGGCAGGGCACTCAAACACAAGGTGGCGCTCATCCCCAATAACCTGCTGGGCACAACGCATGCACAAACGCTGGGGCCGGGGAATCCTTGCCCAGCGGCCCGAGACATTGGGCAGACTATGACAACCCATCCTGAACTTCAACAGTATACGCAAGCAACGGGCACTCAAAGGCTGCTGTAAGAGCTGGCAAGGGTGGCGCACACAAGCTGGCCTAGCAAACCATCTGTGATATGTACACAAGGTGGCATTGCTGGACGGGCAGGTCCTAGGGCAAATGTCAATGTCATCCCAAACCTGCAGTGCTTGCGCATCTAGCAGCTGCATCACAGCATCAACTTCCACAGGAACAAGGGTGTCAAACCGAATAACAAACTCATACCCAATTCGGCGCAAGCCCCGCATGAAGGCCCAAGCCCAATTCTTAACATTACGGGTTATGGCATCCCAACAATCATCAAGGGCCACTTGCCTGTGAAAATTATTTGCAGGCAAGGCAGCCAAATTGTTCCAGAACTTGATAATGCGCCGCCACCACACACAATCAAGGGTCTGCTGATTCAACTCCTTAAGCAAGATGGCACCATGCACAGAGGTGGGGACGCCAGCAATGTCTCTCAGAATTTTCAGGTGAGAGGAGGCCAAGGCAGCCCGGCCCCGCCGGCTGTCGCCACCAGGAAGGCTGCGCAGGCCCCACACCTCACAACCGTAGGAGGCAGTCGGCGGCACACATGCATCATATAGGCGCAACAACAGGCCAGCTGACATGCTGCAATGCAACTTCCCATATTGCTGCTTGAGCTGTGCCCACACACCCCACATGTTCCTGTGAAGCTTGCCAAAGGTGAGATTAATGCCTTGGGCACCGTCAAAAAGGGCACCCAGGTACTCAAACTGCTGAACCCAATGTAAAGGCGCACCACCACAAAGCCATTGAAAAGGTCCTGGCAAACTTGAAGAGAACACCACAATCTTTGTTTTGTCAACACTGATGACCATTCCCGTTTGTTCACAAAACTCAGCAGCTGCATCAATCAAGCGTTGCAAATGAGCAGGTGTGGTGGCGAGCAAAGCAAAGTCATCGGCATAGCCTAGATCTGGTACACAACTGCCAGGACGCAACTGCGGGCCAACCCCAGGGCACCTCTGCAGCAAGTGCCTGTGCAGGCCATCTGCAAACAAGCCAAACAGCGTTGGGCTAAGGGGGCAACCCTGCTTCAATCCTGTCTCAGAGGGCAAACTAGGACCCTTCCTGCTCCCAATCTTAATGGCAACCGTAGAATTGGCATACAAAGACTGAATGGCAGAGAGCAGGTGGCCATCAATGCCCAGGCGACGCAGACTCTCCCAGAGCAACACCCGATTCACTCTGTCATAAGCACCCTTCAGATCAAGAAAGCAACAATACAAGGGCTGCTTAGCATGGTTTTGCCGGTCGATAAAATGCTGCAAGGTGAATAGCTGGTGGGCCGTAGACAGTTTTGGCCTAAAGCCAGAAGTCAGAAGTCAGGGAAACTAAGACCAACATAACACGATCGATGTCTAGGTTTCAAGAGTCTATACATCCAAAAAGTGAAAACCTAGGGGGAAATAAAGTATTGGATTGCCTTGTGAAGCCACTCCAGAAACCACCTCTTGTCTGGATTAGCCGAGTCTCTGAGGTGTGTGGATCCATACTTGTGTCCTTCGCGACAAACCTGAGATTGTAGTAGGGCGCGGTGCGCGGTAAGCGAGTGCTCGGACCGCAATCTATTGTGGGCTTAAAAGCGCGTGTAGGTGAAAGGACACAGTTCTGTTTGGGGCTTGTCTTCCCCAGGCGAGATGGCTGATGCGTCAGTGTCAGCGCAAGAAGCCGTGCAGGCTCATGCTCAGGTGGCTTCAGAGAAGGACAAGGAGGACTCCCCAGAGAATTCTGCCTTCGAGTGCAATATCTGCTACGATCTCGCTCAGTCCCCCGTCGTGACGATGTGCGGCCATCTGTATTGCTGGCCTTGTCTCTACAGGTGGGTCACTGCATCCGGGTGCAAGCTTACGAGAGCGCGCCAGACTTTGGAGGGCTTCTGGTAATTGATTGGAACGCTGGCTTTTCAGATGCTTAAGAATCTCTTTTGCTGCAGATGGATGCAGGTGCAAACTCATTGTCGAGTGTGTCCCGTTTGCAAAGCCGGCATTGAGCAGGACAAGGTGAGATCCCTCATCTACTTTTTGAGGAACCCCTGCTGGTGGTTTTTCTTTCCTTTGAAGAGGCAGCGAGTTCACGCGAATATGCATTTTGCCTTGTTGCAGGTGATTCCTATCTATGGACGAGGTGGTGACAACACAGATCCACGGCAGAAGGCCCAGTCCTTGGGCAACAAAGAGGAGGACGAGGATGGTCCTGTGCCACGAAGGCCAGCAGGGCAACGGATTGCGCCTGTGCTGGTCAGTAGACAATCTGCAACCACTTTTAAACATGTCGCAACCATTGCAGAGGTGCAGTTGCCCTTCGCTGAGGAGTACGGAGAAGAATGATGCTGCTGCAAAACTTGAGCAATACTTGGGTGCATGCAGAGGGGCGGCATGAGCCAGCAGTCAGGGAATGTGAATCTTCAGCCAGGACTTGGCATCCTCCCTACTCTGTTTGGGATGCAGCAGGCTCCAGGTGACCCCAACGGCATTACTTCCAGTCTTGCAGCAGTGACGAGTCTGTACCCTACTTGTGCTTGAACGCCTGTGTAACACAGGGCAAGGAGGATTTGCGGAGCCTCTCACAGCAGAACAGCAACATCAGGTATGACTTGCTCTGAGCTTTAACTTTTCCTCTGGCTGAGCTGCTTTGTTTACATTGCACAGTTTCTCATGGAGGGATCATTCATTGTGATGTCTGCATGCAGGCATTTCTGTCAAGGCTGCTGCTCATGCTGGGCTCTTTTGTGATCATGTGTCTCCTGCTCTTCTGAGCAACCCCAGCATGTGGATGCACCAGATGTGCCAAGTGTACCAATGGGTTCAAAGAGAGGTTCCAGTGAAATAAACATTGTCCGCCTGTGCGACTAACCGCTCCTCTGCAGGATGGCTAGTGTGCTTGCTTCAGCAATGTTTGTACTACAAAAGGGCGAGTCCTTGTGAGTTTTACATGATTCTTGTACTTACATGATCCGCTGAGGCCCCCCTGCCACCACAAGAGATGACCTGCTGCGACATGCTTAAGCATGGGGGATGCACAAGACTGGGGTTATACGTGAACAGCGTGGACGCTGACTGAAATCACCAAGACAATTGTGCTTTTTTTTGGTAATGTTCCTCTCTAGTCCAGAGAGTGCGTTTCTCCAGGTAGTGTTGCAGCATGGGGGATATCAGAGGCAGCAAAGAGCGAGAGGGTTGAGCACAGTTTGGTATACATAAGCCTAATTTCTGTGCCTGAGCTTTCAATCCAGCTGAAAATTTTCCATATCCAATGCTGTCCACAGCATGGGACAGTGCCCAGGATCTTCTGCTACTTGGTTTTGTGACAGCTGTGCATGTGCACCATGCAGTACATATGGAGACTTTGTCTTCTGAATTCAACCTTGTCAGCATGAAGAAACTGTCATCCGCCAGATGATCACTGAGGTTGTCTTCAGCAGTGACCTTGTGTAGCCGGTTTAGTGGAATGGTCCTTTTTGAGTATATGCAGAGTAGTGCACACACTGCATGATATGACACCAACTCGAAGTATGGGGGAAAATGGCACCGGGTTGGAAGCAGGAGCTCTTTTAGCAATAGACAATTCCGATCAGAGACGTGGACTTTTGCATCTGCATGTAAGGTTGACATTTCTTTGCGCGGAAACCTGGTCCATCACATCACTGTGTTTGGAGCATACTCAAATTGTATGCTACAGGCGCGTGGGTAAAATGTCCACACTGGTGCAAGTGGGGTGCACTCATCCTTTGCTACTCCTCTAAATGTGTGGTGAGAACCGCAAGAGAGTTGTGCAATGATACTCTATCAATGCTGAGTCTTTGAAATTAGAGTTCCACCATCTGACTGAAAAAACCTCTCACGGTAGCACATCACCTCACCACCATGGTCAGCCCGAAACAATTTCATTGGGCGTCATGCTAAGCTTCTTGATCAGGCACGTGTGTAAGTCAAAAAATAACATAGAATATATATTGAAGCTATCAGATTGTGAAGCACACCGCCATTATCATTGGCATGACCATGTCAGCTCCCAAAGTTCGAGATGTTCACTGCGAACATATTCAAACCGTTGATCAATCTGATCTGTGTCAAGTCTGCGAGCTTGCATGCCGCCTTCTGCACTTGAATTTGCGCTTATAAGGCTCATCAAGAACAAATACGCGTGTGGCTGAGGCGCCACATCGTACTTGGCAAAATTGTATCTTTTCTCTGTGCTGAGCAGCACTCTTCTTTGCAGGCCTGCATACAGAAAGGTATACTTGGTACACTCGCCTCATGTTTGCCTTGCATTTTCAAGGTCGACTGGACAACGCAGTTGGAGAATACAAAGGGGGTGTTCAGTCACTGGTGTGCTGTCTCACCTGGCCTGCCTGGATCAGGCTTGAGGAATGACATCATGCACCGCATGAAGGCCTCTGTGAGGTCATCGTCATAGATCATGTCTGCCGCCAGTATCACTTGCACATCAGCCAGCTCTGCCACATCCTCTGGCAGCCAACTGAAGGCCTCATCTTCTCCATCACCTGCTGTGCATTGATGGACAATGATAAGAGCAAGGACAGCAGCTTAGGATGTATCTGCTGAGGCGCACTCGTACATCCATCAAAGTGGGTAATTTTACAGGCTTGAGCAGGAGCATGCAAGGCAGCCGCGGATGAAGGGGAAGGCACCGGGCCTGACCTACTTCACGAGAGGCTTTCAGAGGACCCGGCTCAGATGGCACAGCATGGAAGAGGTCCATTTCGCGCACCAGGGCCACATCCGGCCCCTGCCTGAAGAGGTGCTGGTTTGCCTCTACGTTTGTTTGGCAGTTGCGCAGGACTGCCGGGTCATGGTCTGCCAGAAACACTCGACGCGCAGTGCGCACAAGAACCAGGCCTGCAAAGCCAGTGCCTGCCCCAACCTCCAGCCCCATGCAGCCATTGAAGAGACCCTCATTTGCCAGGATGTAGTCTGCCAGCAGGAGCGCTCCTGGCCAGACCTGGACATGCCAGACAAGAAGAGCTGCAAAGGGCTGCCCTGATGAGGCTTCCTTACGATACAGTGGTGGAAGGTTCCTTTGCCACTTGCAGTGGGAGACATCCAGTATGAAATGTCTCACCTGCAGCCCCACATAATTCAGACCTGTTGAGCATGCATGGCAAATAATAATGCGTTCTTGGAGCTCGTCATATCGATCTAGTATGAGATCGCCATCCTCATCCACGGCGATGGCATTCTGGTCAACCTTCTTGACTGCAAATTCAGCACCGTTGTCAACTTTGAAGGCCCCTTCGAAATGCAAAATTAGACTGCATGAAGTTTTTTCTAGGACAAAAATATTGAAAGAGTCACACACCTCTCAGACTGGAATCAGATTTTGGCAGCAAGACAAACGTTGATACAGCTACATGATCGGCAAGATCCTTGTGGACGTCGCTCCGAATGTCGTCCATGAGACATTGCGATGGTTACACAAGGCACAGTAGCTGATAAAGAGAATGCCTTCCTTCACATTCAATTTCATATTGAGAGATTGATTTTAATCTAGGGAGGCAGCTTCCCTTTCAGGAGAAGCTGCCAATGGCCCCCTCCACCATCTTCTTATCAGACCTCAGAGGAAACCATCTGGAAGCCTGATCCAATACTACCCCAGCGGGAAGGCACCGTCTCACACACGATATATGGCCCACTGGGCCCCCCTGGCAGTATCGCCCCATGCATGCATGCATACCGCCTACCAGTACTACTACCACTGTTGTACCACCGGTCACCGCACGGCCGGCCAACGCGTGGCAGACCGACCTCAGGTAGGCTATGACAGGGCGTGCAGACTGCCAGTGTACAATATGCGTTGGCAGGTGCAAGTGAAATGTGCCACATTGGCAACATGATGCTGGTGCCACTGGCCATGGCATTGCTGGTAATCCCCATCTGATTGTTGTGACATGCTTTGCCATCATGGTGATCACCTCCCCCCAATTTCATCAAACTGCCACAAATCCAGACTGGGCGCCAGGCAACATCTCATGCTGCAAATCTGCTGCACCAAAGCATTGTGAGCACAGCTTCACTGCCAACTTCAACAGGACAAAATCGAAATTAGTGGAAAAACCAAGTAGGCCCACCATGAAGTCTACTCTCTCAAAAACTTTGGCAGGTTCTGGAAAGCTCGCCAACATCAAAATTTGTAAGGCCTAGCATGCCAGCATTGGCATTCTGTCCACCCCTCATATGCCGACACACTGAGCAATAACTCACCACCTAACTATGCTATAAGCGTAGTTTTTAGTATACTGTATGTTCTGTTGCAAAATCTCGCCTCATATCTACATACACTTGCTGCATCCAGCAGCACATAGACGAGAGCAAAAATTGCAACAAACGACCTATGTTCATGGCTTCAGAGCATGCCTCTGGTGACGCTCTTATTGCAACCACGATAAACCTCCTGAAAGGTCTGAACAAAATTCAAAAGTCCTGTTGACATCAAGATTTCCTGCCACACAGCTGGCCAGCAAGCAGCTCTCAGCTAGCATCTCTCCAGAGCAGGCCACAAAATCTATACAAGCATGCAGCACCCTCGTGTTACTACCCAAGGCACTGCATCACCTAAGGAGGTTGTTGCACCATCCATTTAACAGTATCTGACACTAACGCCCAAAGAATACGCATACGCAGCCTAATGAAACATTACAGCGCAAAGAAAAGCAACGACCAAGATCCCATCGGCTCAGTACTCTGCAAACAGCTGCAGCCGAAAGGCACCGGAGCCTGCCTGGCAGGACTTGATGGGCACGATGCTTGACAGGTCCCCACTGTTGGACACAGGAGATGCTGGCTCCCCATCCACCCAGGTTTCTTGGGGCACGCTGTTGCGGTTGGTCGTGTAGGCCACAACCTCAAATGTGCAGCCTGCGCGCAGGTAGATAACAGTGAGGAGTGCCTATTCCGACCATGATCAGGCAATCCTGTAACAGGCAGGACACTACAAACAATTTGCATCACTGGCAAGAGCAGGTACCAGCTTCATGCATGGTGGTTGTTTGATCAATCGCAACTAAGCGCTTTGCACTTGTACCGGCATAGGTTCAAATGCACATACATAGCACTTGCGGATCGTAGAGGGTCATGCACCTTTCTTCAACGGACCCAGCGATGCATTGGCGTACTGCAGCTTCAGCAAGCAGCCCCGCAGGGCAACTTCGACGTCCTCCAGTTCCACAGACTGGAGGATCTCGGGTTGTACCTGCGCCATGCAATGCACACCATCATCTCTTCCAGGTTTCAAGCGATCCCATCATAAAACAAACAACCACGGGTGTTGCTCTTGCATGCGCACCCTCAAGTTAATGATGTATCTCTCCACGACGCAACCACAGCTGTCAAGTATGAGGATGGCTACTTTCTCAATGACTCCCTGCATCAAAGGCTCCTGCGAAACAGAAGTTCAAGAGGTGATGAACCAAATTCACACCTTGTACAATGGACAGGAACACGGGATCATCCGAAATCTGCCAATTCACTTTGTGTTGCTCATTGGTTGCATCTTCCTATGCAGTCAATGTTTGGGTTTTCCCAAAGGCTGCGATCTAACCACCAGAGAACACATCGCGGACGTACAGGAAGTCCCCGAGCCCTCACCCTGATGCTTTGCACGACGCCATGTATATAGTCTGTCAACTTCGGATGACGAGACTTCCTGACTGCGATGTTGAATAGCCTCTGTCGCGCAAATAGCTCGGGACTGTAGATGCCACGCAGATGCAGGACCTCGTGCACAGTCGCCTCTATGAAGTCGCACAGGCAATGTTCGATGTCTTCAAGGCTCATGTTAGCGGTAACACTGGTTAAAGCAGCAAATTTCCACGCGCAATACGCTGCTTGTGGCCAGGCGTGGGCTTCCGGAGGAGAGCAATGTCTAGGAATTTGCGCACAGCGGACGGGCTCCTGGCTACTTTTGGGCCGAGAATATAAGAGACAAAGGAAGCCAGCAGTCTCTGTTAAAGAATATTTCAGCAGTACCCAAAAGCTTGGCCAGCATTGCGGCGCAGATGCCTTCTGCGGTTTGCTCCCAGTCAGCTATCGAGTCACATGCACAGGTCAGCATGGTTTGCATGGTTTGCTCCCTGAATAGGCATGCGCTGATCTTCAGTCCAGGAGACTTTCCGAGGAGATTAAAAAATCCCCCCTGATGAGCGAATGCAGTCTGTCTATAGCGCGAGTAAGGCTTACTCAGTAAGCCACTTGCTTATAAGTGCTCGCATGCATGGGTGTCTAAAATCCTTGCATTACAATTTTCATCATACAAAGTTCATGAATATCATATATATCAATATTGATGATTAATTGATCAACAAACATCTGCATGAATACTCCCGCAGACAAGCGGCATGGCCGCACTATGCAAGTTCGCAGCAGGCCATCTTCTCAGACATAGCTGACCGTTGACCGCAAATCAAAGGCGCAATACCTTTGGGTGTCTACTCAATGCACTGCACTGGTGGCACCTGGCGTGCGCACCAACCATTTTGGTGCACAAGCCTCAGGCTTGCTGAGCCTGATGCGCAGTCAGAATCTGCCAGGGTCAGTGTTGGCAAAAATAAGCCAGCCACTCGCCCAGCCGGCATTTCCATTGGCATGCTGCAAGAATAACACAGGCACCACATTTCGTGTTCCAGCTCCGCACAGACTGGGAAGCCTTCAGGGTTGGTACAAATGACTCCAAGGATCCAGCATCTCTCGGCTGCATCTGTGTCTTTTTCATACCATGCTCAGACTGGTGCCACCGCCTTGTGGCTCATGGATGACATGTAGATGTTCCAGGCCAGCGCCATGACATTGGATGCCAGCACCTGCCAGGCACACGTCTGACGTGAGAAAAGGGTCACATCGTCTTGCATCACTGCTTGCAGCAACAGCCGTACATCCAGCAATGCTGCAGCACTTAGATAAGATCTCAAATGCACACCTGAAGCTGCTGAGGCACGAAGTTGAAGTTGAAGAATTGGAATGGGAGCCAGACTTTCCAGTTTGTGATCAGAATCGCCCTCATGTCCTGCTTCAGCTTGGGAATCACCTGATCAGCCTTGCCCTGCAGCATCACACGTTGATGTCACTTGCCGCAGCTGGAACGGAATAGGAGAGATATCAACACAGGCATGCAGCCTGTAAGCGAGACTCTCAACGCGGTAAGTGTGCTATTGGTGGTTGCCAATTACCTCCATTGTGAACTGTGCTGCAACAATGGTGGACAGGAAGATGGGTGCCCACACAAGCTGATCCAGGGCCATCCTGACAAATGTCCCTGCAGCAGCAAGAACACTGCCATTGACATGTCTGGACTGGTGTAGCTGCCAACAATCTCCTTGCACTCGTAAAGGCACAAACGGATTTGAGTAGTCGCTGACAAGCAACCAGCGGGCGCACCTGCCAAGCCGGTCACTGCCACCTTGCTCAGGGTCAGGTACCAGTAGTGGAGCGGCGGGCCAATGATGGTGAAGCCCTGTGCAAGCACACCAACTTCACTGATGCGCTCAACAGATATGTAAAGGTTTGTGCAGAGAGTCAGTCCCTCATGGAAAATTCCATCTGTGTTCAGGTCAAACGGAAGAGCACCAGGATGGTGAAAATGCCCAGGCGCTTCCAGTCCAGCTTCTCGTTCTTGTCCACAACAAGCTGGGCAAGGACGTCCCCCAGGGCGTTCAGCAGAGCAGCGCTCCAGGCCTTGGTGAACACCTGCCCAGCCATTGCAACATCCATCGGACCATTGCCATTTATGCTGCATGCATGCACAGCATGAGAGACTCTATTCACAGGAGGTCCATCCACTTTGAGGCCCAACTGCACATTGTACAAGGCACAGTAAGGCTTGGGCAAAAGCATGGGCAGTCAATGAGGTGATTTCTACCGGCTGGGTCTCCAGCAGGCGCAGGTAAGTGGCCCAGAGACCGCCACCGGACCCCGAGTCACCTCCGCCACCGCCCCCACCTCCACCTCCTCCTGCTGAGCTACCGCCTCCGCCTGATCCTCCAGTGCTGGAACAGCGGATGGATGGCTGCAAACGCGCTACCTTGGCTACAACGGACTGGCCTGCACCCAAGCATAGAGATCATTACAGCCCGATGAATGTGGGGCGCAGCTGTGTCAGAGGGCTGTGGGCGAGTAGACAGGCATGCTCTGCTGTACCTGTGACAAGGCTGAAACGGCCACCAAAGGAAGCAGCAGAGGGCCACACGCGTCCACCTGCACAGGAAAAGTTTTTGTTCACGTTCCCATGCCTGTAGATGCTCCATGGCATGGTGCACCTTGAGCGTTGCATGACTGCCGCGTTCCCCGCTAACAGCCTCTCATCTTTGCCCAAATCACTCACCAGATGAAGGATTGGAAAGCCGGAGATGGACAGGTGATGCCGCAGAACTAATATGTGTCGGCGCGGATCTGGCTGAAGCCTGAATGTGGTATGGAGCTGCCATGGGTCTAGTCAACACAGCCGAAATCTGAAATCGTCTAAGGCCTCCAATGGCAGACCGGAACATCCAGCACCAATCAGCAAAAGTTGGTGATGGCGCTTTTGTGCTTTTTTGCAACTGCTCCCTTTAGCAGAGCAGTCAGATGAGACCACTTCCCTAATTTTACCTATCGTTTCGAGAAGCTTTTCTCGGAGTCATGTCAATTTCGTGTCTGTTCCTGCTTCAACCTCAAAAGTGCGTCAGCAAGTACGTTTGGATGACTGATATCATCGATGCCTAATCATTGCTTGCATTGATATGCGCGACGTTGGGCGAGACTTACTCGCCAGCAGAGCTGAATCATAAGAATATTTGAGAAGGAACTATGCCAAACTTGCCAATCAATGTCATATGTGTGTTTTAATCCAGCCATCAAGATGCTTTGATGTGATCCACACCCCCTTGTAATAGCCTCCACACAGTCACGATGAGCGGCAAACGTAAAATGGAAAATATGGGGGCATCAATGGGCACGGACGAGCTTGTGCGGGAGGCTATGCGGGAAGTTGAGGAGAAAAAGAAAGCCAAGAAGCAAGCACAGTCAGGTAGGCATGGGCCAGACAGATTAATCCAATGCCCACTGACGATAACGCTGAAATTATCTGATTAGATAATGTGTCGAATATACTCCCAACAGTAACGCGTCCCTGCGCTGTAGAGGGCTATCTTGCTCAGGTTGCTTCATGACCAAGCTCCTTCCCCACTCTGCAGGTGCCCCCGTCAGGGATCCGTCCAAGAAAGGCAAAACGCTTGAGGAGCTGGAACAGGAGGAGGGAGGGACCATTAAGGAGTCCCAAGTGCCCATGGCACAGGTGAAGCGCGCTCAGAAGCGGCAGGGCAAGGCCCAGACCGAAGGTATCAGCACCTCACATCAAGAGACGTCTTGTACCTGTACTTTTATGGGCATGGGTTGCTCCTAGCATGGGTTGATGCACTTCAACTGCCTCCAATGCGCTAGTGTCTGTGGGGCTCTCCATATTGAGGCAGGATACTGTTGCCTGCTTGCAGAGACGGAGCTTGTGGGTGTTGGCGACCTGGAAGAAGTGGAGGAGGCCCTGGAGGTGGAGGAGGATGATGGAGTCACGCTGGAGCCATTCAATCTGGCCCAGGAGCGCAGGGAGGGGTACTTTGATGAGGGTGGTCACTATGTGGAGCACAGAAACAAGGACGAGGAAGAACTGGAGAAGGATGCCTGGCTTGCCAGCTCCAAAGGTGAGCTTTGCATCACATGGAAGTTGCTGATGAGCTGCTGCTCACTGCATTTGGGTCACATTGATGCGCGGGCATGGCAAAACGCACTGCCCCCGATGACTTTCTACAGGCTGTCCAGCTGCCAAAACAATATGACATCCTCCAATCGCCGCAAGATCAGTGTCTCAACTCGCCACCTACCCTGCTCGACTTGCACACACCTGTGCACTCCAAAACCCATGTCCCTTTTGCTGCAGCAACCGCCAAACAGGCCAAGTACAGCTTCAGCACAGTGTTTCCAAGCGCAGGCCCACTCAGCATGCAGGAACCAGTCCCAGCAGAGCCTGCATCACAAGCTTGAAGGCTTCGCAACTGAGTGACAGGGGGTCAGCACAACTGGAGCACTCAGCCCTTGACAGCCTGCAGGCATCACTTGGCAGCAGTGTCTTTGATGAAGGGGTGGCACAGGGCTTCCTTGGGGCTGAGCCTCTTGTCGGGGTCCAATATAAGCCTCTCCAGCAGGTCTGACATGCCTTCTTTTAGTTTTAGATTATTCTCCTACCCTGCCATTGCCGTTTGGATGGCAAGGGGTGTCAGAAACATGACTAAGGCTCTTGTGGCGCGCAGATGCGGTGGTGAGTGCGGCTGTGCGGCGAAAGATCGAGGAGCAGCAGGCACGCGAAGCGGCTGCAGAGGCCGCGCCGGACATGTCTGGCGCGCAGGCTGCCGCGCTCAAGCGCCAGATTGCCGACCTGCTGCAGCCGGGGGAGACCGTCACAGAGGCCCTCAAACGGCTGCGGCCGCCCGCACCCAAGCCCGCCAGAAGAGGTGGGCCCCTTGCCACAATGCTCTTCATTAGCGCATCGGCACACAGCCATCCTGTTTTGCCCCGCAAGGTTGTGCAATGAAGAAGCATTGTCCAAAGACCAAAGCAGGAAGATTTCACCGGTGCGAAGAAGACATACTCTTCTTGGTGCGAAGGCAGCATGTCCAAACACAATGAGTGGCCGCATGTCAGAATGAGGAGGCATACTGCTGCCTTGCTGCCAAACCCTCAGGGATGACTGCGCTGCAGCAGGGAAGCAGCAGCGGCCGGCTCAGAAGGCGGAGAGGACGCCGGAGGAGGCGGCGGCGCTGGCGGCGTTTGATGCAATCACGGAGGCGGCCAGCGCGCTCATGGACAGCGGCGAGCTGGACGTGTACAGCACATGCCGCGAGGAGTTCCAGCGTGCGGCCGCCCTCTTCGCGCCAGCCGCAGACATCTTCGCCGACGCGGACGGGGATGACGACATGTTCGGCGACGGATTTGACACAAAGCAGGTGCCGTCAAATTGGAATAGCTATGAAAGACTGAAGACTATGCAAGCAGGTGCAGCAAGCTCAATTAGCGCTTGCGAGGCAGCCCGTCCTCTCATCTCCAGCGCTCGCTCTGCATTAATGTCTGCATCCCTCTTTTTTCTAATTAGGTTCCTGCAGAATCCCAGGTTTGGTCCCTGAGTGAATCGAATGTGCTGTACCCCTTATTCAGCATGGCCGTGCCTCCGATGTGTATGACTGCATGTGGGGTTTCATAAAATGCGTATGGCGGGCTGAGCTGCGGATCAGGAGATGGTTGGCGCCATGCAGGAAGACGCGGGGCCTTCTTCTGCTGGGCCCAGTGGCGTGAACGGGCATGGGACTCCCAGCACAGTGGCAGCAGCAGCAGCCCCCAGCGCTACAGCTCCTGCAGAGCCGGCGAAGCAAGCAGCTGTGGAAGCTGCACCGCCTGCAGCAGCTCAGGTCTGTGCTTTGCCTAAACTTGGCAGAAAGAATTTTGGCTAAGCTTGCATATACATCCTCTTCGATTTTGCCACGGGGCCCGGCTTTAGTCATAGTAGAAGCAGAAGCAATTAGCAATTGCTTAGCACGTTACTTTTGTGCACCTCGCCTGAGGATTGCTTTGCGCAGGCGAGTGGGCCGACAGTGGCAGCACAGGGTAAGGAAGCTGAGGCCGTGGACTACAGCCGCTGGCCGATAAAGGAGCTGAAGCGGTTTTTGATTGAGAGGGGTGCCGACCCCACTGGCATCGTGGTGGAGAAGGATGACCTTGTGGCAAAGGTGCACTTGAAACATACCTCTCTGCACACGAACAAGTTTGTTTTAGCCAACTGCACTTCATCCTGACAAGCCCGGCATATGTTTAATGTCGGCGTCCAACATTTATGAGCTCACGACGAGTTGCTTTGCCCTCAAGGTGAGGGAGCTGGCAGAGAAGGGGCCAGAAGGCGAGGTGTCTGCACAGGCACCGGCCGGGTATATTCTTGATCCGGGCAGCGGATATTTTTACAATGCAGAGGCCGGCCTCTACTATGACGTCAGCAGCGGCGGATACTTCTCAAGCAGCACCAATAAGTGGTACAGCCATGATGCACAGACTGGGCAGTACAATGAGTGGCCTGCCTCTGCCAGCTGAGTAGAGGGAAGCTTTGTGACCAAATTTTGAAGTGTGGCCACATATGGGTGTGGGTAGACTATGAAGAGGGTGATGGGAAGCTCATGGCCATGACTCATGCAGCATATTATCAAGGGAACAGTGCTTGCTGGAATACTCTACTGCACATAAACAGTGCACATGGTGAGAGATGAAAACATATTGAAATAGTTGAACCACCAGCACACACTCATAGCTTACATGACAGGGAGCAACACCGTCAATGCCCTTCACATGCATTTTGACATTGCGACACAAAGAAGTCCAACTTCTCAGCAGCTGTGGCACACACGCAATTGCAGCGCACTTTCTTATGTGCATCCATTTATTAATCACAACTCATGCGTCATCAATGTTGCAAGCTTATTGAAGCAATCATGCCGGCGTGCCAGCAATGTCAATGGAAAACTCCAGCTAGCCCAGAAGCTTTTTGAGGATGGTACGAGAAGTGTCAAAATCTTTGCGCCAGACAAAGCAGCTCAAAAACTCCTCGTAATCTTTGCGCAGATTTGGCTGCACCCGCATGCCCCCCAGCCACTTTTTGAAGTCTGCAATGCTGCAGGGGCCCTGCGTCTTACCCTGCAGAGAACACACGTCACCCCACATCCTCAGTCATGTGTCCAGAAATTAAGCACATGAGGGAATTGGCACACACCAAACAATCCTGCAATACATTCAAAAAAGGGCAGATGCTGAAGAAGGCATACCTTGGGATCAAGGTACAGCCACTCCATGCAGTGCTCATCAGGCACAGATGGGTTGGGCACACCAAGCCCAGCAGATTGGTCAAGCGCGCTAAGAGCCAACGGCGGTGGCGGCGGCAGATCGGCCCCCTTCGGCTCAACATCTCTGGACACACAAATAATAGTCCACTTGAGAAATAGAGGAGACACAGTCGCGTTGGCAGGCGCAGATGACGCATGTCCCAGAAGAGGTACTTGAGGACGTCCTTCCCATCAAAGGCCAACGTTCGCAACCCAATAAGCATGTAGCAGAAAACAGCTTACCTGTCAGCAACATGGCCGTTGCCATTGCCGTGCGCAGAGCTGTGGCTGCCTCGCCTGGCGCTGTCGCGGTCAGGGACTGGAACCACTTCAACACGCCTCTTGTTGGATAAGGCAGGCCTCCTGCTTTGACGCGTCTCATCACGCGCTCGCTTTGCGCCTCTGCTGTTCTGCCCCCTCCCGTTTGTTGCCGTGGAGGCTGCATGTGGCAGGCAGCAGGTCAGTCTACAACCCAAGCAGCTCTGGCACAGGCTCCAATTGACATCACATCCGCAACCAAACGGGAGCCAATATGCCATTCTATGGACGCAGATAAAAAGAGAGTGCTTGCACCTTTGGGTGTCGTCTGGCGGCCGCTGTCCTTCCTTCCCCTTTCCACACTCTTTTGTTTGCCTCCCTGTCTGCACCGCTCCTTGGCAGACTCCACTGCTGCTGTGGAGGGGCGGCTGCCCTTATCTGGGGCCGCTGATGCTGCATCTGCGGTCTTCTTTCTCGTCGGAGGGGCGGCGTCTGCTTTGCTGGGGCCGCCAATGGCAGAGCCTCCCACCGTAGCAGAGTACGGACCCCACATGCCTTTTGAGGAGACAGGCAGCGCCTGCCCTGCATCCCCTGGCTGTTCTGTGCCTGGCTCTTGCTCTGACGGCTGCTTTGCTGCCTCGTCCTGCGCCATGGCCGGGGCAGTAGGGGTTGAGGCCTTGGGAGCGGTGCCAGAAGCGTCCAGCTCTGCTGCTGAAGGGGCTGGCTCGGGGTCTGCTGCAGCGGGTTCTGCTGTGATAGCCTTGTCGGTGTCTGCATCTGCAGCCTTTGCTGCTGGAGTTGAGCCTGTCATGCCGCTGCCGCTCGATTGCTCTTGGCAAGCCAGTGTCTTTCCTGCAGCATCCTTTTCAGATGCCACAGGAGGTTCCTGTGATGACTGCTGCGCTGGGCTCTTCCTACCTGTTTGTGCTTCTGCACCATTCTCCTGCGTGCTCGCCGCCACGCTGGCGCCAGCCGCCTGCTCGGCATGTCCCTCCTTCTTTGCTGATCTGCTCGCGCCAGAGGCCCGCTCGCTTCTGCGGTCCCCATTCTGCGCTGCTTGTGCCGCCTTGCTGCTGCCGTCTTTGGCCCTGTCCGCGCGGCCAGCTGAGGGCTTCTCCGGGTCCAACGCCGCGGCCGGCTCCTTCCTGCTGCTGACCTGCAGCCGAGACGACCTGGACGCCATGACTCTGTCCTCTACCTTCCTCTCGGCAGATCCTCTCCTGGCGGCTGGGCTCGAGGCGCTGTGCCGCCGCCTGCGCTCGGCCTCTGCCTCTCTGAGCTCGACAGAGCTCCTGCGCGGCGTTCCGCGCAAGCGCGGGTCGATGGACGACGGCGACTCTCTGCGGCGAGGCGGGCTGCGGCGGCGCCTGAAGGACGGAGAGTCCGGCGCGCTCGCATGGGGTGGCTCCCGGGGATGGAAGCCAGGAGCGTGCGCGACGACGCGGCGCTCCCTGATAGGGGAGTCTCTCCTCTCATAAGGGTCCCGCGCAAGGTGGTGCGGCGGCGGCGGAAAAGGGTCAAGCGGCCTCGAGCGTCGATCGCGCTCCCAATCATGTGCGTAGCGCGGATGCGGCGGCGGCTCGGCAAAATGGCGGCTGGGCGGCGGATCGTGGATGGAGGGCGGGCCCCCAAAGAAGTGCGGCGGTGGGGGCCAATCGCGCGGGGGAGACCGGGCCCCCCGGCCCGGCCGCCACTGCCCAGAAGGTCCATCCCAGGGTGGCGAGCTCCCAGCACGCCTGGGGGGCCCCGCATGGTCGATCGGGACTGCGTATCGGCGCGGCGGCGGGCTGATGCTCCTGCGGGCCCTCCTTGGGCTGCACACCCATCGATGACTCAGTCAGCCTGGCGCCATGATGCAAATGTGAAAGCCTGCAGCTCACGGCCCCTTACACCTCGCTCTTTCTAACCTGGGCGAGGGTACAGAGCCTGTAAACGACAACGATGTGAAAAGGCAAAGCAAGGAAATGAGGAAATGCACCACACCTGTGCACATGGTCCATGGCAGGCGGAGGGAGAGGTGTCCTGGAGCGCTGCCGATGCACTCCAGCATCCGCTTCCGCAGGCTTGGTCCTGGCGACAGCACAGAGAATTCCTTCAAGACAGCTTTAAAATAACTGGTGAGGGCAGTCCACTGGCATGGTGGGATGAGAACATACTTTACAACCATAGCTCAGGACCCTTGGAGTCCTTGCACAAGGAGCCTCTGTTGATCAACTGTACTGAACTTGCATGAGTTCAGCTTATGCAAGAAATGAGCTGATTTTACTTCTTGCATGCAATCAGCTCAGGAGCACTAGCTCACCTAGCCACGAACAGTATTCGGTCATATCATATCAGCACAGGGCAGCTAATGTGTGAGGCATCGCACCTGCGCAGTTCGGCCTGTTCACTAGTCTCCTTCAGCTCGTGGTGGCCAGGCGGACCTATCCTGGGATTGTTTCGCTCTCTCTTGCGGCCCCTTCTTGTGCCGGCGGCCTCATCTGCATCCCTGGAGTGGGATATGGGCGCTGTGGCTGTCTGCTTACGATCCTCAGATTTCTGGCCTGGGCCCCGCTCGCTCCTGTGCCTGCTGCCCTCCCGAGAGCTGGGCCTCTCAGGCGCAGCTCCCATCTCAGCCGCGCCCTCCCTCAACACCCTGTCCCTCCATTCCCTGGCACTCTCCCACCCTCGGCTCCTTGCAGGGCTGCGCCTGCTTGCTCTGGGCTCCCTGCCTTCTCTGCTGCTCCCCTTGGCTCCATCGGATGAGGTCTGCTGCCGCCGCCGCTCTGAGACGCTCTCCCCGCCGCCGCTGCGGCCTGTCGCGCCGTCCTTCCTGGCAGGCTCGTCGGGGCCCTGCCAGCGCTGCCAGGAGATGGGCTTGTGCTTGCCCCTCTCAGAGGGCGCGCCGTCTGCTCCCGCTGACGACCTGACAACACGGGGCGGCACCTGTTTCTGAGGCGCGCCAGCAGACAAGACACATCACGGCAAGCTGCCGCAGGGCGGGGGAGGGCCGCACAAGGGCGGGCGTGACTGCATGTTCCGGCAGAGGAGTCCTCGGAGGAGGGTGGGTGGCGCTGCGCTGCTGGGGACTTCAGCACGTCCAGGGAAGACTCAGCTCGCGCGATCCGTTTCTGGGCAGTAGCCCGACGCCTGCCACTTTGATGGCACGCTTTGTGCCAGGCGGCCACGCGCTGGCGCCTTGCTGGCCCTGACTTCTGTCCTCTGTCCCTGACTTCCCTGTGCTTGGGAGGGACTGATCTGCGCCCCCTACTGGCCTGCCAGCTGATTCTGCTGTCAACCCACACCTTGCTGCATTCCACTGCCTCCCGCTGCTGCGTGTCTGCTAAAATCATAGGGTGCATCTGTTAGAGATGCCCACCTTTCTTGCTGTGCAAGGGAGGCCGCTCTGCGGCTACTGCCTGGCAGATCCTCAGACTGGACGTCTTCGTCGGTCGCGCTGTAGTTCACCTCCTCCTCGTCTTCCTCAACGAATTCAAATGGACTCGCTGCACCGTTCGTCAACGGCAGGAGGTGTGCAAGAATGTTGTCTTCGTCGTCCCTCTTCTCCGCTCCTGCCATGCCGGGCCAGCACTGGCCTCAGAAGGTCGCCAGATCCTGCACGTATCACGTCGAAATGATTGCACCAGCTTATTTTACCAGCGGGGAGCACTGAAGCATTTCTAACGCATCAAAGATCGATGCACTGATACTAAATTAAAATTTGGCCACAAGCAATACCTTTTGCAAATGAACTGATGTGTCGATATGAATCATACCCTTCTGGCGATCTAGGTCAAGTGATCAGGCAAGTAAATTGATGAAACGTCTAGTTTGACTTTCTATCTGCACACCTATCCTAAAGGGAAGGCGATCATGATAAGCGTTGCCAGGTCTGTCGCATGATATCTCAGCACATCACTGCCAGACTGGGAAGAAATAATGTGGTTGTCATCGTCGTTCCGCCCAGACGAAGTCAACTTTACCAAGGGTGGCGGCAGCATGGCGGAGTCCGAGCGGGGGATCCCCTTTCCATTCTTGGCGATCTAAAAGCTCTGTTGCAGTGTGCAGGCTGTTGCTTGGACGGTTGGGAGAAGTGGGGTGATACATTTGGGAGAGTTGGGGGAAGCTACGCACGTGGACTGATTGCTGCGGTTCCTGCGCGTCCCTCACTGTCATAGATCGTGGCTACGAGGGCAGCCTGCCACAGTGCCCCAAGCTTTCATTACAGCCCAAATTTTGGGACATATCGAAAGGTATGTTTTATTGTTCTTGAGATATTGCTGCTCCTTCATTGGATACGGATTCATTTCCATGTGTAAGCGTGCTCAGCAGCAGCTCCGCCACATTCTATTAGCTTCATACTCGTTAACGCAACGAGCTTGGCTGCCGACCATCGAAATACTAAGTATATAACGGCACATGGCCGTTCAGAAGGTGTTGAATGAATCTTAAGCAATGGCACGAGGCTCGGCAAGCATTTTCGGTCTAGATCAAGGGAATTCCTGGCGCTGTAGTACAGGCCTGATTCTTCTTTAGGATGACGCAGTCCTGTGTTCACATGGGTCTTCAACATGCAGCAAAGGCGAGATCTTGGTGGACTGCTTCTGGTGTCTTCTGGAGAGTTTGCTGTGCAGATATCTCAGCTCCTGACTAAGACTGGGAACCCGCACTTTGGTGGACCTCATGAATTGTAGAGTTTCCTGGAGTAAGAATGCCGTTTTACTGATCTCCTGCTTGGCGATTGATGGTGGAGTGGGTGTGTCTGATGCATCTGCAAGTCCTAAAGCCCTGCCTCCTGGATGTTGGAGATAGTGTGTTTCTCTGTGCATACGTTTTTACTGCAGTCAAATATTGCCAATGCAGGCGACATGCTTGAGCACCAACCTTGCGCCAATGAGGAGAGGCATATGAGCGCTGCGGAGGTTTCCGAGCAGGAGGCCAATGGAGTGGCAACAGAGCACCTACCCCCCGACCAGACAGGGCTGAATGGCTGCAATGGGAGTGGCCATGCTGCAGTCTCACCCCAGGAAAATGGGTTGGAGAGACACGAGCCGGAAGTGGCCAGAACTCAGGCGGCGCAGGATAGGAGCGAGGAGATGCAGAGTGACAAGCTCGTGTCAGGAAGTGAGAGTGGCGTGAAGATATCGCCAGCGGATGCGCAGACAGCCCCTTGCAGTAGCCCGGCCCTTGAAGAAGCTGAGGCCAGGCCTGAAGCAGGATTGGAGAAGCAAAACGGCAGCAATGGCGTTGATGCAGCAGAGAAACCTGGCAAGGGGAAGGGAGGGAGCAAACAGGGCAGCATAGAATCGAACAAAGAGCTCAAGGGCAGGGAAGAGGAGAAAGGAAAGGACAAGGGGGAGCGCTCAAAGAGCAGGGGCGCGAAGGACAGCAGAAAAGACAGCAAAGGCGACAGGAGCAGAAGCAAGGCCAGCAAGGACAAAGACAAGGAGAAGGACAAGAAGCGGAGCAGGCGGAGCACGCGCAGCCGCAGTCGCAGCCGCCGCCGACGCGGCAGCAAGCATCGCTCTCCCGGCAAGCTCTCGCCGCCGCGCAAACGCCGCGCGCACGGCAGCCGGAGCTCCTCGCGCTCGTCGTCCCCCAGCCCGCGGCCGCGCTTCTCCCGGGGCATCAGCCCCGGCGCGATGCCCCCGAGGTCGCGATACACTGCCGGGGGAATGCACCGCAGCCCGCCATTCAGCCGCGGCGCGGCGCCCCCGGCCGGCCCGTGGGGCTACGGGGGCGGCGGCCCCCCGTATGAGCCGCACGGCTACGGGCCGCCGCGGGGTGGTTACTCACCGCCGAGGCGGTGGCCCGGCCCGGGGCGTTCCCCGCCGCCGTACGGGTACGAGCGCCCGTACGGCTACGGGGGGCCGCCCCCCGGCGGCAGCCGCTCGCCCCCGCCGGGCCAGATCTACGGGCGCAACCCGACGACGGGCTCGCCCCTGTACGGGCCTCCGCCGCCGCACCAGGGAGGCCCTTGGGAGCGCGCGCTGCCGCTGGAGCCGCGGCCGTCTGCGCAGGGCAAGGTCTGGGGCGCCCGCAGCGGCTGGGACTCTGTCGCGCCGGATGCCCCCGCCCGTGATGTGCCCTTGGTGCGCCCTGCTTGCCAGCTTTTGCTCCTCTGCTGAAACAATTACCATTGCTCTTACGTTTCTCAATCTTGTGGCTTCCATTGCTTTCTAGCTTGCACTGCTCTAGTGCCCCAGTCCTGACGGATTCAAGTGTGCACAGGTGGCCAGGCAGAGTCCTGTGGTGCCCACCAGCTCGGCTGGGCCGGAGATGTCGGCCAGCAAGGAGGTGGGGGCGTCTAGGCAGGGTGCTGAGGAGGCAGCTGTGCCGGCCACTTCGCGGTCCAGCAGAGGGCCTCAGGTGGGCGACAGCGGCTGGCAGAACGGCCCCGAGACCACCAGCAAGCCCAGGCCCAGCGAATGGTCCTCCATGTCTGACGGCACCGCCATTGCCAAGCCGATGCCAGGTCTGCGCGGGCCCTCCCTTCCTCCTCCCTCCCAAATTGATGAAAAAATTGGTTTCTTCATCGAACATTAGCATTGGCATGCGATTTGTTGTCTCGTATAGCAAGGAATCAAGGGAGAGTAGAGACACATGAGGCGAGCAGGGCTACAGTATCAGGTATTGCAAGGTGTTTTTTAGAACACCTGGAATCTGACAGGGTGGGCTGGTGGTGTGCACAGAGGCTTTAGCGCCGGCAGCGGGGTCGCAGCAGTACCGACCTGCAGTGAGTCCAGCAGAGGCGGAGCTGAGGGCCATGGTGTACAGTGTGGACCACAGCGACGCCTGCTGGTACTACATCGACCCGCAGGTCAGCCCCGTGCATGCACCTGCAGCTTCCCTGACAAACACTCTCATTCGTAGCCTTTTTTCCTGTCATTCCTTTGTCATTTCTAGCAGTGCCATCCTGCTGTGAATTTGCATTGCAATGTGTCTGTGATCACCAGTGCTCCTGGTTGGCCAGATTTATGAAATTCCTATGCATCCTGGGTGAACAGCAAGGCAACCCTTATTCCTCCTATGGCGTGCGAGTTGCCTCTCATGTGTTGCATTCTCTCTTAACTAAAAATTCCGGTGCGGCGGGCTGCGCAGGGCAAGACGCAGGGCCCGTGCACGATCCGGCAGTTCAGGGAGTGGCTGCGGCACATGCGCGGCGACCGCAACCTGCACGACGAGCTCAAGCGCTTCAGCGACGTCTCCGTCTGGCGGGTATGCTCACTCTGAGTTGACCCCTCGTTACTGAGTCATTGCACTCAGTTTTTCGGCGCCACCAAAGGATTTTAGACTTCGGGAGCTCATCAGCGCCCACCCATGGTGTTCCCATTCCTGTGTGCACATCCTAGCATGATGAATGCCTTTGTGAGTCTGGGCTCAGCTGCAATACTGCAAGAATTTCCTGGTGAGGGCGGCAACCTGAAGCATCCTCTGGTGCGTTTGACAGCGCGGCAGCCACTGTGCAGCTGCTGACGGCAGGGCATGTGTGTGTGACAGGTGGGCATGCCCTTCAGAGTCAAGCTGACGGTGCTCATGGCAATCGTGGTCCAGACATCGCCCTCACCACCTCCAAGCCCCAGTCCCCACGATGGCAAGACCTTTGGGCAGCACATCTCAGCTCGTTGATGCACTTTCGTTGCCCGCAGCAGATTACAGCGTGTTATGTGTGTGGCGGGAGACATGCAGAGAGAGGCTCGCACCACCCCTGTCAGAATGAGCAACTTCTGTGGCATAACTTATCCCTGCGTGAGTTTTTTTCCTTATGCACTCTTGGCTTGCTGGAAGGTTGCTTTGAGGCCTACCAGCTTCAGCAGCTTCAGATATCTGATGAGTCGTATGAGTCAATGTGATCCCTTGGAGACATCCCTCAATGAGTGCTTCATTGTTGTACCCGCTTTTGGACGACAGTTGAATTTCTAGGAGTTTGCAAATCCGGTGCATGCACTGGGACTGTTGATGCACGGCAGGCAATCTTGTGGTCAAGGGAGGCTTTTGCACTGCACCTTTTTTGTTGCTTTGCCACATTAGGCAAAATACAGTGGGATTTCAGGGGCTTTGTGCACAAGTCTGACTGCTATGCTGTGCTTAGCAGTTTGAGGCCTCATGTTAGGGGTTCTGTTACTTCAGATGTGGATGTTTTTCTGTGTGCATGTCAAAAGTGCACCAGATATTGCACGATTCTAGCTGGCTGGCCCTGAGCAATGTGTTGAGCTCTCATATGCGTGGGGACTTATGCGCATTATGTAGATCTTATGTATTATTAGGCATCTAAGCCCTTTAAGCAGTGGTTCTGCAGCTCTATACTGCTGCACTGTCGACGTGTTGAGACCTCACAAGGACTTTGTGTTCATGTCCTTGCCATGCAGCAAGAGACGATCTCTTATCATGCTGGGGGACTCTTCTGTGATAGGCTGCAACATGGGATGTTATGTTTGTGCTGCAGTCATCTGCTTTTGGTGATCTGTGCTTATAGACAGAAGGCAATATGTAAAAGGCTGGTTCAATAAACTTCTTTGCAGTATTTTGCAAATGTATGTGTACACTTCTTCAAATTTTACGAAAATATTACAGTATGTATTGTTTTTAAAATCTATGCGCCTGCGCCGTTGCCCAACTTTTCAAATAAGTACATGTGGCCTCTCACGACTACAAGTTCACTGGAACAAATTTAGGGCAGAAATCTGCCAAGGCCCTGTGGGTGCTCAATAAGTATACATCATTGTACACAAACGGCTCGCTATCTCATACATCATGTCCCACAAGACATGATCATGTGATGGCAAAGTTGATGGCGCGGCGCGCGTATGCAAATTTCTTGCGCAAGCTGGCTTCAAAGCCCGCCAGCTGCACTGCATGCATCACCAGAATAGCGGCAAACGCAGCCGTCCCTAATCGAAGTGCCCATCTATACAGCAGCAGCCTCCACCGATGCCCTCCTGACCTTTGAGCGGGCACCAGTGACACGCCACCTGTGAAGACACAGAATCAGCGCTGCTTACAGACATCCCGGCCCTAAGCCCTGTTTTGCACAGCACACCACCAGGACTCCACAGCTGACCGTTGTCTGATTCAAAATCATGAAGAAACAACTGAACCAAGCATGTCAGGTTGTTGGTCGAGTTGCGCACCTTGCAGACCGAGCACGGCCTCAAGCGCGGCCTGGCCGTCAAAATAGAAGACTGGTGCCATGTTGATGAGCGCAAGGGCGGCCGACACGTTGAACAGGTATGCCAGCATTTGCTCTATGACATGTGGCAGGCCCGTCAATATCCAGCCCGCTTTTGGAGAGAAGTCCGTCATCTATTGCCCAGCACATTAGTTCAATTTGCTCTGCTTTTCAAGTGCATTCTGATCTAGTAATTGCTTGCAATCAGCAATAAACGTGAATCAAGTAGACAATGGACAGCAGTCTGGTTGAGCTTCGCTGGCATCTCTTCTTCTAACAGGGGTGAATGAGGCACACTGGCAGCGCCAGCAAAATAGGACACGTGCCAAAAGATAGGCATTTTAGCAAACAAGAGGCCATTAAAGGAAGGTCACCTCCGCTGCTCGCAGCAGGGCTCCAGGGCTCCCCACAAAGATCAGCATATGCGGACAGTTTGACTCCTGTATGACCATATCACGGTGCATATGGGCTGGATCTCCACTCCCCTGCTTTCCCCTCTGCTCCACCTTCCCTGCTGCTGCTTCCTTCCCTTTGCGATCCCTGCTGTAGCACACCTGCATGCATCACCTCGCCGTTATTTTCCTTCTGCAGCCTGATCCATTTTCTTTCCCTGTCATGCAGCGCATGCCCACATTTCAACCAGGTCTGTGATATTGTCTCAAGCAGCCGATTTCCCAGAATTACAACTTTTGAACTGCCTGATCTATTCCCTTTCCCTGTCATGCAAAGCATACGCACGGTACACAATAGAGGTGTCTGTATGGTGGCCCAAACAGCGGGAGGTTTCCCTGCAGAAATATCACCTTGAACATGTGGTCGCCTGGGAGCAGCACTGGCACCATGCAGGCGGCGTTCCTTGCACAGCCACTGCCCTTCTGAGGCGTTCCTTGTGTGCTGGTGCATGCCCGGTGCCCTGCAGCCGTCCTGGCTGGCAGGCACACTCCCACGACTGCATCTTCAGGCAGGGGTTGCTCCTGGCCCTCAAAACCTCCCCCTTCCAACCCGTCCTGCCGCTGTGCAGCCTGCTCAACTGCAGCCGGCCCCTGGCGGACCGTGTGCATGCTAGTGTCTTGCTTGTCCTGTTGTGTGTCCTGCTTCGGCCGCCCCTCTCCGTCTCCTGTTGTCATGGCAGACACCTCAGATGTCCAACTTTAAAAAAACCTGCTGAATAAAATAATGTTTGCAGCATATCTGATTTATTCTGCCGGCTGCCACAAATTACTACGAGGCAAGGAATTGAGCTGATGACACACCCCGCAACTGTCGTGGGTGGTCGGAGCGGGCACGCTCGACAAAGCAGAGCTCATTTTCAGCGCACAAGCCCGACTCAGTGCTGTCTGAGCACACCGGTGCGCCCCTCTGCTCCTCTTCAGGTATGCAGTAGCCTACGCCTGGACAGCCATGGCGTTTTGCTGAATGTACTGGCCGAACAGCAATGAGACAGGCAGACAGGGTAGCGGCACGTGGGCAGAGCTCCAAGTACAGAACATTGACAGCCTGCGGATAATATAGTGGCCGGATGTTAGAGAGAGCACCAGTGTAGGGTGCCGGCCTTCCTCCTTGGTCTATGAAAGTCTTAGCGGACAGGAGGGACTCGGCATTGGCTGCATGGCTTCTGGATGACGTAAGGGCTGGCATGTTTGTGAGGCAGGCAAGCCAGTCACGGGAGCCCTTGACAGGGCACTGGTTGACGCTCAGAATCATATCTCCTGGAGACAGGTACGCACCCACAGGGCTTGCCTCGCTCAGCTGCCTGCAATCAATTGAAAAATGTCTTCTCTGGATTTTTATATGAGATACACCATTGTTGAATGCTTTAGCGGCAAAGAAGCAAGCCCACCTGACAACAGCGCCATTGCCAATAGAATAGCCCGGTGACAGGATCCATGGCAGGCTCAGAGCCACCACCCAGCACATGCAGCAGAGCACTGCATTGTGCCACACTCCAGCACAGATCACCTGTGGCAATAGACAAATACAAGTCAGACAAGCTCTCTGGCAGGGCACTACTGGCCCTCGATGACAATAAGGATGCTACAGGGCCGAAGCTAAATTCTGGCAACAAGCTTGAGGAATTCACCCTCAGACTCCTCAAGGGGTTTAGGATGGTCAGTGTGTCTGTGTCCAGCGCAACATATGCCCCTGGCAGCAGCAGGACCAAGAACACAGCCATGTGATGGATGCCTACACCTTCTGCTGCAGCTGCCAAGGCGTGACCCGCCTGCATGCCATCACATCAGACCTTCTCATCTGGTGTGTGCACCATGGATTGTGCAGACATACAGTTTGCCGTGTGTCACGCATCAACAGAGTGCATGGCCAGCCTTGATTGTACTTTCTCCCATTCACAACGCACCTCATGCACACCAAGGGACAGGGCTGTGGCGATCCACAGATACACAGCATGACCCCAAGGGACTGTGAGACCTGGCAGGGCAACGCCCAGTGACCAAGCCTGAGCTGGAAGCTGTGGGTCTGGGCTGGCATCCGTGGCAACCTGCAGGTCATCCAAGAGAGTTATGGATGCTTGGCAAAGCGTACACTTCGTGATATATTGATTTTGAGACAATTGGCTTGCATGACCTTCAGGACATGAGTGAGAGCAACAGCAGGCACACCTCTTTCAGCCACCTCATGACCTGCCAGAGCTCCTGCATGAAGATGAAGGTCACGGATATGCCCAGCATGCCCGCTGCAATCGTGCCCATACCAAACCATTGCCGCAACAATCTGTTGTGCTTCCTTCCAATGTTGTAGAAGATCCTGCGAGGGCATAGTTAGTCATAGCGACCCGCAACCTTGGACAGCCAAGGATGGCCATATTGGGGGCGTGCAGGTGACTTTTCGATTATCACACAGATCATCAATGAATCAACACTACTGCAGCAAGTTTCCACGCAAATTTGTGAGAGAGCTCACCGATTGAAATGGGCTGTGCAAAAAGTTATGCTGCACCACCCAATTGAGAGGCCTCTTACACCAATGCCGCGCTTTATGAGGAGTGAAGCTGCGTAGATGCTCAGCCAAAGAAGAGTGGCGATTAACAGAGGTCCATGCATCAGCTGACTGTTTATTTAGAAGTCTCTGTCGCCTAGTACGTCACAATCGTCTTGACATTCTGACGTTGAGGCCAGATGTCTAGTGTCTGAGTCAAATTGCCAGTTAATTTGTGTACTATGCCATCAAATACCAGCAGGACATCAATGATAATGAAGCAGAACACAATTTGTTTGAAACGATGAGAAGGCAATCTTCTGAAGGACAACAGATCTTTCTGATCGGCGCCTTCCTGCGGTCAAACAATGCGCCTATGTATCCTGAGGCTTCAGCAGCCCATGAAATTGGGATGCACCTCAACGAATGTCGGTGCTGTCGCAGTATGCTAGCCCCATGCAAGCCCCCTAATCAGGCAATATCCATCTTTTTTTGGCATTCCATTCCAACATCAAAATTTCCTTGAGGAAATCCCAATTACAGCAACATAGTTGAACAAGATGATCAAGAGGATATGGACCATATCGGTACAAGGTTAATTTTCGAGAAGTAGAGTCGCACATCGACATGTCATCACACAGTCAGATCTCTCACCACATATAACAAGGGAAAAGACGTCCCAATTCAATTGAATCGAACCCATTCTGAATAAGTGACATTTTCAGTATTATTTGGAAGGTGAATGACCCATTGATCAAGGCCATAACTGCGATTATATCAGCCCTTTAGTAGCAATGGAAAACCTGACGGTGAGAAGGAACTATCAGGTATGCGTACCAATGTTTTAAATTTATTGCCGCAAATCACTCATGTAAGCGGAAATCACAGAAGATTCATCACCAAGGTCTGACTGTGAGAGAGCTGTTTATGTGTTTCTCAGAGACTGGCAGCACTACAGAGCGCCATGCACACCAATTTGGTTGAGTCCCAGCAGAAAACCAGAGCGCTTCGTTCTTCTCTGGTGGCAAAAGAACGCCAACTTGAGCTGGCAAGGAAAACCATTGAGCGCCTGAGCAATGAGCGCACCCTCATTCAGGTCTGCAGCCCGGTCTGGAGGCACTGTCATGCCAGCAACACCTGTCCTGCATCTACGAAACAAACAATGAGTGGGTTGACAGGCCTGCCTCACTGCTGTGCAGATATCTGCAGAGGCAGACGGGGCGAGGATTAAAAATTTGGAGGGGTCTCTGGAAGCCATGAGGGGTATGTCGGGCATCAAAGCCAGCAATGAGGAGCACAGAGCAAAGGTGCCGTGCGTTTGAGACTCAGATCATGGGGCACACGGAATTGCAGCACTTTCCAACGTAAACACAAGATTTCTCTGATCATTTCTGAAAAGACCAACTGAATTAAGTGTGAGTGCAGGTCAGAGCCTTGATGGAGGAGCTGAGCATTGCAGAGGAACGGGCAGATGCTGAGCATCAGCTGGCTGAGGTGCGCAGACAGGAGGTGAAAATTTTGAAGCGGGCGTTGCACCTCAGAGACGAGGAGCTGGCCAATGGCTGCCAGCACAGCATGCAGGATCAGCTTTCAGACTGCCCGCTGCAGAGCGTTGCACGAGTAAGGCACCTGGTATAACAAAGCAAACTTGTCTGCACAACATATAGTATATATCTAAGGACATGTGTGTAGAAGTTTGTGTGTTTTCCAGGCATTGTGGAAGTCTTTGGACATTATGGATGGCGCACAGACGGTTGCAGGAGTGTTACCTGTTGACACCCCAATTGAAATCCCAAAGGTGGAATTCTTGCAACATGAAACTTGCATTCTCAGCTGACACGTCGAAATGCCTTTCTGATGCATTTCTCGTCTTACAGGCAGACTCATGAACATTGAGGCTCTTGTAGGAGGTGGAAGGGACATGAGGTCAATGTCTTACAACGTGGAAAAATGGGAAACTATGCATGCAGGTTCAGCAGCAGCAGTTCAACAGTGGAGAGCTGCAGCTTGTCCTTAGAGCAGAGAGTAATGTGGAAATGACCGCGAAGCCAACACTGGATGACTTCCAGTCAGCTCAAGAGATCTCGCCTGCAGCTGATTTGAAAAGTAACAGCATACTTGGAGATCTACAGAACGAGATCAAGATCTTGCGAGAGGTGCTGGAATTTTCTGCTGCTACAATTTTGGATGGTCCAAGCACAGCGCCTCATGCAGCACAAGAAAGGGAAAAATGACGTGCTCTATGCACGCAGGATTGTGGTAGACTCAAAGAGGAGGCTTGCACCTGCACAAAGAACTTGTACATTTGCAAGCAAGAACTAGATGCTCTGTCTTTGGAGAATTCTCAGCTACGTGAAATTGTGGCTGACCTTGTCCAAGAGAGGGAAAACGCATCAAAATTGAAGGTGCGGACTGCATCGTGAATGCGCATGCTTTCATGCAAATTACCGATGATTATGTTGACTTGAGTGTTTGGAAACAGGAGGAGAGAACAGAGGTGTATGCCAGGGATATGAAGGCTGTGGAAAAGGCATCGCAGGATGACTTCAATGGCCAGGCCAATGCCCTGCAGGTATGAGACATGTCATGTAGTACTATCAGGAATATATCCATGCTCATCCAAACCATGCCTTCCGCCGTCTTTGCAGACTTGCTTGCCTGCTCTGCGTCTGAAGTGCAGCTGGTCTAAAGACCAATGTACATGCAGATGCACATAAGAGACATGCTGGAGATTCACAACAGTTTTATACAAGATGCCAAGGTCATTTCCATACAAGAGAAAATTGCTGACAGCAGCCAGGCATCAGAATTCTTTGAAGCTAACTTGCAATCGTGCGATTGATTACGAGCTCGTGCCAAATAGCTCAAGGTTGACTCTGTCCCATGGTAGATTATACATGACAGCGTGATATTCGATCAGGTGAAGCATATGCATGCATGTCTGGCACTGGAAATTATGGCAAGTTGCGCAGCTGCAAGGCCCCAGTTCTTCACGTTGGTGCCGCAGGCATTTCTTTCAGAATATAGCAGAAGGTGATAGAGAGCAATGAAGTGTGTTTAATGGTAATCACTGGCTACTAGACCTTGGGATGGAATCTTAATACTGTACAACAATGGATTCCGGTGTACTTTTATCATTGCACTAAATTTTGCAGGCAATTCTTTGCTATAGCTGGGCACCTGCACTACACTGGCATGTCACGGGAAATTGTAGGACTTTGCTCTTCTGTTACAATTGCAGCCAAATGTTGCCTGTACACATCCTTCCAGCATCGCAAAGACTCAGTGCTTACGCAAAATTCTTTAAATCTCACTTCTCTCTATCACCCTAGACAGCCTGAAATTACAAAAAGTAATCTACCAAAACTGACCGACTTGCACCTACGCATCCACTACATTCAGAAATTTCAGTCCATATCTGTCAAAAATTTGCGGACAAGTACCACATGCATGCAGGACCTGCAAGATATCTTCCGTGAATGTAGTTCGATGCAGTTCCAAGAGATTCTCATGGCATTTCTGATTGATGCCCCAAGGCAATCATGAAAGGCCCCACACAAGTGGAGCTTGTCTCAGCCCTTTGTGTCTTGAAGTCTTCTGTGCTGTTCTTGAGTGGGTCAATAGTTGCTGCACCCAGATCACCAGGAGTGCATCCAGTAGGTGATGGCATATGCATCTGGAAACTTTGCCTTGCATGCGAGCTCGCTGAAGCCCGACTGCCTGGGATCACACACTTCGTGCTGTCCTGGCCTCTTTGTCGGCCTGTGCCCCTTGGCAGGCACATTCCCAGAGTTCTTCCAGTCTTGAGATGTCAGGCGCCAGTCAATGGGGTAGATGATGCCTGGGGCCAGCACTTTGAGGGGACCCAGTCCGGAGGCATTGTAAGACATCATGGCCTTCAGCAGCATAGGTGGCCCCGTCACTTCCTCCACCCAATCCCACTTCCTTTTCTCCTCACCCCCAAACCACCTGGACAAGCACACAGACCCAAGTATTGCAAACCTTTCCTCAGCTCAGCAGACATTGCTAGACGTGTTGCACAATCTCCTGGGCTTGCAAATATCCTTCTTCTGCCAGCGGCTGCACCTTTGCTGAAATAAGATGGACTGCACACATACAGAAGATCAAGGGCCAAGCATGTGCGCACTTCATCTTGGGCTGCCAGGCACATGGTGTGGCCGCAGCAACAATCTGCTGGATGCAGAAGTTCCAGAAGGGGTGCTTGGGGGCTGAAGCCATCCATGCATTCGGGATGCGATGGTTGAAGCTCAAATCGTCCGTCATTGCCGCCAAGACGAGGCTCTCCATTGTTATCAGCTTGTCGAATGGCTTCAATACCTCAAAGTCCAGATCCGCATAAAGACCTGCAACGTGCACACAATGCTCTGGTTCTTTCTCACATGCAACGTACTTGCCAAAGAAGATACCAGCCTGTCTTGCCAATCACCTTGGGCTCAGGTATGAGTCATACGACGTCGCCTGTTCAAGGGTAGTGTCAGGAGGACACCAAGAGCTCACCCCCGTAATGATGCATGTAGAGCACTCGTGCAGTGTCTGCACGCATGATGTTTTCTGGGAATGCATCATACGTTTCCAACAACCAGGGGTAATGTTCCCTGACAAGCTCTCTGTTGGCTTCATCTGTCCACAGCTTGTACTCCCAGGTCGGGTGCATCTCTCTGCGGGCAACACAATTTTTCGGTCCAGAGCACTAGATTCTAAGCAGGTTTGCCACAGCCCACATAAAGGGCTTACAATCCAGCATCAAGGCTCCAAACTGGCAACTGCTTGGACCTTCTTCGAATGAGTCTTCCCCAGACAATGCGATTTCACTTCTGAAGGATACAAGGAGACATGGCTGCCACACCTCATGGTTTCCTGCCATCTTACAAGCTTGGCAGGTAGCTTGTCCACCTTCCAAGACTGATGGATGATCTTCGGGATGCTATGGCCTTGGGTTGCAGGTAAGCCGAAAGCTTCAAAGCTTGGAACAACATTAAAAAGAACAACCAAAACAGACGCTGCCGATCGAAGCTGCATCTTCAAAGTGTCCTCGTATAGAGATGTCCAGCACGAGCATTTTGTACCAGGCCTTATATTTTTATCATCGTTGGGGGTCCTTGACTCATCATGTTTCGCAGTGCAAAGCAAAGCTCACAGAACCATTGTCCTTCCTTCAGATTTGACGCCACTCTCTGTCCTGGCCCTGGGCATCAGCCATCTTGGCCTGGAAGCTGTGACTAACTCGTACTAACTCTTGGTCAAAGCCGCTTTGCTTCACCTCTCTTTGCAGTTCGTAGGAGGAATTTCTAGAACTGTTACCAAGGAAAGCAATGGATTTCGATGAAGAGAATGCTGCTGCTATTTCTCAAAGATTGAAAGCCCACGGTAAGTTGATCTGTTGATCTCAGAGCTGCAATCTGTGTTTTCCGCGTCTGGACAAGGTTGATTGAGTGACTGGCTTTCTTTTTAAAACATTAGAGCTTGTTTTTGGCTATATATACCGACTTGCAGCACAGGGATGATGAGTGTGGCGGATAAGAGCACCTTGCTGTGGTGTGTTTTCAGGAGAGGCATTTCTGCGCATGTTCGAGGGCTCTGGGGATGAGGCAGAAGAAAATAAGGAGCCGTCTGCAAACCTGCGAAGGAACATCGTGGAGCCTGAGATCTCTGATGAGGAAAAAAACATCACCAGCAGTGGTAGAGATTCTGATGAGGAGCTGGAATTCCCAAGCGGGACTAGCTCACAGCAGCGCAGTAGACCAAATGCTAGGTGCTGATCTGCCTCATGATAGCTAGGAGGCCCTAATCGTGACTCCCAATCACTTGTTGCTGAAGCCTGCGTTCTAACAATACCATGAGCTGTAGTGTGCATCACAACTGGAAGTAAAGGTTGTCTCTGCTTGCAGCCAGAACGGAAATCTGGGACTTGCTATGTCCTTAAAGAAGCAGAGACGACTAATCATGTCGGGGAGATCAATCCATGAGCAGAAAACCAGCAGCAGGGTGTCCAGGCAAGATGATGGCAGGAGGACAGATCATGAAAGAGAAATCACATCGCAGGACTTTGAGAAAATGCGGAAAGAAGTCGACACGTTGGGTGCGCACCGCGCCGCTCAATTGCGTGTTGAAGACTGTGCAGGATTGTGGACCTGCTGCATGGGCTTAGAAGCTGCCTTCGTGATAGTCGCGTTTTGAAACCTGTTCAGCTCTTGCCTGAAAGGGAAAGGAAGTCTGCAGGTGCTTCGGCACTGGGGAAGCGGCAAAGGAAGGATTTCGAGAACTCCATGCTGCGGAGTGTCAATGCAAGAGTTCAAAAGTCTCCACGCATACCTGCCTCTATCGGCCAAGGTGAGCTGGCCAGTCTGATCCAGTGGAACACTTACAATCACGTAGCTTACATTCAGTTTGCACATCATATACTCATCTGTTGCTCGCGTGCCACAGGAACACTGTTCTGATATTGTGATAAGCAAACATGTACCTCTGTGCCGAGATTTCGTGTATACTTGTGTTGCTGTGTCCTTTCGTCGCATCAGCAGATTTTCATGTGAATGGACAGGTCTGGCAAAGAAGCGAAAGCAAAGAGAAGATGCAGCTAAGGAGCTTGCAATCGAGGCAGGCATGATGCAGCGGAAGGGTCTTGGCAAGAAACGGAAGCAGATGGAGAAGGCCCAGAGAAAGGGATCAAAACACAAAAAGCGGCCTTGAAGGGCTGAGGCTCCAGCAGGATGTGCCCTGACTCCAGGCAATACCGTCATGCGCAATAGATGCGCAATTGTGCCGCGATGATCCAGCTGGGGTGTTTTGAGCACTTTGCTGACATGCCGCAGTTTTAGAAATATTAATAGGAACTCATGCAATCCCTGCAAAGAGGTCAGGGCGTACTGTTTAGCATTCAGGATGTGATGCAGAACTCCAGCAAATTTTGCTATCAGGATGAGACTCCTTTGAACAGTTCTTCTCCAATCTACATGCCCATAGGGCTCCGAGCGTCTAGAGTCTAGAGTACTAGGCCTAAATTTGTACTTCTTGCATCCATCTTGCAGCCACACTTTCTGCCCATAAGAAAATCCACAGAAAATACGGCATGGTCCTCTCTTGTGTCCTTGCTAAATAAATCAAATGAAATAAGTTCAAAGAAAAACAATCTGAGGCAGCGTCTCAGATGGCATGGGTCAATATCAGCACTCTGCTGTAACTATCGGTAATGGAAACCATTCTGTACCGAGCAGGGTTGAAGGTAACCTCCTAAAAAAGAAAGAGTTTGTGGTGCCATAGCATATCGTGATCAGACCCAGAATATAATTTCTGCCTGGCAGAAAACCTGGAGTGAGCTTGAGGAAATCTTGGATTGAGACGCCCAGACCTCAAGTACAGTGGTAGGCCTTGCTCAAGAGCCCCAGTGGCCCCACAGGGGGTGCACGCACAAATTGACTAGTAAACAGCAATCAGATGACATTGTAAGCAGTTGACCAGAGTGACGCAATCCCCGGATATATCCTCCCCTGGGCGCCCACCTTTGCCTAGATTGCTGACTGCCACACTGTGATTGTCTGCATGCATGTTGCCATCAGATCTGAAAGCTGCAAGACTTGTGCTTGTACTGATTGTACCCATATGTCTTAGCCCCGCACACCCCTCAGTGTGCCCCAGCATTGCTTGAGCCACCTTGGCACGTGTATACTTACACACTCAGTCACTGTCCCAGCTACCGCTCCATGCCCAAACTACAATGAAATAAGCCATAAAAAGACAATTCCCCATGCCAGAACTTGCGTGTTGTTCAAAAGGTTTGGTGCCGCTGAAGTCAAGCTGTGTCCAGCTGGGATACGCAGAGGAGGGCCACTTGTCACTGCTGCAGGGCCCTCCTTGCTGATCTTCTGCTATTGTCGTACTGGTCTGCTCACATGCACTGGGTTGGAACGCTCGTGAAAACTGCCCTCCCTGCCTGAGTCCTCAATGTCGCTTCTGACACATCCAGAGCCTATGCCCGCACTCTGCAATAGCGGTATCTCACATGCCACCACACACAAAACCTACAGCAAAGAAACAAGCACCGCAGCATGGTCAGAACAACACTTCATCCTGGACAACGCTCACAGCTGTGTGGTGTCTATCATCACAGGCCAGTTGCGTCTGATTTGCTATCAGACTCCTGCCAAAGAAAAATTTGAGCTCCTTCAAGAGTGCAGCACCTTCCTCATCCCATCGCCTTCAGCATGCGATCTGAGCACGCAAGGCTAAGTAACAGCGATGAGAATACTGCCTCCTCCCAGCCTTCTGTGACGCAAGCACCACAGGCACAGTCCCCCCCGTCTGGTCCACGCTCCTCGGGCTGAGCACTCAGCTCTCCAACGCATTCACTCATGGCAAGAAGAAAGGAGGGGCCCCGGAGCCTATGCTTTGCTTTGCTCGATGCTGCAGCAGCGGCATCATCTAGTTCCCAGCAATGTCAAAGTGACATCCTTCCCCTCCTTGCCAAAAGCCTGGCGGCTCTATTTGCCGTGCACAATGCCCATATGCAGGGCCGGCCGGCCTCCTGTACCATGCTGCAGCCACACCTATTATTCCTGGCCCCACCATGTGAGGACCTAGCTGCCGATGATTCTCCTGAAGTTTTACCTCGCCGCACAATTAATAGATCAGGCTCTGCCGCTGTTTGGGTGCTTGGGCCGGTGCGGGTGCTGCCGGGTGACTCCCTGCTGGAGCGTTGGGGTTTAGAATTGAACCCCCAATGGGGTTGCTGGCGGGTCACTTCCTGCTGGAGCCTTGAGGGTTGGGGTTGACCCCCCAGTGGGGGTGTTGGCGAGGGGGAGAAGAGGGAACGCCGTCGCGGAAGGCCATGCCGAAAGCCTCCTGCGCCTGCTGCAGCGCTGCCGGCGCAGACGAGCGCTTCATCTCCTCCTCAGCTACCACACTCCCCGATGCCCTGGGGTCCCAAGTCGGGTCTCAGGCAATGACGCGGGTGGTGCCAGGTTGACCCATCGTACATTGATCAAGGAAACATGGAACGAGAGAGCAGAGCCCAGCAGGTAGGCGCCCAATGACAGCAGAAAGCAGGGGTCACAAGCCCCTGGTCGGGAGCACCACAGATCCCTTTTTGGATGGTGAGGTGTCATATGTGCTGTACGTATATTAGCAACCACAGCAAATGAGAAACTTGATGACTGTGGCGCTCACCTTGCGTACTGGAGGCTGCGAGGGCTGGACTGCCCGAAGCTGGCTCGGGACTGGAGGCCGGGCTGCGCGTAGCCGCCGCTTGCCTCCACTCCCGGGTGACCAAAACTGCCCCGGGCTTCCAGGCCGCCGCCCGGCTGGCCGAAAGCCGATCCCAGCGCCGAGGCGTCGCCGGGAAGGTGGCTCCTGTGCTGGTACAGGTCCATGGCGCCCTGGCTCAGGTTGGGCGCCGAGAAGTGGCGGGGGGACATGTGCGAGGGTCCCCCCTCCCGGGGGGCGCGCGCGTGCGGCGGCGGAAGTCGTTGCTGCAGCTCCGGAATGCTGTACGGCGAGGAGCGCAGGTGCAGGTGCGACCCGTACTGCATGCCCGCCTGCGCAGCATCAAACTTTTATGAAGGCCTCGGTAGCGTCACAGGTACTCTCTGTTGCATGTCAACAACTACAATACAAATAGTAACGTCCTCCATAAACTCTGGGACACAAACGTGTTTGTGGGTGATAATTATTAGGTTTCAATGTATCTCAAGCTGTCTTTTGCCCTTCAACCCGTGCCATCCTTGGTACGCGCAGACTCCACAACTGGACACAATTTCAACGGGGGGTTTTTTTTTGGACTGCTGGAACAGTATAAGGGAGCGTCGTGCAGTGGTGGCAGACCTGGCCGCTGCGCAGCTGCTCGTGCTCAGGTGTGGACTGCAGCTCACTGGAACTGGCCCCTCGCTGGAGGCCAGTCAAGTTCGGGTAGTACGCCATGCCGGCCCCAGGCGATCCGCTGGACAGCTGCCGGCTCTGGGCGGCGCCGAGGGCGCTGTCGAACGACTGCAGCGACAGCGGGGTGTGCTGCGCGCCGCCCCCCGGCTGCTGCGCATGGCGGCTAAAGAGCGGCGTCTGCTGGGACAGCGGGCTGAGCATGTGCAACGAGGGGATCTCGGCATCTAGCGTGAAGCTGTCAAAGCCGCCGGGACTCATGCTGCGCACTTGAGCTTCCGCGGCAACCGCCGGGTGCGGCACCGGCAACGACTGCGTCTGCATCAGGAAAATGCACATTCAGATTGAAATTTTCTTTTCAGGAGATATCAGATCAGAGGGACACAAAACCCAAACATCAGACATTCTCTATTGCGGCAGGTTCCGGGCGGCAGGTTCCGGGCATTCTTCCTTCCAACTTGGATGTGGTGGACAGAGCTGGGATGACTGCAGAGCAGCATGGAACACTGCCTTGGGTCCAAGATCACGCTGCATTAGATGCAGGAAGGCCACAGCAGATGCGACGATCCACCCATCGAGAGGTACACAAGGGGGAGCACTCACCCGCTTCTCGGCGGTGGGGTTGGGGGATGGGAAGGGGCTGAGCGTGCGCGACGATCCACCCATCTGCTGCTGGGGTGTGCCCAGCGGACGACCGGCCAGCTGCTCGCAGCGGGAGCGCCAGCCGTAGGCTTCCCTGGCCAGCGCCCTGTTGGCGCCCTCCAGCTCCAACATGCGCGCCCGCAGCTCTGTAGTCTCCTGCTGCAGCTTTTGCGTCTGCGCTCGCAAACACGGACCACCTCAATGATAACCCCACACGACCCTCATGCTCGACACTGACGCAAACGTGGAGATTACAAGGCAAGGGCGCAAGCTGTTGCATTTTGAGATGGCCTCCCCTTTAACAAATATCCTTGTGAAAGGGCCTGCCGCAAAATGACAGCTAGTGCGAAGAGACAATTCAGGCTTCGAGGAGAGCGGAACTCCTGAGAAATATTAGGGCCACACCTCCGCCGCAATTGTCTCTCGTTCCTCGGCGCGCTTTTGCCGCATTCTTCTTGCTGAAAGCCTATTTGTGACCCGCCTGCAGACCAAAACAAAACTCGGCACTGGATCACATGATCACGTGCTGCGACAATGCAACCAGCTGCAACATCAGTCCCACAGATCTCACCTTCTCAGGCGGCGGTACACCTGGGGAGAGACCTCCTCTTTGGTGCCGTCCTCTTTTTCCACCACAATGGGCTCCGTGCGCCGTTTGCGGCCCCTCTGCGACTTCTTGGGCTCTGCCGAGTTCCGCTTTTCCTCCTCAGACTTTGGCACCGATGAGGCATCGCTCTCCGACTCGCCTGACGCAGCGCCTGACGTTCCGTAAAAAGGGAAGCTTGGCTTGACGCTCGACTTAATTTGGCAACAAAAGGGATTTTTTGCCTTACTTTTCATTTCGGCTAAGATTACTGCCATTACATTATTTAGTTCCATGCATAAAAAGACAGATGGGAGCAGTGGGAGAGGAGTAGTGGATTTATGCCTGCTGCTTGTGCGTAGTTGGGCTGGGGTCTTCTCCGCAGGGACCTGAAAACGCCCGGACTGTCTGGGCCAGCATCTTGCATCTCCTCGTCTTTCACTACAGTTTGCACTCAGCTCCTTAGTATCAGAAGGGATTCATCAGTCTCATCTCTGCAGGCCATTGCTGCAGCTGCTGCTGCCTCTGCATCGAGCAGTCTCAACAACAACCGGCACGAACGCCAATCAAAGAAAATAAATAGAAACTAAGCGAGCTCATTGTGAACTGCATGCATGCAGCAGAGGGGGCACCTGAGGTTGTGCCAGATCTGGAGCGCAGCATGCGGCCATGGTGGCGGGGGGAGGTTGAGTCGGGTGCAGTGCCCTGCGCTGTGCCCGTCGTGCTCTCACCACCCGCCCGTGACCTCAGAGACCTCTGCACTTCCTGCACAGCGCACAGCGAGTCATTCAACTCTTCTGCAGCTGGAGAAGCACAGCTTCAAGAAAACCCGAGTGGCAGCAGTGTGTGAGACAGGCTCTCTGGGCACCATTGCAAATGTACATACAGCCGTGGAGAACATAAAGTGGACCACCCCAAAGGTCTTTCCCGAGCCCTGTTGTGAAAGCAATCAAAAGTCTGGAAGTCCAGAGTCTGACCTGTCCAGCAGGTGGGGGTTCTGCAAGAGCGGCGGAGGTTCTAAGTCCGGTGGTGACAAGTCGCATGGAACCAGGCTTGAGGGATCCTTGTTGGTTGATGGGACCAACCTGCGCACCACATGCTCAGCTTAGAGGTCAATCTTCACATATTTATCCCACTTTTGCATAAGCACCAAAGAAGTTTCCATTCTTCGAACTGTCACCCAGGTGCAAGGCAGCACCTGTGTCATGTAGGTGCTTGGGGAGGACGCAGCGGCAGAGAAGTTGCTCTCGGCGCTGACAGGGCGCGGTAGGGAGTGCTGTTGGTAGGCTGCTGAAATGTCTGGGAAGGAGGGCATACGGGGGATTGTCTGCGCCCACCACCCAAACTTTTCAGATGGTGCATATTAGATGTTCATCAGGGAATGTACATCATTCACAGCACAAGCATCTAGCAACCCTGACCCAGCAATTGGTTGCTGGAGCAAACCAAGGCGAGAGGAATCAACCCAATGGTGAATACACACAAGTCAGGGTGATCAGAGACAGAATGATTACAAAAATGAGTAATGAAGGAGTCACTTGCTGATGGCTCACTCTGTCAGAGGGAAGGGGTGGGCTGGAGGTGGCGGCTGAGATGGCGGGGTCCTCTCCGACGGCGTCCTCTGCCTCCACCAGCCACCCCAGATCCACGGGCTCATCGTCCTCGTGGGACGGCAGGGAGGGATCACCGCCGTGCTGTGTCATTTGGGGTGGATGGGGGGGGAGCCGCTGGCGCTAAGTGCGGCGGTTACGGGGTGGGGGCGGTGGCGAGCGGCTGAGCTGGCGAATGAGGGCACCGGCAGTAATCAGGCCGTCGCCTGGTGCCGCATGCGCCCATGGGTGGGCCCTGTTGCGGCCCAAAGCAGAATCCACATCAGGGCCCGCCACAAAATAGCACCACTCGCCTGTAGAAATCCGGTCTGACCGGCTGCAGACTTTGCGGATGCCGGTCTGACCATGTCCTGAGCAGCCTCTGGCTGACACCTCACAGATGGGAGGGATAGGATGTAGCGCCAGGGTTGGGGCCTCATTACACTCATTTCAATTCCTCAAACTGCTCACTGCGCTCCTCTGCAAATGGGCTGGGCTCTGCTTCGGTGGTGCGTGGACTTCTTTATGCTGGATTTGCCCCTTCCCTTGACTCTTATGGCGGTGAGCAACATAAATGTCAGACTAAAAGCGAGAGGGACCCTTTCAACGAAATGCAAGCAAAACATTCCACAGGTTGTGACCCTGATCATGCAATACTAGGAGCCACGCTGAGTGCTGCCTTTCATGTTCCAGCTCGATCAGGGCTCGCTAATATGCATCAATATGACATCAAGCTCCAAATCAGTGCAGGTTGGTTACAGGCAAGAGAGGCAAGAAGAACACAGTCGCATCAGACAGACTGGGGCGCCATCGGTGATGACGATCGGGAGTACCTGGTGCGTTATATAGCTATCCCTGCCGCTGCTGCGTCCTCCTGATGTTGATCTGCTTTGAAATGCAGTGCCACAGGGTTCCCCGCGTCCACCTGCAAAGATTTTAGTGCACCGCTAAAATCAGGAGCGTCATAGCTCACAGCACGGCGGATCGCGCGCAGGAAGCAAGTCAATTTAATATTGGTGCCACGAGGTTCCATCAGAACGATGATACTGACTGAATCGAAGGCAGATATGAGCTCTTTTCATCGCGCAAGAGTTCTGGGCGCTGCGCTATTCAGGGTGCCCTCTGGGTTTAGATGCTACCTGCTACGAGTCCCTTTCGATTGGTGCTCTCCCGCTATTCAAATCTACCCTTAGTGTTCTTCAAGACGGCTTACACGCTAGGTTGTCGATGCCTTAAGGAGCACAGCTAATTTCAGCCACGTTGAGGCCGCATCGGGCTTTTACTAACACTTTCGAGGTTGCCGTCAACCCACAACAGCAGCACATTCCCAATTTTTCTAGAAAAGACAACGTGATTTTTCGTCCTGACTTGCGACTATAATAGGATATGACGGGACATGATCGAGACATTTTCCGAAGGCCAGCAACACGATTCCAGACGAGTTTGACAGATGGCGCCTTCACAGCTTCCAGTGCAGCTGCCATCACATCTTGCTCACATGGAAATGATCACCTTGGACGAGACATCTCATGTCATCCCCTTCCCCCGTTTTTGGCTTTTGGGCATCGTGATAATCACGACGTGATTTTATTGCACTAATGTTCATGAAACTGACAATGCATGTCCATGCGGTGGAATGCTGGCGCGCCCGAGGGCCCTGTCATCGCATTGCCACAGACCCTCGAGTTGATGAAATTGCCATTCATGAGCAGGCGGAGCATACCATACTATGTAGTAGTTTTATGCATTGCTTCGGCATACACAGGCCAGCAAAGCCAGCACATGACACAAAGACATAATAAGCTGAACGCTGTAGCGAATTGCACGCACGTATCTCAATTTGCCGGCCAGGCCTGGCGATGCTGCGTTTTGCGGCATGGCATCATGATGTGATTCTTGGAGGTTCGCCCACTGGCAGCGCTCAGGCTGATCAGCTAATCACGGGGCCTCCGGCTTGTCAATTTTTTGGACTGCCACGATGACATCCAGCCATGTGACTACTAGGAGCAACCTTGCCAACACAGTGCGTCACGCCACACCAAGTAGACAGTATAGAACGCGTCGCATCCCAGTCTCAGCCTGAGGCTAGCATGCAATTGCACAGCGGGCATGATGATCTGATGTGCAGCCACTCCAGCAGGCAGTCTGCATGATGGAAGTGTCCACACTGTCCAGCAGTAGCAAAACATGTCAGATCTTGTTGCGTGCCTCTGAATGGCTCTCATAAACTGCTCCTGTTCCTAACTATACAAGCAGATCACCACTTCCTGCAAAATTCTGTTTCTGGACTCGCAAGAATTTGAGAGTAGTGCACAGTTTACCTGTAGCGCATGTAGCTTCTCATCCTCTTGAAAAGGCCCAAGGCAGATGGGACAGCTTTCCGCTTGAAGCTGAGAGCCGCTTGGCACAGTCAAAATGACCAGGTGGCAGAGTTGTGCCTCTGTGGCCCCAGCCTGCCCATGGGGTGCTGCATGTCGCTGACTTCTTGTATCTAAAGATACCAGCAACTGCCTGCGGTTCCAGCACAGATCTTTGGTAGCTTGTTGCAAGCTTGCCCATGTCTACACAGAATCGGATGCATCATCCTCGGCCTGTGAGAGTGTGCAACATTCCAGTTGTGAGGAGCATGTGCAGGCCTCACCTAGCCAGTGTGGAAACTTCCTCAGCACGCCGATCAGCATCGGCACAGATGCAGGACACTCTGGGAGTGTGCTCCGGGCTTAGCGCCTCAGGATTGGCAGCAGCTTGGGAGGCCAGCTGCACATCCATCATGGAGTCCTGTAGCAGTGCTGTTGCCTGCTCCATGGCGATCTCCTGCTCGATGCACATTCCCTGTCATTCGTAAGGACAAGACCACTTACTGTTTACGAAACAATGTTCCAGGCAACAAAAAGCTTAGGAGCAGTGCTGAGCAGGGAGAGTATGCTGACCTGTGAAGGAGCAAATGCAGTCCTATGTACGCATGCGTAAGTGCTCAAGAGGGTGTGCAGTGCAGACAGCTGCTGACGCCGCAGCTCGAGCTGACTTCCCCGAAGCCGCAGCAGGTCCTTGCTGGCAAGCAGTTGCTGGTGTTGCAGTTGTGCAAGCCTGAAAGGACACCATAGCCAATACGTTACTGGGGACTGCGCTTGATCAAGACCAACCAATCGCACTGATGTTAGAGCAATGGAGCCAGCAAACCAACCTGCGCTGCCCTGAAGCAAGATTTTGCAGTGCATCTTCGACTGAGCCCATTCTTTTCTCAAGACATCTTGAAAGCCTCCTCTGCAGGTGTGGTTCTGTAGATGTCCTGTCCGATGGCTCAGCTTCCGTCTGTTGGCAGACATATCTTCTGCTTTCCTCACAATCAAATTTCTCAGAGGACTCAGTGGGGCCCCCTCTTAAGCACCCTTCCTGCGCCTTGTCATCAAGTGCATTGGAAGTACTACCCACGAAGTCTGCGTCAGAACCCTTGTTGCAAACGCCATCGCTACATCTAGTATCAGTAAAGTCTATACACAGCAATCTGGCCCTGGCCAGAACGATTTGAGCTCTTTGCAGCACCTGCTCCATAACCTTGTACGAGCTTCCACCTATCCTATCGTTACTTCCCCAGCAGACAATGACTTTAATATTCAGTAGCTAGTCTTCTGCACTATCGAATCTCTCTCCATGCACATAAATGGCGTTTGAAGCGCATCCAGAGTCCATGGACTTCATTTGGCCAAGACTGCAGTTGCGGAGGCGAGGAACCTCTGAGGATACGCCTTCCGAAACTTACATTCCGACACCATCTAAGAAAATAGAGTGCTTTACAGCTTGTTGTGGAAATGATTAGGAAAGTATTCAGAGAGTATTACCCGTGCTTGTTTGGCGTGAGTGGAAGCATAGGATTTGCTTGACAGGGCTACTGATGATGCCTACGCCCACTCTGCAGAGGCTGCCTGCTAAGGCAGCGATACATGCTGGGCAACAAACGTCAAATGTCCCACGTAATGTTTGTTTGGCTGGCAGCCTTCGACATGGGATGGCCGGGATCGCCTCACGCAAGCCTCAGCCGTCCAGGATGAGAGCAGTCCAAGTGGCAGCCAACGTAGAAGATTATGATCCCAACAATCCAGACATTGACGACATTCAAATCAATAATCTCTCACGTGAAGAGCTGGGCCTAGAGGATGACGAAGATTTCGACCACTTCGAGCCAGATTACCTGGATCCTGAAGGCCGTGAATTGAGGCTGGAGGATTTCTACACAGTCAAAGAAGGAACACCAGAATCTTTGGTCTATGAGCTATATTCTGACGACGTGTACGGGCCTCCGGTGAGCAATGCCTCTCATGATGCCACCCCATTTGCTTTTGCACAATCTGCCTTTGTCCTTACAGACCATTGAGATGCTATTCTTACACTGCAGGCGGTCGTTTTGGCGGGCTTCAGGGCAGAAGAATTTGCCATGGTGCGCTCCATCTTCTTCTGCGCAATTGCTGAGCATACAATTCCCCGGGCGCTGAACTGAGATGCAACCAAGCTGTGCAATGATCAACGGAGTTGGCTGGCGCACAGGTGCGCGCGATCTTGGACAGCGCCGGCGGTCATGCCGTCAAGGTGATACCAGTGAAGGACGAGCTGCTGTATGAGAAGATGTCCACTGCCATCCATCTGCCAGAGCCAGACTGGGGAGCAGCTCGGCCACAGGGCTGGACCAGAGGTGGAGCTTGGGGTTCCCAGCGCACCATCCTCTTCTCTGGCATGAAGTCAGTGGATTTGTCACTCCTTACATTATCAGATCATTAGAAATTTGGGGGTCTTTAGATCTGCACTATTTGGATGAGCACTTGATGTTGTTGACCAGCTCTTGTATGCCGAAAAGAACTAACAAGGGTATATGCAAATGAGCTCTTGATATTGCAAAACACTCGAGTAGATTATGGCTGTCTTGGTGTTCTAACTGCCTGTGTTTTTGATGACAGGCTGGCGGCACAGGCTGCACTGGTGGAGCTGTTGGAGGAGTCAGGGCTTCCCCCTGTCTGTGCAGCTCTTGCAGTCGAGGAGGATGCTGACACGCAGCTGGGCACGGTGCTTGCTGAAGCTGTCCAGGTAAGTGTGACTGTGACAAGTTGCAATTTTGCATTCATGCCAGTGATTGCAAGGGAGTGATAGAAAGGGCCGCGAGGAGTAAATTATGTGGCTTGTGATTGTGGCAGGCGCAGCGGACCAGGCGGAACCCACACAAGAATATCTGGGAGGACCTTGACCGGACTGCTAAGGAGCTTCCAGATGTTGAGGACTACCTAAAACGGAGAGTGCAGGTACTTGCTTTTGTCTGAACATTCACATCCCTTGCTTTTGTCATTCCTGCACTTGCGTCACACAAAATAATGATGAAACTTGTAATTCCAATGCAGGAGATCCAGCAGGATGTGCAGGCAGGAAACCTGGACAACATCATGGTCAAGGATGACACAGGCGAAGAGGGGGCCGAGATCACTCTTGCCGAGCTTCAGGGCCGGTTGGGCTTGGAAAATGATGAGGAAATTGCAGATGCTGGCAGCAGTCCAGTGACAGACATTGAGCTGGAGGAAGGACTCGGAGCAGAGGCGCCGCCGCCACAGGATCCATCCACAAATGAAGTCCAGCAGCTTGGGTCAAGCAGAGACATGTCAGAAGGAGCTGGAGATGCCTCATCAGGGCAGGCACAGGGACCAGGCCTCTCCACAAGCCAACAGAGTGAGGGCACGCAAAGTCGGAGGGCGGATATGCATCCCAGGCGTGCGCGCAGTGATGATCGGGTGGAGCTGAGTGAGTCGGCGCTGGGTGATTCCCTGACAGCAGCAGAAGGGCAGGCGCTGCTGCAGTCACTGGGGAAGAACGGGAGTGTGCAGAGCAGTGCAGACAGAGACAAGGAGGAACGGTTGCAGGAAGTGCAGAAGCTGGCAGAGTCAGCAGGCAAGTTCTTCATGGACAGCTTGGCGCAGAATGCAGGCCTTGCAGCTGACCCCGACTTGCAGCCGAGCGAGGCGCCGGACACCCAGCAAAGCCTCGACATGATCGACGCCATTGCTGAGGGGCGCCTGGTCGCCATACCTCAATCCTCCAGCGATGGCACGCCATGGGAAGAGGACTCCAAAGCAGAAGCTCACCCCACCCGAACACAGCAGGAGGGGTCTTCAACAGAGCCCTTGGAGGACAAGGCTGATGAAGGCCAGCCATCTATCACTGTGATCAATGATGTGAAGGTGTGACTCGTGCTGCTTCCTCCTGATCATCCTCCTGATCAGTGTGCTTGGTGCCGGTCAGGTTTGATTGCTTTTGTGGCATATGTGGAACAAGTCTAGTGACCTCCTCGCTCCTGTTGCACCATGTGTAGGGTGAGGAGAAGGCAGCTGAGCAGATCATGGCTGATCTAGACAAGACCTTTGACAAGCTGAGGAAGGAGACGGACAAGGATAAGGTCACAGAGGCCCTGCGCAAGGAAGCCTGGGAACCCACCAAAGATGCCCTCAAGGTCTTTTCCCTTCGCATCTGCGCTGCTCCCTTGTCATTCGCTGTCATGTCAGGTAGCTTTTGCTGTGCAACATGATGAAAACCTGTGGTCCGCAGCAATGCTCCCCTTGGAATACAGGCATGCATGATGGATTAAAGAACCTGTGTGACTGTGGGGACAGGCTGCTCTGGCATGTGGCATCCCTGCGGAGGACCTGAAGCGCTTCATTGACGAGGAGGCGGCAGAGAGGGAGAGGGATGCAGAGAGCTGGGCCACCTCCTGGAGCAACATGCCGTCACTGATGCCCACCGAAGAGGAGAAAGCAGCGGCCGCAGCGCGCACCGGCAGTGCAGTCCATGACATCCTCTCGCCGATGCCCATCGAACGGCGCACACAGAGCCATGAGGCAGAGCATGCTGAGGCAGGCACAGAGCAAGTCAGTGCTCAGGAGGAGGGCAGTGTGAGCGGAGCCTCGGGGCCTGGAGATTCCGAGTTTGGCAGCAAGTCCGGCACCATGACCAAGAAGGAGCTGCGCGCATTTGCAGAACAGAGGAAGCTGGACTATGCACGGCTGCTGGCTGATGCAGAAGCTCAAGGCATCGAGCTGCCGGATGACTGAAGCAATGGCACGCCCTGGTAGCAGGACGGCGTAGATGCATGGACCCGTTTGCGTTGAGTTGCGTGTGTCAGATGTTGCAATCTTTGCATGCTATGACTTCAAATAGCTACAGTAGCTTCATGGAGTAAGGATGCATTACTGCTTACACATAATGTAATGCCATGAGAATGCACTCTCTCTAAGTAAATGACTCAGGTGCGCTACTCATCTTGAGCTTTGATTTACTTGAAGGCATCCGTGCATGACATTACCAGTGACTCTCCTACATAGATGAGCAAAGGTTCCAGGTTGTGCAGATCATCTGGGGACATGCTTGCTATGCTAGTCGAGCGCAAATTCCGTTCTACTTGTCACTAACTTTGGATTTTTAACTCAAGAAAGAATGTAATACCAATGCACTTTAGACAGAATTACAATGCAGGACAGATGCCTGATCTCAGTTCAGTCAATTCTGATTGCAGCTGCAGCACTTCTGCATTCATTATGGTGCCATCATGACATGGTACATTTGCTTCCTTGACATCGATCGCGAGAGCTGTCGCTGCTGATCAAGACTCTACTCCTCCCTTTCAAACAGCTTTGCCAGATTTTTCCTGCCTGCTCCCTGCTGCTTGGCTGTCTGGGTGTTTGCTGTGGCCTGAATCTTTCGCGGCTGCTCCACTGGATCCGCCGAAGCTCTGGCAGCTCTCTTGCTGGGCCTGTTCATCTTGGCGTGCCCATCACCTGTTGCTGAAGCCATCTCACTGCCTGACACTCTGCCCTTGCACACCACTGAGTGGGCATCCCTGGTGACAGATGCGCCAGAGCACACTCCGCTGATTGGCAGCATGGCGCTCTTCTCCTTGTCATGCATCTCTGAGGCGATCTGCTGAGAGCTGTAGGGAGATCGCTGCTTTGCTGTTGATGGACAGCAGTTGTTAGATGAGCTGATGCTGCATGCAGAGCTGGTTGCGCCAAAGCCCTCAAGTTTCTCTGCTGGGCTGAGCAAGTAGTGAAAAGCACTGCCCCTGTCGATGCCATTGTTTGACTGCCTGATCTGCTTGGCAGCCATGTACAGCGCTTTCTGATTCAGCAATGCTCCTGCACAGGTGTCCACACAAGGCCGCTCAGCTGGTGTAATCAATGCTTCATACAACCTTTGTACGCCGCTGTTCGTGCTGCCTGAGTACAATGCATCTCACTGATTCAGCTGAATGGATATGCAGGGGTAGCCATGACAGGTGTTCACCTGTGTCTGGTCTGTAAGCAGGGGGAGTCTTGTCCATCTCAGTGTTTCCTGCACGGCGAGGAGGGGAATACATCGAGACTTCCTCGGTTGCTCTTCAGCAAATCACCTTTCTTCGCAGCACCCTCAAGCAAGGGAGCAAGCAGCAATGTTGATCAGGAATTTCCAAAACGCTTCAAGAGGCACAAAGAGCGAAGGCGATCAGCTTGAAGGGAAGAAAGACAGTGGAAACTTTACAACTGACAAGTACAGATAAGAAGGAAATGGAGCTATCCTGGTCACCTGCAGCTGCCGACGCAAGCACAGAAGGTTGAAGCAAGGAGCCACTCTTTCTCTGAAGGATCCTATCTCGAGAGCGGCTGCGAAGGAGGATCTCAACACTGCTTGCCGACAATGGCCGTTTACAAGTTTATGTTAAGATCAATCACAAAGAAGGCTTCACACAATCAATTCGGTGCGAGGATTTTGAAGTTGTGTCACCCCATTGCCTCATGATGCATGCATCTGCTTCCCTTGTCAATTGATCTTAAGGACATGTCAGGAGACAATCGATCAAGATTGATGGCCCTTCTCGCCGAGAGACGCACGAAAGCAGGGCATTTCGGTAAATGCAGGCCAAGAGCACAACGTTTTTAACTTTTAACTGAGAAGCCTCGTACACCGACGCACTGCGCAGCGGTTGTCTTCTGAAACGGACTCAACGCACCTTCGTGTCTACGATATCGTCTCTTGAGATCAGCAGTTAAGTATATATTCCGTTACGAGGATGCACAGGTAGGCCAGTGCCTTCAGCTTCAGCTACACGTTTCTGCGAGAAAAAACTTCAGACTTTCTGCAGGCAATAGTGTCTTCTTGTTTGACGTTCAGCTTGAAAACGGTGCAGGCAGCCAAACGTGTTGAGGCTGGAGCCCTCGAGAAGTTCTGTGCAGAGTATGCCTGACAGACAGTATCAAGAGCCTCAGGCTCCACAAGGCACCTACTTCAGTGCTTCTCAGCCAAACCCAGCAGCACTGCAGCAGGAAAGCTTTCAATCTCCCCAGCACCTGGGCCGCATGGGCCAGTTCCAGCGACCTTCAAACTCTCCTCTGAGGTCTGGAGGAACAGATGCATCCCACTCACAGTAGCACCTCCACTGTGCGCCGTCTAGAGTCAGTGAATGCCATGCATCTGCATTGCCAAGCTTTGCCTAAGCAACAGAATGCATGTGCAGGTTCAGGAGTGCCTTTGCGAAGCAGCAAGTCGCACGATCACAGTCTCCACTAGGGCGCCTGGCTCAGCAGCCATTCTCACAACCCACGCCTGCTGTGTGGTCGCCTTCAGAGGATGAGAACACATCACAGGTAGCCATGGTTTGCAGAAGCTCTGTGGCTATTTCATGGCCTTGTATCCTTTGCCAGGCTTACATGTCTACTCAATACTTGGCACATGTAATGCTTGCATCATGTCTTGCATTGCAGTAGGCCTCGAAGTTGCGGTTCTATTCAAATGTTTGTCTTGCGTTGGCTTTATTTGAAGGCATGCTGTCTACTATCAGTCACGGATGAGTGTTCATGAGTGTTCATGTGCATGCAGAACATATGCATGTCTCAGTCTGCAAGCCTGCAGCCAAGTGCGAGCCTGCAGCCAAGGCAACAAGCCGCCGGCACATACCCTCGCCAGCGCAGTCTCTTGCCAACCCTCAGTCATGCATCCCAGCAGCAATTTGCAATCCAGGTAACCTGCCCTGTTGCACATCATGGCTTGTGAGTGTTGTGACATAGTGATCAGCTATCAGCCATGCCATGGATAGTAGCCTTCTGCCATCTACTTCACAAATGCTGTAAAGGTCTGTTTAATGTCATGCAGGACAGCCAGCCAGCCATGCCATTCTGCTTGTCGTCCCAAGAAGAGCCACAGACTTTGACAGCAAACATTGCTCGCCCATCCAGCGCCATGCGCGGGGGCGCTGACACAGCCTCTCTGACAGCAGCAAAATTGCTGGACCAGATTGGCCACATGTCATCGATTGAGAGCCAGGTGTATTTCCTCCACCTGTCGTGTCACCATTTGATGATGCATGTCAGACACCAGCACATCAGGACCATGACGACTCCAAGGAGGAAAATCTGACGCATGCATGCCATGGCAGGTCAAGGAAGTTGGTGAGGAGGTTCAAGCGCTCAAGAAGGCCTGCAGTCAGATTGGAGGCGTTGCAGAGGGTGTCCAAGTGAACACAGAGAAACTGGAGAAGCTGGAGACTGCCATGAGCCAGATTGCATGCAGTGCCACAGAAGCAAATGCAAAAAGTCTGACTGAGCTGACCGCTGTCAAGCAAGCATGCGACGAGATCCTGGCAGCTGTGAAGGCCGCGGCAGATCAGCTGGTGGCACAAGTGGCGTCAGTGAAGCAGACCAATGCGAGCATGCTGCACTCCGCCAACACTGTGGCAGCAGCAGCGCAGCCCAAGACTGGCACCCACACTGGAGGTGATAAGGGGCAAAACAGCAGCTGTGCCGCACGTGTGCAGCCCACAGAGCAGGGAAAGATGCCAGCAAGTATCCGAGGCAATCAAGGCAACCAACTGGAGAAGACCCAGCATCGAGCAAGCCAGAAGGGGACAGGCGTGCCGCGAGCAACTCCTCAGCAGGCCACTCCTGGCATTCCTGACAGGGCTGAGAGCAGAGAGCCCGAGCCCGCTGCACCCTGGAGGCGCAAGCACAGGGCCATGACACCGGTCGAGCCGCAGTCAGGGGAGGGGAGAGGCTCAGCACCGTCACAGAGCCCCTCTTGCAGGCCAGCACAGGAGAGTGGCCGCTCTTCACATGTGGAGGTTCCATTGAACGGCAGCAGGAAACCGGCCAGCAGGCCTGCCACGCAGAAGAGGCCCCTGCAGCTGAGATACCTCAGGTGGAACCCGGATGCGCCAGTGCCTGTCAGCCCATCTCTGCACCACGGACATGCCTTGGCCACAGCGGATGAGGCAGGCACAGAAGCAGCAGGCGCACCCAAGAAGACAGCCTGCCCGCGAGTTCCCCTGGCAGACAAAGCCAACGCAGCTGAGCAGAGGCAGTCCATGGGAGCCTCCAAGAGGCGGAGGCAGGGGTCTGCAGAGCCGGCGGGCGGTCTGTCAGACCCATTTGCAGCTCTCTTTGCAAAGGTGGACGATAGCCCTCCTTGCGGTGGAGCAGGTGCTGCAGAGGAAGCCGACACGGCAGCAATCGATGACCAGGAAATCCAGCGGGAGGTGAAGAGGCGCATGCAGATGCAGAGGATGAAGCGCATGCGGCCCTAGAATCCCACCAATCGAGACAGGGCATAGGTCAGAGATAGTGCCTCTCTACTATTGCAGTTTTACGTGCCAGAGGATGCGAGAGAGGTGCTGCACAGCATCAGCTTCTCTGAAGTGGAACGGTTAAACTGAGTCGATGCATGATCAATAAGTAGTCATTGGATACTCACAGTGTCCTGCCTATCTGCTTGACCCTTTCTGAATGCATTTCCATTATCTGGGAGGATGGCGATGACCATGTCGGCAAAAGGTACTTCAGGTGTCTGACATGTCATTGATGTGTCATGGATCAGAGCTGTGCTTGTGAAATTCTGAGGCAGAAGGCGGTCTGAAAGCCGAGCCAACTAGTGGACTGTTCCTGCACTGTTTTACATCGCACAGCTCTGAGCTGTGGCAAAATAATATCAATGGGGACTGTAATTGCGAAAGACCTGGTACACATTTATTACTTCTTATTTCAACTCTGGAACAAGACTTTAAATATATAAATTATTATTGATCACTCAGGCTGTGTTATTTCAGCTCTTTTGGGGACACCAGAACGCCATCCTTGTCAGCATAGAGGTAGTCGCCTGGTGAAATTTGGACTCCAGCGAACGTCAATGGCACATTCGTCAGACCGTGATCACGCTTGGAGCTTTTCAAGGGATAGGTGTTTAATGCCTTAACGCCCAAGGGCATCTTGCCAATGTCTTCAGAGTCTCTTATACAGCCATTGATGAGGATCCCCTGTGAAAGCACAACAAAAAACTTATGTCAAAAAGAAGAAGCTTGACAGCACGAGTCTGACAGAGTGCTTGCACACACCAGCACACTTCCCGATTGGTTATCAGGATATAGAATCTCAATTGCGGTGACTGCTGATGGCAAGTGATAGTCCGCGATAGGGCAGCGTCCTTACGCTCCAGCCATTCTTGTAGGCCATCTCAGCAATGTTGTCACCAAGGAGGGCACAGCGCAGAGAGCCACCCCCGTCCACTGCGAGCACCCGCCCTTCTCCACCCTCTTCAAGTGCCTTGGAGAAGCACAGGCAAAGCATGTGATGAGAATTTCTGAGCTTGCGTCACGGAGGGTACCATAGCCCCATGATGCACCATGCATACGAAGCTGCCTGCTCACCTTTCGCACAAGCGGGTTGTTCTCAAAGCACTTTATCGTAGTGACCTGCCCGCTGAACCTGATATTGCCACCGTAGTCCCTGCATCCAGAATGTTAGTGGTCGATGCTGACATGGGCAATGGGGTTTTGCAGGTGCCTTAATTACAAGACTTGGACCTTGTCGTGTCACTGACATATTCTTTCAGACATCAAGATACTGTAGATGTCGCTGGAACCCATCACACCTGAAGATCGGTTCCATGATCTGAACATCCCTAGCTGTGACCACATCGACTGGGTCTGTGATGTACACATCGCACAGGTCCGCAGTGGCTCCTCTAGCCGTGTTAGGAGGAGGAGTAGCAGTCTTGGGTCCAGATGACATGCTGCAGCTGATGAAGAAGGAGCTGAAAGGGTTTAGATGGCATGCGGCAATTGGCCTGTTCCCTCCAGACAGTCGAAGGCCGTGAATCGATTGCTGCAAAATGCGTCCTGCATGCGCCATCACGATGGATGTTCAAATGAAGAATGCAGGGAGTCGAGGAAGTTTCCTCGACCTTTCAAACGTGAATTCCACATTGGCACCCACGTGAGAAAATCCGGGACCCCCACGATTGTCCTCGGCCCAGGCTGGCCGGTCATTTTCCGGCACAATTAATCCAGTCCAAGATGGATCCTCAGCGGAGATGGCTGGCCTTCTCTGGGACTACCCAAGGGAGTGGAAGTGCCAAGGTCGCACGAGACATCTTTGCTGGGACCTGCGGTGCGCACTTCTGCCTGCCTTGCAAAGCAGCTCGCTACCCCGAAGCATTGATATATAACTCTTGCAAGATGTGGCTGTTCTAGAAGCCTTACCTTGTGTCAGTCTGGTGATTCAAGCTTGTCAGCTCACATTCAGAATGACAGCTCGCCAGAAGAGCACTGCTGACGAATGATCACCGTGTTGATCTTGTACACGATGCCCAGGTGGAATCGCAGTCACGCTCGTTGGACATCCCTTCGACACAGCGAAAGTCAGGCTACAGAGCCAGTCATCTGTCAATCCAGTCTACTGTGCGCATAGCCCCTTCTTCACGGCAATACGCTTGTGTGGTGGAGCAAATATAGCTTATTTCATGCTCCAGTATTATTGATGCAATGAATATACATCTGCTTTGCAGCTGGAGCACTTGATGTTGTGAAGAAGACCATCCAGTGGGAAGGTCCACAGGGACTGTACAAGGTGTGCACTTGCATGCAAATGAAATGCAGGCTTCCAGCACAATGGCATGCTGACCGATTTATTATTGGTAGTGATGTGAAGCGAGTGCTGCCTTGCGACAGGGAGTCACCTCACCTCTGGCTGGCCAGATTGTGTTCAGATCAGTACTATTTGGGGCGTTTGGGGCTGCCAAAAGGTGGCTCTCTACCAACCCAGATGGCACAACACGGGCGCTAACCACCTTGGACTTCTACAAGGTAAATCATGGATGCTTGCATTGCCGCTGCGCTCAGAACCTTTCCACTTTCAGTTCTGTGACAGCTTATATTCATGTGAAGCCATTGATGCTCGCTTGCAGGCAGGAGCTATCACAGGCTTTGTGTCAGCATTTGCAGAGGGGCCCATCGATTTCTTCAAGTCCCAGATACAAGTACAGATTATCAGGGCGAAAGGCGACATCAACTACAAACGTGGGCAGCTATAAACCTCTTGTGCCCTGGAGCTTCTGATTGGCCAATGAATATTTATTGCTTCAAGTCATGTTCAGATTTTTTTTTCAAATCATGTAATTTCCTTAGTGACAACATCCCTGCTGATATTGGGTCATGGGTGTCAACAGCGGCGTTCACATCAGTCTCAGGCTGTGTGAGGTCGGTCTTCAGACACAATGGCCCGCTTGGTCCCTTCCAAGGCCTGACCGCGACCATTGTCAGGAACACACCGGCAAATTCCATCTACTTGGGATCCTTTGAGGTCCTCAAGCAGCAGTTTGCCGAGGCCTATGGGTGCTCGTAAGTGGAAATCCAGCTTACCTTCTTTCACTGCAATGTTGCAGCATGCTAAGTGGCAATTCCATGCCTGTTTGTGCAAGTGGGCTTACTGTGGCAAAAAACTGCCCACAGGCCAAAGGAGCTGCCCGGCATTGTGACGGTGGCTGCAGCTGGGACTGGGGGTCTCATGTACTGGCTGGCAATCTACCCCATTGACCAGATCAAGTCGGCCATGCAGACAGACAGCATCATCAAGGCGGAGCGCAAGTACCCGACCATGGGTGCTGCTTTCTCGGTGAGAAGGACCGCTGCCTTGCAGTGCATGTCATGAATGCCTTGCAAAGCAGATAGCAGATCGGATTTGCAGAGCATGGTGCTCCAGGGGCCTTGTTACATCCTAATATTCTCCATCCATCTTTATGTGAAGGGAATGCAGGGTGTCTTGTTATGAAAGGATGCCAAACTACACAGGTGTTGGTACTGAGTTGTTTGTGCATGCTCCAGAAACTGTATGCGGAGGGTGGTGTGCCTCGCTTCTACAAGGGCTTCACCCCCTGCCTGCTACGGGCGGTCCCTGCCAATGGCGTCATGCTGCTCACTGTGGACAAGGTCACAACAATGCTGTCCTGACAGGCAAAACATATGTTGGCAGGGATGTTGTACTGTAAATTTCCCCACTGCGCAGTTGTAATCTTGGTAGCTCGCAAGATGCCACAATCGGCAGCCCGTACCGCTCGGCAAAACTTGATCTGTACTGGAGAGTTGAGCTTTCATATATCCGGATCCTTGCCAGTAGTTTCCTCGCCTCATGCGGAGCTTGCATATTCAAGTGGGGAGAGGTGAGACGTTTTACAGTCAGGAGATGTAGAGTAGGACAGAGACTTGTGAGAGAGTGTAGTCAATGAAAGTGAGTGTGGTACTGATGTCTCCTTGTCGCCTGCCTCATATCAGAACTCCTTTTCCAAATGTCTAATCCATTCTCTGTGCACGTGCGCATGCCTTTACACTTCTGTAATTAGAGAGTCAATCGCGCAAACAATGTAAAGTATCTTTACAGTTGCAGAACTTTAGTATGCCCAATTTTTTTGAAACTACTGCTGCCGCAGAGACACACCGTGCACTTTGCATGATGCATACACCCCGCATTTCCCTGATGGCGTCCCTGATGCCATTCCATTGCTTCTAAAGAATATATCTGCCCAGGAACCCCCACCAGGGTCCAAAATGACACAACCCACAGTCCTGGCCTCTCACCATTGCCTCACACAAGTATGCTGGGACACTTCTGAACGCTGTACAGAGCTGTATGTCCTTGAGATAAATCTCATGTCTCTACAGGTTTCAACTCCCTTCAACAGCACTACCTGCAGCTGCAGTCCTCGTCCTGACAGTACCTCTCAAACAGCAGTACCACAGAAGTTGCAAGCCGTCCCTCGTCCTCGTCAGTGTGCCAGCCCAATTCTGATTGTCCTCCCTGTTGAGGGTTGTGAATAAGCCAGCCCACTTCTGACCCTCCACCCCGTTGAGGGTGAGGGAGCTTTGTAAAAAGCAGGTGGCTGTGCATGCGGTGACTGTGCGGAGTGCTCAGGGCAGGCGGCCCTGCTTGCGCAGGCCGTCCCTGAAGGATGCCAGGACCAGCTCAATGTTCTGCGGCTGGGCATTGTAGCCCATGATGCCCACGCGCCACACCTTGCCCACTGTGGGGCCCAGGCCGCCGGCAATCTCTACAGAGTACGTGTCCATCGCATTTTTCACCACTGCTGCCCAGTCCACGCCCTCCGGCACCTGCCCATACAATCTTCCTGTCAGCCACTTCTATGCTATCCCTTGCATATCTCTAATCGAATATCTATTGCAGGAGTAGGAGAATCTCTGCAGCAGGCACTGCTGCAATGAACCGACCCGTAGCTCATGGCACGACAGGAGATCCAATTCATCTGGTGCATGCAGCAACCATTCGTCATGTCTTGCACCCCAAGGCCAGGCATTCCTGGAAACACAAGGGTGTAGGTGGGCACCTTGATAGTGTTGACAGTGATGAGACGCTCATCGGGGTTCTCCACGAAAGGCTCCAGGCCCATCTCGGTGAGGCCTGCCCACAGCTGCTCGTGCATGCGCTGGTGCCTGGCCCACATGGGCTCCAGCCCCTCCTCGCCCACCAGCGCCAGAGCCTCCCTCATCGCGTACCTGGGCAACAACCCTTTGATTGTGGACACATCAAAATGATGTCATGCATACTGCACCGCCACCATTCAGATATATGCAGGTGGTCAGGGCTTGCTCTGCTGACGTGCCTATGGTCACCACACTGTGCACTGTTGGACAGCGTGTTGAGAGACGTAGAGAGCCTACCACATGCTAACCATGCCAGTATGATGTGTTGCACTCAGGTAGTGCATTACCTTCCTCAGGTAATGCGGCCAGGGTATGCAAGCTCCCCATCTTGTAAGGGCAGCAGCGCACCGATCCAATGTCACTGGCCCTTGGGTCCAAATAATCATGGTGGGAGAAGAGAGCTCACCACATGCTAACCATGCCAGTATGATGGTACGAACGCCCTCCGTGCCAGCTCCAGTAGTCGCCCACTAAGTTGAGGTCGAGGTTGTACGAGCCCGGCTTGGTCTTCCGTGCCTTGAGCTTGTCGAACGCCCTCTGACTCAGGAACAGCGGTGCGCCACCTGCAACAAAATGCACTTGCAAGATGAAGAGAATACTTCTATGGGATCAGCAACCCAATCACAGAGTGATGAATTGCAACCTTCCACCATGACAAGGACCTAATCCTGACCGGACCCTAAAATTAATGCTGACCTGGGGGTGCAGCGAGTACTTTCTGGGAGCCGGAGTAGATGGCATCGATGCCCCAGTCATCGGCAAAGAGGGGCACGCCGCCCAGCGAGCAAACAGTGTCCACCAACAGCAGGGTGCCGTTGTCCTTGCAGAGCTTGCCCAGCCCCGACAGGTTCTGGTGCACCCCCGAGCTGCTCTCTCCCTGCCCAAGTAATCGTCGTGTATCAGAATTTTTTATGTAATACTATAGCAGAAGCACTGCAATCGCAATGCAAGCTACTTTTCTGAGAAATGTCAGCCCTACAAAATTTCAACAATGAGAACGCAAAATGCATGAAAGGCAATCTTTCGCAAGGGAGTCACCTGGCAAAGGAAGAGAACAGCTGGCTTGTGCTCTGTGACTGCCCTTGAAAGCTCCTCAAAGCTGAAGGCCCTCCCGGCTTCCTTCTGGAGGTTGATCACATTGGCTGTACCACCAGAGTCCCCAGTCAGGCAACAGGCTTGTAATCATGCATCCTCTCAAGCACACTTCTTCAGCGCAGTCACATTGGCAGCAAGCAGGCACATGTCCTGTTCACAAGATATGTGAGGCATCACAGACCTCCGTATCTGGCGGCCATGTCGCACACCCTCGAGCCCCAGATACCGTTGTTTCCGACTAGAATAGTCTCGCCTGGCTCGACAAGATTTGTGATTGTGGCCTCCATGCCTGCTCAGCCAGTGTTCTCACATCAAATTCTCCTTTACATGCCCTTATACCCGCAGAATATGTCGATTGCCAAAGCACCAGTTGCGCAAAAGTGTCAACTTGGGAGTACCTGCGTGCCCTGTGCCGCTGATCAGGAGCGTGTACTTGCTGCTTGTTTGGAACACGTATTGGAGACCCTGCTGAATCTCATCCATGATCTTGAAGAATGGAGGGTGCATGTGGCCTGCGGGGAGGAATAGCGGCCTCTTTTCAGTTCGTATTCATACCAAATTCTCCTCAATTCCATTAGATTCGTCCATCAACTTGCTTAAAAGAAATCAATGCAATATAGATCACCTAGAAGAGGCAGAGTCTGAGCAGCGAGCACCCTAGGGTGTGAGTTCGCTGGACCAGGCCCCATGAGCAGCCTGCTCGGCACCTGTTACCAGCACACAATATGATCGATGGTTATTTAGGCAGCAATGAATCAAGTTCGATAGTTAATGTTAGCATTCACAAATTGACAGAAAAGAAATTCCACGGCTACAAAGCACAGGTTATGTCTAGCTCGGGATGGTGCACTATTTCGATTCCTTATTGTGGCACACGAATGCCCAGGATCGCTTACATCGATGACTGTGCTAGGTCCCGCATAAGGGAGCATCTCTGGCAGGGTCTCTCCTGGCCTAGCGGCATTGGCAGCCAGGGCCTGCGTCGTGCTGGAGAACGACCTCTGCTGAGACCTAAAGGTCTGCAGCGCCCGCAGCAGTGCAGACCTACCCATAGCTGCTCGTTATCTGGCAAACACTGCACCACCAAGAACCAAAAACCTCGTGGGCCTTGCAATTTACCGAGGGTGCATGCACTGCCGCACGTTCGAAATCCCCATCCGGCGAGCGGCGTGCCTACGCAGATTTACAATAGAGGCAGACGTGGATCTATGCAAAATTTCTGCAACTTGGTCAGGCTCTTGACCACCGAGCAGATCAGCGAGCACGATATCGAAGATGGGGAGGTCGGCAGCGAAGCGCCTTGCGACACGGCTGGTGCACGGCGCGCTGCCCTCCCAGCGCCCGTTCTCGACCACTATCCCATCTCCACAGGCAACAGGCCGAGGGCTTATTCAGAATGACGTTCAGGCATGCAATTCTGTCTCCTGATACCTTAAATGTCAGTTATCTTGCGCTGTCTAGTGTGATCTCCTTGTGCCGTACACCTCGGACTCGTCTCACGTTTTCTCAGAGTTTTCATAACCAGCACTTTCCTACTTGTCGTGTAATGGGTACATCTGTGCATGTGGGTAAAGCACCCATCTTGGGGTGGTTCAATGACTTCATCTTGTCACGAGAAGGCTGGGAATTACACCTCTTATCTCTGGACCCTTGTTGATGAAGTCTTTCTAGATAAGTCGTCTCCTACTTTCAGGAACAGACATACCTTGCTTGTCCATCAATCAATGAGTGGATATATTGGTCTGGCAGGCTGGAGGCACAGCAGCAAGGCAGCTGGCAGGAGCACAGGCGGGTGTGTCTCACCAGCAGAGGCGCAGCCTGGTGCAGCCAGCAGAGCAGGAAGCACCCATGCCGCAGATCACCGTCGACAGGGTGGGAGCAATCTCTGTCATCGGGGCGAACGACCCTCCACACCAGCCTGGCGTGTACCGCAACATTGATGGCTACCGTGAGGAGGACGGCCGCTATGCGCGCTTCACAGAGGAGATCTCGTCCTTCATCCCAGACCAGCGCAGGTTCACGGACCCCGTGCGCACCTTTGCGTACGGCACAGACGCCTCCTTCTACCGCCTGAATCCCAAGATGGTGGTGAAGGTGCGGACCCAGCCTGGCATATTGCCATCAGCTGAGTGTTGTCATCTTGCTGATTGATGTCATAGGAGGGTCGTTGTCATCCTTGGCCGGTGAGAGGATGGTTGTTATTGTCCAGGTGCATACCGAGGAGGAGATAATGAGGATTCTGCCCATCGCGAGGAAGCATGGTGTGCCGGTCACTTTCAGGGCTGCCGGCACATCTTTGTCTGGCCAGGCCATCACAGACTCTGTGCTGCTGAAGCTCAGCCACACCGGCAAGAACTTCAGGAAGTATGAGATCCATGTGAGTACTCTCTGTTCACCCTGCTGGTGTGGCAGCTTGCTCTTTTGCCACTGGTGTTGGTTTGCACTTTGTTTTACACTGGCGCAGGGTTCACTCAAAGGTGCCTGCCTGCTAGCACGCGGCGTGATTCTGCTTTGTATCACAGGGGGATGGCAGCAGCATCACAGTGGAGCCAGGTCTGATTGGAGGGGAGATCAACGCCCTGCTGGCGCGGCACAAGCAGAAGCACGGGCACCCCATCCAGTACAAGATTGGGCCAGACCCTTCCTCCATCGACTCCTGCATGGTCGGCGGCATGGTGGCCAACAACTCCTCTGGCATGTGCTGTGGTGTCAGCCAAAACGTAAGACCCCTGGCAGGAATGTAATCTGTAAGGCTGAAACTCTGTTCTTACACGGTAGCACAATGTGAGCTTGCAAGTCTGGTCATGGTATAAAGTGGCCTACTGGAGGGGGCCATTTTATGCTGCTATCTGAGAACGTGGTGGTGTTGCGCAGACATACCACACCCTACAGGACATGAGGATTGTCTTCGTTGACGGCACCGTTTTGAACACTGCAGATCCTGCCAGCAGGGCAGCCTTCCTCAAGGTACTAGATCGGTTTTATCCCTGTGGCTCAGTCTTTTACCCTCCCTGAGGCTGACCAGCTTGGACGTACCTTCGCACACTTCCGTTACAGTTTTAGACTGAAGCAATTCCTTGGTTGGGGATTGTTCCAACAGGAGATAGGGTCCTAGGCTGGATTGAGTGCTTCTGTTATGTGTCCGTTGCGCAATGAAATTGTGCTTTAAGGTATGCCATGTGCCTGCAGAGCCATGCACAGCTGGTGGAGGGGGTGAGGAATCTGGCGATGAGGGTGCAGTCAGACTTCACTCTGGCCTCCCTGATCCGCCGCAAGTTTGCAATCAAGTGCACGACCGGCTACTCCCTGAATGCCCTCGTGGACTTCCCGGTGGACGACCCCATCGAGATCATCAAGCGCCTCATGATTGGCAGTGAGGGCACGCTCGGCTTTGTGTCCCAGGCCACCTACAGCACTGTACCGGAGTGGCCCAACAAGGTGAGAAAACAACTGGATTTTGAAAGACTGGGGTTTACCCTGGGGTTTGGGAAGATACGTGGGATTTGGCAGACTTATGTGTCATGTCAGACTAGTGCTTCATGTTACTAATGCTTTGCTTGTGCATGCAAAAGATATCACTCTTTTGTGTGTAGTGTGGAGCTCATGAGATGGGTTGGTTGTGCAGGCTTCGGCATTCATCATGTTCCCCGATGTGCACTCAGCCTGCAGAGCAGCCTCCATCCTGCGTGATCAGACCGCTGTGGACGCCGTGGAGCTTTTTGACCGTGCATCCCTCACGTGAGCACTGTGCAAATGACCAGACTCTCATGCAACACACTCTTGCTGCGCGCAAGATTGGCCTCTTGTGACAAAACGTGCATTGATTTGAAAGGGTCTATTGTGTGATAATGCAGGGAGTGCGAGAAGGACGAGGGCATGACTCGCCTGGTGCCAGACATCAAGGGTGCAGACCCTGGCGCGGCCGGACTGCTCATCGAGTGCCGCGGGCAGACTAAAGAGTGCCTGGAGGTTGGTGCCTGCACCTCCACCATATTGATGTTGCAACCTATTCTCTTGACTTAACTGCAGAGTGATCCCTCTTTTGGTACAATTCTGTTAGTCAAGCTGATTCACTGTCGTAGAGAGACTTCTTCACACAGGTCCCTATTGGATTGATGTGCATGGGTTTTTCTAACCCAATTGGTTTGGTTCTCTAAATCCAATTGGTTTTTCTAACCATGCCATGTTTGGGACTAGGCATGCAGTCGTTCCATTTGAGCTGCATTTCAAATCTTATTTGGATGATCCTGTTGTGCAGGAGCGCATCTGCGAGGTGCACCAGGCGCTGCTGCGGGGCAGGCTGCCATTCGGCGCGCGTGCGGCGCAGCCGATGACGCTGGAGACCTACGGCTTCAAGCACGACAAGAAGGAGTACAACGTGTACTGGGACGTGCGCAAGGGCCTCATCCCCATCGTCGGCGCTGCCCGCGAAACAGGTCTGTATTGATCATGCCCAATTTGCGCACTACACCTGCCGTTCTCATGTATGCACAGTTATGTCCTTGTGCCACCTGTAACACTTTTGACGATGGACTCTACTTCTGCTTGAATCATGGTGCTTGACAAGTATTGCTTGGGTCTCAGCATCTTTGCATCCTCTTGCCAACTGTAACACTTTTCCTTATCAGAATATGCCTCTGTTTCAGCATGTGCTTGTACATCTGTTGCTCTGAGTCTCAGCTGTGGTATGCTTTGTACTTCTTTTGCTCTGAGTCTCAGCTGCGGTGTGCTTGTACATGTGTTGGTTCGAGTCTCATGTTTGGTGTGCTGATGCGACAGGCACTTCCATGCTGATTGAGGACGTGGCCTGCCCGGTGGACAAGCTGGCGGACATGACAGTGGACCTGGTGGAGATGTTCCAGAAGTTCGGCTACAAGGACGCCTCCTGCTTCGGCCACGCCCTGGAGGGCAACCTCCACCTGGTCTTCTCACAGGTGCATGCCAACCCTATGCAAATCTCACCGTGTCGTACTATTCATGACACCTGATCTGCTGAAGGTCTGCTGATCTGCCCTCTTGATCTGTCCCCTTGATCTGCTGAAGATCTGCTGATCTGCATTGCTCCTTCTGCCACATACATGGTGTGTTATTGCTGCGGAGGGTGTGCATCAAATCATGTGCTGGTATGCATGCAATGCTTTGATTTGGAATGGAGAGGAGGGTTCATTGAATGAATCCGTGCCACAGGGATTCCGCACTCCAGAGGAGGTGCAGCGCTTCAGCGACATGATGGACGAGATGTGCTACATCGTGGCCACCAAGCACAGCGGCTCCCTCAAGGTATTTCTCATCCTGTAATGATAGCTCGTTTCTGTCAGAACAGCCATCCTCAGGGCTATCCTCAGTACTTGTTTTGCCTCTCCAGAGCCAAATTGACAGTTTGTTATGTCCTGCAGGGCGAGCACGGCACAGGCAGGAATGTGGCCCCCTACGTGGAGATGGAGTGGGGCACCACAGCCTACGAGCTCATGTGGCAGCTGAAGGAGCTGTTCGATCCTGAGTATGTGCTCAACCCCGGCGTCATCCTCAACGCGGTGAGACATCCACTCCCTGGCACATGCATTTCTTGGTACTTTGCGGCACTTGGTTATGCACGCAAGACAGTGGGCCGCTCCAGAGTGGCAGAAATTGCTATTTAGCGTATTACTCGGGTTGGCAAGATGGCTTACTGGAGGAGGAGGGGTCTTGCTCCTGTTGCCTGAGCAGGAGCAGAGGTGCTCAGAAAGCACTTGCACATCATAGTATACACAGCAGCATGGTAATGTCAGTGTTGTGCCTGAGCAGGACCCGGAGGTGCACATAAAGCACCTGAAGCCGAGCCCGCCGGCGAGCGCGATTGTGGACCGCTGCATTGAGTGCGGCTTCTGCGAGTCCAACTGCCCCTCGCGCGACATCACCCTCACCCCCCGCCAGCGCATCACCACCTACCGCGAAATCTCCCGCCTGCGCTCCATGCCCAACCGCACCCCTGACCAGGAGCAGAGGTGCTTTACTGCCTTCTGAGTTGCGCCAATGTGTTTCACAATGGACATGCCCGCCGATCCTTACTGCATGCAGTGTGCTGTGAGCGTGTCAAAAGGGTACAAGCTGCCAGAGGTCCCTGATTGTAGCTCTGTGTGGTGCAAGGAAGGACTTCAACAAGACAAGGGATATTGTAGTGTGAGTATGAGTGTGCTCTGCTGAGGGCTGTCTTGCCGAGAGTTGTATGTGGTGTGCGCAGGCTGCAGGAGATGTCGAGCATCTACACGTACCAGGGCGAGGAGACGTGCGCGGCGGACGGCATGTGCCAGGTCAAGTGCCCCGTCAAGATCAACACGGGCGACCTCATCAAGTCCATCCGCAAGGAGCAGCTCGGCCAGGACTCCCGCGCCTCCAAAACAGCCATGGTGCGCACTCTGCACTCTCACAGCCCAATGCCATGCTTCCGTTTGTGCTCAGAGCACTTTGGGCACTTCCATCATGCAAACTGCCTGCTGCTGTACTATTGCACGTCAGATCATCAGGCCTGCTGTGCATATTGCATGAATTCCTGAGTGTATCGTGGGACAGGATCCTATGTGTATTGTACACTGCAAGGTTCAATCACGAACTTTTATTGCTATAGGTCGAGGATTACTTGGAAATTCTGAGATCCACAGCGTGGGGTTTTGGGATGAATGGGGCTGATGTGTGCGGCATTTTTGCTGTGGCAGGCGATGGCGAACAACTACGGTGCTTTCGTGTCGACGGTGCCGGCGTTCCTGAACGTGGTGGACTTTGCGCACCGGCTGGTGGGCCCCAAGCCGCTGGAGTACCTGTCCGGCGCCATGAACCGCATGACCAACCACCTCGTCCCCACCTGGAACCCCTACATGCCCCGGGTGCGGCCCCAAAACACCCTGCCCACCTGTCTTGCACTTTCTCTCATGCGCTCAGTGTCTTTGGACATCTCCCTTCGCTTTGCTTACCTGCAGCCCTATGTCTGCGTCAACTTGCAGTTCCTCATTGCCAAGGACCAACAATGAAAATTTATTTGTATCAGAGAACTCCCGTGAGACATCCCATGCCGTTTTCCTCTGCTGCAATCATCCAATCCATTCTTCAACCTACCTTTAAATAGAGTGGTCTCAAATGTGAATGCTCGATGACATGTTTGACTGAGAAATTTGTTGGTGCTGCAGGGGGCGTCCAAGCTGGACATGAACCCCCCGGTGCCGGTGCAGCCGGAGGGGGGACTGGCGCGTCAGGTGGTGTACCTGCCCTCCTGCGTCACGCGCATGATGGGCCCAGCCGCCTCCGACCCCCAGAAGGCCTCCGTGCACGAGAAGCTGCTCTCCGTCTTCAACAAGGCCGGCTACGAAGTCATCTATCCAGAGGTGCGCAACTTTCTCCATTTTTACCTAACCAACCTCCAGTGCTACATGGTGGATCCGACTAAGCTGTTCAGATAGCACGTCAGATCTGCTATGTGTGAGCATACGGGCCCTTCAGAAAGCATGTGATACCTGCGCTGCGTAAGCGAGGGGCAAGGAGCATACTCTCTACTCTCGCATGCCGCAATGTCCTCGTGGGACTTCATCTGTGTAGGATTGTGGAGTCTTTTAAAAATGAGTTTGGCTGAGGCGGCTTATCTGTGTGGGCGACAGGGTGTGAGCAGTGCGTGCTGCGGCATGATATTCAACACCAAGGGTTTTGCGGATGCGGCCAACAGCCAGGTGTCCAAGCTGGAGTCGGCCCTGGTGAAGGCGTCCAAGGGTGGTGTCATCCCCATCGTCTGCGACACATCCCCCTGCCTCGGCCAGCTCAAGACCTCCCTCTCCGACCCGGCGCTCAAGTGCGCCCCCTGCCATCCCTCCCCTGCACTCTCTTGCTTGCTTGAACAGCCTCTGAGACGCTTCTACCACCTTGGCCATATTCTTGGTGCACAGCCATGTTTTGTCTGATTGCTGTTCCAAAAGATCGTTTGCCAATGGTGTCTTAATGCTCATGACTCTGGATCAGATTTGCCCCGCAAAAGATGTCTGGAACAGTTTCTGCTACGAGTGTTATCCAATAATGCATCCAGTGAGATCTAACAGGAAAAGCAGGCTGATTGTTGTGTGCGCGTGCGTGCAGGTTCTCGCTGTACGAGCCGGTGGAGTTCATAAACACGTTTTTGAAGGACAAGCTGGAGTGGCGCCAGGTGCGCGACAACGTGGCCATCCACGTCCCCTGCACCTCCAAGAAGCTGGGAGTCACCTCCGCCTTTGAGCAGGTCGCCGGACTCTGCGCCAAAGAAGTCACCCCCTCCGGCATCCCCTGCTGTGGTGAGCACCTGCCCTTCTGCACCTACCTATCCACCAATATTTCCTGTGGGATGGCCAACACAAGCATTTGTTAATCTTGCACGTGTCATTGTTCACCTTGGAAAGAACACGTACAGTTGCAATGAGAACCCCTTGCAGGCAACGTGGGTTGAAGCGGCCTGTGAGGCACACTCCAAGAGGGCCATGGTTGTGAATATTGTACTCAGTAAAGTTCAGGGACAGAGGGACTCTTATTTGGGCAAGTTTTTGAGGGGCTGCTGCTACTCTGTTCTGTTCCAGGCATGGCGGGCGACAGGGGCATGCGCTATCCGGAGCTGGCGCAGGGGGCGCTGCAGCACCTGGACTTGCCATCCGGGTGCACGGACGGCTACTCCAGCAGCCGCACCTGCGAGCTCAACATGAGCCAGCACTCCGGCATCAACTTCCGCGGCCTCGTCTACCTTGTGGACGAGGCCACCGGCCCCAAGCAGCAGCAGCAGCGCCAGCAGCAGTAGCCTGCAGCGGTCGAGCTGCAGAGTCGATGAGAGTGACGAGTATTTTGAGCGCGCGGAGCACAACTTGAACTTGGATGTCAGATGAGGAAGTATTTCTGTGGCCAGATTGGGCCTCATGGGAGGATTGTCGCCAAAGTGCAGAATAATAGATGGCACGGGGATAAAAACAAAGTTGTGAGGGCATTGCATCATTCAATAAGCATGCACGTGTGTCAGTGGCCAGACTTCGAGGAGCATTGGATATCTGGGAGGTGTCCCCGTTGAGTAGATTGATCGAATTGGTCGACGTTGAGATTCTTTGGGCATTGTGCACAACCGTGTTTGGGATACCTCACTTTAGCGGGTTTGCAGCGAGTGGCTTTAGAACACACCTGTCTCATAATCTCTTGTCTCTCATGCAACAAATCGAGCAGGGCTTTTGGCAATATGAGCATTTTCTGATTGAGATGCCAAGCATAATCCATAACTCATCTGGCAGTTAGTGCCCAAATAAGGAAGGTTTCACGGCTCTTGAGCCTCCAAAAGCCCAGTGTTGTACACTGTTGCCTAGCTCGCTGGCGTATTGGTGTCTGGTTTATCTTAGTGGAGGATAGGAAGGGTGAATCACGTCTCCTCAGCATCAACGGTGTGCAATCCATGTGGATCATACCGCAAGACTGCTACCGCTGCTGCCTTCTGAGTGTAATAGCACAGCTTCAGTTGGTTGGGAGTGACATGTCAATGACCCTGTACAGCCACACGATTGTGTCAACATCAGCGTGTTGCAGATATTGCATTGATGCACCGTGCATGTGACATAAAATGCTGCATTGCATTTGTATTCATGCCAGATCTCAGCTGTGACAGCAGTATTTGGCATGACCATCGATATCGCAATTTGCATCTTTGACAAATCAGCGACATAGGATCATAACAGCTCATCATAAAATTTTCAAAGTTGGAGCATGTTCTCTACTAGCTTTGCCAAGCCAACAGCTGGACTGCAGCAGGCTTGCTGCAACCGGCATTAGATCAAAAGAAGAGCTTTTCAGATGCAAGAGCCAAAGTCTAATCGGCAACCACCTACCTCTAGTGGTCACAGGGACTCAGATAGATAAAAATCCTGTATGGTACAATAATTTCATCACAGTGTGGAGACTGGAACGAATGGCACTCTGCACACCCCGGTGACAGCTCAGCCCGACTATACGGTGGTACATTTGGTCTGTACGAGACATCTGTACACCTGCCTGCTTCACTGCTCGGGCTCCCCATACTTGGCAAGGAAGCTGTTGTGAAACTTCACCAGCCGCTCAGCCACCTCATCAGTCTCTGGCTCTGGCACCAAGAATGTGGTCCTGAAGTGGAACGTACCCTCCTCCTGCAATAACACCATTCAGGCTTTTGAATACCAGAGACACATGCAGAGCTTCCAAATACTATGAGAAGGATGGCATCAAGCATGCTTCATGAAGAGTATGAGTAAGGGAAAGACATATGAGTGGCACCTGCTTGAAGCCTGAACCTGGAACAGTCACGATGCCAGTCTCCTCCAGCAGCTGCATGCAGTAGAAGAAGTCCGCAGCCTTGCCCGTCTTCTTGGCAGCCTGCCAAAACAACACAGAAAATGAAACCATCAAATCAACATCAATCAGCACCAGTCTCACTACGCGCCCATGAGTACTCCGCTGTCCCCATCAGGCATGAAGCGCATGAAGCCCACCCCACCAAAGCACATATGTAAGACTAGCTTACAGTCACACAAAAGGTGCCTCCCCGTAAGACGCCATTTGCCCCGCCCACAGGGGAGACAGGGCTGCCTCGCAATGTGTATGCAGTGCTAGTGACATAAAAGGCACCTTCGGCCCAGGAGCACCACTGCGTGGAAAGATATTAGCAAGTACAAGTGGGCCCGTGCCAGCACCTCAATGGCGCCCTGGGGCAGACGGATTTGGGGCATGGCGTAGAGGGCGCCCTCGGGCTCTGTGCAGGTGACGCCCTGCAGCGCGCTCAGCGTCTTGTGCAGCTTCAGCGCCCGCCGCTTCAGCGACGCCAGCAGCTCCGTGCGCTCCTTCGCATACAAATCATACGACGGCTCCCCCTCCTGCGCAACCACCAACCCCTCAGGAATGACTGTTTTTCTCAAATTTCCTTTCTCCTCCAGACAATGGAAGGAGACTTGATCAATAGCCTCGGCAGTCAAATCACAGGAAGCAGCACGTGAAGTGTGTGAGAGTAGGAGCTTGCAAGCCACGCTTCTCGCATGGAATGCGACATCCTCCACTAAAGCACCTTCGAGTGCCAATCAAAGTGATGTTCCTGAATGAGAGCCCCACAGAACACCCAGGATGGCTGAGGGTATTTTGAGGAACAGCGTTGCACCTTGGGGGGGTTCATGACGAGGGCCATGCAGATCTGGCCATTGAGGTTGGAGCAGAGGTTGATGGAGGCCAGCTTGTAGACCTCGGAGAGCACGCTGGGGTCCACGTTGACCAGCTCCGTGTAGCCGCCGCGCCGGCCGCACTCGCCATAGAAGCCCTTGGAGATGGACATCATCGAGGCCAGCGTCACTTCCTCCTCCTTCAAATCGCTCAGCACCTGCAACAATAGCGCTCACACCTCTGCCAACATGCTGCATGTGAAGACAACTCAATAGAACTCAAGGGGAACACCTACAAACAAAGGCTTTCAAGGAGAAGATATCATTGGACCATATGGCCTGCACAAGTGATGGATAGTGTCCCAGAAGGGTACAAAATAGCAGCTATCGTTCTGCTTGTTGCCTTTATCGGCAAACTATAAAGGCTACATAAAACCAAAGGCTTCTTGGGCGCTCTCTAAGACTGCAGATGCGTGATGTGCAGGCCTGGGCACACATGCATGCAAACAGCGTGGCTGAGAGGAGAGGAAGGGGCGTGCCTTCTTGAAGGAGGTGAAGGTCTTGTCGGGGCGGTAGATGTTGGCCTGGTACACCTCGTCTGCCAGCAGCACGATGCCCTCCTCCTTGCAGAACTTGACCACGTCCACCTGGTTCTCATACGACAGGATCTGGCCGGTGGGATTGCCAGGGTTGATCACCACCAGCGCCCTCACATTCTGCCCCTCCGACCGCGCCTGTTGGACATCAGACTCCCCTTGGAATTACTGAAGGTAAACATCTTGCGGGCTCTGACTGCTTTACCCCGCCATGCCTTGCAACAAATCACAAGATTGGCTTGTTCAGTATTACATGCCCCTTGGTGCTGGAGGATAAAATAGGTTGCTGACTGTGGCCGGTAGTAGTACACAGTCATGCCTTGCAGACCATCACACAACAGACCTGCTCGGCTGAACAGGGCTGCCTGCTCAGCATCTGGACGTGTATGCTGCACTGACAGCATCTCTGTTGAAGACAGCACAGCATGCAGGGCAAGGTACAGGGCAGGCAGGGCCGCAGCTGGCAAAGGAGGGGGACAACGGCCAAGGGTACCTTGTAGGTTTGCTCGCGCAGCTCATTGATGTCCAGGCTCCAGCCGGTCTCTTCATGGAGGTAGTAGGGCAACAGCACGCCTCCGTACATCGTCAATGTCGCCTGCAAACAAACCCAGATGTCAATGCATGAATTTCCAAGATTACAAATGCCGCACCATTGCTACATTATGCCTGAGTTCCTGTAGCTCCCGCATGCGAAAAATGGTGCGTTCAATTTTCATGCTGGCTGTGTGCAGAAAGGAGCAGTGTTGAAGGGGGTCACCGAGTAGAGGGGGTACTGGGGAATGGGTGTGAGGACAGCGTCCTTCTCATCGCGCAGAAGCAGGCGCATCATCGCATGCACGCCCTGGCTGGCACCATCTGTTAGGAACAGATTGTCAGGATCGCAGGGGTACCCATCTCGCTCCTCGATGCCCTGACCCCCACGAGGCATTTTAGGTAAGCAATTCAATGGCCCGATATATATCAATGCTTCCCTTCTAAGCCAAGGAATGCAATACTGTAAATACCGCTATGGGTGAATTCTTCAGTGGCAAGATGCAATCACGGGAACAGCGGCATCTAGAGGCTTTCTCTGGTGGACTCTCAAGCTTGTTTAATGTAAGTGTGGATACTCTTCGTGACATTTGGTTGCACTTCTGAAGATTCAGACTTTCTGACTGCTTCTTGGGGCCACAGGCCTCCCACCTTGGCAATATCCTGCCGGAGCACCATGGCACCTCTACTGTCGCTGTATGCCCCAGTGCCTCCTGGAATGGCGGCCAGGTACTTCTTGGCACGCGCAAGCACATCTGGCGGGAAAATGCTCTTCGCCTCTGCACTCTCCAGTAGCTGCATGCCAACAGCAAAATGTCCTTTAGTTCCACAACAGGTGTCATCTTGACCTGCTGCAATGGAAAAGCCCTCTTACCTGCCAGGCAATGCACAGATTTTTACGGCACTAATGGCAAGACATCTTGCTTGAGAGTGCAGGAGTCGCACCTCTGGGTAGTCACAAATGGCCAGCACTTGTCTGTAGAAGGTTACAGGGTGCTGCCCTAGCTGCTGGGGATTGCCAATGTTGCAGTACAGAATCTTGTCAAATGGGAGCTTTTCCCCAGCATGAAGCTTGTCTTCCAGCTCCTTGGCACGAATCACGATTTCGCCCCTGCAAATTTGGAAGCAATTTGGGCAGAGAATATTGTGAGGTTGATCAGATCAGCCTCAGAAAATACACAGACCAGAAAGCCTGCATTCAAAGAAGGAACATATCCATGTAACGGCGATAATGATACGTTAGCGAGGGATGTTCACACCTTACAGCATACTGTGCCTTGACCACTTTGGGGTTTATGTTTTCCAAGGCCAAGGGTGAACAAGAAGGCTGAGGCCCCTTCACAGAGTCCACAGCACCGTTCGCAACCATGTCAACTGAAATTTGACTGAGATAAGTACAACAGCTGCAGTTTTTACGGACGCTCAGGTACTTTGATGGGCCCTGTTACACCTGGCGTTCTGGACTGGACTGCAACGATACAGGATATGGTAGCAACGCGTTTAAAGCCCAAGATAACAAGGATCTGTCAAACAAGAACGTTGTGACTGATGTCGAGGTCGTGCTTCACAGCGAAGAGGCCAGAAGGCGTGTCAATCACCAAATCCGGAAGGGAGGGAACGGCGCTAGCACTGTGGTCTAATCCTCACGTGGAAACTCCGACATCTCTGGACCGGACGTTCCATCGAAGTCGAGGGACGCCCTTTGGACAGCAGAGGACTGGAGCTGCAGTTCGGGAGGCAACAACACAGAAAGATGCGGAGGAAAGTGGCACAGGCGGTGGCATCATCTCTGTGGAAAACCCCTGCTACGATCTCTGAACGTGCGGTACGTATAAGAGCGAGCGCGCTCATGTAATGCACAGTCTTAATTCCAGTGTACAATCTCTTCACATTATAATGACCTTCTGCCACAAGAGTAGCAGATCTACTGGCATTTGACCACAAGAATTGTCGCCAGTGATCATCATGTCTTGGCAAACCCTCTGAAGTTATCGAGGAGCTTTGAGCGGTAAGTATCAGCACCGTCAAATCATGAATAGAAAACACTGAGTCGGATAAAATTGCAAAGTACAAGGCATCGACTCTGACTGATCATGTCTGTATGTGTGCCTTGTGTAGGTGGCTGGCCCTCTGTGTGGCAGCCATGGGACTCCATTCGGGGCAGGACCTCTGCAGAACACGTACATCCGCACTTTTGCAGCCGCACCCTACTCTTACACCCCACCAGGCCGGAATCATCTTGCTGTCCCAGGTATGAGCAATTCTATCCACAGATTTGGGCCTGGCCCGAGGCAGCACAAAATTTGCTGCTCTGCTCACATTTAGATACCTGTCTTGGTCCCATGGGATCAGGCATTCCTGATCTGTTGTCTCATCGTTATTTACAGAGATGGGGCTGCAGTTCATGCATATTTCACTACATCACAGGTTTGCTGCACATGCAATCCATTTTATCAGTGGGGTGCATGAGCCAAGATTCTGAAGCGGTGGGGGGTGCCACAGGTCCAGTCAACATCCACGAGCAGGTGATGCGGGCGATGGACCGCCCCTCGCAGAACCACCGCGACCCCTGGTTCCCCCCCTTCTTCCAGCAGATCCTGGAGGACACCAAGTACATCTTCAAGACCACGGAGGGGACCCCCTTCATATTCCCAGGGACAGGCACTGGCGGCTGGGAGGTGGCCCTCACCAACACTCTGTCACCGGGTGACAAAGTGGTCACCTTCCGCTACGGCCAGTTCTCCCACCTCTGGATTGACATGATGCAGCGGCTCGGCTTAGATGTGCGCTCACCCTCCATCTCCCTTGACAATTAGGCAATGTGCCTACTGCCTAATTGTCAACCCCACTCTCCGATGGTAACATCGCATGGCTATTTCTGGACATGCTCTTCTGTTCATAAGCTTATGTATGATGATCTGAGCCTTGCAGCCGTGGTCAAGTAGAAAGGGGGCTATCTGTGCCAAATTGGGCAATCTGATGGAGCATTATGCATCCCTGGGCTATTGCAATTGTGGCCTGCAGCTGTACTATGCACAATCAGTCAGATGTGATGTGGCTGCACAGGTGCAAGTGGTGGAGGTGGAATGGGGCGGCGGTGCTGACGAGGCCAAGCTGGAGCAGATCCTGAAGGCCGACACGGACAAAAAGATCAAGGCCGTGGCTGTGGTGCACAACGAGACCACCACCGGTGTCACCAGTGACATTGGCCAAGTTCGGCAGGTGACCATCCTTTTTATATCCATGCAAATACCGTACATCTTGCGCACTGCAATTTCATTGTGGTTGGAATGGATAGCAATGGCTTGCTTAGTGTATTTTGCTGTTCCAATGCAGGTGATGGACAGTGTGAGCCATCCGGCTCTGCTGCTGGTGGATGGAGTGTCTTCCATTGGGGCTCTAGACTTCAGGTTTGACGAGTGGAAGGTAGACGCGGCGGTGACAGGCTCCCAGAAGGCCCTGTCCCTGCCCACTGGCCTCGGTTTGGTCGCTGTCAGCCAAAAGGTGACCACCTCTTACACAACAACATGCAGTTACCATGAATGTTGCAGAAATCGGTGCAGTCAATGCACTGCTAGAATGGGGTGAAAAATCTTGACCAGATGCTGCTGCACCAGGCATTGAGTTTTGTTGCTTCAAAAGAGGCAATCTTAACAGTTGCTGATCTGGTGTGGCAGGCTCTTGAGGCGCGGAAGACGGCGCAGCTGAAGAGGGTGTATTATGATCTGGAGGACCAGCTGGCGACCAACCCGTCTGGCAACGTTCCCTACACGCCCTCCATCCCCCTCCTGTACGGCCTCCGAGAGACCCTGGGCCTGATCAAAGCAGAGGGCATGGACAATGTCATCGCACGCCACCACAGGTGGGTTTCTCTGGGCTCATCACATAATCAATAATCACGTCTTTCACTGCTGCTCTCGATGTGCTCACAAGGCATTTCAGGGCAAAGTCTGCCGAATGGGCGGCATTCGTGTTTGAGGACCCTGATATGAAGCTTGCTTTCACAGCTTTTCAAGCACCATTGTTTGTACCTCCTGTCCTTGTAAGCTTGCATGCTGCTGAGTCGCAGCATTGAGCGCTTGAATTGCCTGCACAGGCTGGCTGAGGGCACGCGGAAGGCTGTGGAGGGCTGGGGCCTGAAGCTGCTGTGCAAGGAGCCCAGGTGGAACAGTGACTCACTCACAGTAATCAAGACCCCGGAGGTGTGTTCTCCTCACACATGCACGCACCCTGCCAACGCTTGCCATTGAACCTCTGCTAAATTGTAAGTATTTCTAATAAAGAAGCACTGCAATACTCGCGCACCCTTATTGCCTGTCGCTGCTTCCCTGAATACTATATAGCAATATCTGTATGACACTGCATTTGCCTGAATCTATCTTGCTTTATATATGCGTGCATGTCTGTGCTACAATGTTGTGCCTGTCCAAAAGAGTTAGTAACCCACTGGCTCTGGTGTGCACTGCACGGAGTCACGGAGTGGGCATTGATGAGGACATCGTGTGTGTGCGTTGATGGGGTGAATATGCGTTGCAGGGCGTGGACAGCGGGAAGATAGTGAAGGAGGCGTACTCGCGCTACAACTTGTCTCTGGGCGTGGGCCTGTCGGAGGTGGCTGGCAAGGTCTTCCGCATCGGCCACCTGGGCAACAACGACGAGGTCATGGTCGGCTCTTACCTCTTCGGCGCAGAGATGGCCATGATCAGCGCCGGCGTCCCCATCGAGCCCGGCTCCGGGGTCAGCAAGGCGATCGAGTACTGGGCAGCCACCAGCAATGTCATCCCCACCCGAGGCTGAGCACAGCCTGGGAGCTGCATTGCAATAAGTCCTGTGAGCCTGTCTGATCTGCTAGCAATGCCACTCTGCAAGTGCTGCTAGAACGGCAGCGCTCGCTGGGAACATTGCAAACCTATGTGAGCAGGGCAACGGGTATTCTTGTACAGCTGCAGAGTTGCGATGGGAGTTTAGAACCGGTACTGATGCATTAATCTGGCAGGTCTGGCACAAGCACTGGGCGCACTACTGAGATAAAAGCTGCTGCACTGCAATCCGTTTTGTCAACACCTTGAGAAGATAGAGATCAGGCTGCAACATATCTCTTAATTGGATCAGCAGATGGATTGTGGGACGTTCGAGAGAAAAGACTTCCGCTTCAGTGGAAACTCTCGGAGTTGTTGCACGAGTAGGGCAGAGAGGTCCCTATTGAGCGGATCATAGTGTGATGCTGCACTTTGAGACCGTACAACTTAATAGCTTGATTGAAGCTACAATGTAATCATAATGTGCTGTAACCATATACATTATAATCTGCATCATACTCATAAAGATTATTACTTTTCTACAGGGAGTAGGGTAATAATAGATCTTTATGAGTGGCGAACCCAGAGCCCATGGCCAGATTCTTATTATTATTATTCTTATTATATTATTATACACCGTGATGAAGCTTCAAGGATAATTGCACAGGGGAGCCCGCCATGCACTGCATGCGTTCCACCCCGTCCTGCATAGATCTGTGGAATCACTTGGTGTGCAAGATAGCCAACCCCCCTCTTGGGCTCCCTTTCGACCTTCCCAGTATTAGTATCGACCCCAGCCCGCAGCCCGACCCACTTCATGAGCCCCCCAAGGTTTCGTAAAAGTGGATGGCCCATTGCTCTCGACCATTGATCACGAAAGTCAATCTTGTTTCATAGACCAGTTGCTGAGAGCCACGGCAATGGCCCTCTCCGGTTCTTTAAGACGATTAGCAAGCGGTTTGGGACCCAGCCACGAGACAGGCGCGGTGGCTGCCTGCTTCAGCCGTGCAGTACACACCCTCAATGGTTTCAGTACTGCTAAGTTTGCGAGCGCAACAGCCACAGAAGACGATCAGCCCGTCCTCTCGGGCGTAGTTCCCATCACTGGACCACTGAGCGCCGCATGGTGGGATCTTGCGCTCCTTTGGGAGAGTAGTCGATGAGTGATCCTGTGGTCGTGCAAAGGCTGTTTTGCACAAATTTGCGCGATCCAATGCTTTCTTGGAGAGGTACATCTTTGACATGAAGTACATTTTGTTCCAGGGGCCCGACACCTCCTCCAGCTCCGATCTCAACTTCTGTTGGTGGTCACCCAGTGATGGTGCGTTCCAGATCTTATGTGGGCATTACTGGCCTTGGATGACAGGGTGTCGTAGTGACGTCTCCACTTTGAATGAACACTCATCATTCTGTCCACAGATTCCGCGAAGCTCATCTACTCTTTTGTTGGACCACTAGTATGGCAGCTAATTATTATGTTAGCTGAGATCAGCTGCACTTCCGCTCTTCTGAAAGGTCGTTGTCCTCATGATTGTGCTCTCGCACAGGCTACTTTTCGATTAAGCCCAATGTGCTTTCACCTTGCGCAGGTGCACAACGAGAACGGGACAAAACGTGTGGTGGTCACCAAGGATCTCCCAGGGACGAGGTGGATTGACATTCTGACTGCGGCAAACATCCGCGTGGAGGTCTGCGCGCATGAGGACTTCATCCTCAGCCAGAACACCATAAAGACCCTCATCAGCGATGGCTGCAGGCAATGCCACGGCGTCATCGGACAGCTCACAGAGGTGCGCTCTTGTAACCATTACACTGATCAAATCTCACATGTGATGCATTTCTAGCCTGCAGAGCATTGCTTTCTTTATCCAAATCTACACGTTCTAGGTTTGCAAGTCTTTGTTGTGTGCCACAGGACTGGGACGAGTCCTTATTTGAGGAGCTGCGTTCAGCGGGCGGCAACATCTACAGCAACTATGCAGTGGGATACAACAATGTGGATGTGAAAGCAGCCACAAAGGCGGGCATCCCAGTCGGCAACACCCCTGGTGAGTTCTCTTTCTGGCCTCCTGACACCTCCTGTCAATGCCTTTGCTCAAGATCCTGTTCTTGTGCCTTCCGCCCTGTTGGGGACGTATAGTACATTTCACCTCTTTGTAGGCACAGGGTTGGTGAGCAGGATAATGTTGACCATAAGGAGAAGTGGAGTGATTCTGGATTGTTGCACATTTTCATAATGATTTGCACACTGTCCCCACACATCTGCATGTTCTGGACTACTCACATCAATTCCCCTGCGTCGCCTCTTCTCCACAGGGATGACTAATGGAATATGTAATTTATTGCTTGTGTTGCAGCATTACCACATTTGCAGAATGACATATGAGGGGAGGCACTGTGGGGTTGCAGGTGTGCTGACAGAGACAACGGCGGAGCTGGCGGTGTCGCTCACGTTTGCAGCGGCCCGGCGCGTGGTGGAGGCTGACAGGTTCATGCGCAAGGGCCTCTACCTTGGCTGGGCGCCCACCCTCATGGTTGGACAGCTGCTGCAGGTGAGCAAAGGATACATAATGCTCCGCAAGTCAGCACTCAAAACAGACTTGCGTGAAGGTAAAATAAATATCAACTGCCGCGCAATGGACCTTATTTGGAAAGTTGCGTGCCGTTCTAAATAACCTTTCTCTGTGTGTTCCACTCACCCGACTGAAGCATGGGAAGCAAGCTACCTAGGATATCTCTGTTCCTTTGTTGCTCTTGAGCACACTGTACAGGATTCTGCCCTATTGGAAGGTGCTTTACGTGCTTGTTGAATGAGGGTGGTTTGCATGCTGTGCTGCAATGTTGACCGAGGTGCTGCCGTGCTGACTGAGTTGCGTGGTGCGACTGCAGCACAAGACGGTGGGGATCGTCGGAGCGGGGCGCATCGGGACGGCGTATGCGCGCATGATGGCGGAGGGGCACAAGTGCAACATCGTGTACTTCGACCCCTACCCCAACAAGTTCCTGGAGCAGTACATCGCCGACTACAGCGCCCTGCTGGAGTCCAAGGGCGAGGCCCCCGTCACCTGCCGCAAGATTGACAGTGTTGAGGAGCTGCTCCAGACCGCTGATGTGCGCACACCGTCCCATGTCCCCTTTGCGGTGTAAATTCAATGGGAAAAAACTTCAGATGCAGGTACATGGGCCAAAGTGAGCGACAGCGAGGACTGCCTTGCTCTTTGAAATTTCATTTCTGTACCGCACCAAACCATGAGCTTTTTGGTTGCGTGGCATTTTCCTGGCAGGACAATCCTCATATGGGTCCACTTGCGTCTGGGCTTGAGACAAGCAGCGGCGGTAGCAGTGCTTGCACTCAAAGGGTTGTGTTCACAGTGAAATAACGGCAGATCTCAGAAAGAGCAAGGGAATTTGATGCATGTGGTGCCTGTTGCAGGTGGTGAGCCTGCACTGCAGCCTGGACGAGAACACGTACCACCTGCTGAACGAGGACAGACTGAACATGATGAAGAAGGACGCCGTGCTGGTCAACTGCGCGCGCGGGCCGGTCATCGACGAAGTCGCCCTCACCAACTTCCTGCAGGCCAATGAGAACTTCAGGTGGGAGCAGGCACCCTTCCTCTTCTACCTCACTCCTGTCTCCAATCAAGGGAATGGGCTGCCTACATCATCTTACTCATATCTGCATGAGGAATTAGACTGCCAGACAACATAGTTAGAGGAAGAAGAATGCAGACATCAAGGCAGAGCGAGCGCCAGGGTACTTAGAAAGGGCTGCCCCGCGGTGTGAGTGCAATGCGTGCAACATGTTTAATAATGGATCGCGTTGTACACACTGAACTTGACTGTGCGCGATTGAGCGCAGCATCCTTGTAGTTTTCAAATTCTGCAGGGGTTGGCACAATCAACAGGCTTGATTGTTGCTGTCATGCTGTGTGCAAGAAATTTGCACCTGATGTGAATTGCAATGTTGCAGGTGTGGGCTGGATGTGTACGAGGACGAGCCCAACATGACTCCCGGGCTGTCGGACTGTGAGAATGTGGTCATCGTGCCCCACATCGCCTCCGCCTCCCTCTGGACCCGCAGCGGCATGGTGCGCTCACATCACTGCCGAGACCTGTTTACTCAAAGAAAATATTTGCAGTTTGCGTTAGCTTAGTGCAAAGGGACTTGCAGCGGCATGGTGCGCTGAATTCACTCCTGAGACCCTTTTCCTAAGTAAACAATTTGCATCTTGCGCGTTGCTGTGAGGAGCAGCATCTATGACTGCTTTGTATCTGCTTTGGACAGCACTAGTGATGTGGGGGGTGACTATCATGCGTCTCCTGATGTCTGGGTGTGCATGGCCGCAAGGATTTTTTTCTTCTTCTTGCTTTCTGGATCCTGTCTGCTTCCCTGGAGCCCTCAGACAGACCTGTGGTAATCTACTGTACCAACCTGAACTGCTAAACAACGACGCACGGCAGGAAAGGCGGGATGCAAAGTTTGAATGTGTGTGCAGGCGACGCTGGCGGCAGCGAATGTGGCAATGAGGCTCCAGAACAAGCCGGTGTGGAACAAGCCAGACATTCTGGGCTTTGTGGAGGGGCCCCTGGAGGAGATGCCACAGGCCTCCCCCAGCATTGTCAATGCTGAGCAGCTTGGCCTCGACATCATGTGAACGGCCAACAAATAGATAAATACCTGATCTGCCAGAGTGAGCTGTGTCCGCTGTTTCATTGACTGTCAGCTCTGGTGGTGGAGCATTTGGTCTGCTGAACTGCAAGTATTTTCACTGCTCCAGGTATACATAAAGAAGTTGCTTCATCCTGGAGACATACCTGAAATACCTTAAAATCAAAATAGATTCTATGTTTGTAGATGTAACTTGCCAGGCTGTCTCTGAAGAGCACTGTGAGTGACTCCGTACGATGTGGCTCTGTGGAAAAGGAGTTCAGACAATCTTGTAACTGCCTGTATCAAACTGCGCTGTCACTCGCTGTGCATGGGCAGTGCAGCCTGGATGCTGGTAGGAGTTGAGCAGTACCCTGGGATAACAAGCAATATTGAATGCAGCAATCTCCTCTCTGAAGTGCTTGCTAGTGAAAGGGTTCATGGGGTTGTTTATGCGTGTCTGTGAGGTCCTTGAGATGTTCATGCAGCCGCTAATAATAGTGCTGCAGCATGTTGAAGTTTCCGGTGCTGTGTTCACTGGCACCTGCTGATACCGTGTGATACCGTGCACCGTGGCACCGAGACAGCGTGGTACTATGGTACTTACCAATCTAGTTGTACGACTGCCGCAGCAGCCCCCAGCGGCCTGTCCCGGGCCCGGGCCGGCCCAGGGGGCAGTGCCAGAGTTGAGCCACCAGTGATTATCATGAGTGAATTTCGCGTTGTATCACCTAAGGAGTGCTCTTATTGCGTGAACATGTATCATTTCCCTCGAATTCAGTTCTCACGCGTCAACGCCAAATCCCATCCAATGGGGGGATACATGCAGCCTATTCAGGCGCCTTGATCCTGTGCCAAGGTACAGATCGCACAGGTCTCAAAAGTGGCCTAAAGATCGAAATAATTGACGAAATTCAATAGAATACATTCAGTCGCAGTATAATTGCACATTAACACTGACTGAGAGAACGAAGAAAATCAGTAGATCACAATTTCCATTACTCGGGATCGTTCCCTTTCGCTGCTTCAAAACCTAAATGAATTGATGCTTACAATATTGTGATTAAATGTTGAGGGCACTAGTGCCATGTTCGTGTTTGACAGTTCTGCAAAATAGTACAATATGCCAAGCTTGCCCGCTCAGTTCTGCAGGGGCCTTTGTAAGGCCCCAAACCAATGCTCTGAGGAGTTCAAAATGCAATACGGCCATCAGGGCTAGGAAAAAGGCGGAGGTTAGCATGAGAAACCGACTGTTGATGATTGGATTGAGCAGGCAAGCTTCTACTAACTGTGCTTTGGGAGTCCTTCATGTAAGCTGCTGGAATGGATCTGCAGATTGCGGAAGAGTGGGCACAATTGGCTCAAGCTGATGATCTGGCTGATGAAGAAGATCCCGAATTGCAGACAGCAGTCAATGAGGTATCTGACTGAATTTGCATGCTCGCATGAGACCCCTGGTGCACCTGTTGCAAATGCACAAATGTAACATAAGTGTCCTGGTGTAGTCTTGATATGATGAGGAACTGTGCACTTGACTGAGGAGTGTCCTGATAATCTGCTACAGGTGTGTAACAAGGGACTCCGATACATGTTGCGTGAGGAGACGGGAAGACTTCTGGATTACAGGGACGAGCTCAGCCGCTTTGGGCAGTACTTCAGTGACAGGAATAATGTGGCAGGCGCCACCTTCATCTATGTCTTGTACAAGATGACAGAGCATATTCTGCCCAAACAGATGGTGAATCTAGAGGGCATCTATCTGGAGGCGTTTGAGAAAATGTTCAGCATGCTGGAAGACAGCGGATGGCAGCTGAGTCCTGAGCCAGAAGAAGGGCAGGAAGTTGAACTCATTGAGGAACCCACAGAGGCAGAATTACAAACACAGAAATACATGCAGTGAAGCTGCTTCACTTCAATATGATGTCAGCACCTGGAAGAACTGTCCTATGCATTTCTGAACTGAATCTGTACGCTTCAGCGCCCACAAAACCATTCGTGCCACGATCCAGGTAACATGCTCTGTGGCTGTCAAGTCCACTGCAGCCTATTATCCTTGGCTCACTTCTGGCAATCTACTAGGCAGGCTATCACTCGTTCGTACTATGTTCTGCTAATTTTCTCCCACCCCCTTCAGATTAGCAGGTAACCCCTGCATCTACCCATCAGTGGACATGACCACGCGTAGGGCCTTGCCGGCATGCAGCAGGTCGAAGGCCTGGTTGATCTCTGTCAGCTTGAGCTTGTGGGTGATGTACTCTGCCACCCTGAACTTGCCCTCCATGTATCCATCCACCAGCTTTGGCACATCCACGCGCGACTTGTACCCGCCAAAGGCAGTCCCCCTCCAAACGCGGCCTGCAGAAACGCTCAATCTTAGCTCAAGAGTATGTGCCGTAGGACGTTATCACAAAAGATAGTGCTCCTGGGCCTAGGGGAATATTTTATCGTTCTTGCTCATTGGATTGCTGCTGCATGACTGCACTTGCGAGGCAGCCCTTTCTCCTATGGTCTGGCGCTCGCTCTGCCTTGATGTCTGCATTCTTCTTTCTTCAATATGCAAGCAGGGGCGTCAAAAAATGATCACTGGTAATGAGCGTGAGCTGCAAGAGGGAGACCTGTGACGAGCTGGAAGGGCCGTGTGCTGATCTCCTTGCCTGATGCTGCCACCCCAATGACGATAGACTGGCCCCAGCCCTTGTGACAGCACTCCAGCGCAGCGCGCATCACCTGAAAGCCAACGCCGTACTGCTCATCACAGTGATGCTGCAGACAAGATTCATACTTCTCTTGCCCATGATATGGTTCCGGGTCCTTTCAGCCCAACATTCGGCAGCTTTGACACAAGCACTTTGACAAGGGCAGTCTGGGAAACCTTTGGAGTCAAATAGGGTTGCTATGCACCTGCACATTGCCGATGCACTCGAATGAGTAGTCCACGCCTCCCACTCCATCGTCATCTGTCATCTCCACAATTACATCCTGCACAGCCACTCCCAACATCGCCATCTGTCTCGCAAATGACAGGCCATTATGTCATGACCAACATGATCAAGTTCTTGTTATGCCGCGGTAGCCTGCTTCGAACACGTGCAGCAGATAGGGGAACAGTACCAAAAGCTACTGTCAGAGCCTGTACAAGCTGGAAAGCGAGCATGTTAAACCAGGCTGCAAAGGACGAACAGATCACCCTGGCTCGCTCTCTAGAAGTGCATCCACACTCAGAGCAGGCTAGGACTTAATCAAGGAGGAGGCGCCACCTGGATGGGCTTCTCATAGTTCTTGGGGTTGATGAGGTCTGTGGCGCCCCACTCCTTGGCGCGGGGGAACTTGCCCTCATCAGTGTCCACGCCAATGATGCGCCTGGCGCCTGCCTCCCTCAGAGCATCCACTACCGCCAGACCGATGGTGCCCAGCCCAAACACAGCCGCTGTGGAGCCCTTCTCCACCTGTCATGCACCCCACATCAGGTCAGAACTGTGTGACAAAAACCAGGTCTTAGATCCTCAAAGTGGATTGAGGTCATCCAGATTTTAAACATCTGATAAAGCATGCAATAACCAAGCACGAAAGGGCAGCTCCACTAATTGTCAAATTGCAAATTGCGAAGCCTGTTGATTGAGCGATAAATCAAAAAAGGGGCACCAGAACCCCCAACTATGCTAGTGCTTTTCTTGTTAATGATTGGCTGGCCACAAGCTGATCTAGACTTCTGCCATGTACTGCTGAAAGACACTCTTTTGAGCCACAAAGCTCCAGTGTGATGCTCTGTGGGCACCTTGGCGGTGTTGAGGACGGCGCCGATGCCGGTGGTGACGCCGCAGCCGAGCAGGCAGACGACCTCAAGAGGCGCCTTCTCATCGATCTTTGCCACGCTCTCCTCGTGCACCACTGTGTACTCTGAGAAGGTGGACGTGCCCATCTGCACCACAGCCCAACTGTGACCTCCAGAATCGATCTGATAAGCAGGGGAGGTGTCTTCAAATTGCAAGCATTGCTTCTACACTGCAAGGCAGCTCTTCCTCTGCATTCCCTGGCGCTTGCTCTGCCTTCATGTCTGCATTCCTCTTTCACTAGACTGTCAATCCCCTGATCTAGAGAGGAAAAGAACCATAAAACTACTTGAGGTAGGCTCAGGGTGAAGGTACGCACGAAGTGGTAGATTTTCTTGCCGCTCTCCTTGTGCGTGAAGCGCACGTCGTCGTCTGCTTTCATGACGCCCTTGCCAGTCCACTTGCGCACAGCGCCGCAGAGGTTGGTCTTGTTGCTCTTGCACATGGGGCACTTGGAGCAGTACGCCTGCACCAGCGCTGCTAGGTCAGCAATGTGTAATTCGAGATTTGAGACAAGCACCAGCGCGCCTTGCCAAGCAGGACACTGCAGAGAGGGACAAGGGTCTACCTGGTAGCAAGGAATGACATGGTCACCAGGCTTCACGCTGGTGACACCTTCCCCCACACTCTCAACGATTCCTGCCGCCTCATGACCCAAGATGCACGGGAAGAGGCCCTCGGGGTCTGCAGCCACATATTGAAGTTAGGAAATGCCTTGTCCCTGATCTCATAATTTGAAGGTCAAAATAGTTTCGATTAGGATTTGTGGGGTGATGGGCGAACCGTGTCCGTCGAGGGTGTAAGAATCTGTATGGCAAAGTGCGGTGGCAACGATCTGCAGGAAAAGAAATGAAGCAATCAGCCTTTTCGAACACATCTCAAATGAGTGCAGTGGGGTGACAAAGTAGGAACAGCACGGATGATCTCCTCCTGAGTCGTACCTTGATGCGAACTTCACCAGCCTTGGGTGGAGCAACTATAACCGTGGTCACATCCAAGGGCTTTTCGGCTTCCCAGGCGATCGCGGCAACGCACTCAATAGGCTGCACAGAAGAACACAGATCAGTGGTTTCTTCGTCACGTCAACGCTAGAAACTCCATCGGATTCGATGAAATATAGAACTTTGACATTAAAGTAATAAACTTTGAGACAACAATGTCAATAGCCCATATGTCAGTCCCGCTTGAGGTCACGGAAGTATTGAGCATGTGAAAGGTACCTTTCCCTCCGTCATGCTTTTGATGACTTGAGTCGACCACAAGATGCTAACGCTGCTTTTGAAAAACCAATCCTGTCACGCAAATTCCAATCGGTCACAAATTCAAGCTCTTCGATAGTGTAAACATATTCGCGTTTATGTATGTGGGACTTTGAACGGTCCGAGGTACTCGAATGTTTACGGAACCCTGCATGCAGACAAACCAGTTAGAAACCTACCGTAAAACGCCCTACGGTGGGGTCCGGAGGGAGTGTAAAGTAATCGTAATATGGAGCACCGTGCTCGGAAATTTGCAAGTCGCATTTCTCGATTTTTGCGTGCATTGCGTGATGTAACCACACAGGACGAGCACTTAGTCCATCTCCTGCGACTCGACTGGCCTTTGCACTCGTCATACAGTTCAGCACGCCTGCACAGGCTTGTAGATTATACGCATCCGCCTTTCGCAGCACCCTCTAAAAATGCCCAGAAGGTCCCAGAGGCCGCGCTATACCTTTCAGTCTTTTGTTCTAGTCGATAGGTTCAACTTCCAGCCCGAAGAGCAACAGCCAGCTGAAGCAGCGCAAGATAACCAGGACAGATCAGATGACGATCATGGAGACTATCTTGAGGATATCAGCTACGAGAATGCCACTTCATCTCTCAGCTCCATATCTTAGCAACAGGGAAGATTGTCTACTGCTCACCAAGAGCCAGGATAGCAGAGAAGCCCACTTCTTGACACCACAATATGATCTGGAGAGCAGGTCCCTTGAAGCCTTGCAGTATGGTTTTCTTGCATTGCGATTCGTGAAAGTCGCTGGGGGTGAACACCACCTGGTCAGCTTCTGCAGGAATCCATCTTGTCCGGACCCAGCAGACGATGGCAGCCTATATGAGCTGGCAGACTTTGCAAATTGCCCAGCAGCAGCTCTCTTTGGGGATCAGGCCACGCTCTGCACATGTGCAAAAGCTCTCCTTCTGACAGTCGGCGGCCCAGAAGCATTGGAAAGGGAGATGCAGCAGGCCCAGGTTCCAGACTCAGCAGCACAGCAGCAGGCAATCATGCATGACAGCAGAGGCCACAGGTTCTCTATAGTGCGCGCTGGCGACTGCTTCGGGGATTGGGGGGTGGTGAAGGGACAGAAGTGCCAAACATGCCCATCTCAGCGCACTAAATGCCGTCATGTACTGAGGACTCAAGGATCAGAGGAAGGTGATGGTGAGGCTGCTGAGTGGCTGTCCACTGAGGCATTCGAGCGCAAGATCAACGAGGTGACAGAATTGCGCTGGCTCTTGTGTATGTATCTTTGCTCCTCGCATGTAAGCCTGCTTTCATTCATCAGCTTGCCTGAGGACATTTCTGACTGGCTTGGCAGAACTTGGATACTGAGAACGGGCGATTCCGGCTGACATGCATATCTCAGCAGCAGATCCCAGAAGAGTCTGAGGACGATGAAGCTGTTCTCACCATCATCACAGGTGTGCACATAATTTGGGCTATTAGCTCAGCTGATAGAGCGCACCCTGACAAGGGTGAGGTTGCTGGTTCAAATCCAGCATAGCCCACAGTAGCTTGTGGCAGTGCTAGGCAGATTTTCCTGGAGGTGACACCGTTTGCATGTATTTTGCAGAGCGCTGCGCGGGCAGGGCAAGTGTGCCTGCTGAGTGTTGTCCAGACACGATGGCATCCTGTCCCATGTGTGGGCGGTGTGACTGGCATGCAGATGACGTGCTTCTTGAGAGATGCACGGTTTTTCTGCTGGCAGCCGCTGTGGAAACATCATTCGCCGTCATGCGCTGTGGAACGCCACAGTGCTCTGGAAAGCTGACCGCAGATGGCAAGGAGCATGCCATTCTGCGGCAGTCAGCAAGACATGCCTTCGGGTATGAGCTGCTGTATGACTGGGCAGCCAAGACATCTGTTGGGGGCGCTCCTTGGTTCACTTTCTGGCGTGACACCCTGCAGAGGTGCACCCCACCGCCAGGATTTGCTGTTCATGCCATTCGTGCTGTGAAGTGCTGGACAAGCTTTGTGATCTATTAAGTAAATGTCCTTGTGATGTAAGGGTAAGTTTAAGCTGCTCTCTCAGTGTGACTGTGCAATCAGGTATGCTGGAGTGGGTGTGGATATTCTGCGCCGGTGGATGGACCTGCGCTCTGTCTTTCAGAGTGCCACTCTGAATTTTATTGAGCTGCAGTTTCTGGACTATGACTCTGGCCCTGGTGGGTTTGGCTGCGGCCACGACTCTGGAGTTACAGCCGATGAAATTACTCTCGGCTACCACCTTGAGCAAGCGCATTTGGAAGCGCCATATCTTGCTGCACAGGTGATGCTCGCTGCTGTAAAGCATCTGTTATCCTCGTAGTCAGATCCACCTTGCAAAAGTCCCTGTGTTAAGGGTACAAACTTAAGTGATACAAATCCTTGTCTGTGAAGGATCATCCCAGGATTCCAGAAATGAACAATGGGTGTCACTGACAGGACAGCAGCCTGGCGGCGGGGTCGACATTCAGCAACAGGATTTTTGTGCGCAACAAGAAGTTGCGTGACGTGTTGCACGCCTTCAGCTCTTCCAGGAGTGGAGGCGGGGGGATCAATGCGGAGGACTATGATTGGCTGACTGCAGAGGTGGAGCAGATGCCAGCCGATGCCCCCGAGTCAGCTCTGCTGCCGTTCCTGGGCGCTGAAGAGATGGGCATGCGCATGTTTGCCTTCAAGGCTCAGCAACCCCTCCTGCACATCTTGAGCACGAGCGCTCCAGTCTGCCAGCTTGTGAAGCCGTCAGTCTTTGATGTGGTGGGGCTCATCACAGATGGCCACCTTGAGGCAGTGTCTGTGGAAATGCTGAAGCCTCTCGCTGCCCGTTGCCCGCATCTTTATGCCTTCATCAAGCAGTACATGGGCCTAGCAGAGATGCCGCCGCATGCGACTGCCCTCCTTGCGGTGCTGCTGAAGGTGAGTTTCTCGGGTAGCAACTCTCTCTGTTTGCTGATCATGGCGTACATGCCTTTGCAATTGCTGCAAAGTTAAAAAATATCTATGTGAGAAGCCAGTCCTTGTGAGCCCACCGTCACCAACACCATTGATTGGCATCAGGATGCATGCATGCAATGAACATCTGCAGTGCACATGTCATCACTCCTTGTCAAGTAGTACATTTGGGAATGCAGGTGGCCAAGCAGGCGTTCGTGGAGGCAGAGCCTCAAACATGGCAGTCAGTCCCCACCCGCCAGGGGGGCGACCAGCACCGCGCCAACGCAAATCTGCGTCGAGCCAGCAGGATGGCAACCACGACTACCAACCCTCTCACTTGGACGCGGGCAGAGACATTTCTGCGCACTGGGAGCTGGAGTGGTCTGGGTCCAACTGAGTGGCAGCACACGACTCATGGAGGCTCAGATGTGTACAGGCCCCTGCGCGCGTACGCTGCTGACGGCCGCAGTTTCGGCACCGTGCCCACGTGCACAAAGCATCAGCGGCAGACAAAGAAGCTGGTGCCTGGCTGCCAGTTCTTTTGGTGCCTAGAGTGCCGCAAGTGCAACCTCTTCGTGGTAATGGGGGATGCTGAGTCACCTCGCACAATCTTTGAGGCATTGTACACGAGGTTTCCGTCAGCGCCGCGGCGCTTCTGCTTTGACAATGGATGCAACGTGCACAACTACATCCTCAACCGTGAGCCACAGCACTTCAAGGAGATGGAAGTGTACATTGACGAGACCCACTGGCAAGGCCACAAGCACTGCTCAGTAGGGTACAACACCGGTGAGTCAAATGTTGTCACACTCCCCAGACGACATTGCGCCGCATTCTACATAGCTGAAGCAGCTTCTTTGGAGCCCTAAGGCCATTGAATCCTGGCATGCATGTCTTGTGTGCTTAGCATGTGCTATAATTCTCCAAAGCAAAGTCAGCATCTATGTATGTGCAGAGAGTCAAATGTGATTCCAAATTTACAGATATTTGATGACGATTAGGAATTTGATCGAGACTCCATGCTCAACTTCTGCTGTGCATGTGAACAGGGGAGTACAAGGATTTTGTCAACTCCCCGCTAGCGGAAGAGAAGAATAGATTCCTAGGGATGGCTCGCACGCAATGTGCTTACATGCAGCAGATTACTTTCTTGAGATATCTGAGATATTTCTTATACCGCCTCAACAAGCTAGAAGCAATCACCACCGCCGGTCAGTGCTGGTGGCGGCGGCCGTCCAAAGGCCTAAATGTATGATCATCCTAAAATGCATGTGTCATTAGGCCCATGAAGAGTGTCGACCTGTATTAACTACTATATTTGCAACAGGCCATGGTGGTTCAAAATGAGATCATTGTTGTGATCTCTACAGATTTTAGTTTTGCCGTTGTCACACTCAGGATATATATAAATATGTTTTCGGTCACATGCATGCATATGATTCTCCATGAATCAGGGCGCCACATGTACATTATTCTCAAAGTGTGCATGCACTTCACCTTGATAGGCACTATGGCATGTGGACATGCTCACATTCAAACCCAATCCATTTTCAATTTGTATACATTTGTGAGAACAGATTCCTTGAGGAACACATTCACATTTGGTAGACGGTGTATGGAAACAGCTTCTTTTTCCATCATGGGGCTTTTGTCTCAGCTGGTCATAAAATGATGCCTGTGCCTGTTCCTGATCTTCACGTATGGCATGAGTTTATTCTATGGTTGGTTGTTGACTGTCAAGAACTCTGTTGCACTGGCAGTTTCATTCTACATCAGAATGATCATGGCAAAGTATCTGGTGGATTTTATAGAATGAAATATGCTCATTGTCACGGCCACAAATTCTTGCCGCAATCAACCTGATGTTTAGATTCTTGGCTTCCTTTGGCTATCCTGTGACTACGAGTGTAGATCATTCTTTTCAAATGCACTATTACACCGCAAGCTTATTGCCTTTATTGCAATGAGAACGCCACACTCATGGGCCGTAGGCCACAGCCGTGATTCTAGTGGATGGCTTGTGGGGACGCTTGGACTTCCTTGCAGGTGCAACTCCGGCAGGCAGTTCCATTGACAGGACATGTGCAGCTGCCATGGTGCCTGGTGTGGCAGGGGAGGCAGTGCATACCCTGCCAGGGAAGTTGCCCAGCCGAGCCACGTCACCTGGAACGCACAAGAACTTTGCAATCACTGAGAGCTGGAACATCTTCACTTGACAATGTACACACGCTATAAATTGCTCCAGCGACAGGCTACTTCAGTGATTCTCTTGAAATGTGTATGTGTATATGGTGATGAGAAGGACATCGGGAAGACTGCTACCTGTGCTGTCATGCGCCGCATCAGCCCAGTGCACGCGCCTGACAGGTATGGTGGCGGTCTCAGCAGGTCCCCCCGTTGATGCTGCTTGGCCGCAAGTCTGCTGAATCCTTGCCCCCCCTGATATCCCCAGAGCGCATTTTGAGACGTCTGAGATATAATACTGGTCATGGTCTGATATAGATGCTTGAATGTGCAGTATGCTTTTCTTGCTGAGAGATGCATAAATTCAGTCAACTCAACCAAGAGAATAGTCACCTGCCAGCCGTGCCCCACGCCGAGTGGTGCTGCCATAAGCAGCTGGGCGAGGAGGAGCAGGCACGCCTTCTATTGCAGCGCAATCTCCAGCAGGAAGCGCAGACCCAACGCGCCCTGCCAGAGGCACAAGGCACCTCATTTCTTGCGCACATGGAGTAATGCATGCATTCTTGGTACGTGAACAAGATAATATGCTTCAACAAGCTCGCTGTCAAGTTCGTGCTCTGCTTTTATTAGGGGCGCACTCTGCCTCAGCTGCCTGACGGTGCTGCGCTCCTCCATTGAGCAGGCCGCTGCATCAGGGTCCCCAGCAACGCCATCCCCGCCTTCTGTGGCAACCCCGGTTCCACCACTGACCTGCACACCCGCATCGCTCCCAAGATCTGCGGCGGCGCCAGCCCCATCCGCTGGACTGTCGCTCGGAACAGGCAGATCTCTGCCTTGACAGCCCCCGCTGGCCGCAAGCTCACTGGCAGCTCCACCCTCAGCGACATCTGCACCGCCGTCCGGCACAGCCCCAGCGCTGAGCTGAGCATCCTCACCACTTGCTGTGGCATCTGGGGTCCCCTCACTGCTCACTGAGCCCAACCACACCAGATGTGAGATGAAAGAACTATTCTGAGCCACAAACTTATTTTTGCACTGACCAGCATTTTTGCAAAAGTCAGTAAGGGACACAGCCAATCCCTCACAGGGGCGTGATAAAGAGAGTGCTGATCACCTTTGCCAGTGCCTGGCACCAGTAAGGGTGTTATGTACTTGCGGTAAGCTTCCAAGATTGCCTTGAAACGGAAATTGTCCTGATTGATACCTAAGGCCACCCTCAATTTTTTCTTCTTCTTTCCAATTGGATTGATCTTCTTGACCTACAGAGCAAGCTTCATTCAGTGAAGCCCATTCACATATCTCAAAATGGGTCAACTGTAAGAATTGAGAGCAACAGCCTCAAGCGTGACTTACCACAGCAATACCTCCAGCAGCGTGCACAGCGTTGTGCAGGTCATGCAGGGCTATTGTGGTTTTGCACAAAGTGATAGTGCCGTCCCGCACATACATCTTGTTATGCTCTGCCTGTGGTAGTAGGCTGACTTGGCATTGTTTGATGCCTCCCTGTGTTGTGCCCTCTCCGTCCAGCAGCCACTGTCCATCCACCTTCACAACTCCAGGCGCACTAGCATCACCTGCAACAAGGGAGCTAAGCTACGACTCAACTGAATCGGGTGCATGGCACCTACAGGTGTCGGTGTCACTTGTGTAGAAAATATAAAGTTTATGTAGGAAGTTTGACTCTTCTTGAGGGTCAGTGAATCTCACCTGCAACGTCCTGCTGCACCTCATCATTGCCCACTGAGCCGTTGAAACGTCGCATTGCAGCAAGGATTGCCTGCTGGGCGAGCGGGTCAAACCCAAGACTGCCCACCTTTGCGGTCAGGCGCTTCAAGAGCAAATCATTGGCTGGCTGGGCTGCATGCTCCATGATGGCTTTGAAAACCTCTGCTGATTCTACAGGCTCCATCTCACGAGGCCGCTTGTATGCAACATCAGCAGGGAACCACGGCGCAATTCTCACCACGCTGTCATGATCTGGCAGGCTGTTGTAAGGCAGCTTCCCTTTTCTGCCCTTGATGGCCACATCCAAGAATTCCTCCAACACTTTGATTTGCACTAACTTCTCCAATTGCTCAAACGTCTGATCTTTGAAGCGCTGGGCCTGCTCTGCCAATCGCACCTACACAGTGATGGGTCAGACAGAGTTTCCAGTAGCAGTGCAGGAGAGCCATACTTTCACATCATGATGAATCGAGTTAGAGCATTTCACACCTGCATCTTCGCCTGAACTTGGAAGGCGGGCAACACCTCCTCTATGTTCAGCCAGTTGGGGCCGGCAAGCCCTGCCAGCCCCTTGCTGGCTCTGCTCTTTATATCATTACTGGTGTTCACAGTGACCAGCATGAAATCTAAGCCGCAGGTCCTGCAAATCAATTCAAATTTAGCAAAGGCTGTCAGCTGTGGGCTGAGGAATATAATAAGATGTCCTGCAGGCAGAGGCAGGCACCTGTGTATGTGGACGAGCTTATCCATCACAATTTTTAGCCCGTTTTTCTCTTCTTCATTCCTCCTTTTCTTGGAGGCGATGATACCCTGCAGCGATATCTCCTCATTTGTCCGGCGTTTGCGTTTAGTTGTATTTGCGGATGGGTTGGCATCAGGTCCATCGCCATTATCCGTCTCAGGAATGGCTTCAGTTATCTCTTCATTCTGCTCAGTACTACTAAGACCAGCAGGTTCGCTTGAGCCAGCCGTGGCACCCTCCATAGACACCTACACCTATTGGGCTTGAAGTGATGACAACTCCTCGGGGGTAAACGACAGTACAAAGTGTTTACAGAACAGTTATAATATCTCCATAGGACTCCCTAGGGCCTGTACAGCTTGCATAGGCTCAGAAAATATGACTTTGAGATGTAAGAAAATAAGGTGCACGGTGCTCTCATGTACATGCTATTTAATACATTCCCTCTCTTTATCTTGGTAGGTTTTAGGGGGGTTTTCTAGCTCGACAAACCTGTGGCATGACCCAAATTGGCTAAAAGTTCTTCCTGCCATCGATACTGACATGCCTAAGAGTGATGCACATGTTCTTGTGTCGCTTTCGTTCAATTTCGAACATTAAAAAAAAATTCACAGTACATAAAGGGCCCCTCCAGGAAGTGCTGCCAGGCACGCGTATGTGGCTAGTGGCCCCGGGCCCGCGGCCCAGCTAGTTGCAGTTCTGCGAGTTCTGCCATGCCTGCTTCTTAGCTCCAGCTTTTGAAGGAGTACAAACAATGATTTGAAGTGACAGCAATGGGTTGCATATTAAACAGTGTTCAGCGGCTGACCAAATTGCATCTGATCAAACTCTCAGAGTGAAGCATTTTCATTTAATATCGGAAGTCCCGCGCCAGTCCGAAATGACACGGATGACCACTTTAGCTGGGACAGCAGGCACTTGCGTGGATTCTGCTCTGGACTCACAGAGCTCATCCCAGATTCTGATTTAGAACAGATTGATCACCATCACCGGCACAGGGCCTGTCAGGCTGGGCCATGTGAGCTGCTCACGAGGACAGCCAGGATGGCATCAGGCCACCATGCCTGAGGCGGCTTACAACAGTAGAACAACCAGGTTTACAAACAATGCTGCTTGGCCTGCTCCTTTTCAAGGTGCACCTGCAACAAGCATGCTTTACTTAGATTTGTGATGCAATGGCACATGCTGTTCGCCAGGAGACTAGGTATGGCCATAGTAAAACAGCCTGCAGAGTGCGACAATCACTGCCATTGTATTTCCAAAGACGGGATATGCAAGCACCTGTTGACGACTTCTGGCTCTGCCGAAAAGTCTCAATATGCTGTTGCGCCGATTGGAGTCTATCTCTGGTGCATTCGGTCTGGGAGCTTGGCACTTCAGCTAGCAATGCGCTGAGATGCAAGCCAGCATTGGATTCTCTCAAGCTTCATTTGGCACAGTGGCATTGGATCTGCTGCTGCTTTTGCTCTGGACAAGGTAATTAGTCAAGGCAGCGCTGAGCACGCCCAGTGGTGCAAGCACTGAGCACAGCAGCACAGTGTGCCTGGTTGGGACACCATTCTGTAAGCCTGCACCAAACCAGCATCAACCCATTAAATCAATAATATGGTCCACTTGTACAACGCTACATCAACTTTGGTGCTTGCAGGACTGTCAGGATGCCCACCTTGCAAGTATGCTGTGCGAGCAGCGTACAGATTGATGGACAGCAGATGCACCCAAAGCGATGCCGCTGTTATGGTGCGTGAGAAGAGGCCCATGATGCCCTCCAGCTTTGGAAAGAATTGAGGATTGAATCCACCTGACGCACCACAGTCACGTCGAACTTCGCACTGCACTAAGCAAGCAGCACACTGAAATGGCAGGCATTCTGAGACCTGGCAGGCTTTGCACCGGAGTGTGCAAGAACAGGAATTTTTGGGGGCGAGTTGCAGAACCTGTGAGTCCATCACGGAGGCTCCCAGGCAGAATGAGGCTGAGAGTATCAGGCTCCCAAGATTGTGATAGCAGGAAGCAGTATGTAGCTGCCAATGGCAGGAACATTAGATCACTGCTCAGCAATCGCCTCGTCATCCGCCAGCCGGGGGCACAGATCATCTGCGTACCAAGATGGAGCATCAGGGAGCATACAAAAGGGAGGAAAACATTATCTCGCTTATTGAAGAATGAACCGTCCTTACCGTCAGAAATAGAGGCACGCAGTACATTGTTGATCCAGCAATTGACCAAGACACCGTTGAGGCTGACAGAACAGCAGAAGTCCTGATTGATCTCGGATACCGTCGAACATTTGTATGAGAAAAGTACGCATATTTTGTTCCTTTGACTGACTTTGCCAAACGGCTAGCAATGGAAGTACCAGATCGTGAGCTGATCAGACAGGCATGGCCTCCCGCTGTGACTGATTGATGCCACAGCCCCATTGCTTAAAATGCTGCCAGGCGATCAGATCTTACTGAATTTGAATCTCTGGATTTGTCTGAATTTCAAAGATGACTTCTTGTGTCAATGGAAGGATCAACTGGATGCAAGCTGAAGACCTACATATCCCCAGCATACCACATAAATCCAAACCCTCTTTTGCATGCCAGCAATGGGCGACACGAGTCGTTTGAATGTTTGTCTCCATCACCGCAAGCGCTGCCGCGCATTGGATTACATTCCCTGCATAAGGCTCACCAAAATCTTGTCTTGCAGACACAGTCAAGGCCTTGCACAAACCGCCTCGCAAAGGTGGGTGGCCTATTTGCGTTGCAAACCTCGTTTGGCCTGTCTCTCCTCTGCTCTGCTGATAGGTGATTGGCAACGTGATTTGCTTCCTGGTGGGGATTGCATCGTCCCCTTGTGGGCTCTCGATCTGATCGTGCAAGAACGCCCTTCGCCTGCCGAAAAGCAATTCGAAGCTACCTGCCCAACAAGGAGCACCATCTCCCAATGATCATGCCTTGTATTTGACGCTTAAAAAATATAATTCAGAACGCAACGAACGTTGTCTGTGCAGGGGAGAAGCTGCATCATTCGGCAAACAACTCTATTGCTGTTCCTTCTTTTGTCTAGGAGTTGCAGACTCTGCAGGCCTTGTGATCAGTCCATATGTTTTACTCGACAGAAATCTTGGGAAGGCGGTCACCGCTGGGAGCAATATGGTGAGTAAGCACAGGACTAGTTTGGTCCTGCAAGACAGAGGTTAAAAGCACCAGGTGGCCTGCTTCTGCTTAATCTTGATGTTGTCAAAGCAATTTTCCACCTCATGCATGCAGGATAGCAGCACATGGAAAGAAGCTCAATCGTTCAAAGATACTGGGTGTGAACATTATTGACACATGGTAGGTGACCTTTGCCTTTGAATCATCATCTTGCTGTCTCTGGAATGTCACAACTGTGGTACACTTTGAGATGCAGATTCAAGAGCATGAACCTGCATCTGTATGTATATCTGCCTGCAGCAACAAGATCATGGAGCCCGACATACCTCAGTCGCTTCGCCTCCAGGGCATTCTGATCGGTACTGACCAGTCTGCCTCCCTTCCAGTTCAATTTCTTGTTTTGCTGCCAGTGAACTCCAGTCCTCCCAGCACTCATTACTGTGTTTTGCATCCAGGTGGTGTCGTCATCGTTTTCAACAAGCAGCAACATTTTCTGCTAGGTAAGCTGATTGTCATGCAAGTGTTCTCTCAATCTGCTGAACGATCCTGGGTGCATCTCGCAATGTCTATGCTCTTCTTGGGTCTTCTCAGTACGTTCACTTGTTCAAGCTGCCGTCTGATTAATCTGTGTATGCACTTGGCAATTCCTTTCTCAGACGACTGCAACGAGACCATGGTGCGTCACACATCTGACTGTTAACTATAAGGTTGTGGCATTCGTGCATTTGTCCATCGCATGGGCACATGAAGTGGGCAGCAGGCTTTCATTTCTCATTTAACCATGTGCTTCCTGCAGAGGAGGGTCCAAGCTTTGACCACGCAGCAAGTGAATACGGTGCTGGACAAAGACAGGATGAGGGCCAGGCAAGGCCATTCTTGGGTTGTGGTTTGTAACTTTGCATAAGCCGTCTGAAAGGACGGGCCCATTTCTGTTCTGTCACTCTTGAAGCCCTCTTGCAAGATGCTGAAATGCTCGCTTGCAGGCCAGAGCGAATCACGCTGCAAGACATCAACTTTGCTGGCAGAGACGAGGACATCTACAATGTGAAGCTGATCAATGAAGCCCTGACAGACGATGACATGTTCCCTGCCGGCCATGCGGTATACCTGCACAGCATTATGGGTCCATGCATGGCTGCATGCATGGATGCCAGGAGCCCTGCTGATTCTGTTTTCTGTTGAGTATTGTTTGCTCCTGTCTTCTGTTGCTCCCAATTGAGTGATGTGGTTTGGCCAGGCACTCGGCGATGATCTCTTTGTGATGCCAACCCTGGATGAACCAGGCGACAGCTACGGAGATGCAGCGCTAACCAACGGCTCATCAAGCTTTGCCATGGACCTGTCAGCTCCGAGTGTTCCGGACATTGACTTTAATGCCGGCTTGAACATGTGCGGCAGACTGCCCATGCCTGCATGCATGCAGAGATGCTGCCTCCTCATGCGTCATTTGATAACTGATGATCAGCTCGTGCTCATGGCTAGCATGAAAGAACCTGAGGTGGGTGGGGGCATGCATGTTATCATGGCTTTGCATGCATGCAGGGACCAGCCAGAGCGCTTTGACATGCTGGAGATGGACATCGAGATGCCGGATGTGGCAGCAGAGCTGCAGATGCAGGCAGAGGCAGCTGCTCAAGCAGACATGCACTCAGACAAGCAGGTGGACAGCCAAGGAGACCCTATCATTGCCCCTCCCGCACCCCTGACCCCACCAGCACCAGGGGGCGAGATGGATATGGAGCAGATGGATGAATATGCAGCAGGAGAAATGATGCATGCAAGCCCACTTGCAGGACCGGAAGTGCAGCATGCTGCCCAGGTATGCAATTTGCACATGTGCCTGAATGATTGCAAAAGATCTGCTCTTTGTTTTCTTGACAATGAAGCTGACCCACACCTGATTTTTTGGAAAGTTGCTTTTGTTTGTTGTAACAGGCAAAGAAGAAGAAGCGGCATGCAGCAGCAATCATGGATGCTCCGGAAGGCCTCCTGATCGACCGCAAGGTGACTCGCTGGCATCTTGCATGCTACCACATGAGATCCAGACTCAAATCATGGCACATCTTGTAAAGCTGAAATACATAACAGGAGGATATAGCTGCATGTCTAACATGAGCAGCTACACAGTAACAGCGAATCAACACATGTGCAGGTGTATCGGGACTGGACACTTTTCCGTGCAGACCTTGTGACAGAGCGCCCTAAGCGCCAGCGCCTGCTGCATGGTGGCGCAGATGCAGTTCTGGTGCAGTTTTCTCTGACGATACCCTCACAGCTGATGTGCCTGTTCAAAAGACACCTGATCGCTGGCCCTGCCGCAAGCATTGACAAAGGTATATTAACTTGAGCCTCACCCTCCTTTGCCGCATTTCGTCTTGACTTGCATTTTTGTATTTGCTGAAAGCTTTAAATAACGCTCTTGTGGATCCAAGGAGTGACGAACGTTGCTGTGTGCCGTGGCAGAACTGCCCTCCACACCGCCGCAGGCTGCCAGGACAGCACAGAGCCCCAGGCGCAGGGCAGAGCCTCAGCGCCACCTGGAGGATGACTTCTTCGAGATGCAAATTGATGGGCTGGACGCGCAGTCTGAAGACCCGGCGTATGCCGATCATTACTACGCGGATGAGGGCGTGCAGGGGGAGGCTGTGCCAGACATGCCCACAGAGGAGGAGCTGCAGGCCATGGCAGAGGAGGAAGGGCTGCCCATCGAGCAGTGAGTGATCCCCTCAGAGAGAGATGAGAAAGACAAAAACTTGCATTCTTCCAACCACCATCTTGCAGCTTAAGCTTGCCTCAGTGTGTTGCTGCACCTGTGTCCATTGGGCGCTGTTTGTACGACGCTCCTGATGGAGACCACATGCTGGAGATGCTGAGGCAAGCCTGCTGTAGCTGACATGCTAAGACTTCTTCAAAGTGAGGTTCTTGTGGACAGGCTGCGTGCAGCTCTGGAGACGCCTGGCTCTGCGGCAGCGCAGCAGCTGCAGAAGCAGCTGGGCCTGACCCCAAGCTCCTCCAAGCACTCAGGTGCCGCATTCACCTTTGCAATTTTGCTTCTGGATTTCATAGGACTGTATTTTGCTCAGTCTGCATGCTGCATGCAGTGCACAGACTTGGTGTCGTACCAAGAGGGAAGAATAAAGAAGGCGGGCTGTCTGATAAATTAGTCCCTAACATTTCTGGTCATGATGGATTCGTGCAGGTCTGGCCAGCATCCTGGCGCGTCGCAGCCGCCCTGGCTCTTCAACTCGCGGTCGGCCTCCCTCCATGCACAGCCCAGGATTCCCAGACAGGTAACTCGCCTGAACATCTACACATAGCTGGAACCCACACCGACTTCTGCACTACCAATTACTATGCGAGTGGCATTCGGTGAATTCTGAGGGGCAATGTCTTTTTTTGGTGCGCAGTTCTGTGGAGCACCGCCTGTCTGATGTGCGGGAGGACACTCCTGGCCTAGGGAGCTTTTCTATGGATGGCGGCAACTTTGACGACCTGCTGCAGCCCCTGCCAGAGGAGGATGAAGACCTGCCTGGCCCAGGTGTGATCTGCAAATCTCAGGCATGTCTCTGCATGCATGCATGCATCTTGCTTTGCTTCTTCATACATGCCGCTGCCTCTTCGGAGCTGTGTAGGGACTGTTCAGGTCCTGCCGTGCATCTTGATACATTGCGCCAAAATGATGCATGAAGAGGAGCTCCTGTCACTTTTGTGTTTGTGAGCTGTCTTTTGACATGTGATGCACTTTATGTGTTCAGGGTATCTGACCCAGTTCCAGGCGCTGGGCGGCTCTCTAATGGAGGCGACTGAGTTACAGACCCAGCTGGCACCCGCGGACTCCATCAATCAGCACTCTCTGACAATGATGAAGTATGCTCTTTCGCTGCACTTGATGCAATCCCTGGAAGCAGTCTGAGTGCTAGCATGTGACTGAGAGCTTGAGCTGGCATCGAAAGGATGAGTGCGTGCAGGATCCTGCAGAAGCATTTCTCTGAAGCCGAGAGGCAGGAGGGTGGCCCGCCCGTGCTGTCCCTCTTTGCCCTGACCTCCAAGATGAACAGGGGCCAGGCTGCCAGGATCTTCTACCAGGTCTGCGGTGAGTTTTTCTGTCTATCGGTACAGATGTTCATGTCTCTTTTCGCATGATTCTGGAATTTGGCATAAAAATTTGTGTTTCTAGTCGCATGCATGCAATCCTTTGGAGCCGAGAGCCCATGATGGCTAATGCCGATGTGAGTGGCTGAGTCGAGCTTTGACTGCACAGTGATGACGTCCACCAACTTTGTGAAGGCCACTCAGAACAAGCCATACGACGACATTCTACTGAGCCCTGGTAACGCGCCTGCGCTGTGAATACAAGACAGACAGAATGTTCCGGTGTGGCCAGAGTAACAATGTCTGACAGTACAGGAGACATGCTGATATCTGCGTATAGGATGCGAGACAAGTGAGAAACCAAAAAGTACAGGAGTGTGATCTGGGTTATTGAATAGCTGCCCTAGTAAGTAAGATCTTCGAATAAGCAAATTGCAAATGTGACATGATTCATTCGATCATACAGTCCAGCTATGAATATTTGATGTTCAGGTGCATGAATCCAATTAAATACATGAGAGGAGTGGTGCTAGGTATCAGTCCAGAATAATGGCGCACAGCGGCGCCCGTCTTTTGCTTCCACGGTGTGGTGCTTTTCAGGCCTTTATCTCTCTCTGACAATTTTCCTAAACAAGCAATGACATTAAATAGGACAGGAAGAAAACCTGACTAGTCCCATCCGATGCTGTCTCTACAGCATTCAGTCGTGCATGCATGCAACTCACCAAGTACTCTAAAATTTGCGTTAGTTCAGGCTAATTTTGAATCCCAAGTGTAACTTTACTGTGCTTGAGCTGCGCGTTTTATCTGAAATGATATATCTGAGCTGCGTTGTCCGTAGCAATGCACTGCACACGAACCTCAAGGCTGGTTGGCCATGCATGTCCTACTGGGGCATTGGTGAGTCAGCAGTGGAGAGGGCTGCCCATTGATCTGCGGTCATCTGCCAGAACTGTAGCGTGCTCACTGGCAGATTCTCAGCGCCATCTGAATTGTGCACTGTGCCCACAAAGTCCACACCCACCTGCACACAACCTTTCTCAGCCTACAGAACCTTGTTTGTGATGCGAGAATGACAAAGCTAATGCAATACATGATGCAGGTGTAATGTTTGCATCATGATGATCATGTAGCATCTGGGTGAGGGTGATAAGACTCTCACCAGGCCCAGGAAGCACTCTGAGATTTCCAGGAGGAACTCGAAGACAGCTTGAGGGCTGCCGTCAGTCTGCTGAAGCATTGTCAGACTGTGTTGTGCTGTGCATGGATCTTCTGCAGGAGCCGGGGCTGGCACTTCAATCAGCCTGCGCCGATTCTGTCCTCCAGCCACCTGAACAACACACTTGTGCTCGCGCCGGGCATTTCAGCAGACAGTGCCTGATATCCCCCTTGCCTTGATGACAGCATGCACTCAAACCCGCCGAAGTTTATCATTGCTGGAAGTTCAATGTCCCCGGGGTGACTGGCGCTTACAGGGCCGGGCAATCCAGCAACGGCCGCAGCTCCTGGCATCTGAGTCTGCGTCAGCTGCACAGAGATGTCGGCAGGCGACACAGACGACACCGGCTGTGAGAAGGTCAGCGTGAGGAAGACTTGCGACTGGTTTGACACTGCCCCGGACGCCGACTGCTTCAGTGTTGGTGTGTGGAGGGCGCCTGTTGGCCTGCAACGCAAACACGGACATTTTCTGAAGCCTTGTGGTCACCCAAGTCATCCTGGCCCCAGCATGTTTCTCTGCTGTTTGAGGACAGACCGAAGCTCCTGTAATACTAATCCATGAACTTTGGCAGTCATGCATGCTTATGAGATCTGCTTGGTTGCTGACAACAACTGTGGCCACACCTGTTGAGGATGCTGGATGTGAGGGAGCTGCCAGGAAAGGCGTCACCGGCGCAGTCAAACACAGCGCCATCAGTGATACTCAAGTTGATGTCTGTCCGTGCAGGGTCCCCTGACTCTGGCTGCTGGACATAGCCCTTTGCCACATAGTGGCCGCACCCCTCCTGAGGGTACACTTCTATTATAGTGCCTGCAGGACACATTATTCAAGTATTAACACCTGCACCGCCAATCTTGTACCTATGCATGATGCAAGACGCTTACAGCACCTAGAATGGGCGTGTGTCATGATGACGCCACACATGTCATACATGGGTAGAAATGGATTGCCCATTCACCGTGGGAGGTCAGTCGGTCACATTACAATGTGTCCAATCAACTGAGGGCCGATCCAATGACTGACTGTGAATCTCAAGTTGAGCGCTCAACATGACATGAGGTAAAGAATTCCTGCCGCACCGTTAGCAGCTGAGATCTGTTGAGCGCCAAAGCCGAGCGGCGCGCGCGAGAACGCCACATCAGCGACAAAGTAGACCACGTTGGAGGGAACGCCCTCGAACGTGCTGAACTGCGCCAGCTCGCGCCCGTCCGACACGCTCATCGCCATGCTCAGCGGCCGGTCGACGCCGAAGCCCGCGCACGCGTCGCAGGACGACTGCACACTCGAATTCAAATTCGCTGGCTGCCGGGGGGCCTGCGCAAGGGGTCTGGGCGCCAGGGCTGCGCTAGGGCTGGGCACAGCTGCTGATGTCAGCAAGACTGGTGCATGTGCTGGGACTGCGCTCGCCGGGCCTTCAGCGGGACTTACGGCCTCTGGTGCAATTGCTGCAGCAAGAGATGGCGGCGCAGCAGAAGGTGTGGGCTGCGGTGGTGTTGCAGGTGCAGAGGCAGCGGCCACTGGGGCTAGGGCAGAGCTGATGCCCAAATGGGTGATGAGGGACAGCGGGGAAGCTGAAGGGCCCAGCACGGGCTGCGCAGCGGGCGCAGAGGTGGCTGCTGCCGGGGAGAGTGCAGGGGCAAATGGTGACGCTGACACTGGAGAAGTCGCCGGAGTCGCCTTGGCTGCAGGAGCTGGCGCTGTCCTTGGCGTTGGAGTAGATTGTAGTCCTGCAGCATGCATGGCAAAGACAGTCAGCTGCGCGATGATATTGCTGAAAGTGTACTCTGTTAAATGTCGACTACAAAACATCCGTTTAGATCACATTTGGGTGGATGCATGTGATTGGCATGTTCATTGTGTTGATGATAGTGGGCATCACTTCTGTGCACTAAGAATAAGTAGAGGGTTGAGTGGATTGCACCTGCGAAGGTTGAAGGGGCAGGTGCCGGCGTCAAGGGAGCATAGCTCTGCGGTCGAACAGGCATGTAGTAAGCTTGTGGCCGCACAGCAAAAGCACTGTAGACGCCTGGAGAGGCTCCAACACCTGTTTTGCAACATGCAAATGCTCTTCTTTAAGTATGAAGTCTGGCAAATGTAATGGCATCTATCACTTATCAAAGCACGTTGCTTGTTCAAGCAGCTGCTGGACGCACCGTAGCCGACATAGGGGACAGGAGATGTGTGCTCCGTGGCGGGTGCAAACGCCAGGCCTACAGAATGTGGTGGACCCCTGGCATAGCTTGCACCCTGCTCTGCTCCATAGCCATACTTTCCAACCCCATAGGCACCGTAGCTGCCCGAAGGCGAGGCTGCAGGCACCAGCTCTCCTGCACAAATGTTAAACAAGGGTATCCGACATCTATGTCCAGGCAGCCTTAAGGCAAGTTTACATTGCACTGCTATGTGATCACCGGTTTCATTGCCTGGTGTCCATATGTAGCATCCAGAAAATTACTGCTTTCCTAGGAAGAATATTTACCTTCTGCAGGGCCTGGAGAGGCGACTGGTGCAGGCACACCCTCCGCTGGATACTCTCTCACAACAGGGGCGAGCGCGAACGAGCTGCCGCGCGTCTCGATGCCCCTTGTCGTGTACGCTCCATAGCCCCCGTACACCCCGTACACACCCCTCTGAGGCGCCTGCGCAAAACCCCGCGGCGGCTGAGCACCCTCCGCAGGCTGCGGCGTGGACGGGCTCTCAACCGTATGCGCAATTTCAGGTGCAGGAATTTCAGCCTCCTGAGCCGGCGAAGGTGCCGGAGAAGTTGCTGCGGCGAGAGCGGCCTGCGCGGCTTGAATCCCGGCATAGTAGCCGGCATGGTACGCGGCTGCGGGGGAGGGTGCATAAGCAGCGGCCGAGGGTGCGTAAGCGAGGGGTGTCTGATTTGGCTCGGCTGCTGGGGGCGCAACAGCTGGCAGGGGTCCTGGGACTAGGGTCGTTTCTGCCCCGAGCGGCTGCAGAGAAATGGAGCGCCCCGGGGCAGGCGCCGGAGCAGGTGATGCGGATGGCATGGCTGAGGCAATAGGAGCCTTGATGGTTTGAGATGGCGCCTCTTGAGTGTTACCACCGCCGTACCTGCACAACACACAGTACTTGATGTCCTTTCAGAAAAAGTGTTTTGAGCGGTAAAGTGTAGGAGCAGCTCTCATTCTCTGACATCTGTAAAGAATACTCCTTCTAAGAGAAGATGAGGGAGTTGAAAAGAACTGGCTCATGCCCTTGCACCCTGTCAATTGCATTGTGCAGACAACAGTGTCTTGAATGGTCCCACGCACCTTGAAGCAGGCATTGCTCCCTGCGGGTAGTAATGCCGTGGGGCCTCAGCCGCTATGGGAGCGGCCCTTGCCCTAACAGAGAAGAAACCATCGCACGGCGCAGGCGCAGCCCAGACATCAAAGTATCCGCTGGTGAAGGAATGCTCATAAGCCGGATGCGCCTGAGGCGATGCAGCGCTCAACAGCTGTGCAAGAGCCTTCTGCCCCGGGCTGAGTGCCTGGGAACTGCTCGGTGCAGCAGCGGCCAGACTGGAGTCAACATCTGCGCGCGGCGCCTCAGTGTTTGGAGTTGCAGAGGCTCCAGGTTGCGCTGTGGGCTGGGTTGGGAAGGCTGCAGGCTGTCCTGCATTGATGTTGACCAGGACCGAGTAGCCGCCATACGCCGACGGTCGCATGCTGTTGACTGCCGGCGCATACACAACAGGCTGGCTGGCTGCCAGCGGGGAATATGCCAGAGGTGCGGCTGCAGGAAGCTCCTCAAACCCTGCACCAGCTAGAATTGCTGTGCTGGCAGCCGGAGCTTGGGGTGGTGTGAGTGTCTCGGCTGGTGCAGCTACTGGGGCTACCTCAGCTGCGCTGACTGGCGCTGCTCTGTACAGCTGGGAGGTGAGGGCGGCGGACTTGAGGCTGACATTGACGAGGCTGACGCTGTCTGGCGAGCTGGCCTCCGGCTGCAGGACCCCAGTGTCCAAGAATGCCACATTTCCGGCAGGTAACTGTTCCGGCGACGGAGGCTGCGCGGTTGGAGCGCTGCCAGGCAAGCGCAGAGCGGCATTGGGCACCTGCACGGGGGAGCTCCCCACCAGACTCCCTTCCTCTGGCTCTGGCAAAGGTGCTAAGAAAGCAGGCAGCGCCCAGGCTGTCAGGGGCGCCTCTGCACTGCTCACCAATTCCCCGCTGTCTGCCAGCGTGGCTGTGGCTGACCTGGCAGGCTCCTCCTCTCCTGCCCCAGCAGCGTTTGCTTCTTCTGGTCCCTGCAGCGCGGTCGGCGCCCCGGTCGCAGCAACGGCGGGTGCCTCGGCGCGCTCAGCCGCCGGTGGAATCCCAGACGAGCTACTCGGCACGGGATCCTGCACGCTCGGTTTTGCCTGCCCGGTCGGCTGAGCTGACAGCGCCGTGTTCGGCACCAGAGAAGCTTGGATGACTCCGATGGCCTGCCGCGGCGCTGCAACTGGGCTGTCATCCGTGGCGGCAGTCTGACCATCCGCAGGCGCAGGCGCGGATGCAGGAGGGGTTGGTGGAGTCTCAGCCGGCTGCGCTACAGCGACCTGAAGAAAGTCTTGGCGCGGCTTGCTGACTGTGTAATTCTCTGATGGAGGGAACGCGGCACCTGCAGACGCCTCTGCAGGAGCCGCCGCCGCCGCCAGCGCAGCCTGTGCGGCTGGTACAGGCGCCAGCTCATAGGAGCTTGGAACGCCTGCGTCCATTTCTAAAACAATCGGTGCCTGTGCCGCTGTGAAGGCTGTTGTAGGCGCTGCCTGTGGGGCTGGTGCTGGCACCAATGCAGCGCCTTGGAAGGGGCTTGGAGCAGCTGTATCAAGTTTTGGAACACTCCCAAGCGGCCCAGGCGCGAGTGCTGCTGCAAAGGCTGTCGCAGGCGCTTCCGCAGCACCCTGGAAAGGGCTTTGAGCAGGTATCTCCAGCTCCGAAGTGCTTACAAGCGGTCCCGGCGCTTGTGCGGCTGCAAAGGCTGGTGCACGCGCCTCCTCAGGCGCCGTGGCTGCACCCTGGAAGGGGCTTGAAGCAGCTGCCTCCAGCTCTGGAGCACTCCCATGCGGCCCTGGCGCCGGTGCTGCTGCGAAGGCTGTCGCAGGCGCTTCCCCAGGCGCCGCATCCGCACCCTGGAGGGGGCTAGGAGCAGGTGCCTCCAGCTGCGACATGCTTGCAAGCGGAACTGGTGCTTGCGAGGCGGCTGATGCTGGTGCAGACGCTTCTATGGGCACCGGCGCGGCAGCCTGCAGGAAGCTGCTGATCAGCGCCGGAGCCTGTTCTGGCGCCGGCACCTCGTGTGTGGGGCTGGCGGCCGGCTGCAGCTGTGGTGCCGCCATCACTGACGTGGTGGCTGCAATCGCAACACCCGTCACTGCCGGCCCAGAGGCTTCACTTCCCACTGTCTGTGAACCTGAAGCAGTGCTGGTGCTCGGCGCAGGTGCTGGCACTGCTTCCAGAGGAGCAGATACTGGCGTCAAATTCCCCATGGCTGGCCGCTCAATCTGTGGACCAGGCACTGGCGCTCGCTGGATCCCCACAGGTACGGCAGCAGAGGGCGCGCGGCTGCCGACCTTCAATGCCGCGGCCGCATGCTTTGGAGGCGGCGGCGGCGTCTTGGAAGGTGCAGCCTGATATCGGTTGGCAGGCACGAGCTGTGCCGGCTTGGCCTTGGTGACGCTGTGTGCGGCTGCCTTGGCCGGCACGGGCGGCGCTGGTAGTGGGGCCGGCAAGGTCTGGTTTCGAGACGAGGGCAGTGCTGTGCTTGTGGCGTTGATGTGTGGAAGCGCAGCTGGTGCCAGAACAGGCGCGCCAGGACGGGCCACTAAGGGCGCGAGTGTGGTTGTGTTGGACGCGGATGCAGGCACAGGCATTGGTCTCCTCGCTCTTGCTGCCCTCTGCCGCGGGCCTGGAATTGTGACAGATGCACAGTCAACAATCTATCCAGGGTCTTAATATTGGAGACAGCAATATACAGAAAGGATCCTCAAGTAAACAGGTATGTGAAGAGTGTATATCCAATCACAAGCAGATTCAACAAATTTTCGAGAGATAATACTTGGAAGAGAGGTGTGCAAACAGTGCAGCATTAAACATCACATGCCTGCAACGAATTCGGATGTGTCGATTGCGCCTTGAGCATTGACAGTAGATAAGGGCAGGAGCAGAAGGGACAGAAGAATCATTGGGTGCAACACCTGCACATCCAACCTATCTTTCTTAAAAGATCACCTTGTATTGCTGCAAGAAATGTGTATGAGCATAACGTTGGAAAGGCAGGTTTCGTTAGATGTCAATACCTTGATGTTGAACATCAGATTCGTGCCCATGATTCCACAGAAAGTGTGCATGCCTTGACCTGCAGTGCAAACATATTCACGTGGTGTAAGCGGAAAGAGACGCAAACCAGATTAAGTGCAGAAGAGGCTCAGGTCTTCTTTTCTGCAAGTTGACCGTTTCATGCTGAAATTGGCTCCATTTGATGACTTGATCGGACATTCGCGTTCACTATACCTCCAAGTATTGTTTCCTTCACAAAACACACTTGAAAGAATGCCTTGAGCAAGGAATCCCACCTTCCGATACCCTTCAACACGAGTCCAAGGTAAGAGTGAACTCGAGAGATCTCATCTGTCGAGCTCCGATCGATCCAGATAATTGCTAGATCCACTGAATAAATCAGACATGTGTAAAACGAATGCTATCGTGCAAGTGATAGATTTTCCGAGTCCGTCGTACAAAGGGTCAATGGGGAAAGGAAGGGACGCAGTACCTCCGTCTCGTTGCAACGTGTGCGGCCTGCACAGACTGTGACGATGGTAATAAGATCTCGCTTATCTATCTAGTCACATCCATTTGAAACAATTCGTCGCGTGAAAGACAAAATTTGGCATCCCAGATTGACCGATGCATGCCGGAAGAATGGGCAGCCTCTAATCACACCCTATCGGAAAAGTGCCTTGCTGCTTGGTCCAGATCTATCATCGACGTGGGTGCCACCAGAACACCCAGATACAGCTCAAAATCTAGCTTGAAAATTCAACACTGTAATTCCTAAAACTCGTTATCTGCTGTGCGGGACACATCTTGACAGGGACCAAGAGTTGGCTGATGGGGGCTGTGGGCACGACCTGTCCCTGCAGCTGTAGTGCCAGACCTCATCTGCTACAGAGGTACAAACATGGTCAAATAAGATTTTGGTTGTTCACAAGCATATATATTACATCGAGATCTCTTATCAGATCGATATGTTACATCGCAGGAGACTTGGAGGCAGGGGAACTTTCTACAGTAACTTCACAGCGGCCCCAGCTACGTGCAGACCAGGCTCTGGAAGATCTTTGAGGCTAGAAGTGAGTTCCTTTCTCTCTTGTCAGCCACACCCAGAGTTCTCTGCAAGTACAACACCAGAAGCCATGCCAAGTTGTGCTGAAACCACCTATGACTTGCAGGTGAGTGCCGTGAAGGGCGCTGGAAAGAAGAAACTTGCTCAGAGTGCCCAGGCAGGCGCAGCACAGGTGGGCGCATGTCGCGTGTGACCTAATGCTGTTGTAGCACCCCCCCCTTCCCAGAAAATACTAGCAGGAGACTTTGCTAATGCTATAATGCTGCACCGCTCCACCCTGCGGGAAGTTTTGACGCATGGCTTGCATGTGCACCCATGAGGGCATGCCAAATGTGAGTAAATATGGGAGGAGCGCTAATAAGAGTGGCATGATGTGCCCACAGTTGCCGCCCACGCCACCAGTCGATCCTGACAATGCAGAGTTCGTGCTGTTCATCCGGGCAGTCAAGTTCCCGCAGTGGTACCCGCTGTCAGTGGTGAAGGGCGGTTCAGCGGCCAACATCATTGTGAGGGCCATGGAGTCAGAGTTTGGAAGGCTGCTCTATGGAAAGACCCTCATACGCAACATTGGCACGGTGCGCAGCAGTATTTTAGAGTTCAATGGATTTATGGAATAGTTGCATTGTGTGTAAAGTTTCACGTGAGCTGAATGTTTGTCTTGATGATGCCTTTGTGCTGCACAGGTTGTGTATCAGGACCGCAGGAAGATTGAGAACATGGTGAAGCGGAGTCTGCCCATGATGAAGAACTTCAAGGACTTTGAGTTTGGATTCAAGATCCGGGACAAGACGCGGCCCAACGACTGGTACTTTGCCGAGAATGTTACCATAATCCCACCAGAGTCAGAGCTGAGGGGTACCGTTGCGGATCAGGTCGGTGACTGGTGGAAGAGCCTCACAGGAGGCAATAACTGAAGTGCGAAGCGAAGCAGGCAGCAATTTTGTGAATGTCTGAGTTAATGCAATTGGTTTTCTGTGAGTATACCCAAGAACATTCTGTGCTTGTGCTGTGTTGAGATATGATGCTCAGAAGAGGGTTTTTTCGTACTTACATTCTGCTCAACTTGAATATTGAGTATTCTCATGAAACCGAACAGGACTGCCAGTGCTGACTGCTGTGCTTGGTGACGAAAATAGCATACTTTGAAAAATACCAGTGTTCTGCTTAACAAGGGGGTAACTAAAGGACTTCATGAATGCAATGATGCTTCAAGTGGCCATTCCACTAGATCCTCTTGGCGTTGATGTCCAATGATACTTCAACCCTGAAAGCCAGGCAATTCAAAGAATATCTGCGCATTTGCCGTTGTCCGCTGTGCTACAGCCTCTGGATCCTCCCCAAGTGCAGCCGCCACAGCATGAAGCACATGGGGAAGCAGGGCCGGCTCGTTTCTGCGGGGCCGCGCTTTCGAGGGCCGAATGGTGCGAGGCACAAGATATGGGCAGTCAGTCTCTAGCATGAGCCTGTCTTCGGGAATCAACTTCAATATGCTCGCCAGCTCCGCTCCGCCCCTCTCTGGTCTGTCATCACACACCTATTGCACCAGCAGCATCCCTTATGTGTCCGTGCAAGAGGAAATTCATGAAAAAGCTCTACCAAATGAACTTTTCTGCAGGCAAATTGAACCCACAACTCGTGTCAAGAGTTGCTCACCCAGCCAGTGATGCCAATATAGAGTCCCAAGTCGAGGAATATGTCGAGCTCACGTTGGCTTCCCGTGAAGCAGTGTGCAACTGCTGGAGCAGTGAGGTGATGCTCCCGCAGTATGCTGACAAAACGGTCGGCTGCATCCCGGCAATGCAGAAACAGTGGCTTCCTCAGCTCCACAGCTAACTTCACCTGAACATGCACAAAGGAAGAAAATTCGCGGAGGGTCCTTCACACAGATGTAAGGTGCATGGCACATATATTGGGTGAACCACCTGGTTGTCACAACAAGCATGAGGGCACACCTCTGCCTCTGCCGCACCTGCTCTGCAAACCAGGTCTCCTGTACAGCGGGCTCGCTAAAATTTCTGTTGGCACACGAATATTGTCAGCTTGAGAAGACCAAAGTCTCTTCATCATGCTGAAGGTCACATGTCTTGCACCGCACCTATTGAAATCTAGGCCACACTCGCCCACTGCGACGCATCGGGGATGCTTGGCAAAGCTGCGCAGCTGGTCAATGGTGTTTTCTGTGCATGACTTGGCTTCATGCGGATGCACCCCGGCTGTGAAGAAGATTGGATAGTCTGACTGTTCTGCTATCTCAGCTGCTTTGCTTGTGGACTTGAGGGAAGACCCTGTCAAAATCATCGCATGCACTCCTGCTCTCTGGGCCCTGGAAATGACTTCCTGTCGATCTGTGGAGAATGAAGGATCTGCCAAGTTGGCGCCTATATCAATGAGTGCCAGTGGTGATCGTCCTCCATAGTCAAAGAGCGCAGCTTCTGCCAGCTCCCCTTGAGAAAGCTTCACTGCAGCCATTGCATGCCTGCTGCTGCAGAGATGACGTTCCTAAACCAGGAATATTTTGGTTGTCAGAATGTAAAGGAGCCATGCATTCGAGCTGGTAGGGCACTAATCCCATTCGCTAGAACATGTTGCCGATGTCTAAGCGCTTCTGACAAGGAGTCGCACCTTGGTGCTTACTTTACCACGCTTGGGTATCAATTTGAAGATGTTCTGGGAGATGAAAGGGCGACAAACGAAGTGTTTATTCAGAAATATCGACTTGAGCATGGTTGCACGGCTGGCATCAGTCGCCTGTTGGGTAGGATACTAATCCAGATAACACTCAAATCTTGCAAACGAAAGACGGAGACCCCTCGCGAAACATTGGACAGGGATCGATCGATCTGTGGAATCATGCTTGAAACTGAATTGATCCAGAGTCTGAATTCCAGACGACACAGTGGGAACCCGCCTTGCCGCCGCTTGCAAGCGGCCGCCGTATCGTTCCCCCCGATTATGACTTTGGCTCCCAAAAGCTTGCAGGAACTTGCAAAAGTGTGGTCTTTGCACGCCTGGAGAGACATCTTTGGGTGTCAGTGCAAGGCTCGTCAAGATGTCGAGCGGACAGGTGATCCGTGCGACGCAGATGTTCACGAAACACGGAAATTCGACTAAGGTATCTGTGCTGAAGGAGATTGGTTATGGACTTGGTCTAGGCCTCGCCTTTGGTCTCGTCTGGAAGGTATGAAAACTCTTGCACTATGTCGTCTCGTTGAATTGATCCTGAGATTCCAAAGTTGCACTGTCTTGATCCTGCAGTGCAAGTAATTTTCTCTTAATCTAGGTCACTGTAGCAACGCAATCTTTTAATTTGCTGATGTCAGCTCTGCGATTGGCTTTGTATTTGAGACACATTGTGCTCATCACGGTAGCTGGGTCAGTCTTATAATGGATCCTGTGCTGCTATTCGTGTTCCAACCAAGCTCGTGGGCTGCAGACATACCACTGGAATGAGAAGAGGAAAATTGAGGAGTACTACGAGCAGCTAGCAGCTTTGCCAGACAAGCAATAGGGGTGAGACTGACGATCACAGACATTGAGCTCTATCGTTGAGTTCTTGGAGTTGTTTGTGTGGCTCTGCGAGGACCTTCGACCTCACCAAACCTAATGGACATGCATTTCGCAGCACCCAGAACATAGCATGACTGTGTTGTGGGTCTTGCAGGTTCACCCCCCAGATGCTTGCCATCAGCATGAGCACGATGGGCAAAGATATCCAGCAGGAGGGCAAACACTATTGAGGCTTCCATCGCTCATGGACAGATCACTTGCACCCACCTGCCGGACTTAAGTTTTGGCAACTGAGGCAGTGCAACAGATCATCGGCTGGGATCAGGCCATCAACAGGAATTAGATGCCTTGCAATAAAGTGTACTGAAGAGCAAGGACCTTGGAGGCCCAGCAAAATCCCATGTGCATTTGCAGCATGGTGTGTGTGCAAAGAGGGGGGCAAGTGCACCTCTGATTTGCATCTCTTGAAGTGCAGACAGATGTAACAAGTGAAGAGATGATTGAGGCTCAAGTGGTGGCCGAGGGGCTGAGGCACACTGTCAGCGGGCTGTTACATGCACTCTTGGCACTCCAAGATTTATGCAGGCATTGCTGATCTCTTCTATTGACATGTTCTTTCTACCAATCTAGCTAGCAGCAGCTACTTAAAACCAAGCTCTCAGCGAGATCTGCTCATATTCGAGGCTTTGGTTTCACTTCGGCATCGCTCATATGTCTCACATAAATGGCCTCTGCCGGGTGCTCCTTCTCTCCTTGTTCCCATGTATAAGATGACGCCACAGCAAGGTACTTCCCCTCCCTAGAAAACGCCATCGCTGAAACGGAAGTGGGATAGCCTTGTATCTGGCACAGCCGCTTCTTGTTTGCCCCATCCCAAACATTCACAGTACCATCGCCACCTGCATCCATGCATTACTTAGCAAGTAATCTTGAATCCAAAAACCAACAGCAACACCCACATCAGATTTTTGTATAAGCATCATTACACGCCTTTCCAATCCCTGAGGATCAGGTGTGTCGCAGCAGCCGTTCTATGACAGCCTTCCAGCCTTCTCTGTGTAAGGCTTTCCTCCACTGAAGCAGAATTCACCTGTACTAAAAGCCGCTCCAAAGACACCACGATACCCATGCAGCACTGCAGTGATGCCCAGCTGGCGATGAAGGATAAGGGAGACACTTCGCGCACCGCCAGTGGCAAACGTGCCGTGGACAGGATGGAAGGCGATGCTATTCACAGGGTGCACAGTGTCTGTGCCGGCCTCGCTGCTCCGATGGCACTTGAAGGCATACTTGCGCGTCTGGCCGGCCTCGGACTGGTCAAAGTACTCCATCGCCACGCGGCCCTCCACCGAGCTCACCGCAAAGCCGGTGCCGTCCGGGTAGCAGCGTACGCACCGTGTCTGGAACCTCAGCGAAGACTCCCGCTCCTGTTCTGGCAACCCCGCCTCCAGCCTGCACACTAATGTGTTCAGTGTGCCTGATTCTGGAATATATGAGATTCGATGAATACTCCCTCTCTCCCGTTCTGGCTTCTCACGAACCATGACTCATGGCAACAAGAAGTACAGAAAAAAGTGCTCGCACCACTCATTGAACAATTCTCTGATTGTCCAGGGCAGCATGTACCGGATGGCATTTACTTAGGGAGGGCTCACTTGCGGATGTCATAGACGAGGATGTGCAGTGAGGATGTCGCCACAACCAAGCGTGTGCTGCTCTGCGCCATGCTGAACACCTTGCCGGGCAGCTGCATCACCACCGCGCAGTTCCGTCCCTGCAGCACAGCATGATCTCTCCAGTAAGCAGGCTCTGTTGGTGATGGTAAAGAGTCATGGCTGCATGCCCACTTTGCTCCAGAAAAGTGAAGGTGTTCTGACTCAGAGGGGATTGGCCAGAGTGGCCAGGGATTGGCCACCTGGGGTATCCGCGGGTCCCAACAGCGTAAAGTCTTGTCCCATGAGCCGCTGGCTACCAGTCCTCGCTCTGGAAGCCACTCTACGCACCTGGCTCCTGCCGCATGCTGGCCGATGACCGTCTCCGCGCGCGCGAAATAGTCATACCTGCATGCAGCACAGCGCCATGCTTTCCACCTGACCGATCCCTTGATGGCGTGGACTGCATCATGATAGCTAGAAATACCTAGCTGAAAGGGAGAATCCGAGTAGTGTAAAGCCAAAACTTACCTTTTGACTATGCCGTCTAAGCCAGCCAGAAAGATGGATGAGTCTTCCTGGAAGGCCGCATCTAGAACGGGGGCTTGTTGTGAGAAGCTTCCTTTTGTCAGACTTCGTGGTGGATCGTACAGGCGCACTGACTGCACTCCATAGAAAGGGGCCAATTAGCAAATCATGGGTAGTGCCCTGGCCTGGTTTCCCCATGCCTATCAGTCAAGCTCATGGTTGTGCATACATATGTCTCACCCCATCCCAGGATGAACAGAGCAGCAGGTCGCTGGTGTTAGAGAAGCGCAGCCCAGAGATGCCATCATTTGGAGGGCTCTCCAGCGGCCTGCCCAGAAAGGGAGGAGGTGCTGCCATGGTTCAGGCAGCACAACCTCCTGATGCTCCTCAGCTGACAGAACAGGGTCAATCCACGATATTCAATTCAATAGCCGTATTTTGTGTCAAGAGGGGCACCAGAGGGGGTTCTCTTCTGGGTCTGAGATGTCGATGCTTTCCAGCTGCAAGGGAAAGCTGTGCGAGAATGGGAAGGTGTAAGAAAATGTGAAGTCTCTAAAAACGGAGGTGGATCTATGAACCTCTTCCAGGTTTGATGCACACTTGTATCAGATTTATGATGCAATTGCAATTGGGCATCTGCAGGGACGCAGCCAGCTACCGGTGATGATGTCATGTCAGATTGTGTTGAACGTTCATGGATGGCTTTTATGACAAAAGTTTTATTGACTTAATACAATATTCGACAGAACTCGCTTTGTTATACACATCACATCGTTTAGCTACGAGATTGCATAGCGGGCAAGTCACGCATCTTGTACTGCAGGAAGGGTCCTACATACCTCCATGTCTTGCGTCGGTGATGCAGATGATAAAAGAGGATTTTGCTCATCTGGTTTGCTGACAAATGAAGTCATCAGAGCATTTCTTGCAAGGTATGAGGTGGTCCAGTGGCCAGAAGCCATTCTGCTAGCAACTTTGCAAGGCGTCCTCTGCTTTGAAGACGTATTTGGACGAGAAACTACACCATTGAGGACTTTGAGATCTGCAATCGAGCAGAATATGTGGGATCCGGAAACCCATCGTGCTTGTGGGTCCCAAGGCAACACGCATCACATACCATCAGTGCGAGGGACAGGAAATCGAGAGTCGAGGTCGACAGACAAGGTGATCCTCAAACTCTGATTGAATCAAAATCAAACTACTGCGTACGATTTTGACAAGATTGCGCCAATGACAAGTGCCAGCTGCCTGTTTCACATCTTGATATATACACTGCTGAATGGCAACTCTTGGGGCTTGTTGGACAGAGCATTTATCCTGAATGGTGGGGTGACGGCAACAGTACAGCAGAGGATGCCGGACTGCATAGATTTGGTTCCATCACATGTGGGGACGGTGTGAGCCAAAATTACCTCAGTACAGCCGATACCGACAGCACAGGAGGTACCACGTGTCTTTTCAACATTTAGGTGCAATCCACAGCTTTCTTAAGGAGGTGTAGAAGCACCCTGTGGACCTGATTTCACCACTAAAGCCAATATATGTGCTCATCTTGCCAACCTCCATATTTTGTGTCTGACTCGCAGGGAACTTGCAGGCTGTGGGCGACGTGGGGACGAGCAGGAAGCACACTCGGAGGAACATCAAATCCCGAGTTCAACAGAAACTTCAGCAGGCTCAGAATCTGGCACAGCAGAAAGCAGCACAACGTCTAGAGAGATTGCAGAGGACTATTCAAAGGTGCAGTCAATCGCCACCATGCTTACTTGCCGATGCATCTTCAACGCAGTGGATGATGATGCACAGCATCATTGTTTTCTGAGGTGATACCTCTCTCCAAACTCCTGGAACCTAGCTGAGCCAGAGTTTTGCCTGTGTTGTGTGCAGGCAGGGTGACCCTTCAGCTGCAGATATGAATCACCTTGAGGGCTTCCCGGCTTGCTCAACAGCCTGCAATCCTGAAAGTGTTCTCAGCAATCCGTGGGTTGCAGCATTGGTCTCTCCCGAGAGACACGGCAATGGTGCAACAGAACGTACTTCATTATGATTTATAATTACTAGTACTACCAGGCGCCTTACATTGATTAGCGTTCAAATTTGCACCGTTCCGGCATATCTAGCACATTGCTCGACAAATCAAAAACCGAGTTTGCATTAAAAACACTTCATCATGATGCCAACAGTCCTGGGCGCGTGCCTGGGTCCAATTGTAATCTATTTCCTCTTAAAAGGACAGGATGGCTCAACCTCAAATTTGCTGCTGTTTGCTCACAATCCATGTTCGCCAGGTTTCTCAGACCTTATGGCGTTCTAGTCAGCCCGGGCCCCATATAAGACCTCAAAGCACCTTGATTGCGGCAGCAATGCTCTGGATCTGACCCACTGTCAGTCCAGTCTCCGCTTCAGCTGCAATCTCTTCAGCACCGTGGCTGGGCTGCACCTCAAACTTGCTGAAGTAGTCTTGGATATCCAAGTCTTCAACTGGCATCCTGCCTTGGTCGACCTGCAAGGTGCTGCCATCCCTCAGGTGAGGAATTAAGGTGGGTTGAAGAGGAGTTCATTTGCTTGTGAACAAGACTCAGCATGCTTCTTTGCGCATGCTGAAGTCATGTCCATCAAAGGAACCATTGTTGTGGCACATCACTTACCTCCTGTGGGGGAGATATGTCTGTCGCATTCTCTACTATGCCAAGTTCAGGCAATGCATCTGCAGCATGTTCCTCTGGTGATCCCACAGTGGCAATTGAAGCTGCTTCCACAATGGGCAAACTTGCGCTGCGGGATGGAGCGCTGTTGAGGGTGGGCATGCGCCCACATGGGTGGTGTGGAGATGGCAGCATTCCCAGCGCACAGGGTGACCAATCCTCTGCCAAAGACCACCGGGCCTTCCTGCACATAGCCAAGAGAACCCTGGAGATGCACAACAATGCAGACTTGGTAGGCTTCTTACTGGAAATTCTTGTGAAGCAATTGAAGCTTGGAGTTCTATCTCCACAGCTGATCATAGCTAGAGTGCTGGATGCAGCATTGGAGCGCACTTGGCAGAGGCTGTTTCCGCAGTAAAAGCAGCTCCTCTTGACCTCTGCATGAGCTCATCCCGCGCTGCTGCAGCTGCAGCAAGCGCCTCTGAGATTTTTTGCGCCCCTGAGCTGCCACCTACATATGCCCCTCCTGCGCCCACTTGAGAGAGCTCCACAAGCTGCTGCAATTGCTTTGTCTGCGCAGCACTGCCCTCCTGTGAAGACTTTATCCGCTCCAGTAGCATCCCTGCCACTCTCCTCAGTGCAGCTTCCCCGCTGTGCACAAGTGGATATCCATGCATGCTTGGAGTTTGCGCAAGTGCATGCAGGCAGTCGGCCAGCAAGCTGCTGAGCTGAGCACTGCTGGGCCTCCACTGCTCCCTCTGGACACCAACATCGCTGTGAGGCTGGCTGCTCTTGCGCTTGGCGCCCACCTTCTGCTGCTTGCCTTTTTTCTGGCCGGCCTCCTTTGCAACGCTCAGCAGCCAGCCGGCCCACTGTGCCAGTGTATCTGTTCGGCCCGTCGCTGCAGAAGTATCTGTGTTTGCCGCAATCTGATTGCTGTCTGGCAGGGTGCTGTCAGGGCTGGCACCCGATTGGGATGGTGGTGTGCAGAGGCGCTGCACTGCAGCAGCAAGGAGCAGCTGCCTGAGCTGGGGCCAGGTGCTGGACAGCCCCTGCACAACGGCCTCCCAGACAGCCGCAGCCACCTCCTGAGGAGTCAGCTTGCTGTTGCCAGCCTCAGCTGAGACGGCGCTGGCATCCTGCTGTGCTTCCAGCAGACCTGCACATCAGCACATCCCCGGCTACTGTCAGCTAAGATCAGACCTGGGAAAATGTTGGCTGTTGCAGAAGTCAATGCAGATGTCCATTCAAGATTATCCTCTCTATTTATTGGCTCTCTAGTTATTGGCGACACCTCATGTGGGGTGCGGGTCAGGACACGCACCGTCGTCCAGCAGGGGCCCAACCAAGAGGTGGGCAGCCGAATGCACCCGATCCCAAAGTTCTGTTATCACTTCGCGCCGCTGCTTTTGGCCAACGGCCCCACTGTAGGCCATGCTGTCACCCTGCGCATCAGCTGCATTCACTACCGCTGAATCTTCGTCCTCTGACTTCCCCGTGATGGCCTGCTTGAGGATCGCCGCTTGTTGCAGCTCCGTGTACCTCTGCACATGCCATATCCCTCTATGGTCAGTATGAGCGCAGCAAAGGAACGTCTTGAGACTGTTATGGCTTTGATTGATCAAAAGGGTATTTGGAAGGCGTGCTAGCACCTGAAGCAGGGATCTGATGTGCGCTCTGCAGCTTTCCAGGTGATCAGCCTGCCGCTGCCAGTAGGCTGAGGAGAGCCAGGACAGGGCTGCTGATGATGCCAGCCGCAGCAGCGCCAGGCTGGGCAGCTCATTGTGAGAGGCATCATGTCGCACATCCACAAGGATACGCGGTATGCCTGCACAATTAGGAAGAAATAGAGCTTTGCTGGATTGCACCAAAGCATGAAGACCAACATTCAAACTTACCACATAATAAGGAATGCACGACAGCAAGAGAAATTGGATGAATAACTCACCAGCATCTTCTGCTAGATTTGAGACAGACATGGCAATTCGGCCCTTCTGAGATGAGTCCGAAATGCCATTGACCAGGCGGATGATGAGCATGGCATACTGGAGCCTCAGCAGGGACTCTGGCTCTGCAGCCTGCTGCTTTGATGCGTTAGAAATACCCTGGTCTCGCATGCGCAGCTCATGCAAAGCTGCTGTGATTTCGGCGCCCAGCGGCGCTTTCCCTCGAGTTTCCCAGGCAATCACCTGCAGTGCCATCGTCATGTACTCTCAGAAGGAATAAAAATCCATTACAAGCTGTAGGAAAGTAGAATTTACAGGCTTGCATCAGCTTTCCAGGCCTTGACTGAGACTTGATCTCACAGATCAACTTACGATATGAGTGGGAATTCCATGCCCGAAAGGGCATGAATTGTGTACAATACCATACTTATTTCTGACGTCATGGAAGAGCGAATTACCCTGTCAATAGCAGTTCTGCGGAGTCTGGGGTCCTCAGAAAATATGCCTATCCTGACTCCTTCCCACTCCTCCCAGTCGCACCATGGCACAATCCTCCCCAGTGCCATCTAAAAGAAGTTTTTCTCGAGCTACCAAGACCTGCATAATACTCATATCAATTTCGAGAAATGCCATTGATGTCAATGTCGGAAGGAGACGGCAGGGCCCCTTCTCACAAGCGTTTCGGAGTTTTTACCATGCCAAGTTCTTGGATGTCGACAAGCACCTCATATTCGCGATCATATGCTTTCTCAAGAACTGATATAAATGGACACATGGGGCTCACTTTGCTGTACAACTTGGATAGCTGGACATTCTGGGGCATCAGCTTGGCTGTCTTGATCTATTTCGTAGAAAGGTGCATCAAAAGGCTGCGATCTAGATATCGACGGCAACAAGCGGTAATCTGTGAACTTATGAAGTCTTGATAGAGCGCTGTACCGTCAACCACTTACATGTTGTCACGTCGACACTGATGGCATGCCCATTGGAAGCATTCTCTATTGAGATGTCAACATTGATGCAATATTTACTTTGAGCTCCAAATGACTACCTTGGCACAATTGCAGGAAAGGCTTGAATTTGATTTGGGAAGCCAACTCATCACTGATGGATGGTGGGCTGTTCCAGCATATCCAGATGGCCGACAGGTACACCAAGACTCACGACATAATTTGTGGGCCATCACTTCAAAATAATGAATTGTATGTGCCGGACACATATGCCAATGAGAGTGTGGTGCTTGCAATGCAGGGGAGGAAGATACCAGCTGTTGTTCCTGGTACTATACTGACAACGCTGATACAGAATTGGATACACCCAGACCCAGATATAGGCCTTAATCAGTCCAGAATACCAGACATATTCCATGCAGGCCGCAATGTGTATACATACTGGTTCTGCAACTCCTTGAGGGTCCCTCAAGGAACAGGGCTACAGCAGGGAGGGCGAGTTCGCTTGATCCTGCATGGAATCAACTATTCTGGCAGGTGATGGCAGTCAGCCTCTTGAGTTAAGTCTCTTCCATGCGTTCTGGTGAGGCATAGGCTCCTTGAACTACCACGTGCCCAGTCCCTGGCTACCATGCATTTTGTCCTGATGAGTATTTAAACCACTTCACAGGATATTTATCGATGGGGATGAGGTTCTTGGTGGCGCGCCCATCAAGGGCATGTACCTGCGGCACACGGTTGACATCACCCAGCAGCTGAAGCAGTGCGAAACAGACGAATGCAGCCTTGCTGTCCTCGTCAGCCCTCCAGACCATGTTGGATGTGTTGACAAAGGGTGCGGCGCTGTGCTCATGACCCTGCATGCAATAGCAGATACAGGACCCAAAATTTTGCATTGGCAATGTGACGAATGTGCAAATTTTTCCTATGGCTTGTGTCTGTTCAGGGGCCAGGGTGGCGATCACATGATTGCCAAAGATGTCACAGCGCCATATGTGGAGGGATGGGATTGGATTCTGCCAGTCCCAGACAGGAACACAGGCATTTGGGATCACGTGGAGTTGTTGACCACAGGTCCTGTGGCTCTCCAGGTAAGCAGCAGACTATCTTTGAGGCCCAACAGCCCCTCCATGAATTCGTCCTGTATGTATCATGCCGATGTAGCCTGGTGACTCAGTCGGACTTCTTCCTTTTGCCAGGATATTGCAGGCATGATCACATATAAATATGAGGACTGTTCTGTGTCATGCAGCATCCTTATGTGTTTGCCGAGCGGGTCACGCCAGAGCAGCCCCTGTCCAAGGGAGCTTCCATACGCTCAGAGGTGACACTGGACAATTCCACCAGCAAAACATGGTCGGGCGTCATCACTGCCAAAATATGGCCAGTGGAGGGACCTCACTGCAGACAAGACACAGCCCACCGGACACAGGCAGCTGTGCCGGGCCGGAGCACAGCCTGCGGGCAAAGCTACCGGCCTGCAGGCAAGCATGCAGACATGGAAGCTGGCTATGCTTGCAGAACTGGCAGAGCTGTTGTGCAATGGACGGAGTGTGTGGTTGTTCCTCCGGGCAGCACTGTGCACAACCTGAAGCCTTGTCTCATAGAGAAGCCAGCGCTGTGGTGGCCCATACATCTGGGAGGACAGGTGACTGAGCTTGTCTACAGTCACCTTGCCACTAAATAGCCCTGCATCCTTGTGTCCATCGTGGCCTGTTGTTGCTTATGCTGCTTGCTTGAGAAATTTACTGTGAAAATTATTATTTCTTGCCGATAATATACTATGTGCATGTAGGCTCTGTACCATCTGGAGGTGACCCTGCACCTGGATGGGTTTGGCTTGTCGGACAGAGTGGTGCAGCGTTTTGGCATCCGTGAAATTGAGTCCAGAATAGATCAAGACCTTGAGGGTCACACATTCTATGTCAATGGCGTGAAGGTGACCAATACCCTCGTCCCATAGCTCCGCTGATAAGTTATAGTTGAGATCCCAACACCGCATGTGTAAGACCTGGAAAATAGGCTTGTGGCTGAAGGTTAAAAACTCCACACCAGGTGTTCATCCGCGGAGGCAATTACATAGCATCGGACTGGATGCTGCGCTGGTCTACACAGCGATATAGGGATGAAGTGCGCATGCATGCAGAGGTAATGAGCCTGCACTCTTCTGATGCCCTCCTTTGTGCTCTTCTAGCTCTCACCATGCTTAGAGCCTTCCTCCCACTGCGTACACCCTCCAGCAATGCTACGAGTAAGCGCATCTGCTGAACCCAATTCTTGAAATTGCTCTGCCAGACGCTTCAGCTTGTGGTCTCTTTGCAGATGGGCCTAAACATGATAAGGCTGTGGGCGGGCGCTGCCTGTGCTCGGGCGCCCTTCTACGAGGCCTGTGACGAGGCGGGGATCCTGGTCTGGCAGGAGTTCTGGATCACTGGCGACTGCAACGGCCGCGGCGCAACACCCGTGAGCCACCACTCCTTCCCCTGCTGCCAACTTTCACCCCTTCACCTCATGAAAACACCCTCTCACCTGTTACCCCAAATGAAGTGAACCCATCCCAGGCTGCTGCATTGGAGCCTGTCGGCATGCAGCAACCAAGTTTATTGCATATAATCACACCGAAAGATGACAAATGAGTCGTTGTGCATGTCAATCCACTCTTTTTACTCCCCCCTGCCAATATTGTATCAAGGGTGAGCTGTGTGGTTGCTGGCGTGCCTGCACCAGGACTCGCCGGTGTCGGATCACAGCTGGCCGCTTGACCACGCGCTGTATGTGGCGAGCGCGGCCGACACAGTGCGGCGGCTGCGGAGCCATGCGTGCGTCGCGCTGTGGTGCGGCGGCAACGAGCAGGTGCCAGCCGCTGACCTGGACGCCGCTCTCTGCGCCATGCTGCCCCAAAGGCCGCTCGGTGACACTGCTCCCAGTGGTGAGTAACGTTTTGGTGCCCCACATGATCAGATGTCTTTTGCTTCATGCGATTGGATAAGCAAGGGCTCTTGAGAGGTGTCAAATGAAGGGATGCTACCAATGCCTACACAGGAGGACAACTGACAAGGGCTGGGCCACGAGACTATGCATACTTAATCACTATATTGTTGCAGTTTCCTGCCCTTCAGGACTGAGATGCAATTTGGGGTATGCTGTGCCAGGCCCTGCCTTATTTCTTTCTCTGATATGTGAGCTAGCATGTGCGCAGATTTGGAGGGAGCGTGTCTAGCGGACGTCCCGTGCAACCTGGACAGCACGCGCGCATATGTGTCTGGCAGCCTTTGGTCCGGCTTCGGGCAGGGGCACGGGGATTTCAGCGACGGTCCTTACGGCATCCAGGAACCGGCATCCTTCTTCGACCCGGCCTTCTACCGCTGGCCATTCAACCCCGAGGTCATCACCCATCAAACCCCTTGCTGTGGCACCCATTCAAGAGTCCACAATATGGACAATTGAAGATACAAACCCTTGTGGATTGCGCTCCTGCCAAATGAGGACAGTGACCTTTCTATTGGAACTAATGGGAACATGGAGGGAAGTTTGGTTGGCTAGGACTTGTCATTGTGACGTACGTCTGTGGCGGGTTCAGGTGGGTTCTGTGGGCGTCCCAGAGGCGGAGACCATGCGCGACATCTTCCCCGACCCGGCCCAAGCAGCGCCGCCGGAATATCACCGGCTGCCATCCGGCCTAGTTGAGGTGCTTCATCGGCAGAGCAATTAAATTACGATTGGCAATTTCAAGGGAGAAAAGGCAGCCTAGCTACTCGGTGCACGTGCGCCAGAGGAGGTGTCAACACTGTGCATTGACTGCGCAGGAGGTGCCCAATGCAGCTTGGCAGGCGCACACATACATCTCCTACGGTGACCCGCCGAAGGGCGTCAGGAATCAGATCCTGCTCTACGGCGAGCCCAGCAGCCTGGAGGACTTCTGCGGCCTCGCCCAGATCGCAAACTACGTGCAGTACAGGTGCATTTGGTAATCACAGTCATGCCATTTCAACCCATTGTAGCAGCAAGAACTCTCAGAGGTGGCTATTGAGTGGGATGACGGCCGGCTGGCATGCTGATTGCCAAGCAACTGGATGCTCTCTCAAATTGCACGCCTTTATATGCGAGTTGATAAGTGTACATCCATGCCACAAGCTTGCCTCTCGCTGATCAGCCAGGCAGTTGATGTCCAACAGGAGGCACAGTGCTGTCCGCACAGCACGTTGACAGCAACATGGCAAAATGTGTAACAAGCTTCTGTGGAAATGTGGTCAGGGCGCTGATGGAGGGGTGGGCGTCAGGCATGTGGGAGCGATTTACGGGGTTGCTGCTGTGGAAGACGCAGAACCCCTGGGCCGGGCTGCGCGGGCAGATGTACGACTGGCGCCTCGCGCAGACCGGCGGCTTCTACGGCGTGCGCTGCGCCTGCCAGCCCCTGCACGTGCAGCTCAACCTGCACACCATGCAGGCGCGCCCCACTCCGTCTGCCACCTATACATTTTTGCCCCCTGGCACGCAAAACTAAACGCACAAACATCAGTGCTGCAGGAAACAATCACTCAAGCATTACACTTGTTAGTCATCCCTGTGCAGAATAGCTAGGCGAGGTGTGCAGCCAGAAGCATGCAGCTGCTTTGGGCCAGAGTGTAGAGTGCAGAGATGGCAACACTCTTCTACAGCAAGATGCCCCTGCATCATCCATCTCCCTACTTCGAGTCAAATAAAATTGTGCGCTTAAACATCTCGCTGCATGTGGCTGTCTGGAAAGCTGGGCATGAATGTGCACTGGGTGGTGAATACCATAGTAACGGTCAGGCATGTATTTTACAGAAGTTGCTCTGAAAAGCAGTGTTGCTGCTGTGCAGGTGGAGGTGGTAAATACTTCAGGCGAGGCATTATGCGATGCCACCGTGAACCTGCAGACCTTGTGCGCCGCCTCTGGCTCCACAGTGAGCAAGCGGGTGTCTGTAGGGAGCGCACAGCCATGCAGCCTCGCTCATGTGCCTGACAGCAGAGTGGAGGCAGGGCACGAGGGTGTCACTTTTGTCTTCTTGCAGCTCTTGTCTCCTGAGGGAGTGCTCCTCTCCAGGAATGTCTATTGGCTTCCAGACCAGCAGGCAAGCTGTCTGGCTTTCTGTACTGCAAAACCATTTGCAATTACATACATGATGCCAATGCATTGTTTTCTTCAATGGAAGTGCAGGATGATTTTTAACGCATGTGCTGTCTTGCAGACTGGAGACTTTCACTGCCTTAGGCCTTGGGCAGCAAAGAATCAAGTCCTGCTTTCAAGCAACGGGCTTAGCATCACTGAGCAGGGAGGCCTTGTCTCTGTGGCCTTGGACTTAGTCAACCAAGATTCCAGCCACCCTGCCTTCTGGATCAGACTCAGCCTGAGAGATTATGACAAGACTGTAAAGCCAGAAGCAGATCAGGGCAACGCCAGTTCCAAATCCAGGTAAGGCTTGCTCCTTTGTGGCTCATGCAGGCATGCCAATCATTGGTCCATGCCAAATCAAGTCAAGAGTGACTGCAAGACAAACAATCCTTGCCAATTCGAGATGCGCGCATTCTCATGTCCATCTTGGACTGACAGTGGGCATGCTTGACGACAGGCGTGTGCTGCCGGCTTTTTACAGCCATAACTATGTGACCCTGGCCCCTGAAGAGCAAGTGCACGTGGCTGTGGAATTTAGGCGATCATCATTGAAGAGGGCTTACATCTTACTATTTGACGGATGGAATAGCAGCCTATGCGTCAAGCTTTGAATTTCTGCCATTGGCACATCAGAATTCTAACCGGCAACCACATTGAAATGCCAATTGCAGAACAAGCAATGAAGTCTCTCACTTGACTGTTCTGCCCACTACAGCACTGTGATCCTGATTTGCTGCATGCTAGACCCAATTGACAACTTGATGTCACAGCTATGAGAAAGATCTACAAGAATGCCTCTTGAGGCATGGAAGAAGATAAAAAATCTATGACACAACGGCACCATTTGGTGCCCACTGGTGAAACTTCTATCTGATATCACCATGGCATTGGCCAGGTGGACTGTTCTACAAGTACATAATGTAATCTTAATAAGCCAGATTCAATGATGCTGACAAGACAGACTCTGTTCCTAGCTATTGTCACCGGCCAAGTGTGGACCTCAGTGCGGCCTGCATTTGACGACCAATGTCGTTATATTGCCACACGCGAGCACAGTAATAATTCGAATTCGATGCAGAAGTCCTCATTGCATGATGCGCACATCTGAAGTTTCTTCTCATTGAGGAGAGCTAGCTCCTGCCAGATCTCATGCTGTTGGACGGTCGTCCAAAGGTTGCAACAAATCGGCAGTGGATCTGGGCTCCTGCTGTCGGCAGAACTTGCTGTACTCCTGCTTGTCATAGGTCCAGGATCCTTTGCCGCCCAGGCATGCCTCCATCTGGTCCATGTCAAACTTCTGTGCCATCACTGCCGCCTCGTTCTGGCTGCTGACAAAAACCACCTTCTCCGCTGTCACTGTGTCTATGAAGGGGTGCAAGGCCTGCAACACGAACTGGCATCAGTGCTCCCATCATATTCAACAGCTGTACCATTCAAGATCCGCATGAAGAGGATTCGTTTAAGCCCTTTGACAAGACAGCAGTAAGGCAGAGCATGCGCACCTTCCATGACATGCTGAACAGCCGTGGTGGCAGATAGCAGAGCGCCAGGCCAAGGCGCTCAGGGTAGTGATTCTGCAGTATTGACAGTGTCGTGAGGCTCACCTGCAACACATCCTCCTCTCAACACAGCAGTGTCTCTTTGCGCAGCAATTATAGATGCACATCCCTTCAATGTTGAGGCAGCAAACACAAAGATGCAAGCGGCAGAAGGGAAGGATACCCTTATGGAGGGCGCATTGCGCATGCTGTACCCCTTGAAGTCTATGAGCCACGTTATCTTTCCCTGACCTGCACATGGGCAAAATTGCTGGTTGGCGGAACGGCGTGTTAAAACAAGATACCACAACATCAGAGGCAAAAGGAATAATGTTGTGGTGAAATTGAGAGCCTGAAAATTACCAGAGGCGTCTGCGATCTTGCTGGCGATCTCCAAAGTATACACCAGGAACCTGATCTGTGCCTCCGTATCTTTGCTCCTTTCCTCCCTGTCATGCAGCGCTCAATCTGCTAACGCTATGTTGTTTTTGCACTCTTTAGCATGCACAGGCAGAATTTCTAAAGATATGCTATGTACCTTGGCCGCATGATGACCACTGTGCGGCCACCTTTGTCAGTGCAAGGTGCGATCACTTGCTTCCCAGTTGCCTCATCTGCAATGCTCTCCCAAGTAATTTCATGGGGCCTGTAACTCCGGCGCCTGTGCACAGGACAAGGGCAAAGGTCTCTGCTACAAGTCATTTCAAGAGGATTCCAGAAGGATAGAAACATCACAGAAGTCAAGCAAGAGAATGACTTGATCAAGGACCTTCCTAGATCAAATGAGGCCCTCGGTGAAGGCTAAATGAGTATGCTGGGGATGAACTCACCATTCCAAGGTATTCTGGAGCATCTTTGCGGCATTTGCGATATTCCCATTGCGTGCTGCAAGGTATCGTCGCAATGTTGTGTCCTTGCACCATTCCTCCAGGGATGGATTGGCCTATTACAGGCACATGCATGCCCTAGTGAGGACTAGGCATAGAACCAACAATCAAAACGAAAATGATGCATACACCACAGCAATCCTTGATCCAGATTTTTCCTATGTGATGCTGATTAGTATGCCGATTTCACGTAAAGCTTCCGAGGGAACTTCTCAGATCACAGTGTAGGATGCCTTCGTGACTTCCGAGGTCTTCATGTCTACCCTCCTTTAATATCGTACAAACAGTTGTTCTAACATGCCACAATTTGAAAGACGGAGATTTTATCTGTTACCTTGAGAGTTTCCTGAACAGCAGCCTTAAGCTTCACCACAGCATCCTCCACGCTCTTGTCCCCATCGGCTTGCACGCGCATGCCCATTCGGTGGGGACGGAGCAATCCCTTTCTTATACAACGATTTCAGAGATGCGGGCAATGCGTGATGATGTTGTGCCATGAAACGTGAAGATGTCTACTATCTTGGAAGGGGAGACTCTAATTTTGGCTGGCATGCCACCTGTTGGCACAACTCTGAAGGTGGGGCAGAAGGTGGGGAAACTGATATCAGCTTTCTGATTTGAGGAAAGACAGCAATGTCAGTGATCGCTGTCAGAGATCGCGCTCTGAGAGCGCCGCTCTCCATGCCTTGACTGCGCTACCTTTGTGATTTCTGCCTTACTTTCTGATGTCAAAATTTTACAAGTTTGTCACGGTGGGCCCAATACTACCTTGTAAATTCTACCGATAGTAACGTCACCGTGAAGTCACCGGTACCGTTGACAATTGGTGCCATCATGCATTGCTATTTCGAGAAAGTAGTCAGACAAAGGATGAGTACAAAGGCAGTACTACTGTGTACAGGCATCTGTTGGCCGATCACAGCAGCAATAAAATTTTCTAGGAGAACAGCACAGGACGATGCAAGGCTCCGATCACTCAAAAAAGACTTTCAAGTTGCCAGTCAGCAGGTATTTGCCCGGCAATGGCCCAGGGCAAGGAGCCAGGTAGGTGATGGTGCGTTGGTGGATGTCAACATTGCTGATGTAGAGAAAACCCGCAACGCTGACAGACAGCAGCTGGTCCGGGGTGTTGGCATGGGACACTGCGACCAGAGAGTTCTGCAGCTCCGCATTCACTGCAGTCACTGCTGTGACGCGCAGAGGGTCTGCAACTGATGTGGCACCTGCAGATCACACGCACATAGATCTCATCCAGGGCACCATGCCAAACGCTGCTCCCTAAACTTGCTCAACATGCATGCATTTGCATACAGCAAGCTTGTGGCAAACAACCAATGAAACAAGCATCAGCACAACAGGGGACAGTGGGCCAACAGATCAAATCAGAGACAGCCCTTCTTTTATTTTCACCACTCGCTGAGCCTTTTGTGACACCCCTTTGTCTTTCTCTATATCAATAAGAATGGCACTTACCCAGAGGCAGGGCGGAGCTGGGCGCTCGTGGGCCGCCCCCAATGCGGAAAATGCGCAGCTCCTCGAAGGAGGCGGTCTGGGAGTGGGGGCTGAGGTCTCCGCGGACGCCGTAAAAGTACTCCTTCGTGCGGCGCGTGCGCGACTGCTTGCGCACCTGCGGCGTCCGCGTCACCACCCCCCCGCTGCTGTGCAGGCGCACCACCGACACCTCCGGCCGAGCCCTGCACGCAGCGCTCAATGCTCACACCGCAAGCACCGCTCTTGTGTGCGCAAAACCTATGCACACTTGCAAATGCAGCGATTGCTGCAAAGGTTGCCCAGATCGCCAAAATAACTCAAGCATGAAATGAAGACAGGTGTCAGGTCACTTGATGACCAGAAGCATTCAAGCCAGCCCATTTAGCTGACAATGTCAGCCTGACATTGTGCCGAGTGGTTTTCTATAATAGCAAGTAAACAGCTGTCAGCTCGTGAGGCCACCAGCTTGTGCATGGGTAGCACAGGAAAGCCTTTTTCTTGTAGGCAAGAGGCCCATGCGTACCGCAGGTGATTTCTGAGCTGGTTGTACAGGCGTTCCTGGCCCACCACAAGGATCACGTCTGCTTTGAGCGCCTCAATGGAGTGCAGCAGCAGCTCATAGCCCAGCCCCTCAATCCAGCCCATTGTGTTGATCATCACTCCAGCCGCTTGCACATCCACATTCGCCTACACGGCGACAGACTCACAAAAGCTTGGCGTTGAGGTCGCAAATGGGTTTTCCCATGACATGGACATATTGCAAGCCTCGCACTTCATGTCAGGTCATAAAATTGACCGGCGCCGAAGTGTGTTAGTCTAATGGGTTTGGGAACGCACCCGCCGGCTGAGCACGTCTGCTAGGCGCTCCACAAGAAATTTGTACAGCTCAGGGTTCTCTGTGGGGTTCTGGTGGCCGTAGAAATACACCAGAGGAACCTCGGTGGGCAACCCCTCCTCCACATCAATGAGGGCCTCCACTGGAGTGGCAGCAATGCAGCCCGGGACTGTTATGCTGCCCTGTCCTGCAGTCACACCAGTAACTTTCAGCGTCTAAGGAATATGCTGCAGTACATTCCCAACTCAATCAGTCACGTAAAGTGGTGACCAAGTTTCGGGCAGCATTGATAGTGACACAAGGGGCAATGACAGAGCCCCACCTACATCCAGATCCACTGCTGTGGGAACCCATCCTGCCCTGACAGCATAGTTGAGCAGGATCTTTCCCAGGCTGCTCTTGCCAGCATCTGTGGGCCCGACAATCTGCAGTTCACAGAGAACTGGGTGAGGTGCTGCTGAAGCACAGGGCAATTACTGCTGACGCACCCACTCTCTTGGTGTGTCGTGTTAGGGAGGAGGAGGCTCACAATCGTCCTGGGCCCTGACACATTTGATGTGCTGGCTTCCTTTGCTGCTCGCCTTCGCTGCTCCAGCCCATCATGGACATTTAAGTAGCTGACCATTGGTGTCTCATCAGACTCATACCTGCACGAGGGAAAGCATGTGACTTCAGAAGACTTGCTGGTTGCTTGCTAAGGGCTCAGTCACGTGCAGCCACATGATAGCGGGATCAACAAGCATGCATGCATGCATGCATGCAAGGGGGAGAGCACTCACACAACATCTGTTACATCTTCCACACTGGCGCCTTCGCCTGTCAGCTCCACTGAACACCCAAGCCATGTGTACACCTGCAATGCGGTTGCTTGATAGGACCGACCTGGCTGGACTGTTCAAGAGAAGCAACGTCGTCAAAGCCTCAGCAAGTGTGAGTATGCAGGTTGTTGCAGAACGTACCGCGATCTTCTGTCCTTCGAGCGAATAATTCTCCCCAAGAGCCAACTCGGTGCCAAATACCTCAGCCTGGCCTTGCAGGAGCTGCAAGCAAGGAAAGAGAAGGGGAGGTCAGGCTACTAATTCTGCAGTCTGATCAGGAGAGATCGTCTCTTGCTCAAGAAAGTTACCTTAAGACGAAGTACTTTAGCTTCTTTGACCTCAATGCGGAGTTCATGGCCCTGCACAAGCAGGTGTAGGCATCACATCAACAGTGTGGGTGGAGCACAAATGGCAATAACATCGGTACATGATCCTGAAGTCACTCGCCTTCTTCAGAGAATACTGTTGCGTTTTTTGCGATGTTGACATCCCTCCTGAAGGCGTTTACAATGAAATGAAGTGGTGAACAGCAGTCACCTCGACTATTGAAAATGAGCTGAAGGTCAGAATCGAGTAAAATCGGCTCCTGCACTCTAAAGTACAGTCTTACAACTAAGAAAACTACGTATGCATGACCTCTGCGGATGAATGGGGGAAGGTGGACTTCATCAGAGAAACTCACATTGCCCGAGGGGACATCGCGGCTACGCGCTCATGTCAACTTATCACAATGCCAGAGATGATTCGATCGTTACTCTCTTTCTAGACAATGCGATCCCTGTTGTCACAGCCAGCCACCATGCAGACAGCGATGACATTCACGACTGCAGAGCGCTGCAGTGCACAGAGCTTGCTAAGCTCTCGCTCTCATCAGACTCTCAGACTCCCCATCCCCTTCAGATCTAACAACGGAAGGACATCAGTACCTTGCAGATGTTCGAGTAACGATGATCAGAGCGGCGTTGTGAATGTTCAGAGGCGATCGGTGCTTTTGGGAGCTTCTGCTGCAGCTCTTTTGACGCTGCAAAGCCCAGCTCTGGCCACAGATGGTAATGAAGTGGTCCTGACGTTTGCTCTAGATCTGTTCATGCACTATAAACTGACGTATCTAGCACATCTCACCAACAATGCTCAGTCTATGTTCCCCTCCTTTTCAGACCTGAAATATCCAATGTTGGACCCAGCAATTGCACAAGCAGATTTCGTAATGGCCTTCTGCTTGCAGGATTCAACACCTTCTGGGGCTTGGCCCGACCTCCAACAAGCTATGGTGCTTATGCTGGCGACAACAAGGACGCAGCCAAGTGTGCACTTTCTTGAGTGCTTTCTTGGACACACTGAATCTTGATATCCCTGTAAAAGCACTGCATACAAATATATGCCACACTGACTAACAAAATAACGTTCTCATTCAGGTACGCCTTTGATTATCCGGCGGGTTGGAAGGTGGAGACGGTGGGAAAGGTAAAGTTCCCTCCTGGCTGACTTCCTTGGGTACGCTTTGTGTCTGCCTGAGTGTGATTGCAGGACCTTAGGATACTGAGCTGCTGCTTCCTGCTGCAGAATGAGAAGGGAATGCAGGGAATTGACTCCCGTGTGCGAAACATTAAGAACAAGGGTGCGCACTGATTTTTTAGCACAGCTGCCGTTTTTTTTGCAGTAAATTGGAATGTCTACCTGGGAAAAATTGCCTCATGCATGATCACGTTGGGAGCAGGGCAGACTGCATACCTGGTGACATTTGGACGTGCTGGAGAGGACAACAAGAAGTTCAAGCTGGGAGATGTTGAGCAGACGCTGCAAGGTTTGTCACTAGCCCGAACCTTTCGTACAGCCCTCGATTTGTGATGATGATCGGCCCTGTTTTATTCCCAGCACATCTCAGAGTTTTTTGTCTCGTTCCAGGTTTTGCTGGCGCTGACTATGATCTCCAAGATGCCTTGGTGGAGTCTACAGACAAGAAAACTAAGACTCGGGAGGTTGATGGCCAGACTTTCTATGACTATGAGCTGTCTGGCCCGGTAAGTGCTGAAGCACACCCGAGCATTCCTTTATCTGCGCTGGCGACGAGCAACCCATTAATGTAAAGAAATGAAGTAGTACAGATATTTACTGTGTCTGTTCTGATTGGCTTACAGGCAAACAACTACCTGGCCACTGTCACATTGAAAGAGGGCAAGGTCTATGCCTTCTTTGTCAAGTCCCCTGCGAAGGTAAGGCGGGTGGCATTTTGCAGTGGTCACTGACTGCCAGCAATTGATTTATCAAGGGTCTCCATGCCAATCATATTGTCCTCCTGTCCCCTGCAGAGCTACTCTGGAGATGAACCTCTTCTGAGGAACATAGTGCAGTCGTTCCGGACTGTGTGAGCAGAAGTTTGGCGCATGCGAGAATATTAGAGAAAATGGATATCGACGAAATTGAGTGTCCCTTCCGCGCATCCCCTGGCAATGAAGGGCCATTCCTGGTCATCACAGTGCTTTCAAAAGGCGTGTAATGACTCATGACACTGAAAGCGAGTCGCTCAAGTGCTATTTCAGTGCAATTGACTTTTGCAGAACGAGGTTTGATGCAGAAATTGAAGCATGTCTCGCTAATAGTATGCCTGTCACACATGGTATACCTCGAGGTCATAATATCCCGGTCCAAGAAAGGATTTGCTTGGATCAATTTTGTTTTACAGAAGAACTTGCTCAATTGTATCGGAAAGCGTGATGGGGCTCCGTTCATGCAGATCTACAACAACTGCACCAATTTTATCTCACATGCAAAAGAATCACTTGTTGGTCCACATACGTTCTGTTAGTGGTCCTTTTAATCAGTGAGCAGATGGTGCAAAATAAGAGACACGACTTGCGAGCCAAAAAGCATGTGCACATGCTGTACAGTGTACAGTCCTACATAGCTGTCGGCCCAAATTTTGAAATTGAGGACATGGAAATGAACAGCATCAAAATTATGTGAACTCAGATCGAGCTGATTAGAAATGGGATTTAAGCCTCTGAGAGTACATTAACAGATCTGAGAAAGAAATGGTCACATGCATGTGCAACGCTAAGTCACATTCGAGCGCCAATGATACAGCTGGTGCTTGACTCTCATTGCTCGCTCATCAAAACCCAGGTTGAAATCTCTAAAATAAGCTGGTGACACGTGTGTGCCTAGCCCTGCTGATGAGGGAGGACAATCACAATTTCCACACTCTCTTCAGTGTATCCCTCTCTCGCTTGTCTGTCATGCGGGAACTTCTATACATGCAGCTGTCACTTCTTTGCCTGCTCTTTCTCGTCTACAAGCGCCCAGAGGTTTGTGCGACGTATGTTCTCTTCCTGTAAAAACAGGACCTTGAATCAGCACAAGCAAGCATGGATAGAGGACAGGAGAAGAATTGGCTGACAATTGCGAGATCAGATCAGCAATGGCCTGGGTTTCCCAACAGCCACACTCGTTGTTCCAGAAAACAATGAGGGGGATAGCGCGTGTACCTCTGGGGCTTCAAAATTCTTCACCAGGCCGAAGCACTGGCGCACATGCTCAGGGGACTTGCCACGTATGAGGTTTGCTATGCCTTCGCAGCAGAGCTCTAGCAAGCCAGGTACATTTAGGTAGTGAGCTGCCATCACCAAATGATAGAGCTCATCTGTGCTCACCTTCACACACACACACAAATCACATCCATTGATACAGTGGTGCAGTCAATGCAGGGCACTTCACTGGAAGACTGCACAATACTGGCAACAATGCATTGCGTGACAAATTGCTGGAGCAAGCTAGTGCTCACCATTATATATCTTTTGTCCCAGGCTTCCATCTCTCTTGTCCTGAGCTCATCTGAAATGTCTGTCACTCGCCTTTGCAACGCTGTGTGCTGGGTGCAATACTGCAGCACCTTTCTGAGCGTGCAATCACAGACATTTGGAAGGGGCACAACCAAGGTGCTTTCTTCCCCATCCTTTGCAGCTGCACACATGATAAGGAGCACAGTCATGCAGTTGAGATTACAGGGCATTATCAAGGGTGCATGCACGTGCCCTGACAGATGAGAAGTACTAGATATCATGCGCAACGAGGTAGACCTATCCTTCAGCAGCAACGTCAACGTCTCAACACACACTGAAAGCCCATGGTGCACTTAGTAGACTTGCGACCGAAGCAGACTCCCACCTTCAAGCTCTTCCAGCAGACTCTGTACCGTCTTGGACAGGCACGCGGCTTCTTGAGCTACTACATGGTCCGCACCATCACAACTCCTCAGAATGATACTACGCATGGCTCGATCATGTCCTTCTCACTACGGGTCGATCCGTCGATTCCCCGCTTCCAACCCAACGGATAAACTGTCTATGGATCCATGTGCATGTTTCACTGCGATTGGCAGCACTCCGTCTCATTATAGTGCTGGGCCAGGACAAACCAGACGAACGCCGAACCAACGTCACGGAACAACGTCACCGATAACGTCATTCCAAATTCTGCCACCATCTTCGGTTGCCCAGACGTTGCATATTTTCTTGACCTCGACATCTGAAAGAAGTTTTAAAGTCTGCCTGTAGCCTTGAGCGCGTCGCAGTCATTGCTGAGTTCGAATCGCGAGACATCAGGTTCAGGAAACTCTAGAAAAAGTCACGAAGATCATGCAAGCTCTGTCGCTATAGTCTGCTAGATACATTGCAATTCTCTAAATTATTTATTGACCAAGTTGCGGCGCACAGTCTGGAACATATAGCATAATTTTATGAGCATCCAGGCCTACACTGGCCCTTCTGCAAGCGCCAATCATGGGGCTATTGTGCCAGTCGGCGGTGCACAGGAGCTTACACAGGAGGAATATGAAAAGCGGCAGAAGGATGTGAGCACCTTCGGCCTTTTCGAGAAAAGAACATCCTGTGAAGTGCAGTCTCCCAGAAGCACATATATTTGCTTCCACATATGCATGGAGACATCACTGCTGATGATTGTAAAAGTTGTCTTCAATTCCACAGGCAGCAGAGCTCGAGGAGAAGCTCAAGTTTATCACCGAGAAGGTGCCAACCAGGATCTGTCAGGTCATGGGAAGTAATGCTGGAGCGGGGAGTGGAGAGTTCCACATGTACAGAATGGTGGGGCAATGGCTCATCTTTGTTGTAGCATGGGGATATCTGGTGGCCTTCCATCCAGACGCCATCATCGTGCAGGTTGGGTGTGTATAAGACCATGGCCGGGCTTGCAGGCACGAAGACGTGAGATGATGCGACAAGACCGGATGGAAGAGGAAGCAAAACAGAACGACCTTGATTTAGCATATGAGGTGAGATTTGCCCACCCTTTGAAGATCACAAAATGAGCATTGGCACTCCCAGCGAGTCCCATGCTGCAGGTGATTGCGGCAGGCAATCTCATCCACTGACAGCGGCATCTGTTGTGCATTGCAGGCGAAACAGGTTGCACTGCGGCAAGCGGAGGAGGAAAAGACTGCAAAGCGGAGAGCAAAGCGGCTAAAGAAGAAGGTGCCTTGCTGCCTGCTGCATGGATGTGAAGGGATGATGAATACTGGCTAATGTCACAATGGACCAGCTGTAGTGTTGAGATTGGTAATTCTCCTTGGCATTGCTGCAGACAAAGAAGAGGAAGGGAGCAGGAGCGGACGGGACTGTCCAAGCAGCAGGCAGGAGTGACAGTGAGCAGAGTGACGATGACGGAGTGCAGCAAGCTGCCCTTGATTGATTGTCTTTTTGTGCAGAATACTATATGCAAGAAAAAGCTCATCGCTGTATCTCATGGTCACATGAATGTTTGGCCCAAGGATTTCCAGGCTTCAGTGTAGAAAGGACGTTGAAGAATTTGTATCCAAAGTGTTTCGTGCCGTGGCAGCAGGCACTGATGCACTGAGATCAATACCGCGTGCTGCACTGATGGCCTCCAAGTAGACATCATATAATGGTAATGCCAAATCATATGGCGTCCTCTATATCTTCTAGAAGTTTGAGTCCAAGCCAAGCCGCTGAACGCTTCAAGCAAGTTGCCACTGGCTGCCGGCTAGGTGCAGTACAAGGGAACATTCTCGATGCCTCATTGCTGCCCGGGGGTATGAGCTGTTGTGTGCATCACCAATGAATGACACAGTTCGATGTTGGATAGATTTTTAAGAAGCTTCTGAATTTCTGCTGGCACCTGCAAAAACGGGGGGTCCTTGGCCAATTGGATCCATTGAAGTAGCTGCGGGCACCCCTTTTGGCGCACCTCCAATCGCACATACATAATTAGGGACGATTCAAGAGCCGCTGTGTGTTCAAAAACTTCGTGCGTGTACAAGAATAAATACTTTCTGAGGGTATCATTTCGCACCGTTGCAATTTCCTGCAAGACGGGACGTTGTTGAACAAACCGGTTACTGATGGGGCGAACACCTGAAGCAATGTGAAATCTGCAAAGAGCTGGGTCATTTGAACAAATGCTGACATGATCAAATGCATAGAAGGACACTGATTGATTGCACATGAGGAGACAATCTTTTGGGCGGAACTCTTCACTTTGTACTTCACCTGCCTGTGCAGTAGGAAGTTGCTATCAGGATGCGACAACAAAATCTTTTGGTGAATAAAACTATCGATGTATCTTGGAAATTTACTCCTTATTTTGGGTCTACAGATCCGAGCCTCCAGTGTCCAGGAAGAAACGCTGCTTCCATGATCTGACATCTTTCTGTGCGATTCCAGGTCATTGTTATCTTGTTTATAGTCTTGGGTGGCTATGCTTTCTTCCTTCAGTCCAAGCTCACTATAGAGGTGGGTGCCAGTTCTGGTCTTGGCATGCTAATATGTATTACTTTCAAGAATCATAGAAGCTGAAAGATTGCAACTTGTTACACAGGAAGCGGAGCAGGGGTTTGTGAGAAGCAGAGGCTTCAAAGGCGAGACCATGCGGGAGTTGGCTACAGAGGTGACCACATGCACTGTAACTGGACGACTACTTGAGCTTACTATGCAAAATAATGCCTCCCTTTGTGCGTAATTGATGTTTATAGCTGCATGGCAGGCTGAGAGGGCAAAACTTGTGGCACTTGCCACTGAGGAGGAGTTGGCTTTGTTGAAGAGGACACAGAAATTGGCAGAGGAGGTATGACTACATCACATATCTACCAAAGGGAGATTGAGGTGGCTCGATCAGCAGAAACCTATGGCCGGTATACGCGCCAGCCTTCTCATTTGAACACTAAATTGCACGATGCGTAGGTGGCTGGCCTTGCAAAGACTCTGCAGGAGAAGAAGGATGAGCTGGAGGCAAAGGGGAAGGAGGCTGTTGCGCAAGCCCGTGCTGTGGAGGAGGCATCAAAATTGGTGGCGGCGCGCAGCCCACCCCCACCGGTGCTTGCTGTTCAGAAGGTGGCTGTCAACGTGACTGAGCGGCAGAGGGCGCCAGTCATTCAGGAGAGGCCTCCCACGGCCCAGGTGGCCAACAGTACAGACACTTCAACACCGGCAGGGTGAGCCTCACCAATTTTGTCCTGCCGCCTGTCTACCAAACAGCAGCATGTATGCAGGCCCATTTGTCAGATTTGCGGACGTGCTTTGCCCCATCAAGATGCTCTCATGGCAGAAGTACCGTACTTGCCCATCACAATGCTTTCCTGATGGATGATCTTGCAAATCATGCTGCCTCTCCCGTTGCTCCCCCAGCATCAATGGGGGCGGCAGTTGGGCCCTGCCAATGAAATGTTTGCTAGCCACGCACCCCCATGGGGCAACATGCAGGGGGAGTTTTCCTTAGACGCCTTCTAGAAATTTGCACATGGTGTGCAGAGAGAGGCATGCTAGCCTGCTGATCCCATTCCGCGCACTGCTGCAGGAAGCAGGCGGCGATCGTGGCGGCGATGCGGCACTCGTGGGCGGGCTACGCGCAGCACGCGTGGGGCTTTGACGAGCTGATGCCCCTGACGCAGAATGGCAAGAACTCGTTCGGCGGCCTGGGGGCCACCATCGTGGACTCCCTGGACACCCTGTGGCTCATGGGCCTCAAGGACGAGTTCAAGGCGGCCCGCGATTGGGTTGTCAACGAGCTCTCCTTCAACAAGTGGGGCCCCCTAAACTTGCCCCTCGCTTTACTTGAATGACCAGCGCGTCTAGCAGGCACTACTACATCTGCGCATGGGAATTTATTGTCCGTTTTCAGTGATCCCAACCGAGTCAGCTCAAGTGGTGTGTGCTGGCGCAGGTTCTACGAGGCGTCCGTGTTTGAGACGACGATCCGTGTCGTGGGCGGGATTCTGACTGCGCATGAGCTGTCCGGCGATGAAGCATTCCTCAGGAGGTCAGCCTTTCCATTCTAGCATACCGCCTCCTGCACCAATACATCATGCAAACTTCATGCACACGCCGCAATGCCAGACTTTCGTCTGCGCATGACACGTACGTGACTGCAGAGATGTATGGTGCATTGTGCAGGGCAGAGGAGCTGGTGCAGATATTGATGCATGCCTTTGACACGCCGACGGGGATCCCCTACGGCACCATCAACCTGCAGACGCAGCAGGGGCGCAACCCCACCTGGACGCAGAAGGCGTCCATCCTGTCGGAGTTTGGCACGGAGCAGCTAGAGCTCATCCAGACCTCCCTCAAGACCGGCAACCCCGTGTACGCTCAGAAGACTGAGGCCGTCATCAAATTCCTCAACGACAAGTACCCCAACCAGGCACGCCCCCGCCCTGCACCACTGGCATGTCGTCACATTTTCGATTTTTCACTTTGGCCAAGATCAAGCAACGCCGTATCTTCGGCTTGAGTGCATGCAGCTGGATCACTATCCTCTTCTTTGTACGAAAGTCACTTTATAACCTGTCATGCTCATCTGTTCAGCTTGAAGCGCAGAGATGCTTACGCATTGTTCCACGTGATTGCTTGGGGCAGCGGTGGGGACAGTTGATCTGTGTGGAAGGGTGGATTGCTGGGTCTGAGGTGGTGTTCCATGCAGGGGTTGTTGCCGCTGTACATCCATCCCCAGACAGGGCAGGCCACGACGCAGATGGTGAGCCTGGGGGCGATGGGGGACTCTTACTACGAGTACCTGCTCAAAGTGTGGATCTACAAGGGGCGCCGGGCGGAGGACGAGATGTACCGCGCTATGTGGGAGCGCTCCATGGACGAGATGCTGCGCAAGCTGCTCTTCAAGAACGAGGAGTCCGGCTACACCTACGTTGCCGAATTTGCCCGGTGCGGCTCCCCTCTCTTGGTTCTCTCTCGGGCCAGGCACCTCAATCGTGTGGAGAACATGAGTTGCTTGATTTTATGAGATGCTAAATCACAGATGTATCATGTGTATTACGGCGCATGTAGTCTTTGTGACCTCTTCTCTTGTATAATCGGCAACTCTGGAAAACTTCAGAGCGTCGTGGCTCCTCCGAGGCAGTGTCGTGACGGGGACTGTCCACAGAAAGGATAATAGCCACAAAGTCATTGTTCTCTGGCGTGAGCTAATGGATAATGCTAGAGATCAGATATTAATTATACCCCTGTGTGACGGCTGCAGGGTGGATGTGGTGAAGCACAAGATGGACCACCTGTCGTGCTTCATCCCCGCCATGCTGGCGCTGGGGGCGCATGCAAGCGCTGTCACCGGCGCCAAAGCCACCCGCTACCTGCAGGTTGCGGAGGAGCTTACGCACACCTGCTGGCAGATGTACCACCAGATGGCCTCCGGTAAACGCCCATCTCCCACTCTTTGTCTGTTATTGTCAAAGGTATACATAGGAGGAGATGTAATTGAGCGTATGCTTATTTCTCTTGTTGCACCTACAACCTACTTTGGCTCTGGCAGGCAGGATGTGGGCAGCATCTGACAGTGAAGAACAAAGTTGTGCAGTCTTCTTGGCATGCTGAGGTATTTTGAAGACCCAATAGCCATGCAGTGTGGGAAAGGGCGATGTGCTCAGCGCGAATTGTGGATGCTGCAGGGCTTGCGCCGGAGTATGTGGAGTTTGGGACGGCGGGCATGGTGACAGCGGAGAAGGCGAAGCATAACCTGCTGCGGCCGGAGGCCATGGAGGCGATGTTTGTGCTGTGGCGGGTCACGCAGAAGGAGCAGTACAGGGAGTGGGCCTGGGAGATGTTCCTGGCATTTGAGAAGAACTGCAAGGTGCCGACACTCTCCTTGAAAATACACATGCCATGCCCTGCTTTGAGCATAAGGCGCCTTGATTTTGCGTCATTTCCCCTGCCATCTTCCACCAAACACAAACGTGTGAAGCTCCTCTCAAATTCTCATGATGACGTGGGTGACTTGTGTGCGCGCAGATGCCGGTGGGGTATGCTGGGCTGAAAGATGTGACGGTGGTGCCCCCCCCAACTGACAACACCATGCAGAGCTTCTGGCTGGCAGAGACGCTGAAGTACCTGTGGCTCCTGTTTGCCCCAAACGACGTGGTCAGCCTGGATGACTGGGTCCTGAATACCGAGGCACATCCCTTGAGAATAATCAAGAAGTTGCCTGACTTCCTGACCTCAAATAATACTGCGCAGGCGCAAGTCAATCCGGTTGTTATGAATTGATGTCATCGCAGTAGTTTTGCTGCTTCAGATCTGTCTACAGGAAAGCGCTAGCGTTTATGTTGAAGGATTGGGTTCTGCTCTAACGGCAGCCTCATTGCATGCATGCATCAACATGGATGCGTATTGTAATATCTTATTCCTCAATATTCAGTCAAGAGCTAGAGGATTCCGTGGATGTTTCTTACATACCATACTTGTACAGTATAGCAACCGATTCTGCTCTACAACCAGGAAGCCTTCTGGAACGAGTGCAATTTGAATACACAGATTTCCTGTTCTGCATGCATGAGGTGCACTCTGGCTGGGCGAGCCGTACATCTCAGTCACCCCTGCTATACGTTGAGGATCGGAGGGCCACAATGAGGCGGCAAGATTACCCCCCATTTGCAGCGCCAAGAGAACACTACTTCAGGCACTCTCACGAGCTGAAGATCCCCTTTCACACCACAGGATAAAGCACTCGGGAAAATAAAGACCCTGAGAAGGTAAGAGCCCATGGTATCAACACAATCACAACAATGGAGCTCGCTGAGCTCAGATGAGGAGACCACGCCCCTCAATGCTCATCTTTGAGGCCTTGCCGCCGCCGCCGCCGCCCTTTTTGGCGTTTAACTGCTTGAGCTTCTTCGCCATGCCTGTGGCCTTGCTGCTTCCCCCGCGGATACTGGCTGGGTCCACGTTCACCTTGCTCTCAGGCCGCTTGATGTAGTCAAGGCGAGCCGGCTGAGGGATGCTCGCGTGCCATCTGAAGCCTGGATCCCCTCGCTTCAGCGTCTGAATACCCACACTCCACTCCTCACCATCAGCCAGCAGATCACGATAACTCACACGACTCTGTCAGAGCACCGCCACAGGCGCCCCAAGGGTGATAGATCAACTCGCAACTGGTGACAATAGTAAATCTGTCCACCTTCTCGATACAGGTTCTCTGTCAGTATGAAGCTGATGAGGCAAGCCAGTGCAACAAGCAATGGGCCGAGCAAGACAGGCAGCCAAGTGCAATGAGCAGAATGGGGAGGCTGACCTTTGTCTGCGCTTCTTGTTCGGCTTCAGTGGCGGCCTGCGCCTTTTGGCGGACGGCGCGCGCCTGGCGCATCTGCAGCTCGCGCTCGCGCACTTCATCGTCCTCGTGCCGCTCCCTGTACTGCTCAAAGATCGGCCGGCTCCACCGCTCTATCAGTTCCTGTGACCACAAGCTCGAATGTTGGTCACTAGCAGTATTACTACCACAAGCTTTTCCTGCCAGAGGCAAGATGCGCATGCAGCCCAGCTGCATACATATTAGGCTAAATAATAATAATTATTACTATTACACGCTTTTCCTGCCAAAAGGCAAGGTGCGTCCTGCAGACAAGCTGCAGTTGAAGGCTGCCATAATCCTACCCCTTGTTGGACTCGCCAGATCCAAGCAAGACCCAATCAACCGTGGGCATGGTGCTCAGGCTAAATATAAATCAAAAATTGCAAAACCTCTGATTGGTCATTCAACATCAAGCCAGAAGAAAATTTTGCAGTGCAATGAACTATGAGGCATTGCACACACCGTTGGAAAGAGTCTCATGACAGGCGACTGCCATAATACTGTCATGCATGAAATAATGCTGAGAAATCTTTGGAGTGAGAGGTGCATGATTAGGAGCTCACCTTGGCGATGCGGCGGTTGGCCTGAGACTCATCTGGGAGGCGGAACAGGAACATGACCACCTTGCCCAGCTCTGACTTCTTCAGCTGCTCCTTGCGCAGGCTGTCAGCCACCTCAATGGGCAGCTGCTGTAGCATCTTCAGGACTGCTGTGCGAATCTGCAGCAATACACAGACAAACACTGTTAAAATGTTACATACACAAAAGACAGGCTTGCAGCGTCTGTGCGGCACGCATCTGCACAATAGACACGACCATAAGCTGGATGTGACATAGGGAGTTGCAATCGGAGTCACTGTCATGCGCAGGCACCACGCTTGCCTTGATATTGGGCAGGTTGCCATCTGGCAGGGGCTCAATCCAAGCCTTGAGGACCCCCAGGATCCCACTTGCCAGCAGCTCGTCATGCCAGGTGCGCTTTGCCAGCTTCTCTTCCACCTGCACAACGATCGAGATGAAGTTCAGCCGCAAGGATCTTTCTACAAGATAACACTACACATGGACAAATGAACGGGACAAATCACACGCACTGCACAGCGCGCACAAGTGTACAGGCATGTGCAAGAAACATAAAGGACCCTTGGTGAACCGATGGCAATGTACCTGTGACAGCATCTTGAGCTTCATGACAGCGGGCTGCCCCTGTTTGTTGGCCTCCATGTCCTTCTCTGCTGCCACCTCCATGTGCGCCAGCAGCTGGTCCACATTGGCCTTCACATCCTGCACATGCCCCCAGCAACGTTTCAGATGTACGGTATGCCCTACAGCAACAAGCGCCAGTGATCATGCTGATTTTATCCACTTTAGAAAATGTGCAAATGCAGTCGACCTGTCAGAGGCTGCTGAACGTCACCTCTGCTAGGGCGGCTCGACGGCGGCGCCCCTTGGCCCCGGCAAACATTCTCTCAAACTCGTCCTCCTCTTCCGAAGCCTCCTCGGCTTCTGGCGCTTGCTGGCGCCTCTCCTCGTCACTGTCACTGCAAGGATGGGTGCAGCCTCATCTCAGTCATGTTCTTCTCCAGCCCCATGCACAAACACCTTCGAAGTCGAATCCAGCGCCATTGACTGGACACAGCATCCTGGCAAACTCATCAGAGTCAACGAGGAGGACAATGTGCCTTGCCTTGCAGCTCCAGCACCCTCCACGCCATCATCGTCAATGAAGGCATTATCTGCTTCATTGGGCTGCTCGTTGCCTTCTTCTTCCTCTTCTTCCTCGCCTAACTCCTCAGCTGCGCCTCTTGCTGCCTCATCCTCATCGCCATTACCCTCTTCTTCATCTTCGGCATCACCTGCTGAGCGTCGCTGCCTCTTCTGCTGCTCCCCTTCAGCATCCCTTCCAGCCTGTCCACCAGAAGAACTTCACTTTCGATGACAGTCATGTGACACTCAGCTCACGATCACAATAATAAGTATATGCAACAAGTCAGGCTTGGCCAGATCTGCCCAGGTCTGTCCTCTTGCCAACAGATTGAGGGTGCCTCACCGCCTCTTTCCGCTTCCTCTGAGCAAGTTCCTCAAGACGGCTTTTCTTGCTTGCTGGTTGCTGCTCTGAAGGAGGCAAAAGTGCTTCATCCTCGTCGTCTGAATCTCCAAAAAGTTCCGCTACGAGATTCTAGCAGACCACACAAGCTTTTCATTTTAAGACGATCTCGGGATTCTTATGTTATTTATATGAACAAGACGCTCAATCCATCAAGACAACTGCCCTTCTGACATCTTGAGTGTTCAGGCAATCTGTCTTGTGCTCCGTTGTCCAAACTGTTCGCATGACTTTCGCTCACCTGGCCCTCAGCCTCTTCCTCTCTATCCTCCAAATCTGCCATCGCTGTATTGATCTGAGTGTCTGGAACAAGTGGTCGCCAAGGAAGGGCCACTCAGAGTAATGATATAGTCCTGGCCCGTAGCAGCACAGACCCTTGGACTCCAGCTATTATATACAATATCGAATGACCTCGAAGACTCAGATGGAGGTGAGGAGATTGACAAAGTGGTGCCTGCTGTCTCGGCGAGTCTTGCTTCCTTCTTGGTTCCCCCCCCTCCCTTTCAAGGCGGGGGGGTCACCTTCACAGGGTTGTAGCCTTTTGCATCTCATCATCCCGCAGCATCTATCAACAACTGGACCAACTGCAGCAAAAAAGACTTCATTTGTATTCATGAAATCTCTGGAACCAGCCGGCTAGGCGTCATCAAGCAAGGCGACGCTCATAGTCAGCATGCTGTCAAATACTATTGGTAGCCCAGCTCATGCCCAGGCTTTAGCCCTGCACCTGCGTACTGAGCCTATGGTCGGAAGTGTGAAGCATCAGGTGATTCATGAAGTGTCTGCCAAAGAGGACCAGCAGCTGCAGTGACCAATTATGTCCAGCTCTAATTCAATAATCACGGCGCAAATGAATCGATTCAGATTTTTTCCTGGAATTTATTACAGAGAGGTCACAGAGTCCCAACATGGCCAGTGTGACTTCATCATTCAGTCCTGTCTATCCTACAGCTGATAATCATAAAAACTGCTCGGATGTAGCTACAGTCTGGATCGGGAACTGCCAGTCAAATCGTGGCACCCTTGTCAAAACTTGAAGCGCAAACAACGCAATGCAAGAAGTCACAGAGTAACGACAGGTGCAAATGGTACCCATATCAGAACTGCTCTCAACTAGAACAGTCTGCACCCATGCCATCGATAGGTAGTGAAGTGCTGGACTCGGGCGTACAATCTTCTCCATGCTGTTCAGCCTCTCGTACGGGGGTGAACTTCTCTCAATGATACATGCTGCCAAGTTCCAACTCTAAATGAAACATTCAGGGGCGCGCAATGACCGCCGAACAAAAAACCGGCGCACAAAGGCAGCACCACCTCAACAAATCACAGCAGCCAGCACTATCGGCTGATGGAGGTTGTGTTGAAGCGCGAGAGCTCAAACATGCGCTCCAGTGCCTCCATGTTGGCGAGTGTCTGGCCGACCGCGTCGGGGTCAGAGCCGTCGCAGCGCAGGGCGGTCATGGGCCCGTGCAGGATCTTGTTCACAATGCTGCGGCTGAGCTCTTCAACAGCCTTGAGCTGCTTCTTGGTCAGGCCGTCGCCCATCTTGCCCATCGCCTTGTCCAGCTCCCCGGCCCTGATGGACTCTGCCTTCCCGCGCAACGCCTGCATATCACACATTTTCGTCAAGGACCCTCATTTTGGAGAAAACATTCCCCTGTTGGCTGACTGGCCAGCATTGCCTGCACTGAGCCTTCAAGTTCCATTCCACAATCACACAAGCAAATTCAACCAGTGCACTCGCAAGATGTAGGCAGCTCTGTCACAACCAACAGCAATCCTGGAAGATGATTCTCGCTGAAGGAGAAGAGGGGGCAAGGCCCACCTTGATGGTGGGCACGGTCTCCAAGGAGTCCCTCCAGGCCTCGAATGACAGCTGCTCCTGCTCCAGCAGCACCTGGGCCTCATCAGCTGCCTTGCGCCGCTCCTCCTTGTTCTTGGACACAACCTCCTTCAGGTCGTCCACGTTGAACACGCGGCCGCACACGTCCTCAGTTATGTCGGGCGCAATGTTGCGCGGTACACTGATGTCAAAGAACCGCCGCAAGCCGCCCACTGCCGCCGATGCTGGTGGCATTTCTGCACATACATGCAACACACTCAGTTCACACACACTCTTCACTCATCTGCCTTACAAACCTTTTTGCTCATGTGCACAATATCAAGGACCAGATGTTTGGGGCACCCTATGCATCAGGAATTGCATATGCAAGGAAAATATTGCAGGGCCTGCATGTATCTCACCTGCAAGGTGCTCCTTGTGCACAAGGATATCCTCAGAACCGGAGGCTGCGAATATGGTGTCGCAGTCGCTGATGCACTGCATGAGGTCTGGCATCAGGTGCACGTCAAACTCCACTTCTGGGAACTCCTCCTTCAGGGCTTCCACGCGAGGCAGTGATCTGTTGAGGATCGTCAGCCGCTTGAGCCCCTTGGAGGCCATGTGCTTCACCAGTAACCGGGACATCTTGCCCGCACCGATGATGCACACCTGCGCGGATTATCACCACAAATGTCTCAGCTTGGGAACTTTCTCAGCTGCCACAATACCTGAACCATACTTCTGAAATTTGAGGACAGCATCTACAGCAACAGATGTTGAGCATACAATGTCCACAGCTTCTGAGCTCACCTTGCTGTCGTCAAAGTTATGGGTGGGCAGCTTGAGCTGCGCAAGCTCAGCGGCTGCAGAGGAGACAGAGACAGCACCGGAGGAGATGGAGGTCTCAGCGCGCACGCGCTTGCCGGCGGTGATGGCCTGCTTGAACAGGCCGTTCAGCTGGCGGCCAAAGCCGGGTGCGTTCTGGCCCACCTTGTACACGTCCTTCACCTGCGCAAGGATCTGGCCCTCCCCCATGACCAGCGAGTCCAGCCCGCCAGACACCCTGCATGCCAATAACGATACACAGTGAGCCACTGTCAATTTCCTGATAAGCATCTGAAAAATCACGGTGATGCTAGCTGCTCCGTTTCAAAAGTACATAAAATGTCAATGCGAGCTCACCTCATGAGGTGCGAGGTGGCATCGCGGTCGCGGAGAAGGAACATGTGCGGCCGGAGCTCCTCCAGCGGAATGCCACTGGTCTGAGACATCCACTCCTCCACCTCGCGCACACCCTGCATGCAGCGGGAGCGAGCATGAGTGCCATTCAAACTAAACATCGATGCCACAAAACACTCGATCGGCATTATTGCATGCAGAGGCATGTTAATGAACACATGGACTTTGCGCACCCTGTGCCAGGAGAGCGCCACAACATACAGCTCCATCCTGTTGCAGGTGGACAGAACAGCAGCCTCCTCAATGTGAGGAAAAGACGTCAGCTCCTCAATCGCACGAGGCCATTCAGCCTGCATAAAGCAAAAACGTGAGTTCCATATCCAAAATTCTCTCCTTGAGGCAGAAAAAGCTTTCTACACAACCCATAAGAGATCCAATAATAGAAGAGAAGTGCACAGCCGTTCTTGCACACCTGAGGGATCGAAAGCTTCTCCCTGATTTCCACAGGAGTGTGGTGCACTGAGAGCCCGATGGCAATGATGCTGCTCTTCGTCTCCATTGCATATCCTGCACAACAGGGAACCTTATCAGCACCTTTGAGGCAGAAGCTTCCTGATCAATGCCAGCCGTGGAGGTCTGCCGCAGTTAGATATAGGTCTCACCAGTAAGTATGGTTAATATGTAACACGCCAACTGCATTTCAGCCTCGAGCATAATCTGGCAGAGCCACGACACCCCACAAGACTGCTAATACTTATCCTCATTAAATACTGCATGTGCACGTATTCCACCATTCCATGATTTTCCTGGGATTGCCCAAGACGTTCCCAGGAGGTCTCCTGTGGAAAAGCACTCTAGTACTTGATTGGTCAAGAACGCACTATTGACATTCTGGGTCTGGCGAAGCTGTTCGAGCGCTCTAGCACTCGCTTCCACATGTGTAGGCGGCAGCTTGACTCCAGCCGCGATCGCAGCGGTCATGAACGGGCAGACGCGGTCTGGCCTGGGCGAGACCGGCGAGGTGTGCAGCCTGCAGACCTTCGACCCTCTGAACGACGCAGTTAGGTCAACCGGCACACGCGGCGCCACCCCGCACTCCGCTAAGCTGCCAAAGATGCCTGCCATTTTGGATATGCAGGCTTTGCAGGTCAGGCCTCGATGCACATCCACCAGCTGCGATCCTGACTGCAACGGATGAGGAGAGATTCACCAGAGACAGAGGGTCGAGAAGCTTGCCTCATCCCTGATTGGTCAATTGGCAGAATTGATTTCCGTTGCCTCTTTTGGAGATTTTGGGACGCCGCTGTCGACCGATACCCAGAAACAAAACCTCAACTGAAGCTGGTCGGGTGGTGTGCGGGATCTACAGTGAGAAAGGAGGTGTATCTTGGCAGTGAAATAGATCGGTGGTGCCCTAACTGCCTTGTGGAGCTTCAGCGCATTGATTTTGCCGAGCTGTGGGGTTGGAGATCCAGCAGACATCCACTCTTGTGAAGCCTTGCTTTTAGAGAAGACAGGAAAGTTGTGCCAGCTTAGGATAGCTGCCAAACCTCATGGCTCCTGCCCCTGATTTCTACTTGAGATACTACGTAGGGCATAAGGGAAAGTTCGGCCACGAGTTTCTGGAATTTGAGTTCAGACCTGATGGCCAGGTAAAGAGCCACGATGGGCTGCCATACTGTCATGTACAGCCTCAATTGCTTGTGCATTTCCTTTGCATGTGACTTGACGCTGTCAAAAGATGCAGGACCGTTCTCTAACAAATTGTTGTGATCTGCTGTGTAGCTGAGATACGCCAACAACTCGAATTACAAGAATGACACAATGATCCGGAAGGAGGGCTTTGTGGCGCCTGCGGTGCTGGATGAGCTGAAGCGGATCATTGAAGACAGTGAGGTGGGCTTCCAGATGAGCATACCCTGCCTTCAAGTGGGAGAGCTTAAACCGCAGCTCATACTTGACCTCAGGAGCTGGTTGAAGCACGTTTGCTATAATTGCTGTCCCGCATCTCAATAGTCTTGGGTTGCTTGCACAGATCCTAAAGGAAGACGATGCCAACTGGCCACCCCCAGACAAGGTGGGCCGCCAGGAGCTTGAGATCATCATGGGGGAAACTCACATCTCCTTCACCACCACCAAGCTGGGCTCGCTCATGCAAGTGCAGCAGAGCAAGGACCCCGATGGCCTCCGAATCTTCTACTACCTAGTGCAGGTAAGACTTTGTCCGTAGCTTTGATCACCTGCTTCTGCATGCCTTCATTGGGCCCCATTGCCACAATTTTCAGGACATCTTTTCAGTGCAATCTGTTTGAGAGCATGACAAAGCATCATTGTGCCGATATGTGCAGGATCTCAAATGCATGGTGTTCTCCCTGATCGCTGCACACTTCAAGATCCAGCCTATCCAGAGGTGAGAGAGGGACAGCCGCGGGTGCCATTCAGGAGAGCAGTGCACCTGCGCAGGGCAAGCGTATTGCAGAGCCCACCTGCCAATACAGACTTCTCAAAGGCCAGCTGAGCAGGATGACAATAGTGCGATGAAGCACATCATACAGACCGTGACATCAGGTCATGTTGGGTGACCATCTGGAATGTCTCTTGATTGACGGCAGCGTCTGCACGTTTATCTTTTGTGCACTGGGGCTACTTTCACCTAACGAAATGTGGTCTTTGACCTGGTAACATACAGCTGAACAGCTTACATGGCCTTGCACCTCTTTATATGTTGGATAATCTGCGGGCGGGGCCAACAGGTTCAAAAGTGCAGTCGCGCTTAATGTGTAATTTGGAAGCTGCGCAAATTTGTCAGGTTGGCTAGTGTCTCTCTGTCAACCTTACAAACTTTTCACTACCAACATTGCAGATAAAGTACTGTCCGATCAAGGCTCCAAAGCTGCCTCCCCAGAGCTGCTTCTCCTGGTAATTTTTGAGCTCTTACTGGGAGCAGAGGCTTCCATTTCTCCAATGGCTTCAAGAAGCAGTGGCGGCGCATGTTTTGGGTGTCCACCGTGGGACTCGCAATCCTCACAGAACGCCAGCAAAATGGTGTCAATTGCCATCTCATACACCTGCAACCGCACAATGTGCTATCACGACAAATTTATCGGCTCACCTCCTGTTTACCACTTTCTATTGTGCATGATGATTTCAATCGTGCATGCAGAAGCTCATCACAGCAGCACCCTCCAGTCTACCACAAATCCAATCAGAAAGACTCCCTGAAGTCAACCTCGAAGAGGTGTGCATGAATATTCGGCAGTAATCTGAGTCAATGGGACATTGCATGCATGGAGGTTGAGTAGGGGACGCACATTGAAGAAGACAGATGCGACGATGTAGCCGATGAGCAGCGACAGGATGACGGGCAGGAGCGGGCTGGACATGAAGGTATTTGGGTATTTCACTGGGTCTGTGTAGTAAGTGAGCGTGCTCATCAGCAGAGCAATCACGCCGCACCCAGCCATGACCGACAGCTTCCCCAGGAACACGAGCGCGTCTCCAACAGTGTCTACTGCCGCCACTCGGAGCACATTGGTCACGATGGTCTTTACAGCCAGCGTGGCCGATGTGCAGAAGCCGTTGCCGTGAATCGCCGCCATGATGTATGCATTCCTGTGCACATGCATTAAGTAAGTGAGACTCAACATCGCAACTTGAACGTCCGTACCTCCATTAGTGGGGCACATGCATGTGATGACAGCACTTCAGATTTGATGTGCAGTGTGCGTCAGGTACTGTGCAAAAACGTGATCTTTGGTGGTGGTGGACTCAGCGGTCGAGCATAGAGAGGCTCACTTGTTGATAAATTTGACAATCTTCTCCAAGATCCAGAGGAAGCAGGAGATGCAGCCCATGATGTACTTCAGCCAGGAGGTGTATTTTGTCCGGGCAAAGTACTTTGTCCGCCTCTGGATGAACTCAAGGACGATTCTGATGAACATCAACAGGGCCAGGATAAAGGACCCAATGGCCACAGTTCCCATGTGGTAGATAAGGGTCACTTTGAAAGAGCTCCAGACTGGCGATGAGGGCATTGCATCCGCATGTCCCTTCGCATAATAGAACTGCGCAATTGCCCCTGCTATCGTCATGCACCTGTGCAGCAGGAGCTTCCGGTCAGACCTTGCAATTGACCGTGTTGGATCTAGTGCAAAGGAAAAGAAATTTGCCCGCGAAGCAAGCAGCAAAGACTCACCCAAAGCCGGCAATGAACTGGTTTGCCCAAAGGAGGCCAAAGAAGTGGTAGATGAACATGTACTGCAGTGGTCTGCTGAAGGATGGAGTGAAGTAACAATCTGGCCGCTCAGAACACTCTGTCGCTGTGATGTTGGCAGGGAAGTATGGCAGTACGGGGGCGGGCAGGGCTGCTGTGGAGTTTGCTGGTGAGTCAAACAACACCTACAATCCCATATCCGTGAGTCAACCACAGGCTGTCCTAGAGGCGCGCTACACAACCAAGGTCACCTGCCAGTATGGTACTGGCAAGACAACACTAAATGCTGGAGGCAGTCAAATCTTGCAGAGGGCAGCGAGTCTTACAGCAAGGCTGAGAGCTCCAGAGGTGGAGGCAGTCAGTTGAGCAGGCTTGATGTCTCCTGCGCTGTACAGGAAAGCCGCGACTGCCACCCAGTACACAACCAAGCAGCAGAGCGCCAGAAATGGCACCAGCGGCCAGAAGAGAAGTGTGGGCATGGTGGCCACTGCCTGGCTAGCCACCTTGATGCATGCCACCGCCACCTGTGCAGAGCTGCCACTTCAGGTTCACTATAGAGGCCCAACGCTGAGGAAATTGAGATACAGGTCTCTGGGTTGAGGCCATCCATGCATGGATATGGAGAAGATGGAAGGGACGTGCCTTTACACGGCGGATGATGACCAGGGTGAAGATGATGAGCAGGCCGGTGAGGCCCACGGCAACATATGCACAGATCTGCCATATCTTCCTATCTTGTGCACTGGGGTCCTCGCTAAAGGGTACCTGATCCCGGACATACATTCCCACCGCCCCAAAATTCCCCAGCATCCCTGCCTGGATATAATGCCAACATTGTGTTAGATCGTCTGTTTGGCTTGCCATGCATGTTCAGACCGCAGACAACAATAACAGAAACAAATGGAAGAACATGCACCTTTGTGAATGCGAGGATGGTGCATGCTGCAAAGGCTGCATTGACAGCCAGGATCACAAACCACGCCATCAGGCCGGCGCTGAATCTGAGGAGGATCATCCATATCAGAGACAGGATCAGGCCGCCCACCAAACCTGCCCAAAACAGTGATCCACCAGTCAATATATAGCCGTGCAACTCTTCAGTAAACTTTGCATCAGAGGAGGTCCAGGAGGTGCAAATGTAGTAAGCACCAGCCACAACGATGATGACAAATCCCTTCTGGATGTCAGCGATGTAGCGCTGCAGCCGCTGGGACGATGTGTTGAAATACTTGTTGACGGAGGAAGTGGAGTTTGAGGACAGGATTCTCTGTGAGGTATCGGATGCTGACACAAGCTCCGCCATCAGCTCAGGCGAAAATTTGGGCAAACACCTGCGGCGAAATCAAAGCACAGCAGACAATTAAATTTGCAGCCAATGCTTATGGCTTCATACCTCCATACTATGTCCAGTAGAAGGACCAATGGAGCTTCCATAAAAGATGCGTTAGCCATATTCGCTGACAGTTGTGTGATTCTCACCTGTTGAAATAGTCCACCGTTTCCAAGAGGACTGGGTAGCAGGGGCCCCGGCCAGGGTACAAGGATGTCAGCTGCAGGTACTCCCCACACAGGGGATTGCTGACATTGCCAAAAAAATCCGCCCGGAACTTGTCAGGCAGATACTGCAGCAGAATATTGCACTGCCCAGCGGTGATGTTTGTGCTGGAGATGCTGCCCCAGTAAGAGGTGCTCCACTCCTCTGTGACATTGAGCGTGCCAAAGAGATTGTCTTGGGCAAGACGATAGTACGGGCACCTGCTCATAACACGGAACTTTGAGTGCACAACTTCTCTTTGCTGTTCCTGGTTGTCAGATATGAGCACTTTCACAACCTTTAATGGTGCTAGAACAACCAAATTTGCTTTTATGCTGGGTACCGGGTGCACCTGTACTGTACATTGCTCCTACACGGCAAGCTGCTGATGCTGCATGCGCTCTCCGTTCCAAGGCACTCCTTGACACACACTGATCTGGCTCCCAGGAAGGTATTTGTGTCAAGGAGCTCCAAGGGGTTGAGGTAATACAAATTCTTGTATTCTGTCAGGTCTGGCCCGGAGCCACCATTCCATGCGTTCTTCTGACCACATGTGTTCCCAGAAGAGTCTATCCCATAGCTCAACCTTGCTGGGTGACCTGTTGTGCCATGCCAGCATTGATCAAATGGCCTACAACTCGCGTATCGCATTTTGATCCCAGCAGATGCAGCTAAGTCCTGCAGGATACCCAGCTGCACATATATTTTGCCACTCTGTGTCATCGCAAGGTGAAGAGCATGATCGCCACCTTGCTTGAACGCGATCACTGCTATGTATACCATCCCTGCCCAAAAGACAGCGTAACAAAGCAAAAAAAACAGATCTCGAAATCTTCTTCTCTCCACGACTCCCTGTGGAATAGCAAGGCACTCTTACAGCACTTCAGACATGGAAACAGGATAAGATTGCAGTATTAACAATTTGAGATCATTTGAAAAGTTACCTCATGCTTCTTGTGATCTTTATCTCGTGCATTCCCGAAGCAACCCATTGCTTCTTCACGTCCAAGGAAAGGGTTCCAACGGATACTGCACTTTGACGCTTTGCGTTGGGGTGTCTGGGTCAGACCCGTGTCCCATAACCAGGTGGTGTTCTTTCATCAATAAATTCCAGTAGTCTGGACAAAAGCATGTGTCAGACACTTCGATCTAAAAATACTCCCGTTTTCATTGTGGTCCCCCCGCTGTGCCGTTGTGCCGCCTGGCCAGCACTACACGGGGGACCGTGATGCACCATGCACCTCCTGTAGCCTGTTCTAGTGCTAGCAGGGATGATTCTGTGAGGAGAGACTTAAGAGCACATCTTCGAGGTCGATATTGCACCTGAATCAAGTGAAAACCAAATCGCTGTGCAGGAAGTTGAAAAGTAAAAAGCAGATGTTGGTCACAACTGCTGGAAGATTTATGTATTTCATCTCCCGGTAGGACACTCACAAAGCCCAGATGGACGATTCTCTGTACGATGAGTTTGGAAACTACATCGGACCTGAGTTGTCAGGCAGCGAAGAGGTACTTTCCTCCCTAGTCTTAGTGATCTTGACACAGTCGAGAGTAATTCGAACAGTTGTGCAGTATTAGAATGGTCTCTCTGTTCAAAAATTTAAGTCGCATCATACACCGGAGGAACGGCCTTGTCCATGGCTTTGCTCTCTTAACTACAGATCACATTCTTTTTTCAGTAACGAACTAACAGGAATCGCATGTGATTTCTGCGATACATGCCTGTGAAACTTGAGAGATTTTCACCATAGTCGCATATAAGAGCGAATCACGTACAGGAGGATGAGGAGGAAGTCGAGGAGGATGAGGACATGGCAGAGGCGGAGGCCCTGGCCAACGCCAGGATGGACATGATCCAGAATGCGGGGGCACAGAATTTCCCTGATGACGATGAGGAGCCCATAGAGAATGCGGTGGTGCTGCATGAGGACAAAAAGTACTATCCGTCAGCAGAGGAGGTCTATGGGGCAGAGACAGAGACACTGGTCATGGAAGAGGATGCGCAGCCTCTGGAGGTGTGCAGCCATGATTTTCAAATTCATGTCCAAAAACCATCTGCCATGCCAGCTTCCTATTGTGCGATAGCTGGTAGCTCCTGTGCGCTGAGCAGGTTTCTCTATGCAGACCTTTATGGTTGACATTAGAGCATGCTGAGACAGTATCCTTCATAATGTATAACCTAAGCATACACTCAGATATCGCCGCTGTGCTGGACAGGTTCCCATCATTGCACCAGTAAAGCAGAAGAAGCTGGAGGTGCTAGAGCGTGCCCCGCTGCCAACTTACTACAGCAATGAGTTTCTGGCGGGGCTCATGACCAACCCAGAGCTGGTCAGGAACGTGGCCATTGTCGGCCACCTGCACCACGGCAAAACACTGGTGATTAGCCTTTCTTATTGCCTCTGTCAGACCCTTCTGAATGCTCATTGACAAAAGTTTTGATCCTGCCTGGCAGCTAGGCCTGCTTTTGCATTTTAAAGGATGCCTTTCTGAGCTTGCAGGCATGGAGATTCACAAGCTTACGGTGCTGCAGGTCATGGACATGTTTGTGGAGCAGACGCATGAGGTCAGGCACGAGTGGAGGGACAATGAGCGGCCGATGCGCTTCACAGACACGCGGCTGGACGAGCAGGAGCGCGCCATTAGCCTCAAGATGGTGCCCATGAGCCTCGTCATGGAGGGCTCCTCCGGCAAATCTTACCTCCTCAACCTCATTGACACCCCAGGTACCCCGAGGCCTTCCCTCCCTTGCCAGTGCATGGGCTTTGCGGTGCATCCCTGGAATTGTTTTGTGATTATTGCCCAGCCCGATTTCAACGAGCATGGCAGGTGGGTGTGTGAGGGGACAGTAGGGCACCAATTTTTGGGAGCAGATATGGCTTTCCATCATACAGAGCATGAGGTGGGTTGTCACACAATCTGCATGGAATTCTGAAAAGTTGGCTTGCGCCTTTCCAGGCCACATCAACTTCAACGATGAAGTCAGCGCTGCGCTGAGGCTGGCGGATGGCATGCTGCTGGTGGTGGACGCAGCCGAGGGGGTCATGGTGGTCACCGAGAAGGCTGTCAAGCAGGCCATCATGGAGGGCCTGCCCATCTGCCTCCTTATCTCCAAGGTAAACAAATTGCCCTCTATTTGCTCATCAGATGCAGAATTTAGAAATCAACGGCTCCATCTGGCATTCAGCGCGCTTGTGAATGCACTCATGGATGTGTGCTTGACGGGTGAATGGCTCTTGGCAGGTGGACAGGCTCATCACAGAGCTCAAGCTGCCTCCTGCAGATGCCTACCACAAATTGCGGCATACCATTGAGGAGGTCAACGCTTTGATCACCACCTACTCTGGTGGCAATGAGGAGCTGCTGGTGCGCTCTTTGAATTTCACATAATCTCTTGGCGTTTGTTGCGGATGCTTGCATATGGAAGTCCCACCTTGCTGAAAAGGGTATTCGTAGTACCATGTTTGGGAGTCAGTACAATTACTATTTGTGTGCTCACCTGTATGTATCTGCATGTGCCTGCAGGTGAGCCCAACAAGGGGAAACGTGGGCTTCAGCTCGGCGCAGTCGGGCTGGTCCTTCACGCTGCAGTCCTTCAGCAAGCTCTACTGCGAGGTCTATGGAGTCCACATGGACGCGGCTGAGTTTGCGCGGCGCCTCTGGGGCGACGTGTACTACCACTCCGACACGCGCACCTTCCGCAAGAAGGCCCCGGAGCGCGGCGGCGAGCGCAGCTTTGTGCAATTCATCCTGGAGCCCCTGTACAAGATCTACGCCCAGGTGCACACTCAATTTTCCTTTCCGCGCACCCTTTGCATGGCCGCCTTTGCTGGCATATCCTCAGGGCCGTAACCACCCTGAAGTTACCGTGCATTTGGTGCACATTAGGAAAGTAGCACGACCACCAGTGAGCTCACACTATAAGTAGTTACTTGTTGTGCACCCAATCATCATGCAAGAGCGCTCGCATGAGCGTCTGAATGCAATGCATGCTGTAGGTCCATTGTGAAGGTGGGCATGCATTTAGTTGAGGGTGTGGGGCCTGTGCAGGTGCTGGGAGAGCATGATTCGGGCGTGAAGGAGATGCTGGGCACGTTTGGGGTGCAGCTGAAGCCGTCGGCGTTCAAAAAGGACGTGAAGCCGCTGCTGAAGGAGGCGTGCACGCGCATCTTCGGCACGGCCACTGGCCTCGTGGACATGATGGTCAAGCACGTCCCCTCTTCCAAGGCCGGCTCTGCCACTAAGGCACGCCCACCCCTCTTCCTGCTGTCCTGTGCTGGAACTTTTGCCTGTCAGCTTATATCCCCACTCATGCTGGGCAAAGTTTTATGCAGCCTGATCTGCTCAGGAATTGTTTCGTCGCAGCTCCACTTTCCCTTGCTTTTTCTCCTTGCTGAGGTCTGAGAGCCACACGTTTGCTCTTAGCACTGCAGAAAGGAGGTAGGATGAAAGGGAATGTGGAGCTGTGTCGGCATGGGAATTGTCTGAGAACACCCTGGGCCCTTCCATAAACTGTGTACATCAAGAGCGCTGAGCCTAAGCTGCCGCGCCACGCGCAGGTTGAACGGACGTACACAGGGCCGCAGACGGGGGACATCGTGGACCACATGAAGGCGTGCAATCCACGGGGGCCGCTGGTCATCCACATTGCAAAGCTGTTCCCCAAGACGGACGTCAGCGCCTTCGACGCGCTCGGGCGCATCCTGTCGGGGACGGTGAAGCCGGGCGACCGCGTGCGCGTGCTGGGCGAGGCATACACCCCCGAGGACGAGGAGGACAGCGCCGTGGCCGAGGTCACCAAGGTCTGGGTGTACCAGGCCCGCTACCGCATCCCCCTCACCAAGGCCCTGGCAGGTGCGCTGCCTTGACCTTCACCTCCGGTACACTTATGGGATATCTGCCCCTGCTGCAAAAGTGCGCCTGTGGCGTTGCTACTGTATCAAGAGGCAGGCATGCACTGAGCCTGTGAACTGGTGATATGGCATGCATTCCACTGGCGTAGGGGCCACCGGTCCTCGGATGACCATCTTCAGTTGCAGGCACCGTCTGACCTAGACCTAGACCTGAAGCTGATCAAAGCGCCGGCGCAGCGCGCTCATGTATTAGTGCATTCAGTGTTGGCGCAATAGGTCCCTGGCTTGACATTGTTGGGATGGCGGCTGCAGGCAACTGGGTGCTGCTGGAGGGGCTGGACGCCACCATCACAAAGACGGCGACGATCGTGCCGGAATACCTGGACGAGGACGTGCACATCTTCCGGCCGCTGCAGTTCCAGACGCAGGCGGTGGTCAAGATCGCCGTGGAGCCGCTCAACCCCTCTGAGCTGCCCAAGATGGTGCGCTGCATACTCTTGTTTCCATACACATTCTTTTGCTTACTGGACCGCAGTTAATTGTGAGACAGAATTTTTGAGCGTGCCCATCTGCGGGGTCATCACGCCCATGCGCCCGCTGTTGCCTGGCGCTACCTGCCTGCTGCACCCCCAGGCACTCTGCCAGGCCGCCACTGACTGCATGCACCTTTTGAAGGAAGCTATGAGGACACCTGGCTATTTGAGTGAGGAGAGATTGGCATGTGAACAGGTGGAGGGTCTGCGGAAGATCAACAAGAGTTATCCGCTGGCGGTGACCAAGGTGGAGGAGAGCGGCGAGCACGCCATCCTGGGCACCGGGGAGATCTACCTCGACTCCCTCATGAAGGTCAGCCCACTCCACAACTATCACTGTCACGCTGCACCACCTGCTTCCACACAAAATTTCAGCGGTGCATAGGGCAAGTGTTGTTTAATTCAGCGGACTGAAGATCTATGGCCATGGCTTGCAGGATTTGAGGGAGCTGTATGCAGAGGTGGAGGTAAAGGTGGCGGACCCGGTGGTGGCCTTCTGCGAGACGGTGGTGGAGACGTCCTCGCTGCGGTGTTTTGCGGAGACGCCCAACAAGCGCAACAAGCTCACCATGATCGCAGAGCCGCTCGAAAAGGTCCGCGCCTGCTCCCCTCCAAACCCACCTCCCTAAACCTCTTCTGGCCTGCTCAAAAACACTGTATATGAGTACCAAACCATGACAATGTGACGTGTCTGACTCAGTCTCCCCGAGAACCGTGTTGCGCATGCCTCTTACGTCAAGAAGGAACCAGTGTCTATGATGAATGCGAGATTTCCTACCGGCCAACTCTTTGCCCTTCAAATGGATGTCTAGTGCTTGCTTGTGGCCCCACGCTGAGTGCGCTGTGGATTCCGCTGTGCTGCAGGGGCTGGCGGAGGACATAGAGAGTGGTGCGGTGGACATATCGTGGCCGCGGCGGCGACTGGGTGAGTTCTTCACGACGCGGTACGACTGGGACGTCCTGGCGGCGCGCTCAGTGTGGGCCTTTGGGCCGCAGCGCGCCGGCCCCAACATCCTCATGGACGACACGCTGCCCACCGACGTCGACAAGTCCCTCCTCTCCGCCGTCCGCGACTCCGTCGTCCAGGTGGGTGTCAAATGTCTAGAGCGTCAGAAACCAAATATTAGTATCGGATGTCAACATTTTGAGAATATTTTCCCACAGAGCCATAGGATTGCTGTATTGAACCACCCTCTTGAGCACCAACATGTCATGAATCTTGAGACCCTCTCGCTGACCTGTACTTGCCAATTGAAACCCGCCCATTCTGCTCGCAGCCAACCCCCTTGTTGGGCTAAAATGCATTGCCATCAGTGTCCTCCCATCACACTGCTCTTCTCGGCTGCAACTTTGCTTCAATGAGGTGCCCTGGTTGCAGAGCAGGTGGGGAGTCAATTTGTGACAAATGTATTGAGCGGTGGTGGAGTTTGCTGTGATGCAGGGCTTCCAGTGGGGCACGCGGGAGGGGCCGCTGTGCGACGAGCCAATCCGCAACGTCAAGTTCAAGATCCTGGGGGCTGAGATTGCGCCGGAGCCGCTGGCGCGCGGTGGCGGCCAGATCATCCCCACGGCGCGCCGCGTGTGCTACTCCGCGTTCCTCATGGCCACTCCCCGCCTCGTGGAGCCCGTGTACTATGTCGAGATCCAGACCCCTGCAGGTGCGTGTTCCCATTTGTGCAGAAGGTGCTGTCTCGTCAGCGAGATGCCTCCACACTTGTGAAAAAGTAAAAACCATGTGCTGCACTGGGAGCCACAGTTGCACCCGACAAGGATGGAGAGGAGCGGATGCTGAAAATGTGTCTGACGATACTCCTATCCTGTACACTGGTTGACAATTATTTGATTCCTGCATTGAGTTGTGAGGTTTGGCCTTGTGCAGATTGCATCACTGCGATCTACGCGGTGCTGGGCAAGAGGAGAGGGCACGTCACCGCAGACGTGCCCAAGCCCGGCACGCCCATCTTCATTGTCAAGGCCTTCCTGCCCGTCATCGAGTCCTTTGGCTTTGAGACGGACCTGCGCTACCACACCCAGGGGCAGGCCTTCTGCCTATCCGTCTTTGACCACTGGCAGGTGATTGTTGCGACTTTCTGCATGCCTGACCGAGTTATTCTTCCATCTGTTTTTGCCATCTAGTGCATGAAGCCTTCTGCGAAATGTATGTGTATTGCTTTTTGCACTAGAGCATGCTGATCTGCAAAACAAACAGGCAGCGGCGGCCTCTTTGCTTCTGCACCTTCTTTGTCGCAGAGTGGCCATATTATGCATGTGCAGCATACGTGGAGTTGCAGTAACTGCACGGGGGATCACTTGCTGGTTAACTGTTCAACGGAAAGTCAAAAGCATTGTATTGCAGGTGCCTTTTATACGCCTCATCCTAATATCATTATTACTGGGCGCAGATTGTGCCGGGCGACCCGCTGGACCGGTCGGTGGAGCTGCGGCCGCTGGAGCCGGCGCCGGTGAATGCGTTGGCGCGCGAACTCATGGTCAAGACGCGCCGGCGCAAGGGCATGAGCGAGGACGTCTCCATCCACAAGTTCTTCGACGACCCCATGCTCATCGAGCTCGCGCGCCAGGACGCCGACCTCGAGAAGTTTGTCTGACCTGGCAATTTTACCACACCGGAACAAGAAGTCCTGCAGAAAGATAGTCGCCCGCAAGGAAGTTGCCTGTCAGTTTGGACGGGCGAGCTTGTTGCTTGACAAACGGGTGTGCTTGTGATGGCGCAAATAGATGACACGAGACGCTGACAACTGTGCCGCTGCATCAATGCGCTCTTGTTCAAGAGCTGACATGTGCATGTGGCCTTCATTGACAGGCGACACATGGCCAAATTTTGCTACTTGACCAATTTGATGTAGTGCATCAAGTTCGAATTTTGCAGACGACCACTCATGATGCAAGGTAACATGTATCGTCATGGTCCACTGTGCAAAAACATTTGGACTTTGTGGAGAGTGCGTTGCATTTTCATGCTGAAGTGCTGCACATCTGCAAGCACTCTCGAACTCGAAGTCGATATATATTTGACTGTTGAGACAGAGCAACTACATTGATCCACATCATCCAAACATTTTGTGGACGATGCTAGCTAAACATTACGTAGCAATGCTTGAAAGGCATCTTATGCGTCTGGAACAGATGCCTTGCAAGTGCATGGAACAAATGACTGAATCCTATACACACATGTTCATACGTTGCTACCAAGCTGACGAGAAAAGAATACTCCTGAGCTGAAGCAGCTCTGGAAGTAGACCCGATAGCCTCTTCCCTGCTGGTTCCGTACCAGCACCCTAAACAGGCTTGACATTGAGGATGATCTTGCCAAAGTGAGTGCTGCTTGCCATCCTCCGGTGCGCATCCCCAGCACTCTCCAGTGGCAGCACCTTGCAGAAGCACGGCAACCCAGACTGTCAGAATCTTGGGACACACTCCTGCAAAGTAGAGCCTGAAATGAACAGCTGAGCTGCAAGACTGTCAGGATTGCCTGCATACACATGCACAGCACACTTCTGCTTACTTTCTCCGTTTTTTGATACAAGGAAACTTGTGCAGGTATCATTCATGGAGTGCAGCAATTGATGCTCTGCGACTGTGCCACACTGTCTCTGCTTGATAGATCCAGCACACCTTGTCAATGATGGGTTTGATATCCCCTCTTTTCCGCTCATCTGCAAAGTCCCTGCGCAGGTTCTGCACCAGGTTTGCCTTGAATTGCAGGGTGCGGTTGCGCAGGGTGGACCCGATCAGACTCGCCCTCTTCTTCAGCAGCGTCCCCAGATTGGCCTTCTCCGCAACAGCACCTGCTCCACAAAACCTTGCCTCTTGAGTCCACAAGGTTGCACCAAAGCCAATGCTCATTGCCATGTGCACAAGATGAATCCACTGGACCTTTAACAACCTGCTTGACCACTAGGTGGGCCAATCTCTTTGTATTGCATGCATGCCAGGTCTTACTCAATCAATGGGGCACGTAGCTCAACTCATGCAAGACGAGAAACCGGCAGAAGATGGACATTATCTGAAGGTGTGTGCAAGGGTGCCTAAAGAGTTGTGAGCCCCCACCGCCCATCATGCCGATGTAGACCACTTTGCCATCCATGCCAAGGCACTCCAGATTCCGCTCCAAGTATGGTGCCCCCACGCAGTCAAGGATCACATCCACACCCTTGCCCTGGAATACACCCAATCCGCCATCAGCTTCTGGGCCCGCCTCAGCCCAGGTGGCATGCAGACAACACCAAGGCGCCTGACATTCAGGTGCAAGTGTAGCCCACCTTTGTCATGCCGTTCACCAGGTCAATGACATTCTCTGTCTTGTAGTTCAAAACGTAGGACGCTCCCCGCTGGAGACAGCGCTCACACTTCTCGTCGCTGCAGAAAGACGCAAATTCTCTTAGCTTTTCATTCTTATCTGCAAGTCTTTGATATCATAAGGGGACATGCTGCAAAAGGTGAGCCCTTTGATCAAAGCCAATGGGACGTCACTCACCTCCCTGCTGTCACAAACGTCGTGATGCCTTTGGCTTTGCATAACGCAATCGCCTGACTGCGTTACACAGCCGCACACATGTCCTTCAGCGTCTTTGCAAACTGATAGACATTGACATTGACGCTGCAGCTGATCGATAATTGACGTACTGCAGATCCTCTGCGCATATATGGCAGATGATGGAGGCGCCAGATACCTGCCAACACCAGAGCCTCCTCCATGGATGAGCACGCTCTTCCCCTTCTCAGCGCCCCCAAGCTGGAAGATGTTGAGGTAAGCTGTCAGAGTGGCCTCCATGAAACCAGCCCCCTCTATCATTGTCCAGCTGTCCGGAAGCTTCAGCACACTGCCAGCATCCACCACCACCTGCAAGGTGGATTGCACAGACTCTCAGCACTGTCTCTTCATGATTACTGAAGCTGCATTGGATCATTGCCTGAGGTCGGAGACTAACCTGCTCTGCATAGGCTCCCCCACTGCATAGCGCCATGACTCTGTCTCCCACTTTCCAGTCCTCTGTGCATCCTGATCCGACCTGAAGCAGTGACATTGAGAGGAGTTGAGCTGCAAGAATCTGTGGGGATATTACATGTACACAGGCCAGGTCAGGAGTAAGAGTTCTTGACGAGAGAAAAGGACGCAGAATTACCTCTGAAATTGTTCCTGCTGCTTCAAGCCCGAGGATGGGACTCGATCCTGCACAGAAGTGTGATTTTCAGTGGTCCCTGTAGCTCACACTGATCTATGACTGTTTGTGTGAGTCTTAAGATGCACATAGACATTGCGGATGGCGGACCTGGTGGAGGGGGGTATTGGCCAAGGCGCTGGTTTATGTCTGCGCGGTTCAGACCAGCAGCTTCCACTCTGCAAGTGCACCCAAGCGCATTGATGAAGTGATTGTAGGCAAGGCTACAGAACACAAGAGGAATCACCTCCATCATTAATGCCTTCATAAGAATCTGTACATAACTTACTTGATACGTACAGAACTTGGGGGGAGTTCAGGAATAGGAATATGCCCCAATTGCAACACGCCTGCGAAGAGCAGAAATGATCAGAAGCATTTTTAGCGCAGCGTGTAAAAATGCACCGAGAGCTGAGCATCAGGACGCACTCTCGTCCCCTGGCTCATCAAAAACGATGGCCTGCATGGTGCTACTCATAGTTCAGACAGGTCCACGACAAATATAGCGATCTCCAAAAAGCTTCACTTGTTGTTTCAGTAAGAGAGTGTTCGTATAGCCGAAATTATGACTTCTGTCTTTTGAAGAGCACGAGGGAAGAGGGAAGAGTTTCATTTTGGGAGCTGGGTGAAGCTGCTGAGATGTTGCGGAATGAAGCCAAGATTGGCACCGTCCTGGCTCAAGCCTGGCAGGACCATGAGGACTGGCCCAGATGCTGTGCTGCGAGCTTTTCATGATCCTCTAATGTAAAAGATTGGTCTCACAGATAGCACCAAATTTCTGAAGGATTGCGAGCAAGGACCCCTGTAGCAACGATTTGTGATTTGTTTTGACAAGAGTGCTCTTTACCCAGATTTTGGTATTAGCCTTCTCCCATGGGAGTTATCTTTGATGAGCCTAAATATCCAGTGATAGACAAGGCTCCAGGATTTTGGAAGACAGGTGTGGTACCTTCCTATAGTACAGGATAGGTTTGGCATCAAAGAATCTCCGCAGTGCCGCACAGCAACAATCTCCTAGTAGTGATGCTCCACTTTGATTGTATTGCTTCCAGTGCATCATCAAGCTGAACCCCTATATGCATATGAAAATTTTGCACATGCTGCAGTGAGCAACTTCAGTCTTGGGGACATCGCCATATTCGGGGGCACAGCAGCAATCTGCGGGCCCTTGGGCTACTATGTAGGTAAGAAAGGGGGGTAATCTGAGAGCACAGCTCAATTCTTTGCACTGTGCATACCAAAAAGCTGAGCGTTGAGGAACTCCTCCAAAGAGAGTGCGAAGGTCCAAGATCAAAAAGATGAGGTAGATTTGCACAGGCACCCCTGCCGTCATTCGCGTACCCTCCATGTGGGCAGGGTTGACATTGGGAGCCACAGCAGGATTTATGATGGCATACCAGAATTCTTCTGGTGCGCAGTTCCTTGCACTACCACCCCAGCAGAACACTGTGTACAGCTTGTAACGTTCCCTGCTGTTGATCAGTGTTCTCGTGGCATCGAATGTAAAATGCATACGATCGAGGAAGGGCTCACATGTTGCCTGGTGTGCAGGACGATTGATGGGCCTAAACCCCAATGACCGAGAAGTCGAAGTGAACCTCACAAAGAAGAGCTGAGATGTCTTTCAATGAAGACTGGTGCAATTGCAAGGATATTTTTTGGCATGTTATGTGGACCGGTTCGATCTTCACATGTGAAATGGGGAATCGACCAGCATGCAAGGCTTAGGCTGCTCAGGCTGAGTCCAGCTAGGCATGAGCAGCAGTCAAGGACCTATAAGAAATTGGGACGACTAGAGAGAATTTGTGAGGTTATATCTGGGTCCTTTGCTTGGTCACGACACCTCAGAGAAGTAGAAGTCTGAGCAGGCTGTGCTCTGCGTAAAAAGATATCCTCCTGGAATGGCTGATGAGGGAAATTTATCCTTGATACCAACACTATGCTTTAAGAAGGTATCCAAACTGTAATATGCAAGGGTTACTTAATCTGCAGCCAACATGCAGCTCAAAAACAAACCTGCATGCATGCTGTGCATTTTCAGGGCACTGCACAGATATTTGAAGTTCTCTAAACAACAATGCTACAGCATCTAGATCAGATCTGTTGGAAGAATGATAAATCAGATGTGTAGAAATTTCTTTAAAGCTGCAAGTGAGCAGGTGCAATAGTGAGGTTACAAGGTTTCATTGTGGCCCATAGGTTGGGTCTTTGCGTCACATTCTCATAGGAAAGAGGCGGAGCTGAAGCCCTCTGTAATACATGCACAATCTGTCACACTTTTGTTGATATAGCACCGCTGCCAAAGTGAATTGCCAGATGTCCACACGAGCAGATCAGCTATCCACCAGCTTTACCAGGGCATCAAGTTCTCGGTTGACCTGCAAGCGGAGGGCTTCAAGTTGCGCAATCTTCCCACCATTCTCCTGCAAAGACCAGTATGAGCACTGCTCAGCATTGGAGATATGGCGCTTTCACAATGCAACCTTCTGAGCAAACTTTACAAGAGCCCCCTCTTCACATAATGCAGACATATGTGATGGGCATGCTGAGGAGACTTGCAGACATCTACCAAGTTGAGGATCACCTGAGTCTCTTTTGGCTGGGCGTCAGGCAGAAGAAGCACTCTGTCCCTAGTGTCTCCAGCTCTGCTGGTGCTGCTTTGCTCCATTAGGCGGCCATCGGCGCTGTCATGTCCTGACTGCGCACCAAGGCCTCCCTTGGATGAGGCAGAGTTGCCCTCCTGTGCAGCAGCCTGCGGCGGGTCTTCCGCGCCGAACAGAGGGTTGCAATGCACGTTCATGTCGGGGCTGCCTCTGGCGCCTGCGGACAGCGGCGCGGTTCTGCTGCCAGCCTGGCGCGGCGGCCTGGCCTTCCCGGACGCGCTGCTGGCCGATCCTGGGCGTCCTGCTGCGCTAGCATGCACTGGCGTGGTTTGTTTTGATTCCTCCGGCAGTGTGTGACCTCCTGCAGCATGCTCCACGCTCCAGCGTCTGCTGGGAGGCTTGCCAGGGGACCGCAGCAGCCTGTTGACCTCCCTGGTGATGCCAGCGAGCGCCTCTGTCTCCTCGCTGGCCCCCTGGACGGCATCGGATCGCGCCGCTGCGCAAGCCGCTTCATCTGCTGTTGAACGTGAGCGGCGCTGTGTGGAGTGTGCTGACAGCGGATCTGCGCGCGGCTCAGTCATCTGGTGCCAGGAGCTGCGCCTGTCATGCAGGCGTTGACCTGGCTCCTCCATGCCGGTGCGCGCATGGAACTGGTGACTGGATATCTCCTTCCCTGCTGCAGATCCGCCATCGTCTGAGCTTCTCTGCAGCGCAGCTCGGGCAGCTCGGGCTGCGCTGGACGCGCCATCTGCGTGCATCCCATTGCTGTGTGCGGCCGGCGCAGGCTTCATGTCGGACCAGTCGCTGGGGGCCTCCTTGGACTTCTTGCTGGAGCTCAGCCTGTCGCTGAGCAGGCTCTGCATGCGGTGGCTGCTCGACACAACCTGTTGGAAGTCCTCCAGCGGCTGCTGCTCATCCTGCTGACGCGTGCTGGTGTCACCAATCGGGCCAGCTCCATTTGGCGTCTCTTCAGGCAGGCCATGCAGGTGCTCTCCGTCTGATTGGGTCTGGCGTCGGGAGGCCGGAGGGGTCTCGAGGCGGCGCGCGTCGCCGAGCACGCCCTGGATGTTGTGCAGGGCGCGGCTGTGCTGCAGCGTGGCGGTGGCCTGCAGCAGGCTGCCCTGAAGCTCCTTCAGGCTGGCTCCGGGCGCCTGCAGGGCGCCGGGGTTGTCCAGCAGCCGCTGCAACTGCGCCATCAGCGCCCGCTGCCCCTGCAGGACCGCCCTGGCCTCGGGCGTTCCCTCCCATGGCCCTGCGCTGTGAGCTGCAGTCGGCGGCGTGCTCGGCTGCACAGTAAATGCAGGTGTGCTCATGCTGGCGTGTCCGACGGGCTGTGGCGTCTCATCTGGTGCCGTGCCAGCGCCGTAGAGTGGGGTGTCCGCCATGGTGGTCGGCTGCCGGGAGGGTGGTCTCTGTGGAGTTGCGTGGCCGCCAGTGTAAGCTGTCTGATACTCCTGTGGAACCGTCCCGGCAGCGGCTGACACCAAGTCATGGAAGGTGCGCAGCTGCTCCAGCAGCTGCTTTGTGTCAACTGCGCTGCAGTCGTCCACGTTGGCAGTAGATGAGCTACCGCAAACATCTGGCTCAACTCCTGAAGTCTTCCCAGCTGCACTGCCTGACCTGGACGCTTGTGGCTGCGTATGTCCCGGCGCATCTGCAGGGGTCTGCCCAGCAGCAGCTGTGCCAGCGCCTACAAGGCCATGCATGCCTTCTTCCTCCTGCAGCCATTGGAACTGGAATGATGAAGTCCCAAACAACACGATTGCAGGTCCTCAAGCCGTGCAGCACTCAGCACAGGTGCATGTCTGCTTTACCAAGGAAGCAGCCCACCTGCTTGCTGCTTGGAGCCCGTGGCCGCTCAGGCGCATACACCTGCACTCCGAAGTCCATGCTGGCCCCCACCCATCTGCGCGGCTTTGCCATCGGCGCATCACCCTTTCTTGGTGCTCTGTGCTGCTGCACTGCTGCCTTTCCTGGGGCGCTGCCTGTCCTTCTGGGCTGCAGGTCCTCCCCTCTCTGCTCTGTGTCTGCTGCCGGTTCAGCGGGCGCATCTGCATTGCTGTCGATCCGCTGCAACGGCGCCCACCTTCGCCGGGAAGCTGCTGATGCAGGTCTAAGTGATGGCCTGCCATTCGTATCTCTGCCCCTGTTGTGCCAGTTCTCAGAGGCGCTGCCAGCCTCAGAGGCTCTGCTGCCTGTGCAGTCGGCAGGCAGTGGTTCTGCGCAGGAGGTCTGGCTGGACAAGAAGTCGTCTTCAGAAGGAGGCTGCAAGGAGGCAGTGTACATGTGTGCTGCTTTCAGAGGTGAGGAAGGCTCAGGTATCCCGTCCATTTCTGTCAGAGCCTTCTGTGCAGCCTGCAAAACATGCTTGTGCTTATATCCATTTCATTCAAATCAAATCAAGCTCTGTATAGCTAGAAGCAATGGCATATGCAAGTGTAACAGAATCCAAGGCATTCGGACGGTTTTGGTCCGTCCTAAGAGTGCTGCGCACCTGCCGCACATGGACAATTTTGTCATACTTGACATCTGTCAGCGAAGCAAGAATTGCGCTCTTTTCTGCTGCCAAAATGGCGAGGCCGTCAGACCGCTCCAGCTGCCAAGCATTCGCTGTCTTCCTGAACACCTGCCATCAAGAGTGCGCATGAGCTACAGGCCTAGAAGCAATTGTAGACACATGCAAGCAACACTGACATCAGCCACATTGCAGCCATCTGTGTTTGAACTAGCACCTGTGAGGAGGCCGCCAGCGCAGCAATGGTGTCAGCAGCCTCCTTACGCAGGTGCCAATCTGACTTGAGCAGCATGCAGTTGAGGCTCTCAGTGATAAGCGAGCGGACCACCGCTGGCTTCATGTCAGCGCCCAGGATCTCAACACTCTTCCTCATGGGCAGGAATGCCTCTGCCACGAGCACTCGCTGTTGGCCTGTTGAATGACCACACTCGTCCTGTCTAGCAGCTCTTGCATAGTATATCTCTGACCTTACAGACTGCTGGCACAAATATCTGCAGAAACAGGATAGCCTACACTAATCATAGCAGTCAGGCATGGCATCAGAGGCTTACCCATGCTCATGCTGCCGAGTATGTGTTTCAGGCAGTCCAAGGCCACAGCTGCAACTGATGGGGATTGAGCCTGTTCGAAGAAGACCATGAGCGCAGCATTCACCAACACATAGGCGTTGGAGGCCATGTGCTTAGCTGGGGTCCTGCGGGAGGGGGAGGAATGCAGTAAGGGGTACATGCAAAGGATGAGATGCACTTAATTTAAGGCACTTGTGCAAGTGCTCATAACGAATGCAAAGTAAATATCTATTTGACAGGCATGGTGAATGCACTGTAGCACTCTCACTTTGCCGCGCTTCTCAACAGGGGGCGAATTAGCAAGGCACTGAGGCCATCCTGCTGGTCAAGCATGTCATCCTCATTCACATGCAGCAGCAATGCCGCCCTTGCCACCTCTTGCATGAAGCCTGTGCATGCGCACAGTATACTTGAGACTTTTGACACGCATGTCTTCATGCACCATGTCCCACATGAACGTGACCTGTCAATACTTGTATACCTGCCAGCTCCTCAACAGCGCTTGTGTGCTTTTCAAAACCGGCCTGTTCTGTGAAGCGTTTCATGATGAGGCCCATGAGCCCCGAAGGATAGCCATGATTTTGGACAAGGAAGGCTGCCAACCTGCAGGCCAGCAAACAGATTGGACCCCCCATCTTTTGTACCACTGCACATTCATGTGGGCCTCAAAGACCGAATTTTTGAGGTGGACACCGTACTTGTATCTCAGTCTCCTTGCATGCGCTGAGCATTGATCAAGGTTTGCCAGAATGTCACGCAGGACATTTTCAATCTCCCAAGTCGCTTGAAGATCTCTGATGAGTCTTTGCACACCCAGCTGTGCTTGAGCGGCCAGATCCTTGTCCTCGAGGCCCAGTAATGCTGTCCGAGTACGAAGATGCAGATCCCCAACAGCTGCAGCTGTCTTGGTCCTCTGCATCACCATTCCTGGCAGGACTCTTTAAGGAGGGTCAAGGCACCTGCAGGCACACCAGTATACTTTTGTTTACAGTATTGAGTGTGATAACGTGTGACTACAACATCGGAAAACATCTTCTATTTCAACATCGGAGGCGATAGTATCAGTCTTCTGTGATGTCCCATCTTAGAATATGATTTTAAGAACCTCAGGGCATTTGCTGTTCGTGGCATCTCACCCTGGTTCAGTGATGATGTTTCAGAATAATCGAGCCTCTTCAATACAGTAGATGTAGAAATATGGTGTTGTTGCGTGGTGACCTCAGAATTGACAGACGTTGATCTTTGCGGATATAAAGTGAGCTTTTTGCACACGGACCGCCAGATCTCGTCATCAGACATTACCGCAAAAGCATTGCGTCCGTCTTGACATAAACAGACAAAATAGGAATCATCGTGCACTGACTTGTTGCTGGCACCAGGACCTAGTGACCAGGTGTCTTAATCCAGCCTGAGGCGTTCCCGCGGACTGGCGTTTGAGGCCAAATCAGGCGCTCTGGCAGGGTTCAAACTCCTCGCGCCTTGATGCCACCCAAAGTCTGCACATCTGAAGTCCCATTGACAGGATTGATAATTGAATCCGCCAACCTTGGAAATCAACAGCAAGAATACGATGGTTGAGGCACCCCTCAATGGCGTTGCTCGGGCACTTTCCAACGGGCTGGAGGAGGAGCAGGGTGGCGACTACGTCCCCAAGAGCATCCTGCTCACCGGCGGAGCGGGCTTCATCGCCAGCCACGTCGTGATCCGCCTCTGCAGCAGATATCCCAACACGAAGGTGATCAGCACTCTCCAAGGGCTGGGATCGCAGCTTTTTGTTCTTTATCGCAGCCCTGCGGTAGCTTGGTCAAACCTTCATGCTTGACTTGTGGACCGGAGCTGGAAGGCCCTTGGCACATGGTCAGACCGTCACATGATGTCCACGACAATCAAGTAAATGGGTTGCATGTGGGATCCGGCCTCCAGCAAGCGTTTCTCAAAGGCACATCCTGAGTCGTCCCTTGCAACGCCCAGGTGGTGGTGCTGGACAAATTGGACTACTGCGCGTCCATGCACAACCTGGACGCCGTGAAGGACCTTCCCAACTTCAAGGTACGCAGTGAGCGGTACCGCCAAGCCTTCTGTGTAGTGACCTGTCTTTGAATCCTCGTAATTTTCCCGGTAAAGCAGGAGGGTCAAGTTCTGAGCTCCACGGCTGCGCTTCAGCTTGAGTGTCTTGCTTTGCAGTTTGTGAAGGGAGACATCCAGAGCGCAGATCTCATCAGCTTCGTGCTGAAAGAGGACAACATTGACACAGTCATGCACTTCGCTGCTCAGGTACTGCCTCGCTACTCTTCAGTATGTTGCCTCAATTCCAGTGTCTGACAAAACCGAATGGTCACCATAAATATCCGCATACTGCTCAGCCATGACAACGCCGTCTCTGCTTGTTTAACCTGAAGAGGCACTTGGCTAATCTTTGTATCTATTCAGCAGCATCTGCAGCACCTGTATGCTTTACGAGAGCTGCATTTGCTCTATAGGCACCCTTGCTGCTTTAAAGCTTGTTTTGTAGAATGCAGTGCAGCCCAGAAGTCCCTCAAAGCTTATGCCACATGTCACTGAGTTCTGACATCTGGCTTCTGCCCTGTGCTGCAGACACACGTGGACAATTCCTTCGGCAACTCCCTGGCCTTCACCATGAACAACACTCACGGCACACACGTCCTGCTGGAGGCAGCACGCGTGTACGGCGGCATCAGGCGCTTCATCGCAGTGTCCACAGATGAGGTGTACGGAGAGACCAGCGTTGGACGTGACTCTGGCTGCACGGAGACCTCCACTCTGGAGCCTACCAACCCCTACTCTGCTGCCAAGGCAGGCGCAGGTGTGCATACCCCTCCTTGAGCCATCCTGCATTTGTGTAGGCCATGTTCCACCTTCTTGAAGCATGCATTGAGCCCTGCTATCAAAGGTTCATGATCTGATGAAATTAATGCAGGAATGATGTCATGCATGCATGTGCATTTTGGCAATGTCATGAGATCATGACATGCATGGCTTGGAGTACCTCCTCTGAGACATGTACTGTGCCTGGAATGCAGAGATGATGGTGAAGGCATACATGACGTCCTACAAGCTGCCCTGCATCATCACGCGCGGCAACAACGTGTATGGCCCCCATCAGTTCCCCGAGAAGCTGGTCCCAAAGTTCACCCTGCTGGCCAAGCGCGGCGAGCAGCTGCCTGTGCACGGCGGTGGACAGGTCTGTCGAATGCAAATGCCCCTCATGCATGTATGGTGCACTGACATGACACAGCAGAGGACGTCAGCAATGTTTGGGGCCCATGCTGGATCCTGCATGAAGGCTGCCACATCTCAAACACTGCATGTTGCAGCCCTGATTTCCACAAACCACAGCATGCCATGCTCGGACATGCATGCCTGCGTTGCTGTTGATGTGGGACATGTAGCTCCATGCAGATGGGCTGGTCATGCATGCCCTGCATTGACACTGCTGCTGCTTCCATGGCTGCAGAGTCGACCTGACTGTGCCCAGATGGCGGCACTCGTGATGAGACAAGTGACACTGAGCTGCTCTGGATTCTGCACGCAGAGCACGCGGTCGTACCTGTACGTGGAGGATGTGGCAGAGGCGTTCGACGTGATCCTGCACAAGGGCGTGGTGGGCGAGACGTACAACATCGGCACGCAGAAGGAGCGCACCGTCATGGACGTGGCCAACGCCATCGCCCGCCACTTCAACGTGCCCGAGGAGCGCATCATCCACGTCCGCGACCGCGCCTTCAACGACCAGAGGTGCGCCTCCCAGCCCCCGCCCTCATCACACCAGTCAGTGCATGATGAGAGGCAGCAGCTGCACCCGGATAGTTCCCCGCCCTTATCAGATCTGCCAGTGCATGATTACAGACGTAAGCTGGTCAGGGAGCCTGCAACAGCTTTCCCTCATGCATGTAGTGCTGCCTGAAAAACAAAGAGAGTTGCCGAGGGAATTTGTAGCAGCTGTGCCTCCATGCATGCATTGCATGCTTCAAGCCTTGAATCAGCAAGTCAGCAGGTCCAATGGTCGCTCATGTGAAGGGCTGGTGAGCCCAGTGTTTGAGAAAGTGCCCGTCAGCTACCCCATTGAAGGATGTGGGCCATGTGCAGGTACTACATCTGCGACAAGAAGCTGGCGGCGCTGGGCTGGTCAGAGAAGACCAGCTGGGAGGATGGCCTGGCCAAGACCATTAACTGGTACATGGAGAACGGCTTCAGCTCGCGCTGGGTAGGCGACGTGGACTCTGCCCTGGCAGCCCACCCCAAGGCCCAGTGACGAGCCTGCCAGTAGCAGCCAGCTCAGGCAGCAGGCTCTCATTTGAATAGGACAGCAGCAGCTAAGCCATGATCGACTACTGCTTCTGTACAGCCTCGTGTTTTGTGCGGCTTTCAACCGCTCAGGATGTTCCCTTTTAAGGATTTGATGAGGCAGACCTCTGCATGCCTCTTTCTGTGATTTAATGAGGCAGGAGAAAATGATTAAGACGAGTGAATGCGGACAGAACTGCACCCATCTGTTTGTGCTAATGAGGCTGCAAGCCCACCGTCAATGACAATCCCAAACAAATAAAGATGTGCTAAAGAGGTACCAAAAGGGATAGAGCAGCATTCTGTGCAGGTTTCGTGGCAAAGAGCTGTCCTTCCCTGATGATGCCATGCTCTGTGAATTGCACAGCAACACGGCTGGTAATCTGCTTTCTTTGAATGCAAGAAAATGTATTGAAGGGAGCCACATGTGCTATTGTTTACATCTGAACGCCTGGGGGGAGTCAGATAAAATGCATGTCTGCACTGCTGGTGTACTTAGCGGTTTAGAAGAACGGTATGATACTGGTATGTCTGTGGAGATGAGCAACAGACACCCACGGTTGTTTGATGGTCTTCGGTGGCCCTGTCATTGGTCAGTCCCTGTACTTCGAAATCACCTGAGGAGCTGAAGGATCAGCAGGTGCTGTCCTGAATTCAGCATAGTTTTTACATTCTCGTCAATTAGAACAAACTTTTATGTGACCCCTGTCCAGACTTCCATGTAAGCAGCTTTAGGCGGGCAAAGCAACTGGGACCGAGCACCACACCACATGTGCACCTCAGTGTGCAGCATCAAGACAGGCATTCCTCGTGGAATCCGTGGAATCCGTTAATGGTGACCTGCATGCCATTGCTGGCGCCAGCACTGTCAATTGACGATGTCAATATGTGAATGGTGTGCATTTTGTTGACACCATGCTTTGACTTTCTTGATTGCTATTTCTTCATTTTGGTGTCATTCAACATCGATGCATCTGCTATCATGGTCAGCTACAGGTGCGTTGCATGATCATGACTGGTCATTTGACTGGATCAAAGTCTTTTACACATGGACTTATGAGGATATCTACCCACTATGCTATCCAAGAATTGGAAATGCGGTGTATAGATAAGGGCCATGCATGTGGCCAAAGCCTTTGCCCTTGGCCCAAAGGACAGAGTGATCCCTCTGCTTCCTCAGCAAGGGGCATCTACCGAATTAATCATCTGGAAAGCTGGGTTTCAGGCGTTCGACCATTATGCTGCGCTTGGTCGCTCCATCAGACTCAGGCAAGGCGGACCCGCTTGCAATATCAAGCTGCTTGCATACTTCACAGTGCAACTGCACTATAACAAGCTGCAGCACCTGTGCCATCAATTGAATCTACCGATCAGGACAATATCCTTCATGCACCCTGCACAGCTTCGCTGCGCACTACCTGTCCCACACCCGCTGCACCACTGCTGCGCAAGCGACATACTACTCCTACAATCTAAGGATACTAAAAGTTTGTGTCATGCCCAGCAAGCACAGGAGCGACTCCCGCGCTGCAGTGCAGCTCACAGCCACAAAAAAAAATGAACCTGCACCCGCGCGTATCCTCACACCTCCACAATGTTGGAGCTGCCGAGCATCGCTCACGACCGCCATGCGTCCGGGCAGACGAATTTGCCTCGCACTCCCTCCCGCCAAGTCACATTGCTGACATCACGGCTCTGTCGATGACGTGGCGTCCACGTCATTGATGACCGTAGGCTCAGGCCTGGCCGGCGGGCAGAGAGCCGGAGCTGCGGAGGCCCTCCTCCTTGCGGGCCTTCGCGTCGGCGCCGGCGTTGTAAAAGCGGCCGTACTTGAGGACGTAGCGCTCGAAGAAGGACAGGTTCTTGGGGTGGGTGGCGTCGCCGGTGTAGTTCTCTTGCTTGCCCGCCATGAGTGCGTCGAAGCGGCGGTCGCCCTCGCGCAGGTCCAGCGTCATGATGTTGGGCACGAAGAGCACCGTGAACACCAGACCAGCCTGTGCGCGCACGCGGGAAAAACGTCAAATCGCCAGAAGTGTACCAGTACAAACAGGACAAGAAGGTCCGCCGAGACATGCACAGCATTGTGGCGGGATAGCACTGCAATCTCTGTGCATGCCTGGGGCATGCAACTTGCGCGCTGGCACAGTAAGAATGGAGCAGCGGGCACAGAACAAGAGTCACATGCAGAGGCGGGGCTCACCAGATTGAAGAATGCGGCCACGTAGAACTTGTTGGCGTTTGTGAGGTAGGCAAACCAGATGCTGCAAGAATACCACAGCACAGCGGTCAGTAAAGAAGATGCTTAGGAACACTCCAAGCCAAAGGCACACAGCAACAATGTGACCCCCTCCAGAATCACTACACCCAGCCAGGAGGGATCAATCCACGTGAGCAAAAATACAGAAGTAGGCAGGTATGACTCACCCGGCAACGAGCGCGCCGACCTTGCCGGTGGCGGCAGAGATGCCGTGGCATGTGGCGCGGATGTCGGTGGGGAACACCTCACCAGGCAGCAGCCATGTGGTGGCGTTGGGCCCAAACTGGCCTGCAGCACATGCACGCACGCGTCAGCCAACAAGCCAGCATAACAAGAGTCCTAACGCCCTACCACAAGATATGATCACATGAAAGGATTGCATGTGCACAGCCTGAAGCACTGGTTAATGTACAGAACACCCAAATCAATGTTGAATTAGAGATAACTCCGTGATTTGTTGAAAGGGGCGCACCGAAGAAGGAGGACAAAAAGTAGAGGGCCTGGAACCACTTGATGGCGTTCTTCACCAGCGGGTCGTAGGCGGCAGCGCAGATCAGGAACAGGATGAACACCATCATGAAGCCCTGTCACCCATCCATATCTCTTCTCAGTACCAAGACAGAAGGTCCACCTGCCGAGTCAGTGTCAACCCAGGACATGCATGCATACACTGGTCAATGACAGGCGATCTGGGCACTCACCATGCACTGCAGCCTGACGCGGCCCATCCAGAGCTTGTCAACGGTGAAGGCAGAGAAGTAGTAGCCGACCTGCAAGTCAGCAGATGACAGTCAGGCAACCCTCTGATTCTTCTTGTGCCACGAGTCCATCTTGTTACACAGGCAGTACATTACACTATGGGTGATTGGACTGCCCTTAAATAAGCTACGGCTTTCAGAGATTCTTGGACAGAGAGGGAGTGGTGTGCGCACCAGGGAGACAGAGGAGTTGAGCAGGGTCCACTCGAGGGTGGTCAGGATGGAGGCGCCCGGGTACAGGATCTTGATGAAGGTGGACTGGAACAGCTTGTTGCCGTAGAAGGACACATCCCAGAAGAACCAGGACAGAGCGCAGCCGGCCAGCCTGTGCCAGTAGTAGTACCACAGCACCTGCTGCTCGCGCACTGCAATCTGCACCCCATCAAACTCCAAACTATTAGTCCTTGCTTGTTGCCGTTCAAGTATGAACGTTGCTCTTTCATCAGTCATGATCAATGGTGCGCATGCTCTGCATTTGCTTGATGACAGACGGTTCAGTCACTTCATGACGCGCAGGTGAGTCAACGGCCATTTTCAAAGCATGTACTGTGTGGGAAGGCTGCAAAGAAGCAATGCAGAGGGAGGGGCGCACCGCAGCAGGCTTGTTCTGCTTCTTCCAGACCTTGGACTCCTGAAGGAAGAACAGACGGTAGATGAGCATGGCAGTGACGGGGACGAGGCCCACGCCGAAGGAGATACGCCAGACAGCGTCCAGAGCATAGTGGTTGTACTTGCTGCCGGTCTGGCCAAAGGCAGCCAGCAGCAGGCAGAGCACGGCTGTGTTCACCACGTTACCCCATCCCTGTGGCAGCAACTCACTTGCATTTAATTACTGCGCGCCAGACAGCCAACATGAGATTGACAGTCCCAGGAAGGCGCTTGTGACACTGCCATAGCTGCACTTTTAAGCGCATCTTTTTCTCCAAGCTGGGATGGCCTTGGAAGTGTTGGGCAGGCCTGCACAGTGTCACTCAGTGGCCGTGCCGAATAGGAGAACCAGCCTTCCCAACTATGCGTTAGCAAAATTGGGAAACAAGCAGAATGGCAGGTTGGCAGTGTGTCTGACCTGCATGCTGAAGGTGCACACGACCATCTCTCCGCGGCGGAAGCGCAGGGCCTTGCTGGCCTCGGCGCGCTCAGCAGCACTGGAGGATGCCAGCGGGTACTCTCCACCCACACCGTAGCCGAAGATGAACTGCAACCGACACCTTGCGCAGTCAGCCCATGGCACACCAAGGACCGCAACTCCAAAGCACGCTCCTGATAATGCCCTGACTTGTTGACACGCCACTAGCACAGACAAAAACATGTATCACAAAGGAGGTCTCTGGACGCAGACAAGCAGTGGTGTGGCGCACCTGGGAGATGGCAAACATGATGGCCCAGCCTTGGATGGTGACGCCGTTGGAGGCAGTCAGCATGATGCCTCCCACAAACATGAAGGCGGCGGTGAGCACAGAGCCCCACTTGCGGCCAATCTGGTCGGCGATGAAGCCCATGAGCAGCATGCCCACGATGATACCGCTGACCTGCAGATGCATTAAAATGAATGAGCACGAGAGACAACGTGCATGTCCTTGCCCAAGTTACAGCAGTCAATGGAGGGCACAATAAATTGCACAATGAAGACACACACCTGGACGTAAGTCTCAGCATTGATCAGGCCTTCGCTGCAGGTCTTGTGCTGCTTGTAGCAGTCCTGCACCACGACAACGGCTATTAGCAACATGCAACCCATGGCAGCACGCTATCAGACATCACAAGGCAAGCAGGCATCCTTCTTTGTAGGCACAAGTACCAGCATGGGATATAAAGAAGTAGGCACCTTGTAGGTCTCCTGGAAGATGGGTGTGATATTACCAATGGAGAAGATAAAGTAAGACTGCACAGCAACAAAATGCAAATGTCAGGATCAATAAAAAGCTCGGAACAGGCGATGACGACGGTGGCTGCAATACACAGTCAGACTGCAGCAGATAATGCTCTGAGATAATCACCTCGCAGAACATGCCCATGCCTGGAAGAGCCCAGCTCTTAATCCAGAAGAAAGTGGCCGCCAACCAGCCATGGGCAGTGTACCTGCAGCACAAAGGCTACAATGAGCAGTGTACAGCAACTATTCTCAGCAGAGTGTTTGCAGGTGACAATGCTCAGAGCAAGCAATGATGATGATGATAGACGGCAGGCATGATGCTTACTCCTCGACTTCATAGTCGCGGGTGACCTGGCGATCCGCAACCGCATCATTCACTTTGCCGTTGGTGGCTGGGGCATGGGAAAGCTCCACATCACCCTTGGAGGCCATGGTTGAAGGCTAGTGAGAAGAAAGTCCCTATGGAAGGTCCCTGCAAACAACAAGCATAAGGTCATTGACTTGAAAAATCACTGCTTTCCAAGTGGTGACATCGGTGCAGTCTGGCCAAGAGCCACACTCAAACCAGTTGCGTTGCATCCAACTGACCCTTGGAATAGAGATCAGCCACGTCCTCACCACCATCGGGGATCACTTTGCTCAACCAACGCAGCAACGTGAAACCTCGTCAAAGACGTGAAAACCGATGGGCACTCCAAGCGGTTTGAAGAATGTGTCAAAATCTCTCAATTGCACAGTAGCCGTAATATGCCGATCATTACTCAGCGAACACCCTTCAGATACCGAGATGCAGCAACGTGACGACCAAGTTCCGCTATTCCTATACCTCGGCAATAAGCGCACGTATCGCAGACGATCCCCCTCTTGAAGAGGGCACCAAACACACAAATAACTCCAGACCTTGGCGGCCCAACCATGGCGCAATGTTCATAGCATACGCCACACCGCCGCACTACTGGTGGTGCAAAAAGTTCCGAGAAGCCCATCGCCCTCATAAAAATTCGCGTAGTTCTCCATCGCCGTTCATATCCAACTTAATACGCTCAAGGCCGTAAGGAAGCTAGCCCTAATTTCCTTCAGGCAAAAATGAAACAGAAGGGCCAGGCCGTGTCTCACCTCCGACGAGATCAACAAGCGGAGACAATCCGCAACATACCCTCACACCCGTTCACAGGTGCTCCGCGGTCTATGAAGAATCTTTCGCCTCCCACTGCGTTTCTGCTCCAAATATTTACTGCTGGGATTCTTCTGCTCCTCGGCAAAAAGGAATATGCTCTCTGGAGGGCCCCCCGGTGGGTCCCCCGGTTGTTCCTTTTGATCACGTTGGATGACTCACTCCGATCGAAACGCGGTAGACGCCTCGGGAGGAAATAATCAGAGCTCTTGAATATTCACTCTTCGACTCATGACCTCCCTTTCAAAGGAAGATCCTCAGAGGAAGCAATTGTGCACTAATTTTGTTATGCGTGCTGTTCTTGCTCTTTTATATTTGATCGCAGAGTGGGGTCAATGCCTCGATGTTCCTGTAAGGTTTATTTTCACATCTTGCTCTCAACTTGAGAGTCTCAAGAGGAAATATCGTTTCTAATCACCACTTGTGAGTCGTCAGATACATCATGTAAGAAAGGAATTACGCTTTTAGCTGGAAGAAGAACCTTGCAAGGGCATTTGACATGTCCCTGCATTCTGGGATGTGTCGTTTAAGAGAGGACTGGCCTGTGGGAAAAGTACGATGGTGAAGAGGTCGCGAGTCGAAGATGTCATCCAGATGTCAAATCCCTTTATAAACGCCAAGAAAAGGAAGAAAACAGGAGATGCAGAAGGGAGAGTGCAGCATACCATCAAATACTACGTGTGGGAACTGCTTAGAGATAAGCCATCGGGCCTTACCGTGGATGAATTGGTGCACGAAATGGAAAGCCGTGAAATGCGGTCTTTTGCGAACTGCAGCAAACCAGCGTCTCAGGTGCAGATGTGGCGCGCAGTTGTGAGGGTCTGAGTGTAAATTTGAACTTGCAATTCAAGTCCAGAACTGTCCATTTTCTGCAAACACGTTATATTGCATGTGCCTGTGCAGCTGAGCGTTGAGCTGAACAGGGCCAAGGAGCACTTCACGCAGAATGCCACCACCAAGGCGTGGAGCCTCCTGTGTGTGCCGGCACCCTCCGCTGCATTCCGCACATGTCACTTTACTTGCACCTGCTCCCTGCAGAATGATGACCACTCTGACATGTGCAGGCCGGATGTTCTTGCGGTAATAGAGCAGGCACCACAGGAAGCAGCTACGGGGCTGGAACCGCCGCCTGTTACCCAGCCAGAATCTGTCACACCAGCAGCACTGCCTCAGTCACGTCCTGTGGAGGAGCAACAATCAGGACCAGAGCCAGTTGCTTCACATGCAGCGGTCGGCAGCAGCGCTCTCAGAGAGGACGCACCAGATGCGGCAGTGGCAGGCTTTCAAGAACCAGAAGCTAGGGATGCCAGCATGGCAGTTGCCGGCCAGACCATGCGGAGGCCAGTCATTGTGGAGCAGCCCAGAAGAGCATCTGCAGAGGAAGATGCTATGGAGCAATCAGCACAGCCTGCCAGCACGCATGCGGCTTGCGAGCCATCTTGTGCGCCACGCAGCTCTGGGGCCCCAGCTCGTCAGCCTATTGATGCTGGCGTCGGTCCTGTAGCCTTGCAGCCTCAGCGACTCAGCGTTGAGGAAGCAACGCAGCTGCCTGCTGGGGACGAAGGGCCCAGCACCGTTGACAGCGTGCAGCCGCCAGAAGATGCGCCAAATCAGGACATACGGGAATGGTTTGGAAGTGTGAAGACGCAGCCTGGGTCTCGTATCACGGCTGCAGCTGATGCCAGCCCTGGGGCAGCCGCGGTGTTGCCGCGCTTTGTGCTGTCTCCAACAACAGGAGTGTTCAGGGCAGTCGACCCCTCGCCTGCCAGCCCCATGAGCGATGTGGGCGCCCAGGACAGGCCAGCTCTGTGGCAGCAGCTCGCCACTTCAGCCCTGTCCAGCGATCAGCGCGGTGCCTCGTCACTTGCACCACCTGCACAGCAGCGGTCCAGTGAAGGCAGATCTCTTCCAGCATCTGGCTCGGCTACTGCGCCCAAACAAGCAGCCACCTTCAGTCAGCAGGAGCAGGCACATCAGTGGGCACCGGATCCCCAGATCTCCATGCCAAAGGGGTTGAACAGCGTGCGGGCCAGCAGGGAGGGGAGATTGCAGATGGCAACACCGGGCAGCGCAGCAGCCAATGGGGAGGCCAAGCTAGCTAATGGCGGTTCCTTAGGCGCCATCAGCCCTGTTGAGCCAGCAGAAGGTGCAGGGAAGCTTCCTGCGACTCCAGTCTCCTTTGATGATGCAGAGGTGAGCATGCTACGGTTGGTAGCTCTTCAATTCTCTGGCCCTGCCTTCCATAATTGTGCAGGTTCACCTCCTATGCCACCAATATCCACCAGTCCTTCACAAGCTGCCACCGTCAAACAGCTAAGGCATGCACTATTCCACTCTCAGGAGGATCCGAGCCTGTCAGAAGACGCTGCAGTGCGATGGCTGCCGAGCCCACAATGGACGCACCCCAGTGGCGGGCAGCTGTCGCCAGGCATGGAGTCCTCGGCCGCCCCTCTGCTGGGCACGCTGCCGCATTGGCCGTACGCGACCCTCTTTCCGACCACTCCGGAGCGCGCCGCACCCGCCACGCTGCGCACGCTGGAAGAATGTCAGCCTGCATTCCCTGCAGACAGTGAGCAGCCGCCCTGGGCGCCTGACCTGCTGGACGTGACCTATGACGCGCCGGTGCTGCCTCGCTCCCACACACCCACGCAGCCTGTGCAGCTGCTTGGAGATGGGGAGCACCCTGTAGTGCTGGGCACTGCAGCTGTCCCCACAGCAGGAGCACTGCCCTCCACAGCAGGGTTGCCACCCATCAGCCTGCTGGGCGCAACTCCAGAGTGGGCTCCTGGCGCTGGGCTGCTGAGTGATGCCCTGCCGGAGCCCCTCGCCAAAGCTTCAGCAGTTCGGGATCCAGCTAAGAGAGAGCCAAGCGCAACAGCCGGAACTGCGCCTGCTCGTGCAAATACGGAGCCTGCCCTTGACAGGAGGCGGGAGAGCCCAGGTACGGCACTTGAGGTCCAGGAGCCAGAACAGGGCGCCAGGCACAGCAGCAGGGAGCCGGCTCCAGAGCGCCGCAGCAGCGAGCGCGCGCATCACGAGAGCCGGCACCACCCCTCCAAATCCGGCAGGGATGACAGGCAGCGCAGAGAGGCTGACAGGGACGGGCACAGCCGACGCAGAGTGGGTGAATATGACCACCAGCGGGAAAGTGGCAGGGATGACGAGAGGGAGAGACAGCGGGAGAGTGCAAGGGACAGGGACAAAGAGAGAGAGAGGCAGCGGGAATATGAGAGAGACAGAGACCGGCGCGGCAGCAGGGATGAGGATGCTGGCAGGGAGAGGGCTCGGGAGCGCTCGAAGGGTGATGATCGCGAACACAATGACGGGCGCGGAGGCGGCCACCGGGGCAGCGCACAAGAGGACGGCCGCCGCCACAGACGAGACGACGATTACAGGGATGACTACCGCGATGACTACAGGGATGACTACCGTGACAGCCGGCGCCGCGTCAGCGCTGAGGAGACGCGGCGGCCGAGCAGGGAGGGAAGCAGGCCTGAGGACAGGCCAAGGGAGGCGCATCGAAGCCAGGGGCGCGAGCGTGAGAGAGAGGAGGACCGCGGCGCGAGCAGGCATGCATCCCGGCGGCCCAGGAGCCGCTCTGGCACGCGAGACAGCGCCACGCCGGACGACGACTGGCCCTTTGATTCTGGGCGCATCATCTCGTGCAGGTGAATGAGAATCTGCAGCATGCTTGTTGACAGTTGGGCCTTTGCCTTTGGCTGCAAAGGAGAGGTTTTGATGCTGAGGTTCTCTTATAGCCAGGCTGCCTGCGTCATGCTGGCCTGTTAAAGGAGAGCCATTCAAAGATGAGTGTATCCTGAGCAATTCATGCCGTGCAATGCACCGTTCTGCCTCATGACACATTGTCAATGCCTTGCAGTGAATCTGCATTGGCAGACAGCATGCTGCGGATGACGTTTGGGTCGGACATACGGAAGGATCTGGAGGGCATGGACAAGCGCACGGCA